GATGTTAAAAATTCAATAATAGAATTTTCTAATTAATTTGCTAAAGCTTTATGTTCAAGTTTCTATTAAAAATTAACTATGTATGAATAGTTAGAAATAATATCAAAGTTAAGAGAATATTATTAAAATGAATTCTATGAACCTGCTTTTAGATAGGAAGGAGATTAATCAATATTACATTTATATCATGTTTAATATTAATTATAAGATGGTGTAGACTTATAGTAGCCAATTGAAGAATAACACATCTAATCCATTTAAAAGAAATCTTAAACAAAATCAAAAAATTTATTTACATCTTTAAATTTATCATTGGGTAACAAAACAAGCAAACACAAAAGAGGAGATTTGACTCCAATTAAATTACAGGAACAATGGAAAAGATTTGCAGAGGAGATGTTTAGATCACCAAAGTTGGATGAATAAATAGACATTGAAAAACAGGCATTAGCAGATGCTCTAATAGGAATAGATAAATTAATAAAGGAACCATGTGAAATTAAACCATCTTTAGAATCAATATTAAAGAAATTTATTACATTTCTTTAGACTGCTGTATTACAATAGGACAATAAAGGAACTATTGTTATATTATTAAAAATTATGTCGAAGATAATTGAGAAGTAGGATTCAGATGAAAAGAAAGAATATTATTAGAAATTATTTGATAATTTAGGAGCAACAAGAATGGTACTTAATGTTATCACAGATTATTCAAAATTACTTAGTAATGAAATGTTATTTTATTTAATTTCATTTATTAATGTACTACTAAGAAATGGTAATACATAAGTATAGAATACAATATATACATTTTGTCAGACTCAATAGAAAAGTGAAGTAATGTTTTAGACATTTGCAAAATATCTAGAGATTGCTGCTACTTCTGGAAGAGACATGAATGAAGATTAAGAAGAAGTTGAAATTTAAAAGAAAATAGTAAATTGTATATTGAAATTTTTCTAAAATTGTACTGAAGGACATTATTAAAATATGTAAAATTACATTAGATATTAATATAATTCAAGAGCATCTAAAGATTTAATTAATTTAGTGGCAGATTTATTTAAAAATTATGATCGAACTAAATAAAATTTCAGTAATTTAATGTGTTGTTTAGATACATTAAATGAATTAGTTTAAGGTCCTTGTTCTGAAAATTAGATAGCAGTAGCAGATTCTAAATTCTTTGATGTTGTTTAAGAAATGTTTCCTTTAAGAAAAAATGCTGCAATATAATAAAAAACTATTAAGGTTGCAGCAACTAAAAGGATCAGTGTATTGCCATCTTAAACTACATCTAATTTATTAACAAGAGGAATGAAGGCATAATTGTAAAACAAGATATTGGTTTTAGTTTTATCATTATTAGAAAATAGAGAAATTAGAGGAAAGAATTCAATTATTAAAAGAATTATGAGAGTATTACCTATGAATGTTTTAGAAAGACATTTGAGTAAAATTTATAAAAAATGGTTTAATAAATATACAGGTGATTATAATATGTAAGCATTTGAATTGTTAAAGATTGATGCAATGGAATTAAATGAAGATGGTTAGGAGAATAAGGATTGTGAAATTATTATATAGAATGGTTTCTATATAATGTTCTTGATTTGTTATTATATGGAAAGTGATGAAGAGATAGATTCAGTATTCATTGGATATAATAAATAATATTTGAAAAGTTAAAATCAACAGAATTCCTTATTTGATCCAAATTCTACCTTAGGTTAATTGTTTGCTTTAGGAATGGAATTATATGAAATGTCCTTATTAAAAACTTAATAAATGTTTAATGAATTGAATAAAGCCAGAAAGGATGATCCAGAATTTATTATGGAATAGATTAAACGTAAATAAGAGGAAAAGAAAAAAAGATTGAAAAAAGCATTTATGTTTTTTAGAGCTAGAACAGCTCATATAGAAGTAGTTAGAGATGATCAAATTGAATTAGTGTTCTTCCCATTATTACCATTTAGTAAATTAAATAAGGATGAGAAACAATCCTTTCAATAAACAGTTGATCGTTCTTCAGCTAAATCTAAAGTTTAGGATCTTATGGAAAAGAGTCCTGAATTAATCTAAATTATGAGACATGAGGAAGAGATGAATAGATTCTATAAACAATATAAGATTATTGGATTCTTTGCTAATTATATCTAATTGTGGAAAGACTTAGCTTTCTATTTGACTCTTATAATCAATATAATGATTATAGGTTCCTTTTCACATCAATCAGATCCAGAAAGACCTAAAGATGATGTTAGTAATGAAGCTTTGAATGAATATGTATTTTTTAGGAAGGATGAATGGACTTAAACATCAACAAAAGAATTGATAAGTGCATTAGGATATGCAATGATGATTTGTTCCTTATTTGTTGTATTATTTGTCTTAGCCAGAATAGCTCCTCTTATAATCAAAAAAGCATTACAAAGAAAACCCTTATTAGAAGGATAAGGAATGATAAGATTATTAATAAATTGGTTGGCAAAATTCTTTTTTGTGCTCTTTTATTGTTTACAAGATTTCCAATTAGTTTACTATTTAGGATATGGTGCATTATCTGTAATTGGTACATTAGTACATCCATTTTTCTTTTGTTTCCATTTGACAGTAATACTAATAAGATATCCAACATTAAGTAATGTTGTTAGAGCAGTCACAATGCCTTGGTAACAATTAGTACTTACTTTATTACTAATTATAATTATTACATATATATTTACACTAATTGCTTTTTATGCTTTACAAGAACCCTTTGGATTAGATTGTAAGGAAGTTAGTATATGCTTCTTATAAATATTTGATAAGAATTTCAAAACTCCTGGAGGTATAGGTGGTGACATTACTAGTAATAATCCATCTCCTACTTATGAGATCTTTAGATATATTTATGATCAAATTAATAATCTCTTATTAGTTATTATTATGGTAAGTATTGCATCAGGTATTATTATTGATACTTTTGGATAATTAAGAGAAGATGAAAATAAGATGAATAGTGATATAAAAGATAAATGTTTTATTTGTGGTTAAGAGAAGTAAATAATATAATTTATATATAATTTAGTATAATTTTTGAAAGAAGTTCTGATGGTTCATCTGGTGGATTTAAGAATCATATAAGATAAAATCATTATATGTGGAATTACTTATATTGTATATAATATTAATAAATTATTATTAGATATTGCTTATTTATAATGGAAAGATCCATAAGATTATTCAGGTATAGAATCATATGTAGATAAAAAAATAAAAGATACTGATTTGAGTTGGATTCCTTTTGGAAGAGCAAGAGAATTAGATAAAGGAGAAGATGAATAAGAAAAATAAGCTAAATAGATGGAATAATCGTCTAGTAATATTGTATCATTGTTAACTCATTCCAATGATATAATTTAAGCACTAAAAGAAAAGAAAGAAAAAAGAAAACAACATTTCACATAATAAACTCAACCAACACAATTTAAGGAGTAAATTGTATCCCAATAATCAATGGCTTTATTATGAATATCATTTTCTAACTCCATAGACTTATTGAATTGTTAATAAATTAGTTCTTATTTTTGGTTTCTTTCTCTTTAATTACTAATGTATTGTTGGTAATGGCAATTCTTTACTTAATTTGTCAGAATAATAATCACTCAAAGATATGGATTTACTCCCTTTATTAGATTAGCATTCATATTTTGTATTATTGAAACTTTTTTATTATTCAGATTCTGATCTAGTATTTGATGGTACTTTATCAATCTTATTCATTAATCTATCAAACATTGGATATCTTTCTGTTTTATTTGATCTCCTACTAGATAGATTTTTAGGAGTCATCTAAGGTTGTTATTAAATTTATTAACTATTAATACTAGTAGTATTATTGATTGTTATAGTATCTTATTTCTCATCTTCAATTGTCATATTAATTTTTATTTCACTTTTGGCTGTTTAAGAATTTAATTCAATCAATTAAGCTTAAAATTAATCTGATGCAATATCAGCACAAGTTTATCCTCCTGATTGAATTATTTAATCTAAAAGTAAATAATATGCTGTAGTAGCATCATTATGTTAATTTGAACATAAACATTAATATATATACTTTTTTGTATATCCTAATTTCTCTACTTGATTTACAACATTGTTATCTATAGGTATTTTATGTTATCCAATTAAAATTCCTTATTTTATTTAATAACTAGTTTTATATAAATTGAACCAAGGATGTTTTCTAATTTAATCAATATTTGGTCTATCATCAGGATCTGGATTTAATATGAATTTTAAAACATCTACAGCATCACTGCTTAAAAAATTAGGAACCTTATAATTGGCTGATAGAATCTTTTTATATAACTAATTTGTATTTGCATCTTCAAAAGGCAAATATCCACACAACATTACAAATAATACAACTCCACTACTCCAAATATCAGCTTTTAAACCACTATATAGTTTTCCTGATATCATTTCAGGTGCTGCATAACAAGGTGATCCACAAGCTGTCTTTAATAGATCATCATATGTATTAGAGAGACCAAAATCAACAATTTTAATTCGACCTTTAATTAAGAGATTCTCTGGTTTTATGTCTCTATGGACTATTTTTAATTTGTGTAAATATTCTATCCCTGATAATAATTATTAAAACAAAGCACATGCATTAACTTCTGGTATTTTCTTATTTTTAACAATGTAACTAAATAGTTCTTTTTAACAATATTCCATCACTATGAAAATATATTTATTTGTCTCAAAGACTTCATATAACATAATTATATTTGGATGTCTAACAATTTTCAAAATGTGTAATTCGCGTTATACTCTCTCTATATCTACGATATCAACCATTCGTGATTTATTCATAATCTTAATGGCTACTGTTTGTTGTGTAGGAATGTGAACTGCTAATTTTACCTTTCCAAAAGTTCCAGAACCAATCGTCTTTCCCAATTGATAGTTACCAATGCATTTCATAATATAATTTATAATAATCACATTAAAGTACAACAGCCAGTCTAATTAATCCTCCTGCAATTATGATCTTCTTACATACGATGTTTTAAACAAACCTCTCGATGACATTGTTTACATTCATATTTGTTCACTTCATTTAATCTTACTTTACATTAAGGACATTTTTATTCCTCTTTCTTTACTTATTCGCATACATGTTACTTTAACACCTCTTCTTCTGATTTGGTTGATAAATATTGAATAACTTTATTGCATTTAGAACATTACACAGCCTTCTTTTCAGCAAATTAAAATGGACACTCATGATCTTTAAGATCCTTATGTTCAAGACAAAATTTTTTATTACAAAGTGTACACTAAAATGGTAAGAAATCTCTTCTCTTACAATATTCCAAAGCACATCTTTCCATTTAATCATCTAAATTCATATAAATATATGTTTTTCAGTATTTTATATTCTATTTTTATTTTATAATCTTATATATATATTATTTTTAGATAACTTCTGTCTATGAATTATCATTTTTAGAATAACTTTTATCAATTATTTTAATTGATTTGAAAGTATCTGATAAATATTGCTTAATTACATTTATGAATATATATTAACTTTAATCTTAGAATATATGTTTCCATAAACATTTATTATTCATTTATTTAATATTGATAAAGATTCGCAATGAAACTTTAGAGAATTTGGAAGTTCTAACAAAATTCTTAATTTCATTTATAGAAATTGTTATAGGATAATAATTAATACATCATATGCAAATAAGTTCAATATGGTAATAAAATTATTGTCCCAAACTTATAAAATATACAAAATCTTAGATCAGAAATGAATATTAGAAATTATAAAAAGTATTAAAGATATTAACAATCTGATCTATAGAATATCCATTATAATTAGATTCGTTGAATAATTATATAAAATTTTGATTTTCGATATCATTTATATTATCAATTCAAAAACTGTAGAAAGTGCTTAAATTTTATTGATAATATTCAATATAATGATAAATATAAATATAATTTTATTATTAAAATGTCAGTTATGAGTTAGAATAACGATCCTTCTATAAAATAGAGAGACAACAATCGTCAATAAATCACATCTCTAAGTAAGAATTCTTAGGTTCATACTCTAGATCAATTATCAAATATGTATGGAAAGTCAAAACCTGGTGAATTGGCATAATCACTTGTTTATGGTGATAAACCAAAAAAAGAAAACAATCGTCCTTCAAAATAAATGTAAACCACAGTTTCAGAGAAACCTAACTAATGGTAAACAAGAACAGTAGCTGTCTCTCCTTCTAAATTTACTATGCTATCCTAATAACTTTATAATCATATCCCAGACACATTGGAAGCCTAGAAATCTTAAAGGGCTTTTCATGTGAAAGATTAGAAACTATTATTGTCTCCTGAAAGATTACATTCATTACCTAATTAAAATGGAGATAAAACTCCTGAAGTCTGCAATAGACTACTTGAATATAAGACCTTTGTGAGTGACAAGAAATAAACACTCAAAGATTAATTGGATGCTGAATACTTGAGTTAATGCAGCTTTTAACCATAAATAGATGAGAAAAGTAGAAAAATGGCTATAAAAGCTACAAATTAAGAAGTTCGTTCGGCAGATGAATTTCATGAGTAATAAATGAGACATCTTCAAAAAGTCAATGAAAAGAGAGAAATACTCTAAAAGTAATAAGAGGAAGATGAAAAGGCTGAGTTATCTAGTCCAAAATTAACAGTTAAGACTTAGAAATTAACATTAAAATATAGTGAATAGCCTCTTGTTGAAAGATTACATGAAGTAAAATCTAAGACTTAAACATTACCTGATTCTACATTAGGTCATTCATTTAAACCATAAATATCAAAGAAATCTAAAGAAATTAAAAGAGAAGAATCAGTCTAAGATTTCTTATACAATGATGCTAAAAATAGATAAGAATAAAAGAAATAAACTGAAACAATGATTCCATAATCAATAATATCTCCTACTGACAAGAGTTAATCTTGGTTTGTTTAAAGATTCATTAAAGAATTTTATTATTAATTGAGTGGTTTGGATAGAGTATAAGAAACAAAAGATTATTCAAAGATATATTAAGATGACTTTTAAAAAATATTAGGAGGTTTAGGTTTTGGATAATGTGATATGTTATGGAATGAATTGAATAATGGATTTTATGTTTTATCAAGAAATCTATTGGTTATTTTATTAGCCATCCAAGCAGTACCACAACATCTAATAGAAATACCTTTGTATAAACCTAAAGTGGAAGAAAACATTTAAGTGAAATCAAAATATTAATGTGATGAAAATGGAAATCTAATATTGAGTGTTAGTGATTGTTAAGAATTACATAAGATGTTCTATAAATTATATTTGAATACTAAATAATAGAATGGAAATGGAGTTAGAAGAAGAATGGCTCGTTCTCCATAGCCAGAGATCAGATGTGGATCACCAAAGATATCAGATAGAACTAAATAATTGGCTGAAGCTAAAAGATAAGATTCATCATTATTTGACTGGTTCAGTTAATAAGAAGAAAAGAAAAAATAGAGTTTGGAAGAATTAAAGAAATAAGTAGAAGAAGAAAGAATGAAGGAATGTAAATCTATTTAGAGAGAAATTACAATAGATTTACATTAATTAGCTAAACCTCTTTAAAAATAAGAGGATAGAACAACTGTAGATGTTGAATTCGATAATTAATAATAACATTGTTCATTCCAACCATAAATTAGTAAGCCTGCTTAAAAGACTTCAGCAAGTAATTATGCTATTTAAGAGATGGAAAAATAGGCAGCCAGAATGAAAGAAGCCAGATTGAGATAAAAGACTCTTGCAAATTTAAAAAATAAAGGAACTACTACTAATAATACTATTAGAAGAAAAGAGAAGGGTCTCACTGAAAATGAACTCAATAATGAACCTAAATAAAAGAAGAATAAGAGTAGACCAATTAGTGATAAAAGTACTCCTATGTTATATGTGGATGTTAAAATTGAGGATGGTAAAAGTGCTCGAATTGTAGTATTCGAAGGAGATACTTCAGTCAGTTTAGCGAATAAGTTTGCAAAAGAACATAGTAATAATATATATTTAACATAATTTAGAGTTGGATGAGAATATGAAAGAGAAACTTAAGGACTTGTTAGATTAATAGATTAATTCTTATTTAATGAAGATTGAAGAAGAGTAAGAATAAGAAGATGATTGATATACATATATATATATATATACTTAAAATATAAATTATATATATTAAAATGTATGTCAAATTTTAGACATAGTGACAAGTTCACAATTAAATAGTATTGAATTAAATAATTTTACAACAATGTTTAATGAAGAACTAGGTGTCATAGATTATGAAGTAGAAAGTGATGAATCAATTTAAATGATTGATGATCCTTAGGATAATGTTATTCCAACTCCAATATAAGAATAAAAATAAATAACATAGTAGATTATATAATAAACATAACAATAATTAAATATAGAAAATACAGAAACTATTGAAAGACAATAACTTGAAGAAGAATAAATGTTACGTAGACCTTATGCATTAAGATGGAAAAAGAAATCAATTAAGAAATTAGAAAAAATTACATCTAAATTAACTAATTAAGATTTAGATGAAATTAAAGATGTTTTAACCAAAAAGATAGCAATGTCTGAATCTAAAATTAATAATAGCAATTATAATAATAATAATCATAATAATGATGTTATTATTTCTGGTTCAATTGTAAAGAATCCATAAACAACACTTAATTAAGTTCAAAAATAAAAATAATTTTAAGTCCTTGTTGAACATTTTGCAAATAAACCTGATTTTTTAGAAGCTATTATTGCTTAAGATTTGGAATAAGAAAATGCAAATTAGGATGGAGGAATACTCAAAAAACCAATGATAGTACCTCCAAAAGCAGGATTAAAGAAATAATAAGGTAGAAAAAAAGCAAATGTAACTTTTGAAGATTAATCATAACCACCAAATGGAGGAATTTAATTTATTAAAACTAGTGTTTTACCTTAAAAGTAACCTCCTCCACCTTAACCTCAATAATAAATTCAAAATATACTCTCTAAATTTTAAGAAATTAGAGAAAAATCAGTTGCTCCAATTTAATCTTAATAAACAACTACAATTTAAGAATCTTCTGATATGCCTTTAGGTACAGGAGCTTGGTATCCTAATAAATAAGATAGAAAGAGTCAACCATTTATACCACCTCATTCTGGATCAAATCCTAAAATGTTACCTACAATTAATTCAGTTTAAATGATCTCATAATCTTAGGCTGCTTAATAGTCTTTAAATCATAAATTTCTTGGAATGAATCAAAATTAATCAAGAATTAGCAATAGTCCTTCTAGAGTAAGAGATATGATTACATAATAATATACTTCTTCATATTAAGTTGATAGACCTCCCATTATGCCAAGTAGATAATAACCTGTTTTTTAATAATAAATATTAGAAAAGAATATCAATTATGAATTACATCAAGCAAAGAAAAATAAGGAATAATTGAGTAGTCATTAATAATCTTAACTTAGAGAATCTTAAATCAAATTATAGGCAAAAATATAAGAAAGTGTTAAAAGATAAAGTGTTGTTTAACCAACTATAGAGGAAAATGATTCTGATTTTATGGATGATGTTATGGATAGTTAAGCATTTATAGATTTTAAGAGAGCTGGCAATTTAATTTGTGGATCATAATAATAAACATAATAATAATACTGGTAGGAAATTAATTTTAATACAGATATTCCAAAAGATTATTATATGAATGAAAAGTTTAGAGTAGATTTGGAATAAGAGATTGAAACAAGTGATCCTTATGAATTATTTAAATTGTATTTTGATTAAAGCATTTTCAAATACATATGTCTAATATCAAATAAACGTTAATGTATTAGAATTGATGAAGATATATTGGAATCATTTATCTCAGCCTTAATATACATTTTTTATATCTAATTATTGGGTATGAGAGAAATAAAAAGAGTTAGATTTGATCATATACTTGATTATGTAACATTTGGTCATATATGTAAAGAAATTCGTATTGATGAATTAGAAGATTATTCATTTATTTTTGAAAAAATAAGTAAGAATTTTAAAAGTCATTATTAACCAGAAGAATTCTTAACACTTGACTCTCCTATTTTCTATTAAAATCATAGTGTGGAAGGTCTTATATCACTTTCTGATGGAATGAAAGGATATGTATTAGATTTTATTTATGGAATAAAAGATTAAAAGATTCTTCATAGTTTATAAAATTATTAAGGAAAACATCATAAATTGTATTTAGGACCTGAAGTATCATCTTTAAATTTGATCAGTCAATTGAAAAAGAAATAATTTGGTTCATTGGCAAAAGTAGTAGACAAATAGGTATTTATTTATTATATTTAGACCCTACTTACATAAGATTAGATATAAGATGTAAAATAAAATGCATAAAAAGGTTAAAGCACTTAATATTTATCATCTGATAATTAGACAATATTACTTATTTATGCAGAAAGACAATAACATTTATAATAAGTAGAAGGATTTGTATCCTCATTTGCTGATTTCACTAGACTAAAACCTCAAGATACTAAAATTAAGAGTGATATCAATAAACCTATTATTTTATATCTTTATGATAAAATTAAGACATAATATGATAAACGAGGTAAAACTTATTAATATTCATAAATACCTCATTAAAATGGCAATTAACATTTAGAAATATTAGTTTAATTAGTTTATTCTAGTATTTATAATGCTAATATATTAAATAAAATTAAAAATTAATCAGCTTCATTGACACCAGATAAAGCTAAATAAATGTATCTAGATTTTGTTAAGCAATTATTACATTAACTCTATGTACGTAGTTTGAAAAGAAGAGGTATTAATTAGTTTCCATAGAATCACACTTTGGAATCAGGAGACACTGGTACTTTTAGTTGTATTGAATGTGGAGAATCTAGTTAAACTATTTGTAGAGAATGTTCAAATCATTTCTAAATGTTAATTCCTGTCTGTAGAACTAAAAATGAATAATGTTTAAAATCACACATAGAAATGTTATTAAATCAACCAAAAATTACAAATACAAATAGAAAACTTACAAATAAATAAGCTATTGTTAAATTTGAATTTTATCGTTCTTAAATTGAAGCGTCTAAGGATTCCAATGCATAATCTGCTTTACCAGTTATTGAAGATACTCTATAATAATTGGATAGTTTGGATCCTGATGAAGAATTATCTATTGGAATCCAAACTTTATTAGTTTCATTGTCAGATTTAATATCAAAAATGTTTCAATAACCTAACGTATTAGTCCCACAGAAAACTCAATAAAATAGATAAGATGTCTACACATTGAATTAAATAGATCCACCAATAAAATCAGCATAACAATTATAAAAATCAATCTCTTAAGTTTATTAAAATTAATAAGAAGTTATTCATAGTTCTTAAATTGTTCCTTAAATGATTAAAACAAAAATTGGAGAATAAATGAATATAGAATCTTCTATTCAAAAATTATAAGCTAGAGTTGCCAGAATCAATAAATGATATATATCATAATATAATATTTATTTAATTGTCTATAAAATATATATTTAAAGTCTAAAATAAAATTGAATTGCTACACAAATACTAATATATAATGAATCAAATTTCTTATCCACTAGAAGCAACATTGAGTATTTAAAATAATGCTGAGCCAACTACAACAAAAAGAAAGACACCAAGAAGGATTGGTCCAACTGGAAGATTTTCCTCTTTTTTCTATAAATATATTAGTATAATCCATTACAATTAATGATTTTGGCACTTTTCCTTATTTATGAACATTACCTTGGTAGTTTTAACTTCTCAATTTCATAGTTTATGCTGATGGCTATATAGGGTTAACATATAATCAATACCATTGTGGTTTATGATGTTTTTGTAAAGTATTTTAATTAATGAAATCACACGTATTATTATTATATGCTAAAAAAAGCATTAACTTATTGTCTTTAAGATGATGACCCAGTCTAAATTTCTGAATTAATAGGTGTTCGAGAATATTAGAAGTAACCAAAAATATGTCAAAGCACCTTCGTAACCTCTTCTGATTTGAAATAGATGATACTAAACTAAAAGAGAGAGAACAGTATATAATCATATCGCAAAATTTAACATTATGATGCTGACTTAAAACCAATTAACCGAACATTCGATTGTAAATAGTCTTTCTACTAAAATACTTGCAGAAAATAAATCAATCTCAAAATGCTTCATGAACCTAATAAACCTAAATTGTACTTCGGAATCAAACATTAATAATTTAAAGTAAAATTATTCTTATAAAGAATATTAGATAAAAATCAAAATGCAAGGTAAACGTTTAGAGGACATGTTCTGAATATAAAACTTTGACTAATTAATTTATTAATTTTTATTTCCTTATGAATTTTAAAATATTGCAATTACTTTGTAAAATAGAATATTTAATCATCCTAAGTGATTGAATTCAGTATATGTGGCATCTGCATTTGATGATATAGGAATCTTGGTTGAATTGTCCAACAATAAGGATCCAAGTTTAGGATTCAAGTAATAAAGTGAGGTAAAAACCTATCTCAAAAAGTTAAGAAATTTATATCTATATGATAACAAGTTATTTAGAAACAAGAAAGAATCTAAAGACTTCAGTGAAAACAAAGAAAAAAAAATGATCCTAACATTATATCAATAGTTCTAAATTATCTTCATAGTCTCCCTTGGAAGAGGATATGAAAATCATTAAATTGAGCATTATGAGATCAGAAATATTGAGAAACAAAGTTTCAGATATTCCTAAACATAATAATAATCCTTTATCAAATTGTTCTAGAAGATTATCTAATATTAACTCAGAACCGACTTAATTTAAAAACTTACTCGTTTTATTTCTATCCGTGGCTGGAACAATAATAACCAAAAATTTCAGAGATCAAACTGAATATATTTCAATTTATTATTAATAACTTATTATCTATAAACTTCTAATTAATCAAGGTAGATAATATTATAAAAATCATTTTATTAAGTAATGTAGCATAATTTTATTAATCAATAAATTAAATAATTTTCTTAATCATAAATTAAACATTACTAATTAATTTTTTTATCTATTTGTATAATTATTATCATTTCTTTTTATAAACTTGTTAAAATTTTCTTTAATCATTGTAGTCAAAAATTTCAATTAAATATAATATAATTAAAGACTAATGAAAATTTTAAATTTAGAATTAATGAAGACTTAGTAAAATTTTGTTATTTAATTAGCTAATTTATTGTAGATAATTAGTTTCATAAAGAACATCTAGATTTGAAGAATAATTTTCAGAGACACCTGCTCCTGGTTAATACAAGGCTGCTAATACTATGGAATAAAGATTGATATAAAAATTAATGAAAGCTCCATTAGGATAATTTGGAGTTAATGAGAATAGATTTAAAGAATAAAAATTATTAGTTCCTGGTCCAGGATCATATGAAGTAGATAAAAATGATGATACAAAAAAAGATAAGAAATTACCAGAATAAAAAGGAACATATGCATTTATGAGTCATGCACCTAAAAGTTAAGATTTATCAATTCCAAATATAAATCCAGCTCCAGGTGCTTATAATGTCGAATAAAAGAACATTTAATATTATATTTGCTGATATTTGAATATAATTTTAATTATCATATTATATTCAAATATTATTAATAAATCTCCTTCTCTAAAAAAGGAAAACTTAGAAACTCATTATACCAATACAAAAAAACCAAAAACTTTTTCCATCTTACATCAAATTTAAGAGACAATCAAGAACTACATGTTGAATTAAATTCCAGTATTGAAACTGATTAAAAGTTAGATTATGATTTATTAATCCAAAAAATTGAGTATGCTCTTATTGTTATATATAGGTTATAATCTTTAAGTGATTCTAATCTACTCAAATACTCTCTGGTTAATTCCTCAGTTTTTGTTATGAGAGATATAATAGAGTAGAATCTTAATTTATAAACATACGCCTTGAAGATATATCTCATAATTTATTAATAGTTAAGTTTGTTTATTTTATTTATATAATAAACTAGAAGTTAGGATAGCATTGATTTCAAAATTCTAAAATTTGTAAAATTTTATGGTTAGAATTGATGATCAATCACTTTAAATAAACACAATTTTCTCTATAATGTCCTAGTCTTTCCAATAGTACACAAGAATAAAGGGAATAGATATCCGAATAACATTAATCCTGATATTAAAAGATTCAAGAATATTATAAAATATAATACTATCAATTAGTATTTAATATGCCATTATTATTCCTATTTGACAAACTTTTTCAAGTTTAAAAATACAATAATGGTTTATGAATTATAAAATTAATTTGAATATTAAAATTTTTAAATTAATAGAAAATGAGATAAATACGCATAATTCAATCTATGATAATAATTATAAAACAATAATAGAATTGAAAAGAAATATTTATTTTTTTTACAAAAAAATCGTACATTCATGATTATAATTCAAATTTAGGATATTTTATGTTATTATAATTTATAAATAATTAATGACAACTGCACTATCAAAATACAATAAGACTTTGGAATTATAAAGCATTGTGGATGATAAATTTAATAAAATCTTTTGCTCTGAATAAGTTTTTGAAAAAATAGTCAATTGTTTTCTTGAAAAATTGAAAAAAGAGGATGATAAGAAATTAGCTATTGGATATCTGATTGATACATTTCCTGATAATAATTACCTTATTTAAAAGAAAAAAATGTTAGCTGGATCATGGTTTAACATTCGAAATCTATTATCAGATTATGGATTAAAGGAAAATAAGAAGATTAGTTTATAATGGGAAAAATTGTATATTCTAACATAAAATAAAGATTTGGAAAGACTTAATGAACTTATAGAAGATTAAGAGTTTTGTAAAATTTGTAAAATCCCAACTTCTTTAGTTTAATAAAAAGATGTATTTGAAAAACTGAAACATCATAGCTTCAGAATTATAGATATAATTAGATAATGTAGAAAATCTTCATTTTAATTAAATTCTATTATTATGAAAAATTTGATATTTTTTTTTTTTATACCTAATGAATTAGAAATAGGTAATTAAGAAAAAACAAGATTATATCAAATTTTAGGAGAAATCTTATGTAATTTTTGGATTTAATTTGAATATCATTATTAATAATTACAATAGTAAAATTAAAATAAAAATAATTTAATAAAATTATAAGAGATATTAAGTTTATTTTAGAAAGATTCATTTATATATTATGATAAAATACAAGAATTAATTAGATAATTATTAAATAAAAATAATTCAAATAGCTTAAAATTTACAGAAATTGAGAATTTAATAGACAAATTATTGCCAATTAATTTTGATCTTTAAATTATTTTTTATATGATGTGCTTCTATTGTTCAATTAATTTTGATCAATATTATAAAAAAAAGTTAATGAAAGACAATAAAGAAAATTCATTTAAATTACTCAATTTATATATCTAATATAGAATGAGTACAAATAATAAACTTAATGGGTAATTTATGAATGTATTAGAAAAGTATGAAAAAAGATAATCCACTATAAAATAAGAATTGGGAAAATGGAAAATATGGTCTCTTAATGAATTGATAGAATATATTATTGAAGAAAACATTCATAATTTAAATTTAAGATAGCATATCATGAACTTAAATTCATAAAATTTAAAAAATGCAAAATATTTGAATTTATTATCAAATATCAGTAATGAAAAAAAACGTAAAGTAGCACATTTATTACAAAATCTTATATTTGAGGATAATTTAATATAAGTTGTTTTGAAATTAGAAGAATAAAAATAAAATTATTTAACAGAAGAATTAGAAATAATTCTTAGAATTGTGATTGAAAATTCAAATCGAAATATAGTTAATTTTTAATTACTTAATACTGTTTTATAGTAAAATAGAAGTTAATAAGAGATAGAGGATATAATAAAAGTATCTGAATATGATTAAAGTTTACCATTTGAATAGTAAATTAATCTGTTATCCAATTTTTCTAATGATTAGTTTTAATTGATTATTAATTAAGCTGTAATTGCTAATTCTTTAATATAAACATACCTAAAGGATTTAAATTCAAATAATATTTAATTTTTTAATTTAAGTTAAATTTTAGAAGTTTTAAGAAGATTGTTTTCATAAAATAAATAATTAGAATAATATAATGAATTTACAAAATTATTCTTTCAACTTTTAAATTACTTGTTAAATGATCAAATAAATAGATTAATATATGGAAATAAATCAAATTAAATATCTTTAGATGATTATCTAACAAACTTAAGTATATTATATTAGTTATTCAGCAAATTATAAGGATAAAATAAATAGTAAGAATTAAAAATGGCTATTTAAAACATTTTATAATTTCCATAAGTATACTGTTTCAATAATTATCTTGAATTATTTTTGGATAATAAAACTTTTGAATAAATAATAAATGTATTCAAATTAGTTTATTATTGGTAAACTGGATAGATATAATAATTAATTGTTCATGCTGAATAGTTCTGCAAATAAGATGCTAATTTTTATAAAGAACAATTTTAAAAAATAAATTACTTTAATATTGATTAATTAGAAATTACAAAATTACAATAAAAACTTAAGAGTAATATATATCCAAGATCTCTAAATATCTCATTAGAAGATTTTAATATTTCATTGACTTTATTAAATAAGTAATAATAAGAAGAATTAGTCAAAAATTGGATTAAGAATGTAAAAGACCCTGATGCTTTTAAGTAGTTAATACCATTTTTCTTTAATATTTTTAAAAGAGGAGAACCATCTACTGACTTTCTAACAATTATTAATGAATAAATAACAGAAGATAAAGTATTGATGACCAAATATGGTTTTTTTAATTAAAAATCCATATTTTAAATATTTTATAATAATTCTGATGATGAATTAAAGGTGATGCTTTTAAAACTTATGAGTAAATAATATCCAATTCCATTATTATACAGAACTTCTTCAAATCCAGAAAGTGGAGAATTAGACAAATTAACATTTAATATGAATACTTTTTATGTATTTGAGCAAAATTATCCCATAATTAATTTAAGTTTGTCTAGTAATCAGAAAAGAATTGGTAAAACAGATTTAATTAATACAATATTTTATAAAAAATATAAATTTGAAATATCAGATAATAATTATTTGAATAAACAAACTATAGACATAATGTATGATTTTGAATTTAATGGATCAAGAAATTTATCTGTTGCAGATGCTCATGGTTTTATTCCATTTGAGATTTTAGATGATATCTTACCATTGTTTAAATTATGGATTATTTAATTAGATACTGAAAGAGAAATTAAAGAAACAATATAAAATTTAAAAAAGTTGAAATCTTTTTAAAATAAATAAAAAGTTGTTTGTTTTTTGATTCGAAATTCAATTAGAAAATTAGATGAGTAAGAAATAGCAGAATTAGAATTTCATAATATTTAATATAAGCAAGTCATTAATTTATCAAATAATGATTTAAATAATGAAATGAGAAAGGCTAATATTGCATAAACATCCAAATTTTTATTTGATATTATCTAAAAAAATCACTATTAAACATTAAAATAAGAAGAATACTTTAATTTAATATGCTAAATGGCAAATTGCCCTTAAAATCAAATTTTTTAAATTAAATAAACTCAAGATCTATTTAAAGATATTGAAATAGAATTAGAAAAATAAATGAAGGATGTAGATGGTTTCTATAATGAGAATGCTTTTCCTATAAGAAGTATTGAATGGCAAATAAAAAAAGAACGCGATGCATATTCGAAAATTTAATAGAGTCGCTAAAACAAATAATCTGAAGATAAGCTCAATTAAATAAATTAAAAAATGATATTTTTATAAAATTCAATGAGTTATTAGCAACCATCACTAATTTTAATTTAATTTTGTAACTTATTAAAGAAACCCAATTATTATATATTATATCTTCATTTAGTTGATAAAATAAGAAAATTTAATGAAAAAAATACCTATTAATTATAAAGGGAAAACTAGAAATTAAATGAAGAAATCTCAAAATTAGACAAAGAGAAGAAAAAATTGAAAAATCAAATATAAAAAGGGATAAATTAGGATTTGTAGAAATAGATAAACCATTTATAATAATAAATAGAAAACAAAATTTTAATATTAAAATAGAATTCAGAAACAATTTCAAAAAGAAATATTGGAATAGAATTATTTTGGAGAGAAATTATATAATAAAGAGAATAATGTTAACAATCTCATATTGATTTTGATCCTTCTATTATTGTTAAAGAAATGATCTAAAAAGGAGAACCATTTGAATTCTTAGATGGTGATTCATTAAGAATTGATTAACCATTCTTAAAAAAACTTATATCTAATTTTAAGGAATAAGGATAAGAAAGGATTTTAGTATTAAGTGTTTTAGGACCACAAAGTTCTGGTAAATCAACAATTTTAAATAAAATATTTGGATGCCATTTTTGGACAAGTGTTGGTAGATGTACAAAAGGGATCTATTTATAATTATTGAAAGTACACAACAAAGCATATTTTAATAATTTATTTGATTATATTATTATATTAGACACTGAAGGTCTTTAGAGTCCAAATTAAGAAGATTTAGAATTTGATAAAAAGATAGCACTTTTTGTATTATCAATAAGTGATATAATTATAGTTAATGTAAAAGGTGATATAACAAGGGAATTTAGATCATTAGTTGAAATGTGTATATATACTTTGGGATAAATGAGAAATTTTACAAGTTCAAAATCAATTACTTGGTGTTTTAATTAAAATAATGATGTCAATAATCATGATCCTTTTTTAGCATAATTATAATCAATAGCCTTAAATTTAAATAGCGAATTAAGTAATCATAATTAGGATAATGAATAAATAGATTATAATGAAATTCTTGGAATTACTTAAGAGAATATAAAGATTTTAGGTTTTGCATCAACTGAAAATTTATGGATAAAAAATGATAGGGAAGGAGTATATTATGATTGGCGTCAGTTAATTTTAAATGGAACATTCTCTTAAGAAGCTTATGAATATGGTATTAGAATGATTTAAGCATATGTAAATAAATTTGGAAATGAAGATAATTATTATGGAATAAAATAAATGGAAAATTTAAAATATTTTGTAGGAAAAATTGAAACAACTTGGTCAAGTATATTAAGTTTACCTGATTTACTTGAATTTTCAGAATTAGTACTGCATTAACAAAATCAATTTATGAGAAAATAGTTTAATGAAATCACTGATAATTATTAATTTCCTACAAAATCATAATTTTTTTAACAAATTCATGAAACAATTTAAGAGAAGGATTAGGGTTTATATGTTGATATTTTCAAATAAATATTAAATTAATATAATTAAGAATTGAATAATTAATTTGATTAAATTAATAGTGAATTATTAGTAAGATTGACAGCAATAAAAAATGAAAATAAGATATCAAAGAAAGTATTCATAAAATATAAAAATATGCTTGATGATAGAATTAATAGTGAAAAAACAGCCATTTAATTTGCAATACTGTAGGAAATTAAGACTTAAGAAACTACTTTTTAACAGAAAATGGGTTTTATTAAAATTGATTAATTTATCTTAGAGTTGATTGGAAATGAAAATGAATTAAGACTATATAAAGAAGATGAAAATAAGATTAAAACAAAATTTGAAGAACTTTGGAATGAAATATTATAATAAGATGCTTAAAAATAAAATGAAATTTTTAGAGGTCATTGTGATGGTGTGTTATCAGTAATTAAAGAAAATTTTAAAAACTATATTTTGACAACTAATCGTGAAGTTTCTTATAAACATTAATATATGAAAAGTTTAATTGAATAAAAACCATAAAAAGAAGATTATTTAACAGCATTTGAAATATTAAAACCAGAATTATCTATGGCTCAATTTATGGTAGTTGAAAAAAATATACCAAATAAGGATTATTAATACTTTTTTGAAAACTTTTCCTAAAATATAGAAAAGAAATTAGCCAAATGTTCATCTACATAAGTTTTATAAATCAATTAATTTTATTCTTATAAAGTTGAAATCAAATATATGAGTAAAGAAAATTTTAACCAATATTAATAAAAAGATATGTATTATGATCTCTAATCCTACTGTAAAACAACTCACAAGATAGATAAATTTTCATTTATAAATTTTTTAAGAAATTTTTCTATATTTGGTTATTAGATATAAGAATAAAAAGCAGAATAATTATTTAATTAGATTGAAAAATAGTCTAAATATGATTAAAAAATGCTACTTTCATGTTTTTAATCTGGAGATAGGTAATATTTTGGAGAAACTCAATATGATGTATCAATTGATATCATAAAAAAACAATGTACACGCTTTAAAAATTATATTTAAAATAAGCTAATAATTAGTGAATAATCATAAAATAATGAAATAGAAAATAATGCAAAAAAGTTTAATGAAAATGAATTTTTCATAGTTTAAATTAAATTATAAGTGATTTTAAAGTAAAACATTGGATCTTATAACAATAAATAATCTAATGAAGAAATGGTAAAAATTTTTAGCTATATCTTAAATCAAAATTAAAATTCTTAATTTTATAATGATTTTAAGGAAAATGTTACTAGATTTATTGAATAATTAATGAGTAATAACAACAATAGTGGATGGAAAAAAGTATATAGTGAAATTCATTAAATGATACTAGATGAAATTAAGGAAATGAAGGCAAAATAATATAGCTATAGTTTAATAAAAAGGATTTTGTAAAAAATAGAAAGTAAAATTAAAGATTTAAATATGTTATTTTCAGATTTTGGTGTTATTTTGAATGATAGAGGAGAAAGATGCATATATTATTATGCCATTTTTAGTATTTGGAGGATTTTGTGCTTTAAATAATAAAAATTAACTAAGAAAGCTTAATAATAGTTGGTTAATTAATACAAAACACAATATTTGAAATTTAAGGCTGATATCTAATAGAATAAAAAAGAATAAAGCAAAATTAGAGGATAATAATTAGCAGAAGAAATAATAAATTAAACAATTGTAAGATTTCAAATGAAATATTAAGGTGAAGCTAAATTAATATTGGATGGCCTTAAGAAAGAGACAAGTTTTGATATAATAAAGTAACTAGACAAAGATATTCTTGAAAGAAATAATAATGATGTAACAAATGATTAGATACTTCACTATATTAGAAATCAAACAGATTTTATAGAAAAATATGTCAAAGAAAAAATTAATAAACTAAAATCAGATATTCAAACAAAATTTACAAATAAATTAAAAAATGATCTAAACTCATATCTATAAAAATTGGATGCAAATACTAAGTATTTATCTGATTATGTCATATCTCCTCTATAAGCAAAGGACTATTTTATTTAGTTGGACAACCCAGATGAAGCTCCAAAATTATTATATAAAATAGTTTTAAGCTGTCTTTAAGGATTAGTATAGTAGAATTTATTAGAAAAAATAAAATAAGATAAAATTTATGCATTTTAAACTTAAGATTTTCACATATTTGAGTTACCGTTATGTTCAAAAATTTAAAAGTCAGATGAAGAAATACAAATATTACTTAATTTTGTTTAAGCTTTTAAATAAAAAATTTAAAAAGGTATTTAAAACATAGAATAATTACAAATTTAACTAGAAACACTAAAATTATAAGATGATCTAGATACTTAATAACTTAAATAAATTGGTTGCTTGTAATGTTGTCCACTGTGTAAAAGAAAATGTGATTAAGAAATTGATGATAGTAATCATAAACACTAATGCTAAAATGGACATTAATTAAGAGGTAATATTTAATTTAAAAAATAGGTATGAGTGGAGTCTTAATTGGTTGTCATCCTTCATTATATACATGTGAAGAAATAGAGGATGATTTTTAAATTTCATTATTGGAAACATCAACTGTTAAGTCATGGAAGGATATCAAATAAATTTATAATGGATGGATATTTAATTTTCTCAATAAAGATGAATTAAAATCTCAGAAAGAAAAATTCATGAAGATTTGGAATGATAATATTGGGAGAATGATATGCCAAAAATTAACTTAAGAAATTTAAAAAGATGTATTTTATGTAGCAAAGTAAGAAGTTGTATTAGGAGGAAATTAAAAAACTGCTAATTATATTTTGATATTAGATGACTCTGGTTCAATGGAGGGATATCCTTTTAATTCTGCTAGATAGTGTTTAGTTGAATTTCTTCATGAAATTCAAAAAAATCCTGATTCTAGGGTTACTATCATACTCTTCAATCACGAAGCTCGATGTGTTGTTGACTATTAAATCCCTAATCCTTCAGTTTAAGAGCCTTTAATATACTGTTAAGGTGGAGGAACAAATTTTGAGTTTCCCTTAGAGCTTGCCTGTGATAAAATTTCTTAAAATCCAGAATTTGAAAAATTTAGTTCGTAAATATCACATTATAATTAGCCATTCTATATTCTTTTACACTGATGGATAGGCTTACTATCCTTAAAAAGCTATGGAGAAATTTAGAAATTTACCATAAGAAAAAAAAGAAAAAATAGAGCTAATTGCCTGTTCTTTAGAAGAATCTCCAACTATATTGATCAAGGTTGTTGAATTCTGTAAATAATTTTTATCTTCTGCTAAAATACAAACTTCAATGGAACCTTAACGGATTGCTTAAGTTTGGATAGAAGAAGTTAGCAAAGTAACCCATTAAATATTTTGATCCATTATTATAAAAAAAACAATATTAAATAAGATTTAAGATATTGTTTATGAAATTAAAAAATTTGAGAAATTAATATCCTTTTTCATAAAATTTGAATTGTAATATATATATAAATGAAATAATTAGACATGAATTAAATAATTATTCTAAATATAGGTATTATTATTAGATTTAGATTTATTGTTTACTTGATTCAGGAGAGATAAAAATTTAGATTAAATAATTTAGAATTCATTCAATTTTTATACTTCTCTTCAAATAACTAAGTAGATAAAATTTTAATCTTTATAAAATCAATTTACAACAAATTTTTGTTCAATTATTAATAATAGTGAATGATTTTTCGATAACATTTTTGATATTCTTATACATTATCTGAAAAGAATTAAAGATATTTAAATATGAATAATATTATATATATAGTATTAAGAAATATTAGTATATATTAATATTATTATATTTTTTTATTAAAATGAAAGTGGAAGTCTTTAGTGTATAAACCATTTCTGAAAATGGAGCACTTTGTTTATTATTGATAATTGAATAGAAAAATCATAAATTACAAATAATGCTAGATTGTGGATTGAATTAAAGATTGGAATGTAATCACATTAAACATTATATGAATAAAATTTAGAAAGTAATTAATTAATCTATAATAGTCAAAATTAGTGTTATTATCATAACCATCTATTGAGTATGCTGGAGGTCTTCCTTTAATTTCTGAATTCTAAATAAAAACTTTATCTACTAGTCCAATAATTGAATTTGGAGTCAGAAATTTTGTTGATCAATTGATTCATTTATAATAAGCATTTCTTAAAAAAGAGGTTATGGAAGAAGACTTTAAATAAGATTGGAAGAGAATTCTAGATGCTGCAGATGATGCTTATCGTCAAATTAAACCATTAAAATTTGGATAGAGTGAAACTATGATGTTTGAGAATGGATTATTTTAAGTGACTGTTTGTCCAATTAGAGCAGGTAAAGTTATAGGTGCATGTGCTTGGAAAATTTAAGTGAATACATTAAATATTATTTACATCACAGATTATAATATGATAAAAGAATTACACATAGATTCTTTGAATATAGAACGTTTATTAATTAAGAATTAAAAATAATCACTTCTTCAAAGAGAAATTGTTGATTTACTGATTTTGGAAAATTATCCAAAAGAAATAATATAACCTTAAAATAATTAATAAATTTTACCTCCTTAGTTTTTTATTAAGTCAAAAATGGAAGAATAATTGAGCATATATCATCAGAAATAATAAGGATAATTAATATTTGCATTTTATCCTAATGAAAGAATTTTAGAGGGAATTAAATCATTACATTAAATATTTAAGGAAAATGAGAAGTATGTTGGAATGAAATGGGATATAAACGTTTTATATCTTGATTTAGTTGATAAGGCTAGAACATTTGGAGAATTTTTATGTTGGGATAATATATAATCACTTAATTATGATAATTAATCAAAAATTAAATCATAAATTATACTTACATCCTATAATAATCTTTTTTCTGGTCCATTCTATTAAGAAAATTTATTAACTGATCCAAATAATACAATTATAATATTTGATAAGCCTCCTTGTTTAATTAATGAAAATATGGGTAAGATTAGAAAGAGTTTTGAATTGAATTTATAAATAAAAGAATCATATTCAATAAATTTAAATTATATAAGAAAGTAAATAATAAATAATTATATATTTTAGATTATTATTAAAAACAAATGAAAAAGAAAATAAATTAATATCTAATGCACCTAGTACAACTTATTTACCAGGTAGTACAACAGATTTAGTAGAAACTTAGAGTGTAGATATTGGAATCTAAAAGACAGATGATTAATTTTCAGTATTAAGTGATTAGAAACCGAATCTAGAACCTTTGTTTGATAAAAATAATTATAAGTCACATAATTAATTGTATTTTATAGAAAGTGAAATAAAAGGTAAAATTATATATATCAATATTATAGAATAAATATAATTTACAACTGCATAATTAGACAGACCACTTAGACCTATGTAATAACTTCATTTAAGAGATGATTATGGATCAGATATACCTAAGTATATTAAATTAATGAAGAGTAAAAGAAGATAATAAATTGAAACACAAACTTAATAGATGGAAGAAGAATAAGATGCAGAGAATGAAAAATAAAAATTGTAAGAATCAACTTTTGCTATGCCTAATATGAATAAAGTTTTAAATTAAAAAATTGTTACAGTTTAAGCAATGGTATCTGTAAAATAACTACCATAAAATTTAAGAAATGCTGAAATGCTATTAGAATATTTAAATCCTTAGAATTTATTAATTTTAAATCCAAGTACTAAACCTAGATAAGGTGGAATTTAATTAGCAGTTGCAAAATAAAGTTAAGCTTAATCACTTATTTCATTAAATGATGGATAAAATTTACCTTTTGTAGAAATGTAAGAGAAATAGATAGAGATAAGATCAGCAATATAAGTAAAAGGGAAATTAGAATTGAAAATCTTTAGAAATACATAAACAATGAGTTAAATTTTAAAATTAGTAGCTACTTAAAATAAGAAACCGATTTGTCATCAAAATATTTAATTGTTGGCCTTATATGAAGAATTAAAGAAGAGAGGAGATTTAAAATTGGAATTAGGATTTTGTTAAATAAGTCTAAATAATGGATAAGTAATAGTAAGTAAAACAAAGTAAGGATTCAAGGTAGAAGGATATTTCAGTAATTTGTACAAAGAGGTTAGAAATTTGATAAAGACATTAAATATCTGATTTGATATTGTTATGAAATAAACGCATGTATTTAATATTATATATAAAATGAATGGAGGTCATCGTCTTAAGTTTTAGATATCCTTTAGTGTTGATGAAGTAAAACCAGAGATTATTACTCTTAATCAATTTGATGATGCTCTAAAATTTGAGGATAGATATGAAGCATTATAAACTTTAGGTATAAACTTATAATAATTTTGAATAGGTTAAGGTGCTCATGCTGTAGTGAAGGTAGCTAGAAAGAAAGATACAGACGAGATATTTGCAGTGAAAATAGTGAGATCTGGAGATTAAGAAATATAAAACAACGTTAAGAGAACTTTTAATAACACTAGATGTTTAAGACATCCAAATATTGCATAGGATATTGAATTATTTATAAATGAAAAGATGGAAACTTCATATTTAATAATGGAGTATTGTGCATTTGATTCATTAGAATCAATTATTAAGAAACGAAAATTGACAATTATGGAACTTAGAATAGTGATGAAATAATTACTTTTAGCAATTCAACATGCTCATTAGAAAGGTATCTGTCATAGGGATTTAAAACCTGATAATGTTCTAGTTGATTTGAGTGAGAATATGGATTAATCTGAAGTACGAGTAAAAGTAGTAGATTTTGGAGTATCAAGAAGATTTTAATCAAAAGGATAAGAGATTGAAATGTTGACAAAAACAGGTAATATATTTTATTGTGCTCCTGAAATTTATCATAAATCCTGTTATTCTAAAGAAGTGGATATATGGGCAATAGGAGTAATAGCATATTAATGTTTATTTTAAAAACTTCCATTACATTCTGATGAATATTAAGATTTTGTTGAGTTATTAAGATGTCCAGATAAATGGAAATTTAAAGAACATTTAAAAGAATTAGAAATTCCTCTATAAAATTTAATTATTGGAATGTTGGAGTATGATAGTTAAAAGAGAATTACTATAGATGATGCATTAAGGAATTCTTTTTTTGAATAACAACAAAGAGAAAGTACTCCTTTGATAATTAGTACTAATTTGGAGAATCTAATTTATAATAATAATAAACATATGAAATAATTATAAACAAGTTTAGCTATTAATAACAATTATTTTGGTAATCACAATTATAATTTGGGCAATATGATTCAAAAACTTTAAGGACAAAATAATTAAGAAAGAGTAGATGTAGAAGATTTGACAAAAAACTTTGGAAATATTCATATATTATAGAAATAGAATGAAAAAAGAGGACCAATATAATTAATGAATTCTATTGGTAGTAGTAATGTTTTAATGAGTAAATTTGGAAGTAGATAAGAAATATCATATTAAACTCAATCTGATGCATTAAGTATAATAATTAATTATATTCTTAGGGAAAATATGTGATATCAAAGGTTCTGCAGATCCTTTTGGTGATTTTGCTATTTAATAAAGTTAAGAATTAAAAGAATAATAAGAATCTAATTCTCAATAGAATAATAATACTTAGAAGTTATTTCAATAATTAGGATCTTAAATTGAATCTAGTATAAATCTCACTGCTGAAGATCATACTAAAGTAATCAATCAATTAGACAGTTTGGGAGTTCCAAAAAGGAGTTCTGTACTTGCTTAATTCCTTGGTGATTTGGGAATAAAAGAAGTTGATGAGATAACTGAAGACTTTTGAATTATTTGAATATATACAACATCATTAATCTTTATTAAATGCCATTCTTTAATCTTTATATAATATTTTAAGAATTCTAAAATATCTACATATACTTATTATAAAATAATAGGAGATTATTAATAATGATAGATATCCTTAGATAATCTTGTTTTACTATATGTTACTTGATTGTTATTATATTTATACTAAATCAAGTATATTATATCAATAAAATCCTTAAAATTTCCCTTTATCATATTAATAATCAATGATGTTTATAATGAATATCAGCAAATTGTCTTAAGTACTCCATAGCTGGTTTTGGAAACCAAATGGATTCAGTTTTCCATCCTTCTAAAAACCCTATATGTCCTCCTGCCTTTGTTACACATATTATATTTTTAGCACTCTCCTACAGTAGATGTTATTGCAAAGCCTTGATATGGCAAACATCATCATCTTCACTACATATACATAATGTTGGAGTCTAAAATAAATTATATTTTTACATTTATTAATGGGTATCTATTTGCTAATGAAAAATGCTAATAATAATCTTTTACACTCTTATATCCATACATCTAAATTACAAAATTTGCATCAAAATCACTTATCCAAACAGCTGATAATGCTCTATCAACAACTTTCTAACATTCTATAGGATATCTTAAGTAACATTCTTATTTTGGGTTGCATTCCTTCAATTTTCCTTATAAAATCTTAGTTAAAGCAATATCCATTGAATAAGACAAATATTTCTAATTAATCAACATTTGATGTGGAGCACACACTAAGACAGCTGCATCAACTAATCTAATATTGTGAAATCTCCCTAAATAATTACCTAATTATGCTCCTCCATAAGAACAACCTATTGCTAATATTTTATTAAAATGATATTTCTATTTCAAATAACTTAAACAATGATGTAAATCAGCAGGCAAATCAACTCTTATTCTCTAATTCTAAATAATATCATTTTCAAAATGTTCATAATCTCGATAAGGATCATCATAATTTTATGGGTTCATATTTAATCCATAATTATAGAATTTTGGTTTAAAAGTAAAATCTCCATCCTTCTAAAGAACTCTATAATTGTAAACACATATATTATGAAAATGTTATTTATGAGCTTCACTTACTATAGTATTTATATAGCCATCCTCAACATTTCCTGTTAAACCAGGCATTATAAATAATAGTGGTTTATTTTTGTCAATTCCATGTCCTCTATCTATCCAATCAATTGACATTCCAGTATTTTCAATATACTCCTTATTTGATGAATGTTTTTCTTTTGGATGCTTAAATGTAGATAAAACTGTATGAAGAAAACCATTCAAATAAGGAGTTGGAAAATATGAAAACAATGATGGACATCTCTATATAATTTATCTTATTTCTTCATTTTCTTTGTAAATCAATTTTACAGCTGGCCTTTTGTATTGGTACACTTGATATAGCATAAACAATATCAATAAAATTATGAAAATATAGAAAAACATACTTGCTGATGATAATTCTATATTTCCTAAATTTCTTAATTTATTAATTTATAATAATATTACAAACTCTTGTCATGTTAAGAATTTCTAAGACTTTATTTTTAAATCTTGCTAATATCAATCGATTTGCTTATCATACAATTAATGATCAAATAAAACTTACAGATTATTGTATTTAGGTATATATATAAATAATGAAGGAAATTTAAAGAAAATAAACAAGCAAATACACAAACAAATTCTTAAGATTAGGAGTTGATGGAGCATGTAATATCTTATCATTTATAATATAGAAGGATGTTCAGGATTTAAATACTCTTTTAATTTTGATGATTAAATTTTAGAAGATGATTATGTTCTAAAACAATAAAATGAAATCATATTTGTTGTAGATGAAATTACACTCAAATTTGTTAATGGATGTGTTATAGACTATGAAAATAAGATGATTAGAGCAGCATTTTATGTAATTCTAACATTTTATTATTTAGGTCTAAGAAAATCCAAATGCAGAAAAATCATGTAGTTGTAAAGCATCATTTGCTCCAAAACCTGAGTTATTATGATTGTTAAATAATTAATTAATATTATAATCTTGAATATTACAAATTTAACCAAATATTTTAACTCTTTAGAATTATTTACTTCATAAAAAAAGCTTATTAAAGATGAACTATTCCAATTTAACATTTATTTAAATTTATGAACTAAAATCATATTGCAATTCATAACTAACATGATATTGATAAAATACCTAATCGTAATAGAGTTAGATCTGTTTTCTCTGATGTATCTAATCTAAAATTCTCTTGTATCAATTTTTAAGGAAAACAAAATTATCAAAATATAAAAGAATAATAAAAATCCTAAAAAACTAAAAGAAGAAATGCAATAATTCCCTGTTTGACTAAATTTCCTGATATATATATTAGTTATCCAGAAATCAAGACAAATACTTATAAAATACTTAAATATTCTATACTAGAGAAACCTATACTATCTTATCATGAAGCCTATTATTTAGAAATACGATAATTTGAAAGAGAAATTGAATAAAAAGTAAATATGTTTTTATTACCTTAAGAAATATGATAGTAATTTTGATATAAATTAACATTGTTTTACAGAATAATAATTTGAAAAAGCTCTAGATTGGATGATTTATTAAATTTTTAGATTTGAAAGTTTTAGTTATGAATCATTATTTAAAACAATAGAACTAATATATTTATATTTAAGTAAGACATAGTAGGTGAAATTTAAGGATTTAGAATTAATTTCTGGTTGTTGTATTTACTTATCATCAAAATTAGTTGATTTAAATCCAATTTATATTGATGATTTAATTAATGAAGTAAACTTGTAGTTAATTTTAGGTTTTGGAATGTAGATTTGATTATTAATAAGTATTGAAATAAGAGTAGTTAATATGTTAAACACTTAATTATAATTTGCTTTGCACTTGTTCTTTATAAATAGTTTATCGAATTTTGTAAGAGATTAGATAAGATTTGGAGTAATTTTATGATCCTGGGAAAATTGAGAATTTAAAGAGATAAATATTGGATAATTTATTATTGATGGAATTTGGAAATAAATTTAGATATATTTCATAATGTAATAGGGCTGTTAGTTGTATATTATTGACAATGATGGAAAATAAAATTGATAGACGAGTTGTAAATATTTGATTATTATTAAACGTGTTAAGCGGTTTTGGAGAGTGTAGATCATTTAGAAATGAACATAAATTGGATTGAGAAGAATGCAATAGAATTAAAACAGTATATTTAATAAAATAAAGATAAATATGGAAATAGGAACTATTTAATATATTGAATTTTTATGCGCCAATTAATAAATATTATAATTTAAATTATGTCAGATCAATGCACCAAGGGCACTAATTGGGGTGTGGTTTCCATTGATGATAAAAATTTATGTATCAAATATAATCAGAGCAACATAATCAAATTACCACTAAAGAAAGTTGTCAATTCGAACACTTAGAAGAATGATATCGTACTTTAGTTGAGTACAGATGATTATGGTGAAAAGTATGTATATAATTTTAACCTAAAAGTGATGATATGCTATGTGAAGTCAGATTTTACATTCCTCCTCAAGAGTAGGTAATATAGTTGAAATAAATTAGAAATTGAAACAAGAAAAAGAAAAGAAGAAATAAGAAAATGAGGAAAATTAAAATAGCATGGAAGAAGAGGATGATGGAGCAGATGAAGATGCTGAACCAACATTCTAATAGAAATTATAAAATGAAATATTAACTAAAGCAAAAATTGGTTAAAGTAGTGCTGATTCTATTCTAACTATTCATGATGTTCCCTTAATTGTTCCAAGGTATTTACTTTATTTACTATATTTATTAGAGGTAAATATACAATGGATTTCTTTACAAAAGATATCAGATTTCATGGAAATACCTATCAATTTACAACTGATTATAAGGGAATTTCACGATTCTTTTTGTTACCTATGCCTGATGAAATTAATCTTTCTTTTGTGATTGGTTTGGAGCACCCTTTCAAATAAGGTCAGACAACATACAATTTTTTGGTCATGTAATTCAAAAAAGAAGTTGAAAATGAAATTAAACTAAAATACAGTCGACAAAAATTAGATGAAATTGGTTGGAAGGGAATTAAAGAAGAATATTCAGGACCACTCTATGATATTGTATGTGAAGTCTTGTCTGAAATTACAGGAATCAAAGTTGTATCTCCCAAGAATTTCAAGAGTAAGAATGGACTATTTTGCTTGAGATGTTCTGTTGGTCCTCATTCAGGATTTCTATTTCCATTAGAAAAATCATTAATATATTTATAAAAGCCAGTATTACATATAAAACATGAAGAAATAAAAGAGGTCGTTTTCTAAAGAGTAAATACTATTTTATATGTTAGATTGGGTCAACTAATTTAAATAAATTTTTCGATGTTAAAATTATATACAAAAACTAAAATCAATTATTTTCAGGAATAGAAAGGGATGAACTTGACAATCTGACTTAATATTTCTAACAAAAGAAAATTGCTGTAAGAAAACTTCAAGATGAAGTTCCTCATCTCCCATTAGATGATAGTGATGATGATGAAGATGATGATGATAGTAGATCAAAGAAGAAGAATGTATATATTTCTTAGATAAATATTTTAGAAGACCAACATAGATCCAAATAATATGGATTCTGATGATGACGATGATGATTTTCATGCTGGAGAAGATGAAGAAGATGGTAGTGAAAGCGAAGGAAGTGATGAACCAGAAAGTGCTTCCAAAAATTAAAAATGATTATTCATTCATCAGATCATATTCTTTATATTCAATTACACTTTCAAGTTTATTAAAACATATTTCAAAAGTTTGTATACTATTGTTCCTTTCTTCTCTTCCTGTAATCGTATTGGCTATTATTTTATGTATAATAAGAATTGCAATTCTCTTCCTCAAATGAACTTTGGTTCATTTACATTTATGGTTGTTATTAAAAATATTGAGGTTGAGGCTCTTCTAAAAAAGTAGTCTTCATCTTAAAGGCAGCAGGCTCAGAAGTTAATAAAGGATGCTTTGATATTTAATATCGCACACTGTTCTTCTCTAATATTTGTAATACTTCATCACTTTTTTTTCTTACCCATTCCATTAGTCCATCAATTGATGGAAATGATATTATTTGTGCTAAGATATCAAATTGTCCTTAAAAATATGCCTATCTTTCGAGATTGGCAGCTGTCTTATGGAAATTTGATAATGAACTTGTTGTTTTCTAGAATTACTATTTTAGTCGATCAAGAGAATTCATAACTTTAATTAATTCAATTGCAATATTATTGTATTATTTATATGATAATTCTTCAACTGACAGATCTTTGTCTCCATGAATTTACCATTCCTTATATAAAAACCCCCCCTATTGCAAAAAATTCAGCCACTTAATAATTGAAGTTCTCACCATCTTTAAATCCATATGAGAACGAGTCAAGTATAAACATTCCTGCAAATAAACATACATATCCTGTTAATATTAATAAAGCTTAAACATAGGTGAGTGCTGCCTATTTTAAAAATGGCTGAACCATTCCAATCAAAAATCCTACCAACATCAAGCAAAAGGCGGCAATAGAGAGACTCAAATAGCTTGAATATTTATCAGGGTCAGATGTAGGTATGTTTGTAATTAATGAAGCTGCTTTAGTATGATTATCATCATTCTCTTTCAAATATGAATAATATGCAAGATTGCAAACTATGACTAGTGACATGAATGTGTTACTCATTACTAATCTCATCTTGATATCCCTAGATATTAAATATAAATATCATACAATCCCATTCTTATCTTTTATTTTTATTAAAAATATTACTAACATCAAAATTATGCTCAACCCTTAAGTATTGACTGTATTCTTAATAGAAAAAACTCATGGATTCAAAATATCTGTCCCTCCATTAGCCCATTTAGAATATATAGATTATTTATAATTGGCAAACCTTTTAGCCAAAGAAGTTAAATTTTATAGAATATAATAATATCCATAAAATTTAAAAAAGGATCTGAATAATAATATTTAATACTACTATATTATAATATAAATTATAGATATAGATTTATAAATGTATCTTATATGTGAAATGATGTAAATTATCAATTCAATCTATCAAATCATTCTATCTAGGTTAATATTAGATTCCATTCTAACAATTTTATGTCAAAATTTGTGAATGATCTTCTTTCCAATTGCTTATTGATGTTGAAATCTATCCTAAGCTTTCTGTATCATCATTATTTTAAATTTCACTAAAGAAACCTTTTATTTATTTACTCAACTTATTAATTGTTTTTTCAATGTTTACAGAAATTTAATTATTAAATTCAACATAATCGTTGAAAATTTATTATGATGAAATATGCCTCTCTTATAGATTACTAAGTTTTGGGCGTGGGTTTATTAATTAAAATTAGAACCCATCTTTTGAGGTGATAGTTTCAATTGATGAAAATAATTATTTCACATCTTCCATTGCTTAATCTGATGTAGATATCTTATCGAGAATTTTTCCAATTTTTTCATAAGTTTAACATGTCTCTAAATTCTAAAAATTGGAGATGGACCTAAATATCTAAAAAAAATTACTCTTTGATTTAATTCAGAAGATTATCAAAATTCCCATTAATAATTTACTTGATTTATATTACCTCCTTTTCGAAACTCTCAAAGATTTTGGATAAACTAAATAATATTAAATAAACTATGAACCAATATTTATTATTCATTTCTTCATCATCTCTCTTTTTTTTTTGGTACTGTTATCTGTACTCTATTAAAAACTTTTTTAACGCTGTAACTCTGTGTCCTTCATGAAGTTCTAAACATAGACAACATAGAAGTCTTTCTTATTTACAAGTTTGGTCAATGCAAATTGTATTTAACCATTCGTCTGTATGACACTCTTTTTGACAATAATTATATGCTATTTAAACTTTTTGCATACTAATAAATAAATATTAAGTGAAACATCATAATTAATAATTCATTAGTACAACTGTTTTCACAATTTTATTTTTTCAAACTAAACTTTTTTTTTTTATGGACTAAAAATGTAAATATTTTTGACTTTCTCCACTAATTTTTGATTTCGATTAGTTATTGATCTTTATGTTGCAGTCTCTCTTATATCTGGAAGATTAGACAATGATTTAATATGATTTATATTTCTTGTAGTAAATGCAGTTTTTAATTTGATTGGAGATGAACTATCAGTTTCTGTGAGACTTTAAAGTTAATGATATTACAATTAAACCTAGTCCATCATTTTTGATATTTAATTCGCCTGAATACTTTATTAACGTTCATTAACATAATTTTGAATCGAGGTAAATGTCTTTCTTTATTTTTTGCTCAAATTCAAGACAACCTTTGGTTAATCTGAATTTTATTCTGTTTATTGTTTCTTTAAAGTTCGTTTTGCAACCGGAGAATTATTAAGAGATTAAGAATATCTTTTCAATTCTTCTTGAAATTAAATATATTTCTCTGAATTCTACATGTTACACAATAGTTCTTGAGACTCTCTCATTTAACCAAGTTGTAACTCAAATTACCGAATAATAATGGTTGGAGATTTCTCTTCCAGTTTTATAGGAGATTCATCCAACTTTTGTAATTATGATGCTCCTAAACTACTTTAGGTTTTGATATTGTTTGAATGTTTAATTAAAATACTTGACATTCTTTTGAAGATAGATTTCTTTCTCATTTCATTCTTTCTTAAGGCTTTTTATTAAAGATGTTAAGCAACAAATGTAGTTGGATACAGTGTTGAGAGTCTGACCTATAATTCATATTTAAAATATTTACTAATTTATCACTAGCTCTCTCGTATTCACTTCTTCTTCTGATTCGGATAATGTCTTAAATGACATTTGCAGCCTCTATTTAACTTTTACTTTTATGCAGTCTGTTGCATTATTGCTTCATCCTTAAAACTCTGTGATAGGGTGTTCTTGTATTTAAATAGGACTTTCTTTAAGGCGACAAGAGATTATCCTCTTATACCAGACCTTCTTTATTGCAAATCTAAATAAATTTCAAATTTTCTATCGAACATAGTGTGTCAAACTTCTGAAAATTATGTGACTACTTTACTATAAGTATTGAAAATTTATTTACTTTTTGTTTGATGATTAGAATGAGAAGATTCGACATCCATTCTTCTATCAATGATCTAATAATTGTCGGATAGCTGATTTGGCACAAATCTTCTATTTGATTTTTATGATAACATTATTATATTTATAAATTTAGATCTTTTATTAAGTATCCAATAATTAAATATTACTTAATAGTTGTTCTACTCTGAAAATTACAATCTTCCCATTTTTAAATAACTCCATTCATATTTTTTTGAATTTATTCATCACTAAAATTGTTTCTCTCACTTCACTATTTATAAAATTAATGAAAAAATCACTTACTTTTGATACTGATTCTAAATATAACTTTTCTTAGAAAATACATCTATTAAGACATTAAAGAAACAAAGATAAAATAAAAGAAGCTATCTTAAAATTAGAAAATCCTTTTGATCCATCATAAATTTCATAAGCATTAAAATGTCTTGAAAATTAATTTCAAAGAAGAGCTTTATTGGATTAAATTATATTAATTAGAAAAGAAAAACTGAAGATGTAGGAATTGGAGAAAATCAATCAAATGAAAGACATACTAACGAAAGTTTCAAGAAAACTATCCTTAATAAAAAATTAACAAACTAAATACACTAGAGATCAAGATGATTTCAAAATTTTATAAGAAGAAAGAAACAAATTTGATAAATTTCAGTATGAAAATCTTAACTTTCAAATTAATGAGGACAAACATTAATTAAGAAGGCTTTCTAGTTTAAGTTTTTTAACTAAAGAGACAGACAAGTGGAAAGTTAATCCATAATAATAAATAGTTTAACAAAATTTATTTGTTCGTAGAAAAACTTAAAGAAATGCATCTTTAATTGTTAATGCAGTCTAAAAGAAATAAATGTATTAATTTATATATTATTAATATTAGTTATCTTTAATCAGAACAGAATACCACAAATTCACTTATTATATAAAATAACTCATTATAATTTCAGGATTGACCTAATTGAAAAAAATATTTTTGATAGAGACATCTTTTAAAATATTACTTGGCTTTAAATACCAAGAATTTTCAAAAATAATTAATAGTAATTTTATTTCATGGTTTAATTTTCCACCTCTATCAATAATCGTTAGCTTCTTTTTTTTCACAGGATTATTAAAATGAAATTGCATAAAACATATAAATATGTAGTATTTATTTTCATATTGATTTATGAAGTATGAAATTAGTTCTTAAAACTATAAACATATAGAATCGTTTATTTTTTTAGGTATATTTTTAATGAGTGTGCTTATATGCAAAAGTTAATATTTTAATCTGTTAATTTTTCAAATTATTAATAATCATAATTAGGTTCCGACTATTATTAAAAAAAACAATATATTATAATATACAACTTTGATTATTTTGTTAAATTAAATCATAAATATTGTAATTAAGATATGTTTCTCATAATATTCAGTGGTTGGAAAACTCAAATAATCTGAGAGTAATAGAAATAACCTAAAAAAATATATACCAAATTATAATTAAACTCACATAAAGGCCAGACTATTTTAAAATATATCAAATCAAATTAATTATAAGAAATCATTCTAACCCTTTCTTTATCAGTAATAATACTGGGTAGGATAAAGAAAAACATAATCATACCATAATATTGAAAATATCAAAAGAATAGGAAGTTTATAATTGATGAATTAATCTTCTAAAAATAATATTTATTTGCTGAATTTTATTGAATTTATGCAATTATTTAGATTTGAAACATATAAATGGTCAATAAATATAAGATTAGGATATAACAAATTGTGCCATTGATCTTATAATTGTAAAATGATTTTAGATAACATTTTGGATAAATATAATAAAGAAAATAGATGAGTAAGAAAAAAATATTGTAATTTTTATTGGGCTGGCTATCAGCATATTGAAGCGAATTTAAATTATTTTAAGAATATGAAAGAATTTAATTTAATGCTTTTTTTTTAGTTTTATAAATTTTTATAAGTTTTATGTAAAAACAACTTAACTTCAAATGTACAACCATAACAATTTATTAAAACATAGTATTTAATAAATGTCAATAGCATTTTGACTTGAGTTCAAAAATTCTTTTCTTTGCTTATAATTTAGCTATATTTTATCTTTTTTTATAAACATCTTTCCAATTCGAAAATGTAATTTTTGGGTATCGAAAACATATTTTCCACCACCTTCTGCCTATATGTTAAATGTTAATGCTTCGACTTAAAAATCTAAAAATATTATATTTATTTGATATGACTACTTTGTCAATGTTATTGATTTGAAACTGTGCAACTCCATTTACATCTCCTGTGAAGATATATCCTTGAACTCCTGCTCTGATTTTAATTATGTAAATAATATTTAGTTCTCCAAAAGCTCTTACACTTAAAGTAGCATAAATATTTTCAGAAATACCTATTTCGCCACTAGTTTAAATAGAAGATTCAGTAAAACCATAAGAATAACTGTAATCTGCTCCAACTTTGAGAGGATATCCCATAATTAAAATATAAACACTAAATATTTTTGAAGATTAACTATTCTATTTTTTCACAGTTTTTAATGATTACCCTTGATATGAAAAATATCTCTTTAATAAATCCGCTCAACAATTTCCATTGAGTGAAACGCAAGATTTTAAATATCCTGAAACTTTTACTCTTTTAATGTACCTTAAAATTCTGCTGATAACCCAATTCTTTATTTCAAAACAGTAACTTCTTTGAGAGTTCTTTTCTAATTAAATTTGCCAGACAAGCATACTCCTAATTAACTTTCAAATTAGGTTTCAGAAATTGACTATACATCTCCATTTTCATTTTATAATAATCTATTCCCTTCCTATTAATCTTAATTTTAATCTTTTTATTAATCTTAATTTTAGTTGATATCTTAATATTCATTTTATTAATTTTATATTTTATCTTACAAATCTTATACTGAATAGAAATTGATATACTATTTACTTTAAATTTCAGAAAGAGCATTGGTCACATCTTCATCTGATTTAGTTTCTACAGTTACTAAATCGGAATCATTTGNTATTTAAATAATATATTATAAAATATATCAAAGATTTAAATCAATAGCGAGTTATTTTTAAAAAGCAAATAGATTAAAAGGCATCTACCACAAAATAAAATTGATTATATTATAATTAAATTGTACAACCATAACAATTTATTAAAACATAGTATTTAATAAATGTCAATAGCATTTTGACTTGAGTTCAAAAATTCTTTTCTTTGCTTATAATTTAGCTATATTTTATCTTTTTTTATAAACATCTTTCCAATTCGAAAATGTAATTTTTGGGTATCGAAAACATATTTTCCACCACCTTCTGCCTATATGTTAAATGTTAATGCTTCGACTTAAAAATCTAAAAATATTATATTTATTTGATATGACTACTTTGTCAATGTTATTGATTTGAAACTGTGCAACTCCATTTACATCTCCTGTGAAGATATATCCTTGAACTCCTGCTCTGATTTTAATTATGTAAATAATATTTAGTTCTCCAAAAGCTCTTACACTTAAAGTAGCATAAATATTTTCAGAAATACCTATTTCGCCACTAGTTTAAATAGAAGATTCAGTAAAACCATAAGAATAACTGTAATCTGCTCCAACTTTGAGAGGATATCCCATAATTAAAATATAAACACTAAATATTTTTGAAGATTAACTATTCTATTTTTTCACAGTTTTTAATGATTACCCTTGATATGAAAAATATCTCTTTAATAAATCCGCTCAACAATTTCCATTGAGTGAAACGCAAGATTTTAAATATCCTGAAACTTTTACTCTTTTAATGTACCTTAAAATTCTGCTGATAACCCAATTCTTTATTTCAAAACAGTAACTTCTTTGAGAGTTCTTTTCTAATTAAATTTGCCAGACAAGCATACTCCTAATTAACTTTCAAATTAGGTTTCAGAAATTGACTATACATCTCCATTTTCATTTTATAATAATCTATTCCCTTCCTATTAATCTTAATTTTAATCTTTTTATTAATCTTAATTTTAGTTGATATCTTAATATTCATTTTATTAATTTTATATTTTATCTTACAAATCTTATACTGAATAGAAATTGATATACTATTTACTTTAAATTTCAGAAAGAGCATTGGTCACATCTTCATCTGATTTAGTTTCTACAGTTACTAAATCGGAATCATTTGTGATTTCTGTCTCTGTTTTTTCTATTAAATCATCTGTTTTTTGATTAACATTTTATTGTGGAACAGAATGGCTTAATTTAGAACTGGTTGTTATATGTGAAGAGACTAAATAATTGTTATTGTCTAAATTAGTTTCTTAAGTTTATTCAAATTTTTCAAACAAATTAATTCCATATAGATGTTCTTCTACCAAATCTTGTTCCGATATTTTTTTGTAATAACAGTTCTACCAAACCATAATTTTTATTTGCTTGACTTTGGTATAAATGCTTACTTTCCAACATAATAAAAGTTTGAATAATGTTCATTTAATAATCTTGTCCCATTGCTCTCAGCAGCGTGACTTGAATCTTCCACATTAGGAGCAATACGAATAATATTAGAAACTAAAGGTTACAAGATAAGATCTGACACTCCAGAGGGTAAACCAATTTTATTAAACAGCACCAGTTTATTAATCAGTAATTATTGTAACTAATGGTACCTCATTTACATCTCCACATTCATCTTAAGGTATTCCTTAACAAAGATTGCTATTTACGGTTGACTGAATTTCTTACAATATTCTTAAGAACTTCTTTATTTATTATTCTATCTCTGTATTTTCATTAACCATTTCATTATATTCTCTTGTTCCACCAGGTTTTTATTAAACGGTTGTGACTTTCAATTTTTTCAACATTAACAAGCTTGAAGTATTTTGCTCATTTACATCTTTCACTACTCTTTTTGTTTTATCTAAGTGCAATTTTGTATTTTATTAGATGTATGGTATAAACAAATTTCATCCACTTATTAAAATTCATCTCTCTAGAATTTTTTAAGTCTTGGGGCATAAGTGACATTTTAACTAAAATATGTCCCCAAGAATATTCCAATACCACATAAAACAAAGAATGTAAGAGAGAATGTTATCCATTTGCGTTTAGAGGTGAAGTATTTATTAATAAGATCTTTTGAGTCAAATTGTTTCATTTAAGGATTAGAACTGATCTCCCAATTTATTTATTGTTTTTCTACTTAGTTGTTCTATTATTACATTTATAAATTATTTATAAAATCCTTATCTAGCATCACTCTCTTATATAACAAGAAAAATAGACAGATATAATTTTAATAAAGTATGAATTATTAGTTAAAAATTTATAATGAATAGAAATTAATTGTTAATATAAAAAAATTAATCTATTGAATACTTAAATTATAAATTACATTATTGAATTATATAATTTTGTATTTTTAATTATTATGCTGTTTATCTACAAGTTGAAACCTTATTAATCTACTGGTATCACTTTTTATTTAGCTTCACACTTTTGTAAATTTTAGATTATTATGAATTACATTTTTGTTTATATATAAATCATACAAAAAGTATAAAGTTTCAGTAAATTGAATCTTATTCATCTAATGTAAAATATGATTATTATTTATAGTAAATAGAGTTTTATTATTTTCTCTAGAGTCTTTAATTTTAAGACAGCATCTAAATATGGTTTATTTTCAAATCTACTTATTCCAAATCCAAGGCAGAAACACTTTTTTGTCTGGGATTTACTAATTTAGAATCATATAAATTTACAGTTTAAAACTGAAAATAATCCTTATTCGAAAACAATCAGTTTTTGAGTTGTTCACTTAGAATATCATTAAAAAAATATGTACATTATGTAATAGTATTATTTTTTGTTTATAAATCCTTATTATCTAATTTTTTTTTATAAGTCTATATAATGATAATATTTTTTATAACATATTTTCGAATTACATTATTTACATCGATAAATTATGTAAACAGTTAAATTATCTTAAAGCGTTTGCTTTTTTATGATTAATGATCATATATATTTGAACTTTAGTTTATTATTATTAATTCAAAAAGGGTTCTTTGATTGTTTTTATTTATGAGTAAAATAAATTAATTAAATTTTCGATTATAAATGTGAGTATTTAAATTTTAATAATAACATATTATTTTTGCACTTTTATATTGAATTTCTTTGGTATCAAACTTAATTTAATTTATAGTATAAATCATAAATTGTTAAAAAAACCAACATACATGTAAAAATGCGTTAAATTTGTAAAAAATAGAAAAGTTCAAGCAATTCTTATTTTTTTATCAGTTTTATAGTTTTTTTCTCTTTAATAAATTATTATTGCTTACATGTATGAAACTATATAATAATTCAATTTTTTCTTTAATTTAAGAGTCATAATTTACATACATATATGATGAGGTATCAAAAATTTACTAAATACTCTTTTACTATTCTTGATTTAAAGAAATTTATTAAATTTATATGTTTCTATGATAAAGTTGAATTAATTAAGACTTGTACATAAAAATATTATAATTATTAGATTTGAATAAACTAAATATAAATATTTTATAATAACCTTGAATATTTATTCAATACTTTTTTCAAGAATAATTAAAACTGTAAATCATATTAAATCTATGGATTCCTTTATATCTAATGATAGAAGAATATTTTTTAAAGTATAATATAAAATTAGAACTTTAATTTATATATATATTTAATTTCCTCTATTAAAAGAAATGATGTTTAAAATAAATTTTTCCAAAGAATTTGAATAATATTTGAATACAGAATTCAATATTAGTTAAATTTCAATAATAATAATGAATACTATCTAATTATATATAAATTCAAAAAGAAATATGTAAATATTTATATGTTTCTCATTGAAATTTGAATTTGAAAGCGTACTTTTTAGTAGTCCTATCAACTTTTGAAGGCTTATTTATTAAATTGAATCATTTTAGGAGATTGAATTCATTAAGAAAAATATTAATTTATAAGCGTTTGACGTCACCTCATGTGACATAATTAAAAATAATGAAATAGGTGATTAGTGTATTGTTGATTATTGCCATCGCACATGCAAGATCATATACATTATACAAGTAATGTGATGCCACTTGGGGAAAGGATTAATTAGGCACAAGTTCAAATACAATTTGTTCAGCTGGATGTTTGATTTCATCTGTTGCTATGATGTTACACACATATGGTGTAACAACAGACGGAACAACAACTCCAAGAACAATGAATACTTGGTTGAAGAAGAATGGTGGATATGCTTCTGGAGATTTGTTTGTTTGGGCTTCAATTGATAAACTTGGATTCCATTATTAAGGAAAATTCACAGCTGCATAAGCTAAAAGTATCTATGAATATTAATCAAAAAGCTAAATTTGATGCTGGATAACATATTATCTTATGTGTCAATAATGGTGGACATTATGTTTTGATGACATCATATTCTGGTGACACCTTCAATGTTAATGATCCAGGATATTCAAAGACCAGCTATCCAGCAAGTGGAATTACAAATGCAGCTGCCTATACTTATAGCAAAATCACCTTTTTCAAGAATCATGTCTTAAATTTGGAATGATTCTATTAATATAAAAAGTGATTAAGATATAAATATTTTTATATTATGTAATATTGATCAACCCAGATAGAGCATTATTAATTTCATATAATTCTTAGCTATTTCTCCATTTCCACCACATCTAATACCAACTCTTAAAAATTCAGTGGTTTGATCTAATGATGAAATGATAACCATAATTGGTAGATTTAAAATGTTATTTTGTTCAGGTGGTTTAATCATCAATTATCCACAAGCCCAGATCATTTGTAAATTTTCAAGAGAGGGGAATGGTTATCTAAATAATATTATTATTGATTACGCTTTCAAATTCAATCCAACAGAAAGTAGTCCTCCAGCCTTTTTGAGTACTTCAGACATTGGGATATTAGGTGGAGCAGTATTCCTTATAAAAGAATCTAATTTAAAATAGTTTTAATTGCTTAGATTATTGCTAATGATTATTTAATAAAAATACGTAAAATCGTCAAAGAACTTAGTGAATTTTTCATATGGCATATCAACAGGTTAAACAAATTTATTTGTATATATTGGTAGATGGAATTCATGTTTCTTTTATTATCCATTTTATTCATAGAAAATGGATGCTATAGGCAAAGTCATATTTCCATCATAACTTAATACTTGCATCATGACTTATGGAAATTCTCCTTATTTTACAGGTAAAATGTTGAACAACATCCCATTAGTTTGAGATACAAGAATTGATAAATTTTAAATTGGAGATGTTCCTTCAAATTAGAAAGAGACCTAAATTATATTAAATTTTAATTACCTTTCCCAAATGTCCACTTATTTCAGATTTATATTAAACAACAAGATCCCCTGGTTTATCAACAACCTTTCCAATTTATGTTGTTAATAAAACTTTAATTTCATTTAAATTACTAATTGAAGGAGATTTTAAATTATTATCTTCTGGAGATGGTGGAACCATGATATTAATTCCTTCAAGTGCAATTTAACCTTAAAATTAATTCAAATATGGACATGCTTTCAACCAACTCAAATGCTTTTAAAGTTATTCAGGTTTATTTTATAATCTCTATTCTGCCATAGCTATTTCCTGACTAGCTTAAATTCTGGCCTAATTTAATAATGTTGGATCCTTTTATTCTTTTGGATTTAAGACCATTACATATATTCTCTTAGTTAATGGGTTATTTTATTAGACTTATTCTGAATATGGAGGCATTTTAACAACTATTTAATTTAAGAGTTTATCATCTTCCATTAATAATGAAAAGTATTCAATTCCTCTTTATTAAATATCTGGATCAAAATGCTCTCCAGCTATTTGACATATCATGATAGCTTAATCTCTTAATTCTGGATATTTGCATGCCAATTTTACAAAAGCATTTAATAACATTTATCTGCTTCTTTCAGTACTGAATGTATAATGTTTGTTGAGAATATCAAAAAGTTTTTATGGTTCTTTATTTTATTCAACTAACATTTAAGAATATTCACTTATAATAAATGCTCCAATACATATTAAAGTTTCATGAACATGAGGCATAGATAATTATGTAAACAATTTGGTTGCTGCATATTTTTATAATTCTATATTGCCTTCTTTTTAAAATCCTACTATAATTTGAATGATTCTAAACCAAATATCTTCTGTTACAAAATCTCCAGATGAATTTATCATTCTTACAACAACATCTATATACCAATATAAATTATCTGCAAATTTTTCAGATAGAATAGCTATTTTTAAAATTAAATCATCTTTAATTTATAAATCTGCTCCATTTTCAGCATAACTTAATAATTCTTCTACTATTCTTTAACTAGTATTAGGACTACTTATTAAATATAATAAATCTAAAGCTCTTTTTCTAATAGATATATCATTATCTCTTAATGATTTAAAAATAGTATTTAAATGATCTTCAAGTGAATCTCCTGCAAGTTTAACAAATTTACACATTGTTTCTAATCCTAGATATCTTAGATTAGGCTCTTTAACTGATATGAAGATTCCAAGCAATTTTAATATATCATTTTTCAATTCCATTCCTACTGCACCATTATATGTTATAACAAGATTTGCAGCTTCGAATAAAATGCCATGATCAACATTATTTTTGTTAATACTTTTAGTGACTTCTGTTTTTTTGATAATTTTAGTTAAACATTCAGTCAATTAACGATGAGAATCGGTTGATGGAGGAGGTGGGGAGAAAAATGATAGAGCTTTCAAAATCTTGACCTATAACCATGGTGCAGGAGTAGCATAATAATTATAATCTCCAGGACTGTCTTTTTAAATTGCAATTTTATGAAGTAATTTAATTAATTTAGGTGTGCAATCTTCAAATATTGATGGATTTTCTAACTAACATGTTCCTACCAATAATGAAGTAGCTGCAGTCATAAATCCTAATGAAGGATGTCTAATAAGAATATATTTAATAAATATACCTGGATTCAAACATTTAAGAAATTCCTTAAGCCCATTAGGATGGTTGGAATTTGTCTTGATATTTTCTATACATTCTAAGTAAGCAAGCACATGCCTTCTTTCTAACATGGAATGTTGATCTAGATTCTGTCAATGCTAACTTTTAGACATCTTAATGCAATGCATTGACCAATTCCTATGGTGCTTGTGTTCCAACCATAGTGAGGGCCAATGACTGATTTATTTCATTTACAGATTATAGATCATTTCTAATAGAAGATGCTACTTATGTAAATAAGTCATGTGTTTTTTCACTCACCAGAATTGAAGTTGCTACGTATCCTGTATATTTTTCACTAAATTTTGAAGAATTAATTAAGAAGGCGCATTCCTATTATCCAAAGTCAACTTCATAACCTAATAAAATAATTATAATTATTTTTATTACCTAGAATATAGATGTACAACAATTTCCAAACGTATTTCTTTTTCTAATAACCAGCCAATCCCTTTTGAGATGTAAATTTGCCTCTAATCTTTTATAACTCCTTCTCCACTCTTTTCTCTTCTTATTCCTTATTTGAACAATGACGGATGTCAGTGATAAATGTATTCAACCCTCTCATATTCGTACTCATGTCTTTATTAATTTATTTACTAAATTTCTTTATATATACTTTTCAAATTTTAAATCTGCAATTGACATTATCAATTATAAAGATACTATTATTATACTCATTCTCCTTTATATTAAGGCTTCCTCTTCTCTCCAAATGCCTTTAATCCTTCTAATCTATCCTAACTATGGCAAACTTAATAATATAATTATTCTTCAATTTTTAATCCACTCTCAATATCTACTTCCATTCCTCTATTTATTGCTGCCTTTGCTGCTCTCACTCCTATTGGACCCTTCATTATTACTCATAATACATTCTATAATATCTAAGTAGCAATATTCTCAGCTCTATTATTTGCTTACTGTCCATCTTCCTCTACATAATTTACTAATCCTATTTTTAGCGATTCATCTGCACTTAATCTCCTTCCTGTGAAAATCAATTCCTTAGCTAAAGCCACTCCAATCACTCTTGGTGTTCTTTAAGTTCCACCCTTTTTTTATTATATTATTAATTACTGCTCCTGGTATAATAGCTAATCCTGTTTCAGGTAATCCCAATATTGATGACTTAGTTATTATTCTTAAATCACAAGCCAAAGCTAATTCTAAACCTCCACCAAGTGCAAATCCATCTATCACTCCAATTACTGGTTGTGGTAAATTTGCAATTTAATTAAAAGTATCTCTCAAATTCTTTACAACCAACTCTGTCTCAAAATTACTCAATCCTATTCTCTCCTTTAAATCAGCACCAGCACAAAATGTACCTGATGTTGATGATCTAAGTATGACGCAATTGATATTTTTTGATGCTGCAAGTTCACTTATGGACTGTCTCATTTCTACTAACAATTGTTTTGATAAAGCATTCTTTTTTAATGGATTATTTAATTCAGCAATTGCTAATCCCTTTATTTTCTCATGGTTTTTAACTGAAAATAATCCTGATGAAAATTTATAGATTAATTTTTACATTTATTTATGATATAATAATATTTCTTTCAAAGATAACTTATATTAGTTTTAATTCATATAGAATTAATAAAAGGAATATTGTTTAATTAATAATAATATTTTAGGATTATTGTTTCTTTATGAAAAATTCTAAGTCTTCATTGTTTAATATATTAGCTTGAAAATATAATATTTATAATTTATGAATAATTATTCCAGAGATCCACCAAGCAAAATTTTGCTTCTTGTTATAACCTAACTATCTCCAACCTTTCCTCTTTGTAATGATCTTCTATTTTAACAATTCACTAAATATGGTGATATTAAGAAAATTCTTATTTTCGAAAGAGGTAAGGCAAACAAAGCTTTTGTTGAATATTATGATGTGAAACATGCAATAGAAGCAAGAAAGGAAAAACTTGGAAAATATTTAGCTGAAGGTGAAGGAAAGTAGATATATTTTAATAAATATAGGCTTACCATCCATTTTTCTCGCCTTAAAAATCTAGATTTAGAAGTTGTAGATAAATCACGAGGAACAAATTACACTTAAGCAAGTAGCACAAATTCAGAATCCATGAAGCATTCTAACACTGATGATCCCAACGTACTTAGACAATAGATTGAATTATTCACTCGCACTTTCACACAAACTTCTTAACGAAATCTCAATTCTACCAGAAATGATGAAATTAATAATTTATTGAATTCAGATTCTGATGATGATATTGATATCTTGAAATAATAAAAATAACAAGGACCATAAATTAATTAGGATGTTAAAAATATGATTACTCAAAAACCATCTTAAATTATTTAAGTTACATCAATTGATGATAGAGTTACTGCTAAAATGCTTTATAATATTTTTAACAAATTTGGAAATGTGGAAGAACTTCTATTAGAAAAATAAATGTAAAGAGCCTTTGTCAGATATTAAACTATAGAATTTGCTCAAATTGGCAAAGAATATTTAAATAATATTTAATTTTTTGATCAATAAGTAATCAAAATATATATTAAACTTTAAGTGGCGAATTTCTTATCGTCCTTTATAACAATTAGAGCCATCTACTATTTCAGATGAATATATGATATATTATAATCCAAATGGACCAAAAGTGATTGTTCCATTATCTAAAACTATTATTCTTAGTGGTGTTACTGAAGCTATGGAAATATCAGAGATGATGAGACTTGTTGCTAAAGTCACTGGTAATATANTAATAATATTTTAGGATTATTGTTTCTTTATGAAAAATTCTAAGTCTTCATTGTTTAATATATTAGCTTGAAAATATAATATTTATAATTTATGAATAATTATTCCAGAGATCCACCAAGCAAAATTTTGCTTCTTGTTATAACCTAACTATCTCCAACCTTTCCTCTTTGTAATGATCTTCTATTTTAACAATTCACTAAATATGGTGATATTAAGAAAATTCTTATTTTCGAAAGAGGTAAGGCAAACAAAGCTTTTGTTGAATATTATGATGTGAAACATGCAATAGAAGCAAGAAAGGAAAAACTTGGAAAATATTTAGCTGAAGGTGAAGGAAAGTAGATATATTTTAATAAATATAGGCTTACCATCCATTTTTCTCGCCTTAAAAATCTAGATTTAGAAGTTGTAGATAAATCACGAGGAACAAATTACACTTAAGCAAGTAGCACAAATTCAGAATCCATGAAGCATTCTAACACTGATGATCCCAACGTACTTAGACAATAGATTGAATTATTCACTCGCACTTTCACACAAACTTCTTAACGAAATCTCAATTCTACCAGAAATGATGAAATTAATAATTTATTGAATTCAGATTCTGATGATGATATTGATATCTTGAAATAATAAAAATAACAAGGACCATAAATTAATTAGGATGTTAAAAATATGATTACTCAAAAACCATCTTAAATTATTTAAGTTACATCAATTGATGATAGAGTTACTGCTAAAATGCTTTATAATATTTTTAACAAATTTGGAAATGTGGAAGAACTTCTATTAGAAAAATAAATGTAAAGAGCCTTTGTCAGATATTAAACTATAGAATTTGCTCAAATTGGCAAAGAATATTTAAATAATATTTAATTTTTTGATCAATAAGTAATCAAAATATATATTAAACTTTAAGTGGCGAATTTCTTATCGTCCTTTATAACAATTAGAGCCATCTACTATTTCAGATGAATATATGATATATTATAATCCAAATGGACCAAAAGTGATTGTTCCATTATCTAAAACTATTATTCTTAGTGGTGTTACTGAAGCTATGGAAATATCAGAGATGATGAGACTTGTTGCTAAAGTCACTGGTAATATATCTCTAATAATACTAGAAATCAAAATTATATCTGCTGATAGTTTAGAAATAACTATGATTAATATTTCAGAAACTCTAAAAATCATAGCAGTATTCTCTGACTATGAATACAAAAATTAAAAATTGATTATTTCTATAAAATGAATTAATTATCTACTATCATATATCTCTATTGATTGTAGTACTAAATCAATATTTTTTATGAGTATTTTCCAACTTAAGTGTTATTTTTATATTTTTGCAACCCTTTAGAAATGGTAAAAATAAAGAAATTTTCAATTTCTAAACTAATGAAAAAATAGAATTTATTTTCTTAGTTCTAATATGGAAGATCCAAAATTTAAAATATAAAAATAAATATCAAATATTAGTTAGATTTGATTTGTTAAGTTACTCTTTTCTTTATTATAAGTTTACAATTTTGTTTAAAAGGTACTATTATTTTAAGTCTTCTAATTACTAAATTTCATTTGCTCTTTTAAGGATTGAGATATTTAATTTATTTTTTTAAGGAGATGTATCAATTTAATTTAATATATTTGATAACTCTACTGATTTAGGAGATTATTCATATAAATAATTATGCTATTGTGATGTTATTCTAGATGATTCTTGATAATCATATCTTTATTATTATTATCTTTCAGTTTATATTGAATTATAATTTTTATTATAATTAGTATTAGAATCAGACATAGATCTTATATTCTAAGAAAGACTAACATTATACTATGGGAAATTATAACTTTAATTTTTTGATTATTTGTTTTCTAATTTATTTTAATTAAGATATTATTAATCGTTTTAGGGTCCAATTAGATTTAATATTAGATCATTATCAGGAACAATATCATTTAAAGTTTCCCATGTAATAACAGAGGATTTTCTTGGTTAATTTGATTCTATTTAGGTATTTAGACTATAAGCTTATTTAATTGAAGGTTTATAGTATCCAATGTGTTAAATTACCTTTCTCTTTTAAAGATGTTATATTAATTAAATTTTTTAAGGATATTTTTCAAATAATTCAGTTCCTCTTTTAAATTTAAGTTCAAATTGCAACTTTTATTTTATTTTTTTTTCTTTTTCATTATTTTTATAAGTTTCTTATTTTAATTTCCGTTGTCTTAAGATTTCTTTAATGAGAGTATCATCTTTAATATCAGGATGGAATAATTTAAATTAATATTGAAGTTGATCTTTATTAAATCTCTGTCTATCATCTTTCATCTAAAATGGTTTACCAAGTAATTACATTTTCTGTTAATTTTTTAACCAAATATCTAAACCAAGTTCTTAATAAAATTCACATAAATCAATTCCTCTATAGAATGCTAATAAACTAAATAGTTATTAGAATTATTATAAATTGATGTTTTAACCATGAGTTGCACATTTCTTAAATAGATCTTGAAGTTCTTATTTATTAAGGAATTTAATGTTAAAATCTCTACAAAAATGAAAAAATTTAGCTAAATTTAATTAATTACTCTCTTGGTATTATCTATCGAATGTTGCATTTACACCTATAGCATATGATTATTTAGAGTAGAAGTGAAAAATTTATTGAATTATAGTGTTATTAGTAGAATATGAATAGCTATTTCTTCTAGTATTCTATTCTTAAGTAGCAGTTGGAACATTTCTAAATAATGAACTCACTTCAGATTATTTATTTTTGTTTTTCATTTAAAATATATATTGATTAAAGTGAAATGATAGTATTTAATGAAAATATTGAAGGAATGATGTAAATAATGAATATATTAGATATTAAAATTAAGAGAAGGATTTGATTTAGATAAGAATAAAAATAATTTATTAATAAATATGAGACAAAAATCACAAACTGTTCATGAAGGAGGATTGAAAAAATTATAGACAGTAGATTATGAAAAATGCATATATAATTGTTTATTGATAAAATAAAAATTTATTGGCAGAGGTCCAAGGTACATTTATTTGTTTAAGAATTAAATTTGTATAGGCAAGGTATATACTTATTTTATGATTTTGAGTCTCCTTTTGTTTAGATTCCTGAACGATAATTCTAAATCAATTAAGATATGAGAATATAATGGTCTTACAAGAAAAACCAATTAAAATCAGTAATATTTTAAGTAGGTGGAGAGTAATTTGAATATTTTGGTACCAATGAATAACTTAGAGAACTAAAATAAAAATGTGCTCTTTATGTATTTTAGGTCAAAATATAAGATGAATATCAGGCTGAGTCAATTTTAGGGAAAGGATCATATGCAACAGTTCTAGAATTATCAAATTTATAAACATAAAAATAGTATGCTGCAAAATGCATAGATTAACAACGTATCAATGAGAAAAAAAATGGATATAAATAATTACTTTAAGAAATAGAGACTATGCGTATACTATCAGAAATAAAACATTAAAATATTCTATAATTACATGAACTTTATATAGGAAATTAAAATTACTATTTGGTAATGGAGTTGGCCAAAGGAGGATCGTTACTGTCATTGATGAAAAAGCGTTAAACACTATTTAGTAGAGCTGATATAAGAACAATAATGAAATAATTACTAGAAGGTTTAACATTTATTCACAGTCATAATATTATGCATAGAGATCTTAAACCAGAGAATATATTGTTTATGAATAAAGATTTAGAATCATTGGTCATAGCTGATTTTGGATTAGCATAATCAGTAGATTCTCATCCTTATACATATCCAAAATGTGGTACTCCAGGATTTGTAGCTCCAGAAATTTTAGAATAAGATTCAGATTAAGCTAAATATTCAGTTCTTTGTGATATTTTTAGTGCTGGAGTGATTTTATATGTTCTGTAAATATGATATTGAGATATTAGATTGATAGGTGAACCATTATTTGAAAAGAAGGATAGAAAGGAATAATTAGAATTTAATAGAAAATGTGATATAAATTTCAGTAAGTTTAGTCATGATCAATTAAATGATATAGAAAAAGATTTATTAATTAAGATGTTATCAAAGAATCCTGAATTTAGATGGTCAGCAAATAGTTTATTAAAACATAAATTTTTTGTTTCTGATGATTAAATAGAGAGTGAAATAGATTTCTATAAACTCAATAATATGGCCATGTATGATAAGCATAAGATATTAGTTTGAAGAAATCCATGATGCCAACATTTCTCAAAAATCCATTTATGTAGAATAATCTTAAGAATTAAAATACAACAAGAGATAAATCAATATCTCTTATTAATAGATAAAGAAATTGCACTTTAGTTATGTAAACTAATTTAAGATTTGATAAATCCTCATAAGAATAGTTGAATATTGATTAAGTAGTTGGAATAGGTTCCTTTGGATTGTTTAAAGATGAAATTAACTAAACCAACTTTTGAATAATAATAAATTAATCAAATTTATTTTTTACTCACTTTCTAAAATGGATTTAATTTACAACTTTTTTATGAAGTACCTCTTTAACTTATACTGCTTTTATCTTAGAAATTTTGAATAATTGTGGCTTTTGATGAACTCTTTGATTTCTAAATTTTAAGAACTCTTTCACTAGGAGGTTATGTTCTTTATGATTCTAGAGTACTTGAAGCTAAATCTAAATATCTAGATGATGTTTATTGAGAAATCTCTATTTTCTTAACTTCTTAATTGATTTACTTTTATTTCTTCTTTTTTATTGTATTTTCATCAATATCTAAAATAAAGAATTTAGACTTTTTGCTTTTAATATTTTATTAAGGAATATTTTCTTATTCTTATAATGTTTTTTATCCAAGAATTGATTGTTCAATAATTCTTTAATCTTCATTTTAATTAATTGATTGTACTTTTAACATTTCTTATAATCTCTTATCTTATAATTTCTATAAATCATCTTAATTTACTTTAATTTAATCTTCATATTTTCTTATACGTATTGATACATGATTCCCAAGTAAACAAGATTTACGAAATTCAGCCAATAATTTATTTTCTGATCGATGTATCTTCATTCTTTTCTTCATCTTTTATCCTCTTTAATTTATATAATCTAAATCTTAAATCTTTTTAAACCATCTTTTTCTTACATTTCTAAATTTATCTATTAAATCCATAAGTTCTACCAATTAATAAAGAATTTTCACACCTGCCTTTTTAGATAATAATTAAAACTTATTATATTTTCTCTCTTCTTATATTATACTCCATTTCATAAATTACTAACAATCCTATATAAATGTATCTACCAAATTAAATTATTTAATCAAATTCTCTGATTACTTTTATATTGCAAGAATACATATAATATATAAATAGCAACGCATTTAACAATATTCTTTATAAGGAAAAAACAAATATTTCTCATATATACCAATAGCAAATTCAAATTATGTTTTTGCTTTTTCTAATTCTCCTTATTCTAAAAATATTTCCCCTATCTTTTCAATATTATGACCATAACATTCATCCTTTTATATTTAAGAATATTATTTATGAATCTCTTAATATCTTTAAGATGCTAATTAAAAATCATTATTCTTCATAAAACCATTAGAATGTAATAATTTTGTACCAGTCTTCTGATTTAATGAATTATCCATATATAAAATAGAAGATACAAAGTAAACTTATTAAAAAAATGGTTTCATTTTATCATAAATGCTTCTAACTTTTGTTTAATAATAAAACTCTTATGATTACATTCTATCATTATGTAAATGATAATCCTTAATTTAAGACATTATCAATTTTCTTTACTATTAAACAAAATACATTCTATTAAATGTTTATGTCTTAGAAATTGTATATGCTTTACTAGCTCTTGAATAAAATCTTAAAGCACTAAAATAAGAATTACAATTTTAAAATACTCCTGCTAATAAGAATTCCAATTATGCAAAATTTTTATTATGTAAACATTATAATTTATTATCTCTATATAATTAATTTATTTTTCTAGCATAAAACCAACCTAATTTCAAAACCTAAGAAGATTCCTCATTTTCGATATAGATCTTAAAAATCATTAAAACTATTTCTATGACTTCATCTGAAAATTCATCATGTATAAGTTTTCTATATTCTATGGCTTTTTAAAGTGCTTTTAAAGCATTTTCTGGATCATTTAATTAACAAAATACAACACCTAAATCATATGCCAATTTAGATAAGTTATATGTAGCCATATTATGAAAATTAATTAAGACTCTTTAATGTTTTTCAGGTTCTTCCTTTTATTTTTATTCTTTTATAGCTTTTTTATTTGAATGCTCTTCTTACTACTTTTCTTTAATTTCTATCCATTTTTCCATCGGAAAATAATTATCATAAATAGTTTTACTCATTTAAAATGTTATCATTGCAGATTAAATTTAGATTGTCTCTTGACAAATGATACCATATATATATAATGAATATCCAAAAAGTAAGGATGAAATGAGATTCCTTTTCATTTGAATATCAATAATAGAGAATATCATAGAATTAGCTTCATTTAATCTTGAATTAGCTAAACAATGTTCTACATTTGCTAATTGAATTATTACATGTTTTCTCATTTCAATTAATCCAGTTTATGAATGAATTGCTTTTTTAATCTTACGACGTAATAGAAATTTCTTTTATTATTATAATTAACTTATTTACAAGAGTCTAAGTAACACTACTTAAGGTTTTCTTGTAGAATATTACATTAATTATATTAAAACTAAAAAATGAGATGTTGACATTGATTTATCATCGTGTTTTTACACTAATTAAATGGCTGGTTCAAGATCATTTTAGAATTATTATTTTCTAATATTTTCATCTAAAATTTCTTAAGATTTAGCTTAAGCCAAATATATTAAAGCTTAAACTTTATCAATAGAATATTTATCTTCTTTTTTAAGAAAGTTTTAACAATTTCTTAAAAAATTTCGATTCATTAATAAAGATGAATAATTCATTTCATTTTTTAATTATTCTCTTTATATATCTGTATTTTCTTTATTTTCCATTTATTTCATAGTTAAATTTTCAATATCTAATTCTAAATCAAAATTTTTTAATATATTTTCTTGATCTTCTTCTTCACTTTAAGAAGATATATCAATTATATCCTCAAATTCATTTTAATTTTTCTTTTTTTATTTTTTCAAAAGATATTCATCTTTCTTTCTTTATTTTTATAATTACTCCATACTCATAATAAGACAATCCATTTAAGTGATGATACTCTTTAAATCTTCTAATGCTCTAATATATAAATTAAATATTACTATTCAATATTGTAATCATTTCCTAAAAGAGATCTATTTAAACCTATTTTAATAAAATCTAAAATGATTCTATCTTCAACTTCATCAAATATAGAGTCAGCATATAAAAGATAATCCTTATATCTAACTTCTGTTTCTGATTTAACTTTTTTCTTTCTCAATTTACTTATAGTTCTTTAGTTTTAACCTCTTGGATTCTTAAATAATATAATAATGTCACAAATAGCTAAATAATCCTTAAGATAACATTTTCTAAAGGATGAAATTTTTGATTCACTAATACAATTAACTGATGATTCAACATCAGCCTAAAATGGTATAAGTGAACTTATTCTTTAAAATGATTACAATTTAAATACTTTTAATCTCCTAAAATAGTATATATTACTTAAAGTAAAATTCAATCTATAAAGATATTTTGAATAACAGGAATATAAAATCTTAAGTAAACAATATGTTAATTTTAAAAGACATAAATCAGATAATTAAAGTTACTCAAAATCTAAATGAGTATGTAGATCCTTTAGGGAATAGTTCATTCCTTAATAAAATAATAAAATCTTATAATATTGAGGACAATCTAAATGAGGAAGATCATGAAATAGAAAATAGACTTCCTCAATATATACTAAATATTCTCTTAAATGAGGGAAATAGGTTTAAAGCATAAGATGAAATATAATGTTAAGAAATCTAGGATTAGTTTCAATATCAAAAACTTAAATGACCTCCATTAATTCATTTACTACATCATAATTTACTTCTGCTTTTGATCTATTTGTTAAATTTGGCTATTTTATTAAGACAGTTGCTAAATCTGCAATCATTGCCCATCTCCTATTAACTACTCTCTTCTCTTAAGATGATGTAGACTTTTAATGACTCTTAAGTACTTATCTTTATACTAATAATAATTATTGAAAAAAGTGTTGCTTTTTAAAATCACTTTCTTCTATGTTGAAATATTTGTCATTAGAAAAAAAACAATTATATCTTGCATGTCTTACTGCTTCTTAATATGTGAATGGATATAATTATAGATGTTAATGATTATCATTTACTTAAATTCCTTTTAAATCCACCATAATTTCAAAATCTAAAAATGATGCTGATATCTATATTTTGTAAAATGAGGATGTATCCAATTTTATCAATTCTACTATAAATTATTTTATTTTCACATTATACTCTACTTTTAATAAATAATTTCTCTCATCTACCTTTTCAAATTCTCTTTTATGATGACTTGAATTCTTTACATGATGTTCTGTATTTACATTATATTATTTCTTTGAATCATCACTGTTTATAATTTCTTAATCTGAATTTAAAGTTGTTCTTATTCGTTCTTATTGTCCTTCTTCTATTTATATTTACTGCTATTCAAAAACCGTTTATTCTATAATATTTTATATAATAGCATCATGTTAATTATGATTACTTAAACAACAACCCATTTTTTTAAAAGAAGTAAGATCAATTTAAAAACAGTCTTATTAATTAATATAATAAAAATTTATCTTCTTAACAAATGAGTCCAATTTTATAGATCTTAAGAATACATTCATTAAATAACAAAAGACTTATCAAAAATCAATATTCTAAAAAATATCTATTATTATTATATATTATTTGTTTAACGGTCACTTTGTATGTTGAGAAAACAAAGGCAAAAGCTTATTAATAATGAGAATGAGAACCCATCTGAAAATTATGAATGTAAATTTAATGAATCCCCATAAAGACTTTACTAAGAAAGAAGAGCATAATAATGCTTAGAATAAATCAGTTCTCAATTCCTCTTATCTAACACCTTTGATATTTATGCTGGTTGGAATGAAAAAGAAGAAAAGCCATATAAAAACTATCATAGACCAGTTTAGTCATAAAAATCTACATTAGACTCATCTTTTAGAGTTAGAAGTCAAATAAGAACTGCTACTCCTAATCAGCGAAGATCAAAACGAACTCAATCTCATATGAAAGAAACTAAAATTTTATTAGACATATGTCCTAAATAGTGTTTCAATTATCCTATACCTGCCTTTAAAACTAAATAATTCTCTTAAAAAGAATAAATTAAATATTTTCAAGGCTTTTATGAAAGAGATGGTAAATCGTATGATTGGATGAGTAATCTGCTATAAGTTAGGAAAATTAAAATGTGATTATATATATATATATAAATAAATATACTCACTTCATTATTTAATTATTATTAAAATAACTATTGTAAAATAAGACCTTAGATGATACAATAAATAATTGTTAATAATTAATAATAATATTAATTAATATTTCTCTAAGAGAAATCATTAGTAGTCCATTAATAATTATTTTATTAAATGTATATCTCTACCTATACTTGTTGTTAATATTTAATCAACATCATCATTTCCTATCTGATAATATGCTTATTTGTTTAATAAAATTTATTTTTATAAATTTACTTAATAATACTTTATATTTCATTATTGCTTTGTATTTTAAATTATTAAGTATTATTGAAAGCAAAATATAAGTTTAAAATGAAGAGCACATTATTAAGACTATAAATTAAATTACTAAAATAACTTTTGAACATTTTGAAATAGATCGTAAAAGTAAAGGAGATCCTTCGTTTTCCTTTAAAAACTAATTTAATCTATGGTTTAGGGTCTAAATTTTCAATAAAATAATGTGAGATTATTAAACCTAATCCAAAATCATGTAAATTATGATATTTTAAATTAAAAATAAATAATTACTTATATTATATTTTGATTGAAGAAAGTAGGTTATAATGGTTATGCTTTAAATCAGATAGTTCAAAATATTAAAATGATATTGGCAATAATCTAGGCAAAGAATTTCGTAAAGTAAATCTTAATTGCTTTTATTTGCAAATAATAATTAATAAATAAATTAAGAATTTGTAAAATTTGAATTTAATATGAATTATTTAATTTATAAGATTGAATTTACTGATGAAATATCTAATCATTTTGAATGATATATTAATAATAATTATTATTATACATATAACTAATAATCCTTCTTAAAATATATATTATTAATTATGGAAGATACAATTAAAAAATAAACATGTCATTTAAAAAGACTTATTATTTGAACTAGAAATGTCATAATCTTAGAATTATGCTAAAGAAATATTATTAATTAAAATATTTAAAAAACTACTAAATTTATATAAATGTATAATTTGTGAACTAACAGAAGTAATTAGATTTTATGGGTTGTTTAGAAAAACAAATTAGAAGAATTAAAAGTTATGATTTTTGATGAAATACCCTATGATGATTCAAATCATAATGAAATCTACAATGAGAACTCCAATCATGAAATAATACTTTAATAATTGAAAAATTTAGCAACTACATAAGAAGCAAAGATTTATAGTACATTTAATTAAGATTGGAAGGGTATTAATATGTAGTGATTTTGTATAGCTCAATTAGACCCATAAGTGAGATAATGGATGACTTAAGTGAGATAAAACTATTTCGAAACTTAAAAAAAGTCTTAAAAAGTGATTTAAAATATTTAACTCGAATCTTACTCATCAGATAATCAAACTGCTGATTTATAATTAGATGACTACTTCTAACTGTGAAATAAGAAAATACTGTGTATTCTATTGTGATTCATTATAAATTCATGTAATTAAATTTCTTATGACTATTAAAACTCATCATATTTAAAAATTTATTCTAATTTTAAAGTAATTCTTTGATTATTATTGAATTATATAAAAAGTAATGTTCTTTATCAAAATCTGATATTAATAATATAAAAAATAACTGATGGATTGGAGAAACAAATTAGAGTTGATTCAAAATAAAATAAGAGGCTAATTACATGCTCGTAAAATAGATGACTTAGAAGGAGTTTACCAATTAATGGCTGAATTTGATAAAGACAATTCTGGTATCATTTAATATCTAATATAGGTTATTTGGATAAAGATGAATTCTAAAAGTTTCTATCTAAAATAGGTGTCTTTCTTACAACTCAAGAATTAAGAGCAGTCTATGATAAATATGATTCAAATAAAGATGGCAATATAGCCTATGCTGAGTTTGTGAATCTTATAAGAGAAAATATGAGTGAAAGAAGAATCAATGTTGTCAGAAGTACTTTTGCATTTCTTGATCAACAAAGACAAGGAAGACTCTTATTAGAAAACTTGTATAGACTATATCAAGCAAAAAATCATCCAAGAGTAAGAACTAGATAAAAGACTGCAGATCAAGTTACAAAAGAGTTTGTTAATGCTATCTCAAAAAGAAGCAAAGATGGTCAAAGTATTAGTGAAGATGAATTCTTAAATTATTATGCTGATTGTAATGCAACTCTTCCAAGTGAAAAAGAAGAATATTTTACAGATGTATTCTTTATTATAATATATTATTTAGTTATTGACTTCTACTTGGGGAGTCACTTCAGGAGCTGATTATGTTTCTCCAGAACGACTTGCATAATTAGAAATTATATTATTTGAAAAGATAAGATAGAAAACGGTTACAAAGGATGATGAAGGTAAAACAGCTAAGAAGGCCTTTATGTACTTTGATTTAGAGAATAAAGGGACTATAGATATTTATTAATTTGCATAGGCTCTTCAAAAATTTGGATGTGTTTTCAGTGATAAAGAGATTCAAGCATTATTTAATAAATATGATGCTGATAAAAGTGGAAGATTATGTTATGATGAAATTTGTGGATTGATTGCTTTAATGGGATCTGGAAATAATGCTAATGTTAATCCAGTATTTTAAATTGCAAGAGCTCCCCCTTAAGAAACCTTAAATCGAATTAGAAATGATTTAGTAAAGAAAGGTTAACATTCTGTAATTAGAATGGCTACTATCTTTGCTAATTCAGATAAAAATAAAAATGGAACATTAAATAGACAAGAATTTTAATGGGCTATGAAAGAATCTGGATTTTTACTAACTAAAACAGAATATGATAATCTTTTTAGATATTTTGATAAGAATTGTGATGATGAAGTCTCATTTGTTGAATTCATTAGTTTCTTAAGAAGTATTTTATCTATATTATAATTATATTAGAACCATTAACTTAAAATAGAGCAGATCTAGTTTGTTAATTATGGAATAGAATATCAAATGGACAACCATCAATATCAATTTAATAACTTAAATGTAAATTAAATATATTAATTTTATAGAATGTTATGATGCTTCTAAGAGTCAAGATGTATCTTTAGGTATTAAGACTGTTGCTGATTCTACAAAAGATTTTAATGACATATGGAAAGATGTGTAGGCTGTAACCTAATAATAATTTATTGATTATTTAACTGATATTAGTGCTCTTATAGAAAGTGAAGCAGCTTTTGAGAAATTCATCAGAAATTCATGGAGATGAATATAATAGAATATACATATATATATATATATATATATATATAATTAATTAATTCTTCTTTAAATATTAATGATATCATAAATCACTTTAAAGCTTGTTTTTAGAACAGCCACAACAACATGTTAAATATATTATTATTACCAATAGGAAGATAATAAATAATAGTTTATACAAAACTTCTGATTAGGTATAGATTCCTAAACTAGTCAAAAAATTCATTTAACTTTTTTTGCTGTTTGTGTATGGTGGATATCTAATAAATAAAATATATATTTAATACCTAGCTGATGGATCAATTGTGGATTTTTCAAGAACAGGTTTTAAATGTTAACATTGATCAAATCCAAATTTACTACCACAAACTCCATAACCACTATCACCTACTCCTCCAAATGGTAATTCTTGATTAATCAAATGAAAAATGCAATCATTAATACAAACACCTCCTGATGATGTAGATTCAAGAATAGCATTTTTATGGATTTTATTTGTACCAAAATAATAGAGAGCCAATGGTTTAGGTCTAGAATTAATAAAATCAATAGCTTCTTCAATCTTCTTATATGTTATAATAGGAAGTATTGGTCCAAATATCTCATTTTTCATTAATTCACTATTAGGATCAGGATTAACAACAAATGTTGGTTCAATCCATTTTTCTTTTAAATCATATTAACCACCATGAACAATCTTACCTCCATGATTATTTAAATATTCAGCAATTCTATTAGTATGGAATTCATTAACTATTCTGTTTAGGCATCCAGATTTTTTAGTTTCTGGTCCATAAAAATCTTTTATTTATTATTTAAATGTGTTAACAACATTATCTAATATTGATTCTTCAACTAACACATAATCTGGAGCTACACATGTTTAACCACAATTATATAATTTTGTAGAAATTACTCTTCTTCCAGCTAAGGCTAAGTCACTTGAAGAATCAATAATGCATGGTCCTTTACCACCTAATTCTAAAATACAAGGAACCAAATTTTCAGCTGCAGCTTTGGCTACTAATTTTCCTTTTTCTGTTCCTCCAGTAAAAATGATAAGATCAAAAGGTTATTTGGTAATATTAATTGCTACATTTACTCCTCCTTCTATAGCACGATAGAGGGATTAATCCAAATACTTTGTTATTAATTTAGCTAGGAGATTAGAAATATTAGGAACCATTTCAGAAGGTTTCAAGACAACTGCATTTCCTGCTCCAATTGCTTGAGCTACCTAAGGTATACAAGTGAAAATGGGATAATTCCAAGCTCCTATAACTAAAACAACTCCATAGGGTTCTGGTATTAAATAGCTTGTTCCTGGAGCTGCCATTATGGATGTACTTATGGATCTTTTGGCTGTATATTTGTATATGTTTTTGATGTCACATTCAATATGAGTTAAAACTGCTTAATACTATACTAATTCACAAAAGAATTAATCTTAATATCCCAGATCCTATAAGATTTTTAGGAAAAAAATACTTTCTGAAAAGCTTCATAAAATTCATTTCTTAATTCTTTAAGGCCTCGGAGTAGGTTATGCAACTATTGAAGTCTAAAAGGAATAGGTCTTGACTTTTTAGTCAGGAAATTTGCTTTGAGTTCTTTAAGAGTTGGAACTATAATAGATACGTCATCCTTAATCATTGTTTTTGGATATTAATTATTAAACTATATTGATTAATAATATAAATAGGGAATGTTCTTTGTTTATTTTGCATCTTTAATATATCTTTTAGCAGCTCAAGGAGAAGAAGAATCTATTGAGGACGATGAATTTTTAAAGCCTCCACCTGATGACGAGGGTTCATTAGCACATCCATTACATAGAACTTATTTATAAGATTCATATTGTATGGATGGGACACAAGCAGCTGCTTATGTTTATGAAGGTAGCACTGATGATTTAATAATGTATTTCTATTCTGGAGGAATTTGTGTAGAGGATAGCACTAAATTCCTTAAATATGGAGATTACGTTTATATTGATAATTGCACTCATAGAAATACTACATTTTATGGGACTACTAATGGATATCCAGAAGAATTCAATGCTAATTAAGGTTTAATGGGAAATAATAAATATTAGAATGTTCATCTTAGAAAAGCTCACAAAATGTTCTTAATGTATTGTGATGGTAATATGTGGTATAAACAAATGAATGCTTAAGTCTTTAAAGGAGCATTATCATAAATGAAGTTAATTCCTAAAAGAATAATATTAGCAGGATCAGGTGTAGGAGGATGGTATTTAGTAAATAAATATAATGAATTAAGAACAGTCATTAAAGAATTTTATTAAGAAGATGTTGATTTAAGAATACTTTTAGATAGTGTTATTTTTGATATTTCTAGAAATTAAGATATTATAGATGCATATACTGAGGCTACAAAGAGAGTAGGTTTAACAATGGATGATATTTTCTCTTTTGATGCATTACGAAAGGTAGATGTTCCAACTTTTATTGTACATGCTCAATATGATTGGTGGCAATTAGAAATTAGTGATGGTTTTGATTGCATAGGTAAAATTCATTTAGATAAATGTACTCCAAAAGAAAAGAAATAGATAGAAAAGATTAGATTAGGCATATTATAATAATTGAAAGATTTGATGAAAGCTAAACCAGATTGGGGATTATGGGCAATAAGTTGTGTATTTAATGAATTGATTATATGGACTGAAGCATGGAATCATCCAAAATTCTAAGTTCCTATGATAGATGGTGGAAAACTTTCTGATAAATTTTAAGAGTAAAAAATATTAGCTTATTTTTTTAGTTGGCTAGAAAATAGAGGAGATAATCATGTACATTATGATATTGTATCATGGCCAGATAATAAACCATGTAGTAATATCTTTCATAATGGTAAGACTGATCCATAATTGGATGATATGATTAGGAATTATGAGATTAAGGAATCAAGGAGAAAGAGAGAAGAAAAATATGATTTATGAAATATAATTAATTTATTTAATGGAAGAAAGCATCTATAATATAATAACAGAAGATCCACTTCCCCCTAAGAGATAAAAAAAATATAGATCCTAATTCCCAGGTACAATATAACCATCTTATAGTACATTTGCTAATCACTCAAATATTATTTAGGTATAAAAATCAGTATATATACTCAAGGTGAAAAATATAAGTGGAGATTATTAATTATCATCTTATAGATATGCATCTGAAAGTGGAATTATAGGAAAAGCAAAAACATGTTTATAATCTTATTTAATATTTTTAGAACAACTTTCACCTATTAAACCAAGAATTATGGGTACAAACAATTTGGATGAATGGATTGAGAAAGGATCACTTGTAAGAAGTCAAGAATTTGCTCATTCACATAGAAATAAATTGAAACCATTAGTTCCTAGATCTATTGAAAAACCGACTATGGGATTATAATCTAATAGAAATTTTATAGCCACTAACAAGATTGATGTCATTCTCAAATGTTATTTTAATCTTTATTTATAGCTCCAAGACAACAATAAGAAGATCCTAATTGGTTAACTAAAAAAGATTATGGATAAATTCCATTATATTTGAGTTAAATCAAAGATCAACTCTAATAATCTTATTTAGAAGAATAAAATTATGCTAAATAATAATTGGAAGCACAAAATGATAAAATGTAAATATCAAAATATAAATATAAATTAGATAATTATTATAAGAAGATGAATTATAATAAATTAGAGAAGGTTTGAAATAAAGATACGATGAAGTTAATAAACAATATTAATAATATACTCACTTAAAAAAATTTGACACTGTTGGATTGAAAAGAAGAAAAGAATAATTTGAAAAGGAATTGATTCAATTAGAAAAAGACATGGATAAAATGAAAAAATAATATGTATTTGTAGAGAAATGAATATATATATATATATATATACATATATTATTATATATAAATATGAGTAATTATGATGATCTAAGATCTAAAGAAGAATAACTTATGAGAATGAATTAAGAATTAGAATAATAAAGAAGAGCTTTGAAAGAAGATTATGTATGAAGTTATTTATAGATTTATAGATGAAATTCAAAAATAAAGATTCAAATTATGAAGATGATAATTATGATGAGAATCTGGATTATGATGAAAATGAATTCAATGATGTATAATATTATTATATATAATTATTATTAGGTTTATAAAGATGATAGTGATTAAGAATAAGATTAAGGATTATAATAATAAAAATATGATTCTTCTGAAGATGAAGATTTTAATAATGATGTTGCTATTCAATAGATGGTAAATTAAGTTAGAAACATCAAGAGTGCTGAATAAAATAGAAACAATGAATAACCTATAAAATATGATGATAAAAAATAAGAAATTTTAGAATAAGAATTAATAGTTGATGAATAAAGTATATTTATCTATATTAAATAGAAAAAATATTAAGAATGCAAAGTTTAAAAGTAGAAGCTTTAAAATAAGAATTAGATAATTTAATTTAATAGAACAAAATGAAAGAAAATTTAATTTAAGAAATAGAATAGAAAGGTAAGAATATTTAAGATTAAACCAAAAAATATAATGCATAAATTGTTAATTTGAATGAAAAATATGAATAATTTAGATAAAAATTATAAGAAACATAATAAAAAACAAAAGCTTCAGAAAAAGAAAATCTAGTAATTACAAAAGAAATAGAATCAGTTAAAAAAGAATATAGAAAAATTGATGCAGAAGCTAATAAAAAAGATATTGGAATTAATAGAACCATTGAATAAATTTAAAAATTAAAATTAGAATAACAAAAAAATAAATTAACTAATAATGATAAATAGAGTGATTTATCTTTAAATATAGATTAATTTAAAAAGGATAATTAAAGAATTGAATAATAAATAACAGAATCACTTTAAGCATTAAAAAAATAATTAAAATTAATAGACATTCTTAAAAGATAACGTATACATATTATTGCAGCAAGAATGTTTTAATTTATTGAATCAGATTTTGCAAAAACTACTGATATTAGTAATAAAATATAATATTGAATAAAGTGAAATTTTATTAAATTAAAATGCCAAATATTTTTGTAAATATCAATTTAATTTTTCTTGTTCTACGTTAGCTTATTTTGAATGTAATTAATTTAAATTCTCCATATCTTCTTCTTTTCTTACATCATCTTTAATCTATTTTTTAAATTAAATTTATTTAATTATTTTCATTATACAAGCAAAGAAAGCCTTCAAACAAATTGTTAACCATAAAAATACTTCAATCCCTAAAAATCCTAATGATACTGCAATTGAAATTATATGATATGGTTCTTAACCATCTATAAGTTCTATTACACCATCATATTGATCCTTTTATAATTATAAGTAAATTTACTTTAAATCCAACAATATTATCATTATTCAATAATAAATTAGAATAATGTATCACATCTTCACATTGTTTAATAATATATAATGATTAAGCTAGCATTAATAATAACAGAATCATTCTAATAACTATATCCCAAATAAATATATTATCCACTTTCAATGCACTAATAAATCTCAAGATAACTGGGAGAGCTGGAATAAGATAACAAACCAATAATAAATAAACCAATGAAGTTATTGTACCAGAATTAGACAACACAATTATCTCATCTAAAGAATCAAAAATATTGTATGCATAATCAAATAAATCTCCCAATGCTTCATATTACCATTCTTTATATCTTCTATAAAATAATGTTTTATTGTATTTTGCACTTATAGTTCTATCAAAATCAGATGCTGAATTAATTGAGTAAAATAATTAGTCATTTACAGTATTTAAAGGAATAAAAGTTTCATCTCTATATTCTATATCCTTAGAAGTGAATTTCTCTTCAAGTTAGTCATCTTAAGGTTGATCTGGATATAAATTATAATCCTTATTGTTATACACACTAACAAAGTAAGTATCAACCTTAAAATATGCAATTGGCATCTCTTATGGATCAATATCAGTCTTTATAATGCCTTGTTCATCAAATTCTATATTAGTAATAGGACAATATTGATAAGTAGATGGAATACAAAACCTCCCATTACTACATGATCTCATTTTTCTCTCTTCACAAGTTTTTCTAACTCTTCCAAACTATGCATATGTTTCATTTTTCAATCCTAATGTTGCACATAATATAAATTTTTTAGTAGGTAATGGTTCATACACCCAATATTTGAATTAATGTTAAGGGATGCTTTTATATTCAACTCCATCTTCTGTAAACGATTTTCTTCCTTACCAAATATAATTATACAACAGTTCAGTCTAATATTTAATCACTTATCATACTCCAACTGGACAATCAGGGTTTGAGAATAATTACTATATTTTAAAAATAGGAGGTGATTCCCAAGCATAAAATTCATTTTAGTACCCTAATCGTTTATCACTGAAAGCTTCTTCAACACCATCATATGCCCACCAAAAGCAAAAAAATATGAAAATTCTTCCAACAACACTAAAAAATCCAATGCATGGATATATGCAATTTTTAATCATTTTATTAATACATATATAAATTGTCTTAGTGATAGTGAATTAATTAAAAATAAGATGTAAAATAATCCATAATAAAAGTCATTTTATTTGAAAGTATGAAACCAAATTTTTTATCAAAATTAATTAAACTAGTTATAAAATATTAATAAGTAAGTGAAAACTTACACTTAATACATAAAATATTCTAAATTGTTAAATTATTTAAATATATTATTAATAAATTAACAATTCCATTCATTTTTAATAATATTAGTAATTAATTGTAATAAATTAAAAAGACCTTTATATATTAATATTATAGCTTTAAAAATTAAATCAAAGATAGGAATTTTGAACATTAATAATACATATATATTATATTTAACTGATTATGGGATCTTGCCAGGTTAATTGTTGTGCCATTAAAAACGGAGAATTAGTATCAAAAGATTGTAGAAAGAATGAAATAGATTTAGATAATATTGATGAACTTGATTATGACTATGAAAATAAAGCAAATAGCATAGTATCAGTATCCAAACATGAATAAGTAAATGAATCTCCAAAATCAAATAATAAAGAAAGAGAAAAATTTGAAGTTGATAATGATAGTTAATCCTTAAAAAAGAATTTAGAGCCATAATCACTTAAAGAAGTGACGATAACATATTTAAATTGTGTGGAAAGATAAAAATTTGGACCAATTTAATTAGATAAAGGTGCAATATATGAAGGGGAATGGTTGTTAGGTAAAAGAGATGGAATGGGGAAATAACAATGGCCTGATGGTTCAAGTTATGAAGGCTATTGGAAAGATGATAAAAGCTGTGGTTGGGGGAAATTATTACATGCTGATGGTGATATTTATGAAGGACAATGGTAAAATGATAAAGCAAATGGGAAAGGCGACTATGTTCATATAAATGGAGCAAAATATTAAGGAAATGTAATCATTTAAATAATTTACTTTAGTGGGTAGAAGATAAATAAGAAGGTTTTGGAGTTGAAATTTGGCCAGATGGTGCTAAATATGAAGGGGAATATAGATCAGGTAAGAAGAATGGTAAAGGAATACTAATGTTTGTAGATGATTCAAAATATGAAGGGATGTTTGTTGATAATTAAATAAATGGATATGGAACATATTAATGGCCAGATAGTAGAATATATTCTGGATAATGGAAGAAAAATAAAATGCATGGTCATGGATAAGTGAATTGGCCAGATGGTAGAAAATATACAGGAGTAAAATAATTTTAATTTTAGGAATATGTAGATGATAGAAAACATGGTAGAGGATTATTTGAATGGGGTGATGGAAGGAAATATGAAGGTATTTGGATTAACGGTAAATTCTTGTATATTTTTTAGGGAAGTAATAAGGAATTGGGATATATTATTTACCAAATGGAGAAAAAAAATATGGTGAATGGAAGGATGGAATAAAAAAAAGATGGTTAGAAGTAGAAGAGATTGAAAAATATCTTTAAGAAACTAAATTTAATTAAAAACTAGATTGATTTGGATTTTTCAAGTTGTATTTTATTTTTATCTTTATATTAAATTAAAAATATAAATTAGTTTTATTAATAAACAACTAAGATTTATTTTATTAAATAATAGTTAAGTTTATACTAATCTAAAATTTGATATTGTTGGATGAAATTTCAATAAAATAGAAAAGGTATTTAAGTAATAATAATATAATCAAATAATTTGGATGATTTTGAAATTATAAAATAAAATGTAAATATAATTAAAAATAAACTAAAGAATAGAATCATTGAATTAATTTAATCAGATAACATTTTATTAGAATTAATAGATAAATATTATCCTTTTTATATTATATATATATATATTACACTAATAGTAATAATAATAATAATTTTATTATATTTAGATAATGGTTAGTAATAAAGAATAAGATAGTTGATTTATTATTTGTATAATGAAATTTGTTTGGTTAATTAAATCCACCATTTTTATAATATAAATTAAATGATAAAACCAAAAAAGAAATAATATTAAAACAAGATGGAGTAGCTAATACAAAATAAGAGATAGGAACATTTAGAATTATTGAATTAATTAGAGAAATTGGAAATATAATAACCAACAAAAGACATTCAATTAATTAAGACTATTACATAATAATAAAAAAAGGAGCAAGATATTGAGATTATAGCAACACCATAATTAGTATCACCAAAATGGTTAATGAATTTAAAACCTACTATGACATATGAATGTGATGTTGTAATATAAGAAGAGAGTGAATTAGATTAAATTGTTAAACATCAATTAAAAGAAAAGATTTAAAAGCAGAAAGTAAAACATACTAATAATGAAATAGGAAATGTAATAATAAGCTTATTTAGAATTGATAAACGAATTAGATTTATAATCAAAACATCATGCATATGATGAGAAAGTAAAAGAAGATTTCAAATGCACATATTAATATATGAGTTAAGGTAGATTAGTAAGTATTGACATAAAGTATTATGATTTCTTAAAATTAAATCCTCAGAATTATGTCAATGATACTATAATAAACTTTTTCTTAAGATTCATAGAGAATGACATCTTTAAAAATAAATCTCTACTTATTTATAATACATATTTTTGTACTAGACTGTTATCATTTCATGCAGAATACAAATAAATTTATACTTAATATTTATAGAATAATTAAATGTTATAAAGATGGACAAAAGAAAACATTTTTATGAAATAATATGTATTATTTCCTTTGCATTTGCGTGAACATTGGGCAGTGATATTTGTAGTAAATCCATTGCAAGTTTGCGAATAATTGTGTAATAATAACTATTAATTGAGTAATGATATGAATAAGAATGGGTATTTAATCTATTTTGATTCACTTCTTATATAAGATTAAAGGATAGGAATTTAAATTAAATTTTATTTGATGCATGTATATAATTAAGAACACAAAAAATATAGTGATGATTAGATCTATGAGATTGTAATGAGATCAACATTTCCTGTACATTAACCTATAGTACCAAGATAGACAAATCTAGTAGATTGTGGATTATATATGTTAGAATATGTAGAGAGGTTTTTAATGAATCCCAATTAAATTCTTAATAATTTGGAATAGGATCACTTGAAATGGTTTCCAAAAGTGATGATTTTTATTAAACGCATATTAATTAAAAAAATATTAAATGCCTTAAGTTCTGGATAAAAAGATTATGCACTTAGATACCAAGAAAATTGCAGAATGATTGATCAACAATTCAGTATTTATTTATTAATTATTATATATTAGCTGATTCAAATTAATATGATTACATTGATGAGTAATTACTTGAATAATTGTAAGTACCACGTTTACAATTTCATTTAAGTGAAGATTATAATTACTATTATGATGTTTAACCTAGTGTTGGTGTATGATAAATATAAATATATATATATATATATATATTTAAGATCATTAATTTGACTATTCATTATTCTCATCTTAAAAAGAATCATATCCAACTTGCACTTCTGTTAATTCTTTCTTTTTAGCATCTTCCATCCTCTATTCCAATTACATATTTAAATTCTATTTCTTCAAATTACGAGCTTTTCTATAAAAAAAACACAAACAACAAAGCCTAATAAATATATATCATAATTTAATACATGCTGAATGTAAACACAACCAAAATAGATAAAGCAATCACAAATTCATAAAAACGATGTTTATACATATAAAAAGCATTTTTAGGTAATCCTATTTCTGCAATATGATAATACAATTCATAATCACCAACTGGCATATTATTGAATTATATGACTAATGCTCTAATAGATATATATAATTAATTATGTAATGATTATTTATCTACTGTAATATTTACAATTATTTCTTCAGTTTAATTCAAATAATAATTACCAACATCTTTTTAATCAAAATGTTCTACTTATAATTTATTTATATTATTATATTAATGATATTGACATAGTCCTATGATATGAGAATATTCAATACTACTACCCCAATTCACATAATATTTAATAATACTATTATGTTCTTATTACATATCACAACCTGCACATTTAATTGGTTTGAATTTAATAGTTATTATGTCTGGATCAGTAGTACCAAAGAAATAATTAATTTATCCATCTCCTCCTAAAAGTAATTAACCATATGGAATTTTGTCAAATTAATTATATAATTTAGTAGTAAACTTATAAACACTTTTATTGGATGAGAATTAATAATAAATAGGACCAGGTTTTACTGTTAATAAAATATCAGTCAATTATCCTTCCAAAGTTGTCTTAGTTCCATTATAAGTATTCTTCAAAAATTAATCATAATCTTAAGTTATAGAAACATTTAAATCTCCAAGACAATTATAAACTTGAATTGCCAATTTACCATCTCCTTAAACATATGATTCATAATATTTTGGTTTCTAATCAACTATCATATCTATTTGATTAGAATTCTGATTAATCATAAATACATCTTATCCAACTATACTTATCTATATATCTATTCTATTTAAATAATTATTTGAAAAATAATAAAGTTTAGGTTAAGGTTATTTAGGAATTGGAACAATATCTCCTCTTGGATTAAAAGAATAATCTATATGATTGAAATCATTAGCAGATATTTCTAATAAACTATGCATTTTTATTGTAAGCATACCTTCAAGTACTGGGAAAATATATGTTAATTAATTATTACGAATTGAAAAAGCATGAATAATGGTAAAATTAGTTGGATTAGTTTCATTTGATATTTCAATTTTGAAATAATCTTCATATGATAAATTATTCAAATTACCAAATGGATTTACTTTTACAAATAGTTATAATTACTACTAATCTTTTTATTAATGATAGAATGTTATTGTAGGTGTCAATTTACTCAAATATGCAGATGTAATTATTCCATCCTATAATAATTAACCATTTCCTGTTGTAGATTGAGTAACAATAATAGAATAATTTGTTTGTTTTTGTTAATTGTTCTTAACTATAATATATATATCATCATCATTATAATGACCTACAAGAGTTTAATTTCCATTGATTTATATTTATGTTATATTGTAATCTTTATCATTTTCCTCTAAATGTTATCTAGGTGGTATGATAGCTTAATAATAAGAAATAGATTCTGTTTTATTCATTAATTTCATTTATTTGATAGTATTATATGGTCCATAAAGATAATTGGATATATTCAAATCTGCATGATATCCTATCCACATCTAAGTATCTCCATTATATTAATTTATTTAAATTTCTATTTGATGATCTGTATCATAAGAATAATGATATATGTTGTAATCATCAATACCATCCAAAAAATCTGTAAAAGCTATATTTTAAGGTAATTAAACAAAATTTAATTATGAAGTAATTACTATTAGTAAATCTAAAGAGATAACAGTAGTTTTAACTTTAATAACATATGTACACAATTCACAATATCTTTTAATATCTGATTTACGTATAATATGTTGACTATATGATTAACCTGCTAACAATTATTCATTTATTATTATTTCAGATTCACATGCTATTTTTGAGTCATCTAAACATCTACTAACTTCAATATATGTTGATCCTTACATTTTAATAAATTTAAAGTATAAATCATCATTACTTTAAATATTGAAGTATTAATAAAATGATTCTTCTTAAGCATTCATTTTTATTCTTGTAGGTACTCCTAATACCAATTTATGATTATTTTTATCATTATATATTTCTATAGACAATTATAATTTACTAGTACTTACCAATGAAAATACTTTTATTATTATATAAGCATTTTGATTTAGTTTTAATTCATTCAATTTCTATTATATTTATTATTAAGTTAATTCTAAAACATTTCCTAACACTTAAAATTCACATGTCTCTAAATCTTAATTTCCTTCATCATTAAATGATAAACAAATTGTTCCTTTCCCATAAATTTCATGTAATACTAATTTCATTTTTGATTCTTAAGATATCTCATTAATCTAACTGTAAATGAATTTTCTTGGAGAATGCTAATTCACTTAAATTTAAATTGGAATTCCAGTTTGTATATCCATAAATTCTTAAGTTACAGTCACATACACCAAATCATCAAAATCTAGACTTCTATTTATTTATGATATGTTATATTCTTATTGTTTTGCTTCCAATGAAATTTTTAATAAGCAATTTTTACCACAAAATTCAAAAGCACTCTTATAAATACTTTTTGAATGTTATGTTTTGTACTCTTCTTTTGCATACAAAGAAACAGCCTGTTAATTCTATGTATCTACAATTTCAATCTAATATCTTGTATAACCATAATGTGAATTAATATGTAATTAAACATCAGTATCATTAGAGATAATTTTATAATATAAAAATGTTTCTTTTGATAAATACTCTAAATTAAATTAGTATTGTTAACCATCTTTCATTTCTATATTTGCATCAGGATTCCATATATTCAATTAAAATAAAATATCCTCTTAAGCTTTGTTTTCCACTATTACATAAGCTTGGCAAATCTACAATTTATTTGAATCATCTTCCTCTTCCTTATTTTCTTCTGTCAAACCATCTAAACATAGTTTATTTAAATGAAGCTATTCCAAAAACAAAGTACTTGAATGCTCTTTTTTAAAATATATTTCCCCTTAAGAATTTGATGAGATTTCATTAGATACTCTGAGAATTAATTTTGATGTATCCTTACCTTATAAGCTAATATAAAATGATGATGCATTTCGACTATAATAAAAGCTAAAGTATTTACTCTTTTTTCCAAATGCCATATCTACAAATTATTAACCAATATGTAAAGTTTTAACTGTTCTACTTGTTGAGTATGTTAATGTATACATAATTTCCTTATCTGTAACTTTGTCAAATATATTAAGAATTCCAATTGTACAATTTCCTTAATTTGTATAAAATTAGTTTTGAGGTGAAATGGATAAATAATTATTTTGAGTAATTAAATCATATTATTCTAATGAGGGAAGTTAATTACCTTTTTTAAAAAGAAGTGCCACTTACATTCTTGATGAATGAATAGCAAATTCAATAGTTGGTTAAGTATCCTTATCTTAAATAATTTCAATATTTTAATCAATTTAATTTGATATGATAATTCTAAAATAATGAATTTTTTATTATCCATTTATAAATGATAATACTCCACGATAAGTTTCATCTTCTTTAATAATTTTAACATCTATATCTGATTATTTATAGACTTTAATCTAGAATTAATAAATAGTAGTTTCTCTGGCAATTAGAGTTACATAAAATTAAGTATGTTTTAATTAATCTCCTCTTAGTATAACTAAATGATCTGAACCACCAATAAATTTAGCACATTCTTATCTAACAGGATAACAACTACTGTCTTTACTAATCATATATATAATATTATGTGTATTAACTGTAAATATTAATTCCACATCTTCAACTTGATGTTAATATTTAACAATTAGATTTTCTTATTATTACTTTTCTAAAAAATTACTATATGGTATATCTGATTTAATGATATTACGATTTATTTCATTTACTGTAGTTAAAAGATAAGTATTTTTCATTTCACTTACAATTTATATTTAAAATCTGCAAAATCCTTCTTAATCCTTACTGGGACATTCAGGACTAATAAAAACTGATGGATTTTATTCATGCTAATGAAATCTTAAATTATGTGTATCTTCTGTATTTGTTGTGCATATTCCATTACACTCTCCTACTTTTATAGAATTCATTCCTTTTTCAAAGTATTTTAAATTAACTTTAATTTCTTAATCACTATAACTTGTCTTAAATGAATATATGTGAGATCCTTTTTCTATAATAGTTGCTAAAATAATTTAATTATTATAAAGAATTGGTTCATCTAAAATTTTAACAACTAATAAATATTTTAAAGGTCCTCCTTTGTTTAATCTAATAATTAATTCATTATTATTATTAATTTCTGCTTTTCTTAAATGAATATGATAAGCTTATCCTTTTTATTAAATTTAAATAGATTCATATGAATTAAAAATCTCACTATCTTTATTATCAGTTACTTTTATTATAGGTAATAAATCACTAAGAATACCAATTTAGATTATATTATATGATGATGGTAATTTAATTCTATATACATTCTCATTCCTCTCAAATAGATAATCTTATATCTCTTAATTAATCTCAATATCCTATATATCTTTATATAAATGCAATTAACTACTAATTGTAGTTTCTTCTTTAAAATTCAAATCTCCACTTAACACAACTAATACTTTGCACTTTTCACAATCCTTACTATTTAATGCCACTGATAATTAAACTTCATCTCCATATAACTTTGCCCTATCATCAAACACTTCTATTTTTATTTTATCTGATTCATCATCCAATAATTTAAATTCTCCCACTAATCTATCATATTAACTTGGTAGCATAATCTAAACAATTAAAGCTGGTTATTTTTAACTCAAACTCAATTCTTACAATTAAGTTGTCATATCTATAACATCACTATTCACTAAAGTAATCCTGCCCTTACATGGAGATGTAATACATTTTAAATTAATCTCACTTGATTTCTATTTAAATATTGCATTTTCATAAAATCCTTCAATTTTATATGTATCATCTGCACTTTTAAATTAAATCTCTCCCAAATCACTATTCTTTTCATCTTCCTGAGGACGCACATATAATATACAATAATCCTTATCTGATTTAGTTGAGAGATCTACTTAAATTGACTTACCCTCTTTCAAATCAAATAAGAAATCCTTCTATTTTTTAGCCATCACTTGGATGATCATCAAAATTATTCCACTAATGAAGGCAATCATTAATTAAATTAAATTTATTCATAATTAGAAGAATTAAACAAAAAAGAGATCATAATTAAATAAATCAATTTACTTATACAATAACAAAATTTAACCTCATCTAAAGGTAATTAAGACATGGCTGAGTTTATGGTAATTAATAGACTCAGAAATTTTGATACTTATGTTCAATTATGTGAGATAACAGGAAAATGTTTAGGATAAACAAGATCAGATATTAAAGAAAATCATAAATAAATAAAATGATGTGTTACATATTTAATTATTGCAATATTGATTAAAAAGAAAGAAGAATAACAAAAAGATCTCTGTAAGTATTAAAAAGTCTTAATCGTTCACATTAACAATCTTTATATAATAAAAAATTAAAAAATATTAATTTTGAAATTGCTTAAAGTCATAAATGAAATATAATCTTAACAATCCATAAGAGATAAAGTTAAACTTGAGGAATCTATTCAGAATAAATAAAGAAGGAATTATTTTAAATTGATAAATGAAAGATTATCAATTAATCTGCTCTACATTAAATCTGTATCTGATCAATTAATTAAGGAATTCTTATATTATTATTATACTTATTGTAAGTCAATTAATAAAGATTTTATGTATGTAATATCTAATAAGTCATGATCTTGATATCTCATTATTTTATTTTATTTCATACAGTTATCAATTATCAATACTATTTTTCTATAATTTTAACAATCATCTAAAATTTTAAAGACCTACCCTATTATGCTAAACAATCAAACCAATTAAGAATAAATATATAGCAACGATAATCAATTGGAAAATACTTGTCCATAAACTAAATTATGTAAATAGTCTGATCCAATTGCTGAATGGGAAGATTAGAAGACAGAATCTATTCTTAAGAGTAATCATCTTTCAATCACTTCAGATGATTAATCTTAAGACAGAAAAAGATTTTATTCTAATAATGAATTTAGAAAAGTGTCATTTGATGAAAGTCTCAATACAGTGCATACTTATTCTAAAGATAATAAAAAAGAAATCAAAAATTTTGAGACTAGTTTTAAACATAAGAAAAAGGTAGACAAATCTGATATTCCAAAATCTAAGAGATTTGGAAATCACAAACAGAGAAAAAACTCTTTTTGATAAATAATTAGATATCACATACGTTATACATTTAAAACACCTTTTTGGATAAGTATTTGTAATTTCTACATTAATTATGGATCTTTGTAAGCAATTTCTTAAAAGTCAGCTTTTCCTGTTCTTTATAAATATTCAATAAATGCTTGTACTCTTGGATCTTGTAAAACAGCTTTTACTTCTTTATCATTTTCTATAATATATTATATCTTTTCTTCTTAGGTTTATGGTTATTTTTTTTGTGGATTCTAATCAACAGGAATTATTTTTGGTTATTATTATTATTGTTATTATTATTATTATTATTATTATTATGGCTTATCTTATTTTTAAGGTTTTAATTATTGGAAATGTTCACCCATAGTTTTCATATACTCTGACATTAATTCTAAAAATTCAGGATTATTCTTGTATCTCTACATAACACCAGTTGGATTACTCTGCATCTATTATACAGCTGATAAATATTCTGGATTAGTAAATAATTTTTATAATTTTGGATTGTTAGCAATCTAGAATTTAATTCAACATCATTTTACTTTTTATAATAAATCTTAGTTTAACCATTCCTCTTTATTTTATGTCAAGAATTATCCAAATTGTGAATAATTATTTTATTTCATATTTTCTTAAACTTCATTAATTTCTAAAGGATTTTTCTTTTCTTTAGGTTTAATAATATCATCATCTTTCTTTTCATCATTCAAGAAACCTTTTTTTAAACCTTTGAAATCACTCTCTTATTTTTTCGGTTGTTGGATTTGAATAGGTTTATCCTCAACAGGTTTAGTGTAATCACCAATATCAATTGCTGCTTCCTTTTTCTTTTATAATTATTCACTAAAATCTTCCAAATCAGGGATATCATCGTCCATGATTAATATATTAAATATTAAACTAAAAAAGTTAATTGTTCTTAGAAACATAAGAATTATTTAATAATTATAACGATTTAAAATTCAAATGAGTAGAAGCAATTAAGGACCTTCAATTTCAACTCTTGTTCCTATTCTATAAAGACAATGTCCAACTGGTCGAGTCACATTAAATGATATGTATATTGGGGATATGGGAGCAAAATTAGTAGCAGACACAATCAAAAATTATCCAAATATTGGAATCCTTGATCTCAAAGGAAATAATATTAGTCCCAACGGATTTATAGAAATATTTTAAGCACTCAAAACTAACATTGTAAATCTTTAGTATTTATTAAGAGTCCTTAAGAACTTTAACTTTATAATGGAATTAACTTTGTGCAAACAATAATTTAAAAGCTCTTGAACTATTGTATCAAGTTATGTCTATAAATAAATCAATTACTCATATTGATATATAAAATAATAGATTGAACACTACATGTGCAGGATTACTTGCAAATATTATTCGAAATAATCCTTAATTGAGAACATTGGATCTGAGATGGAATGAATTGGGAAATTAAGGAGTAAGAATGTTAATCCCAGCTGCTGCTGCCAATGGTTATATTTTATCTATTGAAATATAAGGAAATGGAGCAACAGAAGATTCAATTAGAGAATTGAATTCAGTTCTTAAATAGAATAAAGACAATGTGAATATGGCTGGAATGTAAGATCCAGGTAAAAATTAAGGAAGATACTAACCTGGATAGAGATAACCACTTAAGGAAATGGCATAACATTTAGAGGAAGAAAGAAGAGCTGTTGCTAAACATTTAGAAAAATTAATCGAAAGAGAAAGAGCCTTAGGTTTATAATTAAAAGAAGAATATGAAGAAAAGACTTTATAATGGAGATAAAAGCTTTTAGGAAACTAAGCAAAATAAGATTAATTAGAAAGAAATGCTGGCGAGTTATAGAATCATAAAAATATATTAAAAAATGAAATTTAAAAATGGGATAATAATATCAAATAAATTTAATAATAAAGATCATTTACTACAAAAGCTTTAGAAGAGAGATATTAAGAAACTGAGAAAAATATTAGAGATCTTGAAAAGAAGCAATAAGAAGAATTAGCAGAATAATAAAGAGCACATTTTTTTAATTTAAGAGAAATAGATAATGAATGGGGTTAAAAATGTGATTAAATGATGGATGAAAATAGAAAATTAGATGATCATATATAAATTTAATCACAATAATGTAATAAGGTTAAAGATGATATTGCTAAATTTAATTCAACAACTTAAATTTAAACTATGGAAGTTATTGAAAAAGTTAAGAAATTAGTATTAGAAGAGTTTAAAGAAAAATTAAACTAAATGGAAAAATAAGTAGAAAGAATAGATTAAGATAGACTAAAAATTATTAGAGACAGTCAATAATCAATCTTAGAAGCTCAGAAAGATCTTAGATAAATAACAGAATAATATGCTGATATGTTAAAAGATAAGGTCAGAATGGAATTAGAAGATAGAAATCTTTCTGTAGATAATTATCAATTAGAATAATTTGCATCTACAATTACTTAAGATTTAGCATATAGAAAAGATCTTGAAAAAAAAGTGCTTGAATAGTTAACAAAAATAAAAGAGAAGGAATTTAAAATAAATAATCATGAAGTTGAATAGTTGAATAAAATTAATAATAATTTTAAAAATGATACTACTTATCACTCCAAATTTAAAGAAGTAATATTATAAAAAAATATTATTTTAGGATAGTAGACATAGGGAAGAAGCCTTAGATAAAACATTAAGAGAGAGTGACATTGAAAATCATAAATTAGCTAAAGATATTAATAAATTAACTGAGCTACTATCAGCTAAAACAATTAAAGCAGTTTTATCAACATTTTAAGAACACAAAGTTTTTTGAAAATATAGATATAACATCTAATCTATCAATAGTTCTTATTAAATATATATATATTTATTTAAAAAATCAAAAATAATCTTTTTCCTTATTCATTTTTTATTTTTCATATCCCTCAATAATATTTTTATAATCACAAACATATATTATATAATATTTTATTCAAAAAAGAAAAAATTTAATTTCTACTCCAATAAAATATTTAGTATTTAATGTAATCTAGATTTTAGAATTTTCACAATTGCAATTAATAAACTAAATACTTTAATAAAAGTATTATCCTTTCTTAATATTTTTTTTTGATATTATTATAGTATAAACAATTAAATTCATAAGAATAGAATATCTAGTTTATGTTCTAATTAATTTTTTTATTTTTAATTAATTTAAATGGAGGAAAAACTTTCAGAGTTAAAGCTTTAAGTTGATCAACTAACTGAAGAGGCAGAATATGATTTTCAAAAAGGAGAACATTATAAGTCTTAAGTTACATCAATAATTAAATAAATTGACTCCTTGATTGATAATGAAGATTTAGAGAGTAATTTGAATATTAAAATTTATTAGTCTCAAAGAAACATAAAATAGAGCTATATTTTTTGAAAGGAAAGGCATCTGATATTCTACCAGAATATTCAAAATTTGCCGAAGAGGCACTTACTAAAGCAGTAATATTAATTCAAAATCAATTTAGATGAAATTAAATCCTTTTCACATAGACAGCTTAAATACACTAGGACATATATTATGGAAGAAAAAGGATTTTGTTGCAGCAAGATAATGTTTTGAAACTGCAATTGAAAAAGATCCAAATAATATCAAGTCACTATAATATTTGTCTATTGTATTGAGACAGGTTGGAGATCAAAAAGATAAGAGTTAAAATGTTACAAAATCATTAGAAATTGCAAAGAAAGCTTTAACTTTTGATTTAAAAAATGCTTAATCTTGGTATTTGGTTGGAAATGCATACCTTTCTGATTATTTTATGAATCCAAAGAAAAATAATAATGAATTAAATTTGGCTTTATCTGCCTACAATTAATCAGAAAAGAATTAAACTAGAGAAAATCCTGATTTGTATTTTAATAGAGGAAATGTATTTTATATCTTTTTATTTTAGATTCATTGTTATTTTGAAGATTATCAATTAGCCTTTAATGATTATACTAAGGCAAATAAGATTGATTAATCATTAACAAATGATACATTAAAGTAAGTTCAATAGAAAGTGCTAAAAGTATATGATTTGGTTACAAATAAATGTAGAATAACATAGAAAAAGCTATAGAACATAGTGAAATAAATTCCAATAGGTTTGAGAGAATAACCAAAAGGATTTGATCATCCACTTTAAATGTGTACTATAGGAGATCTTAAAGATGGAATAAACAAAGGATTAATTTTAGCTAGTAAAAGTTTGGTAAGTTATACACAGTAAAATACAGTGCCTGCTGGATTTGTTATAGTTGATAGTAAATTAAATTTTGCTAGTTTATCAATTTATAATGCTTCATAAGAAATTTATGAAAAAATTAGAGAATTAACAGATGTATTTATAATTGAACCAGAAGTGAAGTAAATAAATTGTGAAATAGATGGAAAAGTAATAATTATAGAGATTATAATAGGAAATATCTTATATGTGTATATAAGTAAAAGATGCAAATAAGATTTATGTTGAAAATGAAAAAATAGTGAATTAACTAGCACATTCAATGGTTGTTAATTAAACATTTGAGAAATGAGATTTTGATCTATATTATTTTTGATTGAAGTATCATAATGATTATAAATTAATTTTCATTTTAGAAAAAGATTCATTAATTTCCATTATGGATAATCAATTCCATTAATTAAATTACTATATTAAATGTTATAAGGAGAAGCAAATTTTGCTGAAAAGAGACAATTGAGAAGAGCAAGAACTAATTTTGAGAATGAAATGTAAATTTTATATTTATTGATAAAGGGATGATGGGATGAATGAATAAATGACTTGTTATGAAAATGTTTTAAATTGTTTTGGATCCTTTTTTGGAACTTTAAGAGCTTGGTTACCATGTTGTTGTTGTTTTTGTCCATATCCTTATTATGAAATAACCTAAGGGTAAAAAGGATTGTTATAAAAATTTGGAAAATATCAAAGAACTTTGGAACCTGGACTACATGAATTCAATCCGTAATTAATTAATATTGATTTCTTAGTTTTACAGATAGAATTATTCCTGTAAGCACAAAGACATTGTAAAACAATCAATTTAATATTTAAGTATCATCGATTTAGAAAGATAACTAATTTTGTCTAAAGACAATATTACTGTTAATATTGATACTATTGTATATTACAGAATTGTTGATGTGTGTAGATCAGCTTATAGAGTTAAAAAAATTGTTGAAGCAGTTAAGGAAATAACTTTTGCAGTAATAATTTATTAATTTTCAGACTCTTAGAACAGTTGCTGGTGAACATACATTATAGGATATTATTGAGAACAGATAAAAGATTGCTGATGAAATAGAAGGATTCGTATTTGATGTTGTTTCAGAATGGGGTATCAGATTTTGTTAATTTCAATATAGGAATCTATTTAGAACATATTTTTATCAAAGATATGTAAATGGGAGAAGAATTATAAGCTTCCCTTTCTAATGCTCCTAAGGCTTAAAGACTTGCTTAGTCGAAAATCATTTCAGCAAAAGTACTATTTTATATAAATAAAAAGAGTGACGTTGAAGCTGCTAAACTTATGAGAGAAGCTGCTGATATGTTGGATTCCAAAGCAGCTATGTAAATTAGATATTTTGAAACTATTTAATAAATTGCCAAAAACAAAAATCCAAAAATATTGTTCCTGTCTATGGATTAAACTTCAAAAAAATGATAATAGATTTTAGCTATTCATAGATCATAAAATAATCAATTATGAATTTTAATTTAGATGTCATTTATATTATGATCTAATCATTTTAATTAAGAACTTATTAGTCTGATTTATTGTCTAATAAATATCAAATTAAAAATGAATTAAACAGGAGATTTACAAGTTTTAAATCACTAATTGAACATCTAAAATGGCAAGTTATCTCTTTAAGTAGAAGTCTTATCATAATAAATCTAACTACTTTAAAAATAAATACTATAATTATAAGCAAAAGTAGCAGATTACTAAAACTTAAAGGAAGAAAATATCACACTAAAAAAGGATATTATGAATTTATAAGAATAAATTTAAGTCCAAGAATCAGAGTAATAACTAGTTCAAGAAAGTTAATTCAATCAACATCTTGAAGAAATGTAAACAAGACATAAAAAACAAATATAAGACTTAAAAACTTTATATGAGGATAAAATTATATTATTATAGAAAGAGAGGTCCTCTATGTAAGATTAAGCTATTTAAATGGGAGTATCAAATTAAGCTTCAAAAACTTTAGAATTGTAGGCTGCTAAAATATTATAAATAAGTCATAAGTTAGAGTATTTATTTTTAATTAATTCAGAAAAACGTTGTCTGATCTTCCATCTCAGAGTCCTAGTCATGGACATATTGGAATATCTAAAGAAACATATAATTAAATGCTGGACCAATTAAAAAGCAAGTCTTCTAAAAATATTATCTTAGAAAAAATACCAGATTAACAAAATTTGTAAATTTATTAAATATGATTTAGTTCTCAACGATACAAAAAGACTTCCGTCATCAATATTAAAAAAGAGCCCACTTTTAGTGTTAAAAAAATATTACATTACAATAAACCTCAAGATTCAACTAGAACTTAAAATTCTGCAATTGCTCTCACTATAAGTACATTAACCAAGAAATCTTGATCATAATTTTACTTAAAAAATAATTATTCAATAATTTTAATGTAAATTTTTTATATTATGATTAAGAATTTATGTTTAATAAAATTTATTAAATTAATATATAATTTAATTTTTAGTTTATAGAAAATTGAATAGGGATGATTATTACAACATATTTAAACTAAATAAATATCAATAATAATGATTAATTAAATCTATTTCTCTTAGAACTGATTATCGACCATTCCTATTCCTATTTGGAGTTCCAATAACATAGGTTGAAGATGACCGAACTTCTCGAACAGGAGTAGAACGCTTTATTTAAGTCTCAAGAAATCTGTTCTTAGATTTTTCATAACATTTCTCATCAATTAGTCTACTGTTATCTTTTTTTAATGACTAGACTCGGCATTCTATTAATATAGTTAATTTTAATAAATTACCCATCTCAGTAATTAGTTTTGAACTTTACTTTTCAGATTTTTTTAGTTATTATTACCATTATTAACATTATTCCTTTAAATTTTTATTCTCTTCTATTAATGTTGCAATTTATGAATGCAATTGAGCAACAAATGAATTGTACTGAATTTATTAAGCTTCAGATAATCCTTTTAATTCTAATCTAAAATTTTAAATATATTATTTTACTTATACACATGATCTATATTTATTAAATGCTTCTATTAATCTACAATTAGATCTTATACTTGCAATTTAAAATATTCTTATTGTTACATTATCTCTGTTTTTAACAACTAATTTTCTGTATTTAAATTTTAAATAATATTTTCTAAACCTCTTTTTTCTAATGTAATTTATTAAGAATAATTTTCAAGTTTTTCTCTCTCTTAAGCAATCTCTTTTTCAATTTTAACTTTCAAACTTGAATCTACAGCCTTTTTTAAAGCTTCAATTTCTTTTTGATGTTTTTCTTTAAGTAAATTCAATTATTCTCTTAATTAAATAGTTTCAACTAATTCTTAAGATTAAATTTCAATTTTATTTTCTGCAAATTTCAATTATTAATGGGTTTCTGATAATAATTATTGTATTTAATTTAAATTAGATAAAGTTTCTTATAAATTATTTGTTATTTTGATATTTTCTTCTTATAATTTATTTAATTTGGTTTAAAGTTATTGTATTTCATCTTAAAATCGTTATAACTTCTCAAGTTAATCTTTATTTTACATTTCATAATTTTCTTCCATACGAATTGTCTTTAATTTCCAATTATCTATTTCATTACTCTATTCTACTGTAAGTTATTAAAGTCTATGTAATTCATTTCTAAGACTTTGTATTTATGGTCTAGTTTCTTCAATTTCCTCACCTTTCATATTACTTTGATAAGCTAATTATTAGATGTAGGAAGTCTATTCTTCTATTTTCTATAATAAGACATTGATTTTCTCATTTAGATTGTTAATTTCTTTATTTTTTTATTATAAAATTTGTTCTGTTTACTAACTTTATAATAATAATAATTACTAATTTATTTTATTGTTAATTTTATAACAATTTGATATCAAATTGGTTTTACTATTATTTTAAGTATGATGTATTCTCTTGGAATAGTTTATCAAATTTTAATTTTTAAGCTTCTAATTCTTTATATTGCATAAGCAATTATTATTCTTTAGTTATAATTTCTTAAGCATTATCTGCTAATTATTTCTCTAGATTATTGGTTTTAGTAATTTCATGATTTAAATTTTATCTAGTTTAATTAAGTAGTTTTTATAAATCCTCATTTTCCATAATTACTTATTAAACTTACTTTTTAAAATTATTAATTTCCTTATTATAATTATGCTAATTTTCCTAATTTTATAATTTATGATTTCTATTTAATTCATTTAAGTTGGATTTCATTTAATTTATTTCAATTTTATATTGTTAAAATTCTTATTCATTTTTTTCTAATTATAATCTTTCTTCTTTTTCTAATAATTTCAATTCTTCCAATTAAATAATCAATTCTTCATATTTTATTCTTCTATTCTCTATATCCTTTTCATAATTGATCAATTTCTATTTTTATTATCTATTTTCATTAATTTATTATTCTAATTATATTTATAATTATTAGATCTTTTCTGTATTCTTCTTTATAACTGCATCTTGTTATTCAATAATGTTAGTGATTTATTGATTATTATTAAGTAATTCATTTCCTTTTTTGTCTTTATAATCAATTTGTTCTTTAGCAATTTATAATTCTTTAGAATAACTCTTTAATTTCTCTTCATAAGATTAAATAAGATCTGAATTTTATTTTAATTCATTTAGAAGCTTCTCAATATTTGCAGTCAAATTCTTATTTTATTATTCATATAATTCTCCATAATGAGCTTTCCATTTTTATTCAATTATTTCAGTTTCAACTTAAAACTTTTTTTGTAATGATTCATATTGATAAGATAGTTCTTCTAGTTAGATTTATAAACTCTAATTCATTAAAACTACCTTCTCATTTTCATATATCATTTTTGTAGTTCTATTTTCAATTGTTCTATATCTCTCATCTTTCTATTATTAGTAAGCATTCTATAACATTCTTTATTCTTCTTATAACAATTCAATTTCTCTATTTTTATCACTTAATTATGACAATAATCTTTCATTTTCAGTAGCTAACATAACTACTTTATTTTCCAATTCTTAAACAGTTAATCTTTATTAACTATGATTTAACTCTGCTAATAGATCTCTTTAATAAAAATGATAATCCTTTTTATCACTAAGATTGCTGATATTATGAAGGGATGAATCTTTATCTAAGTACGTCTGTCGAGCGTCATACATTATATTTAAATTTAAAATACTTTAAACTGTTAATTGAATTATTTATTTTATAGATATTCTCTATATAAAATTGGAATCTATAGATAATAAGAATGTCAATTCAAACATTAATAATAATAGATATACTCTTAAATATTTATAAACAAAATTAATAAGAATATTTAAAGTGAAATCTGAATTAAGCTCCTTATATTTTGCTATACATTTTATATTTAAAATCGATTATTAAAAGAAATAATAATTTATAAATGAATCCTCAGGTTTTTCAACATAAGTTTGATAAATAAAAATAGAGAACTCTAACATTGATATAAAAATTAGATAAAGACCAAAGATAATTAGAAAAAATAAAGTAAAGAAATATTTTGAGAGTTGAACGTTTGATGTCTTTAAATTAGAAAGATTTAAACAATCTCTGCAATTATAGTTTAACAACAGATCATAAGAATGAAACAAAATTTAGTTTTCATAATAGAAAAAATACTTTTTCAATCAAATTAGAATCCTTAGAGGATTATTTTGCTTTTAAGAAAATAGATATGAATAATCAAAATAGAAATTATTGGTATTTATTATATTTGATTAGAGTAGGGCAAGATTAGCATATAGATAAACTTTATAAAATAGTGATAGATAATATAGAAATATTTGATAGAGAATGTTTTATTTGAATGTTCATGATTATAATTATTTATTATAAATAATCAAAAAAAATATTAATAGGATGAAAAAATGGGATGATGATGCAAGGTTAAAGACTTATGTAAATAAAATTCTAAATGTCAAATCAACTATGTAAAATAAATTAAATACTGCCTCAAAAAGTAATGATTTGATATCATTTTGATTTTAGAAAGAATCAATAGAGATACTGAATATAGTAGCAATGCAACACATCGATCAGATTAAACAAGTTTTAAAGATAGCATTCTTTATAAGTAATTAGAATAATATAATAATAGATAATTAGTGGAGTACAATTTATAATAATATACAAATAAATTATTGTTAAGAGGATATAAGAGTGGTTTACAATAATTAGCATAATAATCATAAGATTCATAAAACATTGTCTTATAAGAGATAAAACCATTGCCTGGACATAAATAAAAATTTATAGATTTATTCAAACAATTAAATGAACATTAAGAATCTGGCAATGACAATAAAATAGTAAATTATAATAGTTTTGCTTAAAATCGAAATACTTTACCTAGCTAATTAAATTCGCATGGATAATTTGAATAAACTAAAGAAGTATACATGGAAATACTTAAACCAATAAATAGAAGAGCATCTATGAAACATTTCTCACCTTCCCACGAATAGACCTAAATCAAACCAAGAGTATTACCAAAATTAGAAAAAGTTTAAAGTAAAGGAAAAAAAGAAAGGAGTCCTTAATTTGATGAAATAAATTCTAAATAAATAGATTTATAAGTTAATAACGTTGCATAGATACTAAATACAAAAGAGAGTATTTCAAAACCAACATCCAAAAACATTAAAAATCCTATTTCAAATTAAAAAAACTAAACATAGTCTATATAAAGAACTCATTAAGATAAACCAAATAAATTTATTAATAAATTATTACTGATTAATGGAAAAAACAATAATGAAGTACATTTAGAAAGAGAATCAATCTAATTAATGTATCAATCTTTTGACAATGGAAGATTAGCATCAACATTAATCAACATAGACATAGAAGAAATAAGTTATTGTGTTGGAATTTCAATTTAAAAAATGATGGTTTAAGCAGATTTAGATAATATACAAAACATTAATAATAATTTAATCTAATAGGTTGATGATAATGTATCCAGTTAATCAGAGAGTATGAAATAATAATAACGTTAGGTTAGAATGTCATAAATGATGAAAATGATGGAGATTACTTTTAAGATTAGAATTTTCTAAGGCAGCAAGACGTTAATGAAAAATAGTCTGTGAAAAAAGAACAACTCTATTAAGATGAAGAACTAGATTATCTTGAAGATTTAGAAAATAATGAATAATAAAATAATAATCCTCAGTCAGAGTACTTGGACTAATAATTCTAACCTGATGATGAAAATAAGTTATTATCTAATATTATTATTTAGTTAGTAAATACCTAAATCACAATTTTCAGTTGACACAACACTAAATTAATAAGAATCATTTTTATTTAATAAAGTATTTATTGATATGTAGTTGGCAAATTACATACCAAATGTAGATATCATTCAAAATTATTGTAAAAACATAATGACAACAACTAAAATGGAAAGAGAAGTAGCAATTATATCGATGATATATATAAATAGATTGTTAGAACATAATCAAGGATTAGAAATTAATTGTCTGAATTGGCAGAAAATTTTATTTACAGCTTTAGTTATGGCTTCTAAAATATGGGATGATGAATCATTTGAAAATAATAATTTTGCCAAAGTACTACCATAGTTTTCAACCATTTAAATAAATGAAATGGAGAAGGTTTTTTTAAAATTAATTGAATATCATCTTTATGTTAATTCTGGAGATTATGCTAAATAGTATTTTTTATTGAGAACTTATGCAGATAAAAAATAACGAAGTTATGCTGTTAAATAATTAGATATTGCAACAGTTCTAAGATTATAAAGAGGTGGTCAATAGTTGATAACAAAGCAATAATTTTTAAACACTTAAAATAAAAGTTTTTGAGATTACTTCTAATTATAACTATTTAAATAAATAGCTATCTCTCTCTCTTATTTACTAATCATTTTCAGTATTATATTATAATAACTTATTTTAAGAAATAAATTAAAATATGTAACTCATTTCTTCTTTTATTTAGGATCTGTTTTATCTTATTTAATATAATTTAAAAATATACCTTATGCTTTTGTGTCTTTCTTATCATTTTTTCCTTAATTTTTATCTTACGGATTTTTTTCCTTTTAATCTTTATTACCTTTCTAAGGTGATTTATTTTTTTCATTTTTATCATTTTTTGGATCTGCTTTACCATCAATTTTACTTGCTTGAAGCTATGCCTTGAGTCTTTCATCTTAATTTATTTGAAGATATGCTACTTAATTAAAGTTCAGCCAAAGATTTAGCCATTGTCTGTTGTCGAAACTGTTCAGCTTATTTCTTTTTTTCATATTTTAAAACAGCTTAAGCAGCATACTCATAAACATTTCCACTTGGAAAACCATCCTTACAAAGCCGTCTCAAAAAATATTCGTAAGCAGCCAATACACCACTATTATTCAATATTTATTCTTATCAATATTTTAAATGCATTATACATTTTTATTCTAGGATATGTTTTTCTTCATTATTTTACTCTTGATTTCCTTACTATTTATCTAAAGTATCATCCATCTATCCTTACTACTAAATTATTTATAATATTAATTATAATGAAAAACTATGAATAATAAGTAGATATTTAAACTAATTTAGTCTATTCCTCTTGATCAGGAATTTAGTGACTAAAATATTTTTACATACTATTAAAGATCCAATTAAATCCGCCCTAAAATGAGACTCTTTGCTTTATAATAAAACATTATAAAAAGATAACCTAATGATAATGTCAATCACTTGTAAATTCAATCTAGTATGAATATCATATATATTTTTATGAGCCCAAAAACTTTTAATCAGCAAGTTTACCCAAATAAAGTTTTACCAATAGAGAAAACTCTCAAAGAAAATAAAATAAAATTAAGAGCCTCTCGACTGAAATTCCATAAATAAGTCAAAAATTTAGATCTTTAAAAGGAATTTCAGCTAAGAATAAATTAATCTAATAATCTAAAAAGAAAAATCTGTAAATCCCATCTTGTGACATAAAGCTTAATTAAAAAGAAGGTATTCGAAACACCCGTGTATAAAGATTTCAATAAACATTATACTGAGTAAAAGCCCCAAACCTTTCGTTACAAAGACTTAGACCTTAATTCATATATTGAAGAATATAAATTGATAAAGTAATAAACAATTGCTACTGTGATACTACCTAATGTTTTTTAGCATTAAAATAGGAATGATAATAGTTAATCTAGTAGATTATCAATCTAACCATATTAACATTCTTTTAAACCTAAAATTAAAACTATATCAATATCTTAAAATAAGTATATTTAACAAAAGAATTTTAATATAAGTGGTTGGAGTGATCATTCAAATAAATGAAATATTTTATTTTTATATAATTATTTATATTCTTATGATTATTTAAATTTGTTTATTTTCCAGAATAAATACAGAAATTTAAATAATTCAAAACATTAAAAATATTTTTATTTTTTTTTTTAATTATGAATCCCGCCTAAACCATTGCATAACAATTCCTTTAACAATACTATTAGACTTTAATGACCAATAAAATGGGATTAATCTAATTTTATACAGATGCCTCTCATATGACATATGGTTTTTCATATATTTTTATTATTTATAGGTGGATAATAACATGATGGCTTAAAATAAATCAACGAGAAATTAGAATCATTGGCCTTTTAAAAAATAGTTTATAAAATTGATGATATGGATGTTTAACCAGGAGCATTGGAGAATTCTTTATTCATTTTTGTAACTGGATAATTGCAGATGGATGATGCTGAGACATACAAATTCTCATAAAGTTTTTAAATTCTTCCAAATGGCTAAGGAGGTTTATACGTGCATAATGATATCTTCAGATTAGTTTATTGATATATATATTAATAATAAAAATTATTAAAAATGGGATTCGAAGATTAGATTCCACCAATTCCAAATAGAGATTAAGAAAAGAGATATATAGCCACAGTAGAAAAGTCTTTCTATGATCAACCACTCTATAAATTTTATATGAATGAAGCTTTAAGAGAAAGAAAAATGGATTATGCTGATAAATTAAATACATTCAAATATGAATGGATCCTTAACTTTGCTGCTTCTGGAATCGTATTCAGTTTATTATATGTAACATTTAATATTGATTTATCAGTTCATCCCTGTGTCATATTTTTATAGATAAACAACCACTGGTGTTCCAACATATTATCAGTATTATTCTAAAATTATATTTTAGACCAAAGAATAAAGCTGTATTCAAATAAGGATACTTGTAAAATCAAAATTGGAAAAGATTTAAATTGTATTCATTCCTAGTTTTTGGATCAGCATTCATATTTGCTCATACATATACCGATAGATCATAAATTCATGATGAATATTACAATAATGTTGGTGTCATCAAACCAAAGTTTGAATGATATAAATCGATAAATATACAAAATTATATTATAATAATCATAATCACTATTAACATACTTATTTTAGCAATTTCTATTTAAATACATAATAATAATAAGATAATTAAAATGTATTGATTTTTCTTATTTAATCTATTAACAGATAAAATATTTAGTTGTTAAGACAAAAAGATTAATTAAAGCACATTAAAATGAGTATCATATTATTCAAAATAATATCAAATTAATATTATTAATTCTATTTCATGCAATTTCATTGGTTTCAGGTACTTACATTTCCATAGAATTACCTTCTATAGGCATAGGATTCATGCCATATATGTAACTATTAAGTCTTCCCAATAATCGATTTTAAGGTTATAGATGAGGAGGTAATTCATTTCTTTCACAAATAGGGGGAGGATCAAATTTCATGATTCTTTTTAGCATATCTTTCCATGATTCTCTTGGATCTACTACTGGATCATTGTACACTCGACCTTTAATTAAATTTATATTATGCCTTACCTAATGGTTTTGTTGTGAAATCACCAACATTTTAAGGCATGATTGATTATTATAATGATTAAAGAAAAATTTCATAATTAACATATCTCCATTATTTTATAGTTCTTATTAATTCATAACTTGAAGCTTCTTAGATCAATTTATCAAATTCATAAATAATATAAGCGGAATCATAATTCCCCAATAAAATAGCATAATCTAGTGCTGTAAATCCTTCTCTTGATCTTTTAGAGATGTCTGCATGAAATCTTAATAATGTGCAACAAATATTTGCATGATCTCTTTTGGCTGCCCACATTAACGGAGTCAACCCATCTTTATCAGATGCATCTAAATTTGCTCCTCCTTCACATAGTAACATAACCATATCTAAGCATCCTCTCCATGATGCTCTTGCTAAAGGAGTAATATTTCCAGCTGAATAGAGAATTGTATTTAATAATTCTGGGAATTATTTAAGAACTTATTATGCATTTTCAACATTATCTGTTTCTATTGCTTTTTATAGAAGTTTTTATGCTTATGAAGCACCCATGATGATTTAATCTCAAGTATTAAACTTAATAAAAATTAATTAATAAGTCTTATATTTATTAAAGATTATAATCTATAGATTCTTTTATTTTATTATATAAGTAATTAGAAAACGATCATTTATTATTAAAAATTATTATCAGAAACCAATAGTAATATATAACTTAAAAACTCAATTTCAAAGAAAATAATACATTTTAATTAGAATTTATAATTCTCTTAATAATAACTGTAAAATGAATATAGTGAGATGTAATTATAAGTAAAAAAATAATGAATAAATATATATAAATATATATCAATTTTTAGGGTACTTTAATTCATTATCTGGTATGNTATCAAATTAATATTATTAATTCTATTTCATGCAATTTCATTGGTTTCAGGTACTTACATTTCCATAGAATTACCTTCTATAGGCATAGGATTCATGCCATATATGTAACTATTAAGTCTTCCCAATAATCGATTTTAAGGTTATAGATGAGGAGGTAATTCATTTCTTTCACAAATAGGGGGAGGATCAAATTTCATGATTCTTTTTAGCATATCTTTCCATGATTCTCTTGGATCTACTACTGGATCATTGTACACTCGACCTTTAATTAAATTTATATTATGCCTTACCTAATGGTTTTGTTGTGAAATCACCAACATTTTAAGGCATGATTGATTATTATAATGATTAAAGAAAAATTTCATAATTAACATATCTCCATTATTTTATAGTTCTTATTAATTCATAACTTGAAGCTTCTTAGATCAATTTATCAAATTCATAAATAATATAAGCGGAATCATAATTCCCCAATAAAATAGCATAATCTAGTGCTGTAAATCCTTCTCTTGATCTTTTAGAGATGTCTGCATGAAATCTTAATAATGTGCAACAAATATTTGCATGATCTCTTTTGGCTGCCCACATTAACGGAGTCAACCCATCTTTATCAGATGCATCTAAATTTGCTCCTCCTTCACATAGTAACATAACCATATCTAAGCATCCTCTCCATGATGCTCTTGCTAAAGGAGTAATATTTCCAGCTGAATAGAGAATTGTATTTAATAATTCTGGGAATTATTTAAGAACTTATTATGCATTTTCAACATTATCTGTTTCTATTGCTTTTTATAGAAGTTTTTATGCTTATGAAGCACCCATGATGATTTAATCTCAAGTATTAAACTTAATAAAAATTAATTAATAAGTCTTATATTTATTAAAGATTATAATCTATAGATTCTTTTATTTTATTATATAAGTAATTAGAAAACGATCATTTATTATTAAAAATTATTATCAGAAACCAATAGTAATATATAACTTAAAAACTCAATTTCAAAGAAAATAATACATTTTAATTAGAATTTATAATTCTCTTAATAATAACTGTAAAATGAATATAGTGAGATGTAATTATAAGTAAAAAAATAATGAATAAATATATATAAATATATATCAATTTTTAGGGTACTTTAATTCATTATCTGGTATGAAATGAACAAAAATTTTAGGTTAAAATTCATTAAAATATTCAGGACCTTTTGAAAAATCATTTCCTAAAGCATATGCTAGTATGGAACCATCAGGACTCATTTTAGCACATACTATAGGATTACAATTAAATTGAAATGTTCTAATTTTATTCCTTATATTAATATCCCAAAAGATCATCTAACCTTCTCCTCCTGCAGTCATAAGAAAATGATTATTTTTGATATTCATCTAGATAGAATTTACAGGAAAGAAATAGTTTTGAATTTTTCCTTTTTAATTATCTTCAACCTAAAATAAAAATTATATATATACTTTATGAGCTTTAAAAGTCATGATTGATTTTAATTAATATTCAGTAGGCATACCTTAATTTGATTTAGTTGTTATATTAGTTTAATGTCCTCTACCATCAATTGAACCTAAAGTGAATCCATCTCTTGATGGAAAAATTGTAATTGCAGTTATTTATGAATAGGTTCCCAGAGGTGAATCAATATATTAAAATCTTCCTGGTAATTATTATAATTCATTCAAATTTATGATTGTTAATTTTTCAGATGCAAATCCAATTACTAATAATGGGAAATTTAAATCTGAAACAAGTGGTTTGAATTAAAATTGACATTAAAATCTTGGTTATCCTGGAGCTCTGACATCCCACATTTTTAATGATTAATCTGTAGAGATAGATAATATCATTTAAACAGATTCTATCCAATAAACAGAAATTATTAAAGCTTAATGTTGTCCTATTGAAGCAATTTAACCTGAGTTAATATCAATAACTTTCACTGTGTGATCAAATCCACAACCAACAAAGACTTAAGATAAATCTCCTTTTACATCCATACAAATTATAGGATTTTTAACTTATCCTACTTATCCATCAACTTAAAATGATCTTCTTTCAAATAATTCCCTTTTATATTAATTCTGTTGGATTTCTAATATTCTGACTTTTCCATCCCAAGAAGATATCGCAAGGAAATTAGGCATTGTTGTTCCCCAGCATATAGCTGATACTGTATCTTCCAATCTAACTCTTTATTCTAAAGTTACATCATTAACTGAATCATCTACACCTCCTGGCAATGCAATTTGATTACCAGGTTAACCTTGCTAACCTAATCCTCCTCCAATAGCTAAAACATTTTGACCCTATTATTGTGGTTATTACTAATTAAAAAGAGATGTCCCTCCAAATGAAGGAGTAGTTGTTTATTATCCATATCCATATCCTGCCTGTTATGTTTATTAAGGTGTCTATCCATATAAGCCTCCTTATTATTATTATCCATAGGGTTGAAGAGCAGATCCTTAAGTACCAAATAACCCTGTTGCTTGTTGCTATGGCTATTATTACCCAAATAGCATTGGCTATTATTATTATTATTGTTATTATTATTATTATCCAAACAATCCTCCTTAATTTTAAGTTTATTAACCAAATAAACCTCCTGTTTAAGGTGCTTAACCTACCATTCCTGTTTATTATCCAAATCCATTCCCAAGGTTTCCACCTAATCCTGTACCTAATCCTCCACTTAAGCCACCAAAATTAGAAGGTTATTACCCTAATACTGAAGTTTATCCTAAGCCACCTGTAGTACTAAATGTGTTTGGAGTTTATGATTAAAGTCCTAATCCTCCACCAAGTCCTCCTCCAAGGCCTCCACCTAGTCCTCCTTATGGCATTTAACCTCCAATTAATCCACCAAATCCTGGTTGTCCTTATGCACCTTGGGCTTAACCAAATAATCCTTATTATGGTGCAGGATTTGCAAATAATCCTCCTGATGGTGCTCCAAATGTTGATTGCTATTGTTGACCTTAATTGTCTTAAAATATCGTACCTAATAGTGATCCAATTCCTCCAGTCAATTAGCTTGTATTTTAGTTCCCAAACATACCTCCTCCAAACATAATAAATTTAAATTATTTAAAATAATTCTTAATAAATACTATATAAAATTTAATAATCCTAAATTACCTTATATTTTATCAAAATATAAAAATAAAATTACAATTAAAAAAGTCAGAATTAAATTAAAATAATTTTCTCATTATAAACTTACACAAAGAAATAAATAATAACTCAAACAGATCTTATATAAATTTAAACATAGAAATCATACTTCATCTAAAACCTTTATCATATTAAATCGATGAATAGATTGGTTGTGCTAATTATTTTTAACTTATTATTTTTCAAATAAATAATTTTGAATATGAAATAAGCCTAACCTTTAATACCTCTTGCTGTCGATGATAATAAGTAATACGATATTAAAAATGTACTCTAAAAATAAATTAAATAACTAAAACCAGAAGAATACCATTTCTTTAGTTTCCTAATTGCTACCAATCATGTTTTTGAGCAATTAACAAATTGCTAAAACAAATTAAATAATGATCCTACATTTAGTTTATGGAAGCTTTTTGAATTTTTTGATGTTAATGGAGATAGAAAATTGCAATTGGACGATTTTATTATCACATTACAAAAATTAGATATTCTGCTTAAAAGAGAAGAAATTGAGTCTTTATTTTCAACTTTAGGTGGAGAAGATGATAATATTATTTCCTATGCTGAGTTTGCCAATTTATTTAAATTCTCCTCGACACCTTAATGGAGATAATCAAAATTACCATCTGAAGGTGTTTTAAATTAAGATCAATAAAAATTAATACATTAAATATTTAGTTTATATGCAAAAATGGAAAGGAGCATTTTACATCTAAGAACATAAATAGGAAGTGATATTCAATAACTTGAAAATTTTTTTAGAAAACTAGATTAGAAATAAAAAGGCTATTTGATATTGAATGACATTATAACTTATGTTAAATCAATGGGGGTTCAAGTTAAAGGAAATGATTACTATAGAGTTTTCTTTATGCTTTAATAATATAAATCAGGTAGAATTAGTTTTAATGAGTTTCTTAAAAGGTTTTCTACTAAAGAAGCTTACAATAATTATTTACAATAATTAGATCTATTAATTCATCCTCCACAATTAGCTTAAAGATAAACAATAGAATAATAATAAGCTGTTCTTTAAACAAAAATTGAATATACAACTAATCTAGAAAGTAAACACATTTAATAAAATGAGATATAATCAAAGATATCTTAATAATCCAGATTTTCATAAGATCTTGATGATTCAATTAGATTACCAGGGTATACTAGATATATTTTTGGAAATAATTGATACATAATATTTATTATAAAATTTTAGTTTTTATACGTATTATTACTTGATTATTATTTTTATAAAAACAATAAAATAAAAGAAATATTTTGTATTCAGACCAATTAATAGTAAGTTCCTATTGATTATTACAAATAAAGACCAAAAACTAAAATTTAATAATATTAATTTATGCATTTTTAGCTTTGTTTATTACTGAGGGTAGGTAAGATTGCACATTTATTGAAATAAGTATTAATTCTTATATTATAATGAATTGAATTTCGATTATTATTTGAAATATAGACATTTATTTTCTTTATTATCATTAATGAATTCAAAAATGAAATATATTGATATAATAATTTGTTGTAAAAATATGATGAACTTTTTAAAATGAATTAGATTTTATTCTAATCTTATTGAAAATCCTCTTGACAATGAATCAAATTTGAATATAATTTTAGTTAACTTTAAAATTTTTATTTATTTATTAATGAACTCAGTATCCACTAACACTTCCTTTACGGATGTTAGGATTGTTAAAATCTATTTTAAGATTCATTACATAACACAATATGGATAGGCAATTTATTTATGTGGAGATGATGAATTTTTAGGAATGTGGGATCCTTGTAAGGCACTTCGTTTATAATGGAATTAGGTATATAATTATAATGAATACATAAGAATAACGAATGGACAATTTGTGTCAAAATGCCTAGGATTGCCCGAAAATTTGAGTACAAATTCTTAGTCAACGATTATAATGAGCCTTCCATTCACAAAGCTTATTGGGAACCTGGTGAAAATCGTATTATCACCAAACATTTGCTTCTTAATGGCAGGAAGAGCGAGTACTTCAATCGTAATACAGTTCTAATGTTATTCTAGAGGAATTTTGGGGATATAGAACTATAAAATTAAAACTCAATCACACCTTATAACCAAAAGAACGCATGATGATAATAGGATCTATTCCTGAGATTGGTTCCTGGAAATCACCTGTACTTATGAAATAGCAATTGAAAATTGATATTTGTAATAAATCAATCAAATGTTTCTAGTAACTCAAGAACCCATCCAATAATGGTCAATATCATTTATTGTAAATCCCTTAAACTTTTTCTTTCGTTATTATTATGTTATAAGAAATGATGAAACAGGAAATATGATATGGGAACGTGGCAATGGGCGTTACTTAAAAACAGCAGATTTATCTTCAATAAGGTAAGTGTTAGATTAATATGATCTTCATCCTATAAAAGTGAAGACTCAAATATATACAGCATTTTAGGCTAGGTAAATACATAAAAATGGATCATTCTCTTCTTCCAAAATACCAAAATCTAAGATCAAATAAAATAATTAGGGATACTCTTTTGCTGATAAAGAACCTTCCTTTTTTTATTATGAAGAATTTGGAAGATTAAATAAATTGGATTGGAATTTTGTAGTACAATTTTAAACTTATGAAATAAATGAGAATATATTAATAGGACCTTATCCATAAAATGAATAAGATATTCTCTATTTAAAATAAAAATAAGTTAGAGCAGTTCTCAATCTCTAAACTCGTCTTGATATGTTTCATCGTGGAGTTAATTGGGAGTAAATTGTAGATGCTTATAAACGACATAATATTGTGATGAAGAATTATTAAATATTTGATATGGATTCAGAAGATTTTGAAAAGAAATCTAATAAAGCAGTTTAAATTCTTAAAAAATTAATAAATGAGTATGAATATGTCTATGTTCATTGTACAGCTGGGATAGGTAGAGCTCCCTCAATAGTAGTACTTTATTTGGCATCAATCCTTCAATATGATTTAAAAGAAGCAATAGAATTTGTCAAACAAAAAAGACAGTAATTTTACATTAATTATTGTAACACTACTTATCTAATATTATATAGCAATGCTCAAAAAGTCATTCCAAAAAACGCTTGTATTTAATCATGGATTAGGATATTAAGATTTAACTTAAACACTTTGAGATTGAATCAAGACTTTGTTGTATAATTTATTAATTTCATTAATAGTAAATTTAATTTAAATAATACCAAAACTAACTTTATCATATTTATGAATTTCATTATTTATAATTATCTGGCATTTTAACATATTGTTATCTATTAATTGTAATATTTCTAATTATTTCAAAATTGTCTATATTATTTAATGTTAAATAATTTAAGTTCATATTTATCTAATAGTTAAAGTATTAAATAAATTGTTTATTCAATTTTATTTAGTCATTTGAGTTCTAATTCTAAATTATAGATAATTCATAAATATAATAACATAAACTAAATTTATTTATATATATTTAATAACTCTATATAATCATCATTGCAATTTTTATTGTTTTTTCATAGTACTTTGAAATGGATTTATTTTATATTCAATTTTCTTTTTTTTTGTAGCATTATTAACAGTAATTTCAGTTTCATTTCTTTTATGTGATTTATTCATTTTTTCATGTTCATTTTTTTCTTCAATTTTTTAAATTGCTTCTTAAGTTTTCCCTTTTCTATGATGAGCTAACTTTTTTTCTACCATTAACTCTTCAATACTTCTCAAATCAAAAACCAATTTTTAATTATCTTTTGTATCAATTTCTGTTGATTATTCTATTACTTTCAATTACTAAGTATTTTCTCTTTAAATAGTAACTACTGGTTCTGATTATTATAATTCTTGTTCTCCTTCATTAATTATTTTAACTTAAGAATAACTTCCTAATAAACATTCTTATTTTGTTTCCAATAATTTTAAAAAAGCTTAACAATTGATTATCTTCTTCTAAAATAAATTTGCTATATCTACAAATTTATCTCTATTTTATAGATTTTCAAATATTTTTTTCTTAAATTTATTAAAAAGTTCAATTAATTCTGTAACATTTGCAATTTAATAAACCATAGCAATTTTCCCTTTTCTTACAATAGTCTCAAATTTATTTTGAACAGAAATATCATTATTATTAGAAGATAAAGATTTCCATTAAAGGATATTCTAAAATTCATCAATAGTTTATTCAATATTTTTGAAATGATCAAATATTTAATTAGTGTTTTTCTATTTCAAAAATACACACAATAATATAAGTTAGCATTTAAGTACATGATTTTATTTTAATGGAAATTATAAATATCTATCATGAATTTCTATTATACTATGAATTTATCCTTCAATTTCTTTTGGATTCATTTTATCCAAAGATAATATAAGATACTTATCCTAAACCAAACCATATATTTCATCTTTTTTACTTTTATTTAAAGCTTTAATTAATTCTCCTAATAATTTAATAGCTTTTGTTTAACCATCTGTTCTCATCAAACCTTAAATATGAATTATCTATTTTCCAACCTTATTCAATAACACTGAAGTTTTAAGAGTAATTGGTTATTTAAAATATAGTGTTTAAAATGTCTAACCGAGAGCTTCATTTAATGTTTAGAATAAACTTAAATCTTATTCACATCTTACTTGTTATTTACTTTTTATTTTGAAAAAAGCTTCTTTTAATTTTGAAATTATTTATATTTTCTTAGCTTAATAATGCATTTGAATTACAAAATTATTACCTTTAGCTTTAGTTAATGTTCTATTAGATCGTTCAATAAATCTTATTGCACTTAAATATTGTCCATTAAATTCGAAAATAGATCCTATTATAAATTACAATTTAGAAATTATCTTCTTTTTAAATTCTCTTCCATTTCTATATTATTAATTCATATCATTAGCATAAAATAATGCAATATTCATAGCATGTCCTATATCATCCTATAAGACATGAATCCATAATTATTATAATACTAAAAACACTACTTCTTCTGCATAAATATGAAATGATCTTAACATTAATTCTTAAGCTCTTTTTAAACATAATAATGAATTTTCTTAATCATGTATATCAAAGTAACTCATTCCAAGTAGAAACTCTACTTTAGCTTTATTACTTGTAGCTAAATTTTTGACTTTAATATCTTTATATCTTATTTAAAATGGATTATATTCTGATTTATCTTATAGATCTTATTAATCTTCAATAGATTTGAATTCTGGAAAGAATTAATTGTAAATTACTAAACTCATCTCTAAATTTAACATAGCTGAAATTGGTGCTAAACTTATTCTTGCAATTTCACCACTGACTAATAATGAATAACCATATGATAATGATGCTTAATGTTAATTTTTCAATTAGAATCCTATAGCTTTTTATATTTTACTAATTGCTTAAAAATAATTATCTGAATTAAGATAAGATAAAGCTGACCAAACTTATAACATTACATGTTTTTTTTATTCAAGCAATCCTTTTGCTTAATTTTAACTCCTTAATCTATGATCCATTTACATTTTCTATTTTAATTGATTAGATATACATTTTGATAATTAATTTAAAATTACAAATGGCTTCTTTTAAGATAATGTCATTATTTAAAATAATAGAGTAATATGAAAATTATCAACACTATCATCTTTAATTGTTTTAATAATATCAATAACTTTATCCATTTTTTGAGAAACCATTTTTAATTTTTCTTACCATGAATCATCTGGAATTTGTCTAATAAAATAGAAAATATTAAGAATTTCCACATAACAATTTTAAAAGATAGGTTTCTATAAATTTTGAAATTTCTCATAATAAGCTTAAAATCTATTATTATATAATAAAGATTAATAAATTATTTCTAAATAAGTTTAGTCTACTTCTGAAAGTTTATCTTTATTTAAGGCAATAGATTTGTAATCTTCACAAATATTCACAGGAAAACTTTCCATTTATTTAACTTCACTCAAATCATCTAAATCAACTGAATTTGAATTAGATAATTTTTATTATTCTTAATTTTAATCTTATTAATCAAATTACTTTGAATCTTATTAAAAATCTACATCATTTAATTCTTTCTGAAGACTATTTGTAACTTATTTGATATCTTATATCAATTTATCAACATCAGTATTTTCATATGAATATATTGCCATTTTAAGAAATTCAAGTAGATAACGATCTTGATCATGACAAAATAATTTCTCAGCTAATAAACAATAATTCTTTTCATCTTCTAAATTCTCTAAATGATTTTTCTTCATATTAACAAAATACTTTTTTCTTGTTGTTGTTATGGATCTTAAATTTTAGTTTTAAACTCTTTTAAAATATATTATTATATCAGTTATTGCAAATAAATCTTTTTTAAAACTTTTTGCAAATGTCTTATATTTCTTTTCCTCTAAAGTCTTTAAAACAACTTCTGGATTTTAACCAAATTCTATTAATGTTTTCATTCTACCAAAGGATTCTAATTTAAATGATTTATATTTTGGAACATAAAATATTGTAGATAAAGTAAAATTAAGTCTATAAAGATATTTCTCATAACAATTAATAAGAATCTCTATTAAATTTAATGACAATTTTTTATGTAGGAAACTACTTAATTCACTTTTATCATTTAATAAAATCTATTACAGATCTTTTAAAGAATAAGAGAGACTATCATAAAACAATGCCAATCTATACATATTTGGTTAATCAAATTATGGAGGTATATCAAACAAAAATGTTGTATTTATTATAAATACTAAATATTAATCTAGATTTTAATGATAGTGTTATAGGATCATATGAAATAACACATTTAAAAATCTTGATTATTATTCAATATCAACAACAGTTATAATTTCTAACATTTCTAAATTCGATGTCAAAATAAAGTCAGCTTCTTTTTATTAATTTAAATGTTATTCTTATATTATGCTCTATTTCTTCTTTGATCTAACATGAGTTTATTTTAATGCAATCTTTCTTTCAACATTTAATAATTTATCAAAAGAAATAAAACTATTAGGACTTTCTTTATCGATATTAAAATAATTATCAGTAGAAAAAAAAGTTGGTATTCGAGAATATTTATTAGCTTCTTTAAATGTATCTGGTTGCAAATTAAAAAGTTCAAAATCATTTTGAGTAATCAAAATTCCATTTACATGAGCATAATGTACACAATCTTTTATTTTTGTTCCAATTGTAATATTATAATATTTTTTTTGTTCATTTTAAGTTAATTCAACTACTAAAGAAAAGGCTTTGAGTACATGATCTGATCTTCTATAGTAATTTACATCATCTTTTGTTGATCTAGGCTTCTTTTTTGAAGCTTTAGCTTATTATGACTGTTGTGGTTGTTATGGCTCACCATCTTAATTTTCTTAAACATCTTATTCAGCTTAATGAAGTGTAATAGCATTTCCATTTGTGTTAAGTGTAGAAAATTAATTACAAATTGAACGTCTTGTTGAATGCTATACTTAAAGCTCCTCTTCTATTTTAAGTTTTTTCTATTCAGCTACTGTTTTCTCTATTTATAATTATATTCCTGCTTCCTTATCAGATTTTTTAGAGCTGCAAATTCCCATTAATTTATTGATTAATAAATCATTCTTCTGATACATTATCTTAAATTCAAAGAATTCAAAACTTGCGACAATGTTAATTTCTATAAAAATCAAGTAAGAAACTGGACTTAATAATATTTTAATCTGATCCATATACTAAAGAGTTCATAACCAAAAAATTGCTAAAAATTACTTATAATTAGGATTCAGATAATTTAAGAGAAAAAAACGAAAATAATTCTCAATTAATTATTTTATTTTATTCATGTTATTTTAATATAGAAGTTATCGTTAATTAAGAGTCTAAACATTTGGTAGATTCTTCTCATGTAATAATCATATGGTTAGTCTAAATTATTTTAAAAATTATGAAAAATAAAGAAAATTATTATGTCAAGAATTTTACCATCTAATTTATTTTCCTTTAATATAAAAAATTAAAAATTAGATTAATTGGAGAGGAGTGGTGAAATAATTTTAAGTCTGATAAATTTATTGAAAAACTATACACTATTAATATAAAAAATAATTACTAAAACTTTATAGGAATATGTATTGGTTGATGAGATATTAGAATCCTGAACTATATTTTAATTTATCAACTAATTTATTGAATTTAATTAAATCTTTAGAGTTATTTAAATTAATGAAGTATAATTATTAAAATTATATATTATATAAAATATTTTAATTTAAAGCTTGAAGTCTAACTAAAAATATGAAGTAAATTATTTAAATTTTATAATAATCTGTATAATTCTTTTTTTTTATATATAATCTCAATTATATTTAAATTTTTCTTATTTTTAGTTTTGATTATAAATTTTTGAATTTTTTAATGAATACCAAACATTTTATTAACTAAAATTTGATTATCATAATGAATAATTATGTATAAATTAATCAAAATTAGCATGAACACATTCAAATAATAAATTTTAAAATATTGTTATTTATATACTTAATTTTTGTTTAGTTTTTTCTTGTAAATACATTGAAAGAACAGAGAAATATTTTAACATTCACTTAATTAATATGAATTTAAATTTAAATTTTGAAGATTATGAATCAGCTCTCAATGCGATTGAGACAAAGAGTCTAAAAATGGGTGTTTCTGATCCATTAGACCCTTAAATGAGCCAAGTATTTAGAGTAAAAATTAATGCAGATTTTCTATTTATATGGTTTAATTGAATTTAAAAAGATCGAGAATACATTACCATTTTAAGATGTAACATAAGAATTCAAAAAAATTGATGAATTTTTAACAGTAGCTGCAGAGATATGTGAAGACGATGATTTGTTAATAAAAATATATTCATTAATTGGAGATTTGTATTTTTTGTAAAACATTTTAAATATAATTAGAGTTGATTTAAATGATATTGCAGAACTTAGTTATTTGGAAGCTATCAAAATAAGTAGAGATCCTAATTAACAAATATAATTATATATAGAAATATTGTAATTAAGAATAGTGTTCACAAAATCAGAAGGAACAACTGAATTATTTTAGAAAGCTAAATAATTAGCATTTGATAATAATTCTCATTTGTTAGATGTTATTTTCAAATTGGAGGAAGAATATGTTGTTTCAATACAAGATAGTTAATACAATCATAGATAAGATAATACTTAAGGAGAGAGTAAATTAAGAACTAGTCAAAAATATAAGTAAATGAGGAATTTGGGTGTGTTTGGTAGTTATAAGAGAAGTAATGCTAAAGAAGAATTAATGAATTGAATATTATTAATAATAATTAAATGAATCATAGGATATATTTTGGTTATAAGAAATCTTACAGTATGTTATATAATGTCAATTGTTAGTTGAAACACCAAAACGTTATTAATATCAATCAATTGATAAGTTACCAAAATTACCATCCATTCAATCAGATGTTAAGTAATATTGTATAACTTATTCAGACAGTCTTGGAAATTTGGTCATAAAGAATAATCAACAAATTTAGGAGTTTTGAGTTTGCCTGGATAATTGATGAGTGGAAAACAGAAGATTAATTAAGATGCCATTATAGTAGAAAAGAGACTGAATTTCTATGGAGTTGCTGATGGACATGGAGTAAATGGTGAACGTGTTTCTGGATTTATTCGTATCACACTACCTAAATATATTGAATAAAGTCTTTTAGAACCAAAAGAGACATTAATAAATAGTATTTTATAGACAAATAATGAATTGGTGAATAATTCAAAAATTGAAACTGTCATGGCAGGTTCAACATTATGTTGTGGTTTGATTAAATTAAATAGATTATACATAGCCAATGTAGGTGATAGTAGATGTGTTTTAGCAAAGTAAATTGGTAATTCTTGGTAAACCATTGAATTAACAAAGGATTAAAAACCCTCTAGAGAAGATGAAGCAAGAAGAATATTAAAAGCTGGTGGACGTATAGCTGCTCAATAAGATATTTATGGTAATTAAGTGGGTCCACTTAGAGTTTGGTTAAAAACATTGAATGCTCCAGGATTAGCTATGACTAGAGCAATAGGAGATAGAATAGGTGCTTAAGCAGGTGTAATAGCAACACCTGAAATTACAGAGTATGAATTAACAAATGAAGACAAAATTTTAGTATTTGCTTCAGATGGTATATGGGATTTTTTGTCTTCCCAAGAAGTAGTTTCAATTTTGAGTTAATGTTATGGAAAAAATATAAGTGCTGAATTGGCAGCATAAAAATTACTAAATTTAGCAGTAGATGCATGGAAAAGAAATAGTTTAGCTAGAGATGACATTACTTGTGTAGTCTTATATTTATGAATTAATTAGATTTCATAATAGTATACTTATATAATATTGAATAATTAATAATTTCTAAATTAATTAGTTAATTCATGTTCTTATAATAAATCCAATAAATTAATTTTGTATATTTTTATATTAAAATCTTTGAGAAATAATACTATTAAATTTATCAATATTATATATATTATCTAAAATATAAATGACAGCAATATATAGTTATTTAGATAGATCTACATTAAAAATAAACTGTGATTTCCAATAATATTATAATATTTTATAATTATTCTTTTATATATTTTATATCATCCAAAATAATTCAAATTAGATGATCATCTAATTTTATTTTACTAAAAATCATTTTTTTAAAATTCTTCTTTAAATAATTATTTGTATATTTAATAATTACAAAAAGACATAATATATGTAGTAATATTAACTAATCAATACTCGGGAATTTCCTAAAGGTAAATTGTTATCTAAAGAATGGCATATACGCATTAATAATGGTTTAACTTATGTATTTGCTGTTGATCATGATTAGGATTTCAAAAAAGGTTCTGTAAAATTAAATAATTGCATACTTGAAACTAAAATTAAGTATAACCAAATTTATTACAAAGTCGTAATCTCAAGTTCCCCATCAAAATTGAAAACTTACAATTTGAGATAGTAATTGTATAAGATTAATGTTTTCTGCTTATGAATGGAAGAAATGTAGAAGTATTTGAAAATCCTTAATTGGATTCATAAATGATGTTCTAAAGTCAAAATTAATAATAAAATCCATATTCTGAGAATCAAATTTAAGAAATGCTTGTGGTATGTGATAGTATCATTTCAGCTTTGTTTGATATGGATTTTAATACTAAATAACATCATATCACAGAATAATTATTAAGTTTGGAAACATTTCTAAATTATACGTAAAGGTAAGATCTAAGAACTCAAATTTAAGATAAAATTCTCTAGTTTAATTTAATTCAATAATAAATGGTAGAGTAAATAAATTATGAATAAAATAACTAATAAATAAAAAATAACGAAGAAGTTAAACAATAAAAAAAAGAAGAAGTAAAGCCATAAAAACCAAAAAGTGAAATATAATAAGACACTTGTTGTATTATTTGCATGGATAAAGATATAACTCATGCATTAATACCATGTGGACATTAAAAGTATTGTGAAGAGTGTGCTCTTATGTCTATTAATTTAAAGAAATGCAGTTTTTGTCAATAACCTATAACAAGTAGTATTAGAATTTTTCGTTGATTTTATTATTAACATTCTTAAAAATTAATAAACTTTGATTATATTAGAATTACTAGTCTTTATTTTTTATAAATCATCTGAGACTAATTATATATGTTTTGAATTGATATAATAAATTAAATTGAAATTAATTTCTTCCTTTATAATATCTATTAACCATAATTAATATTTTAATATTATGTTTGCTCGTTTGATAACAAGAATAGCAATGCCTATTTTAAGATGTTAGAGAATTTAATTTGGTCCAGCTTTGACAATCTTGAACAATAGATTAATAATTCATAATCTAACTTAAATTAGAATTCCTGTAATGGATGAGTTAACAGAATCAGATTAAGACGAAGAATTACAGTATATCTTAATTAATCAACTTAGGGATAGCATTAGTTTAACATCTGCATGATTCTTATGAAAATATTCAAATCATTATTATAATAATTTAGCTGTTATTCACCTCAATACATTATATCTAAGCATATATAAATATTTTAGAATTTTATTAAGCATTACTTTAATTAGATTTATAAACAATTTATATAGTACCTATTTGAATGAATATCTTGGATTTAGATAGAAATTCATTTATATACTATTATATCAAAGTCAAATCACATTTAATGTAATAAATAATAATAAAATAAAAACACAGATTTAAAATAACTTATTTTCATTATTTCAAATTAAATTCAAGAACTATTGTAGAACACATTTTCTTTATAATAATATTTTATTATTTTATTCTAATATGATTTTTAATTGTAAATTTCATAGGTTTAACTCTTTATTATTTTTAAGATAATTAGAAAAAAAGTCTATAAATATATGTTGATATTAAGAGTCCTTTATTTATATGAATTTATTTTTATATATTAAATAAATTAATTATTTATAATGATGTAATCAAAATAGAAAAACCATCTATTTACTTGAACTAATAAATGATTGTGATAACAGTATAATATTTATTTTTATTTTAAATATATTTTTTCAAAAACTTGAACTCATAATTTATAGAGTGGGAGTTTACTATTAATTTTATTTAAATAATGTAGAGATCCTTAATAAATTTTATATCGTACATTTCTATAATTCATCAAATCTTTACCCTTAAAGAATTTTAGATTCATGATTTGGAACTTCAAAAGGGTTTTTGTACCCTTAAATACTAAAAATGAATAAATTATATAACACTAAATTCACTAAAAAAATTTAATTTTTGGACAAGATGAAGAAAAATTTCATTTTGAATTTAAATCTTATATTTCATTTCTAATTTTATAGTTTTCCAGCCACTAAAGAGACTATCTTAACATTAGTCTTTTTATTGTCTAAAGGGAGAATTAAACAAGGTTTATTAGATGAAAATATAAGTTTTTTTCTTACTACTTTGCTTCTATAAAGTAGTATTATAGTTTTTGCAGTAGCATATTTTAATTATAATTACTAAGCTGCCTATATTTTCATACTCATAAATACTTGCTTTATTTATAATCCATTTTGAAAAACTTTATGAATCAAAGCCTTCTTTTTACTTGGAGGAACTTTGATGTAAGATCGTTTCTATTGAGACTATTCTATCATAATAAAGAAAATATTCAAATTAGATTTAATTTCTTTGAGATTATAACATATTGATAAATGAATATCTATAATTGATAAATAAGATATTGTTAAGGAATTATAATGAATAGTGTAAAAAATTAATTATAAACACTCATTAAAATAAATTAATGGACCATTATTCAAATTAAAAAATAATTATTTATATTACATGTATAGACTAATAAGAGTATTAACAAAAACTCATCTTTTAATGAATAATTTTGAAACTCATCCATAATTTATAATTTAATATTTAATTTTTATATTTACTTTATTATTTACTTATAAACATTAATTGATTATTTTAAAAGAGTATATTTATGTTCTATATTATAATACAAAAAATTCAAATAAAAAAGAAAATTAATAATTTAACAATTTAAGATCTAAAATTAAGAATTTTGATATGATTCAAAGATATTTTATACTAGAAAGAAAATGATTCTTACTCTTTTATTAATAAATAATATAATTCAGAATTGATATTCTCATATTTATACTATATTTCTAGAATCTACTCCACATTGTTATAACAATTCTATTAAATCATCTTCAAATTATTGGAATCCACATACATATACTTTTGCAGCCTGATATTTTAATCTATCTTACAAATCTCTTTTAGTATAATGCTATTTTATTATATTGAATTCGAATAAATTTAAGTTGAATTAGTTATTTAAATATTCTAAATCTTGTAATATAGGATAACCCAAAATTTAAGTTTTTGATGATACATTCAATATTAATTTAAATTTATCTAATTAATTATATTATTATTGAATTGGTAATCCATCTTAATACATAATTGAAAATATGGCTTTTCTAAGGAGATAATCACAAAGATCCAGAAATGGCAAAACACCAGTACCTTAACAAAATATATAATGCACTCCAGAACTATGATCATCCAATTCTAATCCAAAACCATAAGGTCCTGTAATTTCAAATCTTTTATGAGAAGCAGTATGAATGAATTTGCTTAAGTTTTTTTATCCATTATATTTTTTAATCACAAATTATAAAATATTTGATAATTGTGGCTGTTAAGGCAATGGTTTAGTCCAATCCTTTTATTTGAAATACTCTATTAATTCATACCTATATTTGATATTCATTTCACTTAAACATGAAACTACTGTATAAGGTCTCTCTTAGAAATCTATTCCTATGCCATAAGGTTTAATATAAAAATATCTACCAAACCATTATACTCCTTATATTGTTTAATTTACTTTAAAATCTTAATTAATGAATTTAAAGAGAGACACATTAGTTCCCATAGATTTAATTTCTTATAGTGTCCAAACATGAGATGGTTTCTTAAAATCTGTGACTGTGTAGAGTATTGGACATGATTCATTTCTAAAATCACCTAAATAACGAGTTTCTATATAATTAATTGCAAAAAGAGAGTGTTTATGTAATTAAGTATCTTTAATTGGATATGATCCATAGAAATAACGTCCAACTTCTCGACCTTTGATCTTCCTAAAGATATATTATCCACCTGGATGATTAAAATCACTGACATCATAAACTGCTTCTCTTAGAATTATGTAAGTAATTTTAGGATAATCTTCAATCATTTCTTAATATGGAGTACCAGTATTCAGTTTTTCAATTATACTCTCATAAAGAGTTTGTTAATCTTATTCAATTTAACTGTATTTAATTCTCTTTCGTGATATTGCAGATACTTAATAATAATAAAGCATTTCTATGGTGAATTTTATTAAAAACAATAATACATAATAGATTATGAATAGTCCAATATATGCTGAATCATATATACTAATTCCAATTACTACTTATACTTTTGTAATTATATACAATAAATAACCAAGATATTTATGAATGTATTTCACTTTATAAATTAAATATGTTCCATTATTAGATTCTAAATTATTTCTAGCAAGTAACCCTAAAAATATTTGTGTTGTCATTATTAATAAAATAACAACTCCAAGAATAAAGTGTAGAATTATTTTAGTATCTTGATATCCTATAGGTTCATTTAATTATTATTTAATTAAATTATTAAAATAAATAAACAACTAAAATTTATTATATTATATTGTCTATAATTATTATATTCTTTTTTATTATTATGAGATCATCCCAAATACAAAAAAGTAGGTTACTATAGATAAAAATAGAAATATCATTCCATGAACTCGAACATACTTTGGATAACTTTTCAATTGCCTTCCATAAAATATGCCAATATCAGAAATAAATGACCAAAATAATAACATGAGTATAACATGTCCATTAAGAACTAATTTGTCCCAATAATCTTCTTAATAGGATTGTTTATTCTTAGACAATTCAAATTGAAAGGCACCTCTATTAGCACTATGGTATTATTATCCATTTCGACCAAATGCATAAATACATAAGGTGTCTTTTTTTTATGAAAAATCAAAATCATATTTATCAGAAGTCACCAATTCTCGATGAACTCTAATGACAAATAATTCTGTAGAATTATTATACACAAAGCCATCTAAAATCCAATCTTATGTTCCATATAATTGAGTATCTGATAATGGGGCTGTATTTTTGGTTCCAAACATATCATCAATTTATACATAATATCCTTTTTCATTATTTATAGTAACTGTTTCTATTTTAATAAGAAGCATATCAGTATTTTCCATTCTATATTAAAATATAACACTTACTTATCATTATTAAAACCCAATCCAAACCAATCACATAAGGATATCTCTATTTATAAAATAATATTATCATTTTTATCATATTCCCACTCTAAATTAAACTCATCCTTTATTAAGATTTATTTATTTAGCAATTTAGTTACATTATTGTAATTATTAGTATTGCAATAACCATTCAGAACTTATATGCTTTTTTCATTACACATAGTGCATTAATAAGCAAATGGTCCATTACATGTAGCACATGTATAATGACATTAGTAAGTTTGAAGTTAGAATCTACCATATTAGGTATAAGTATCAAAATCTATATTTTTCTCATTTATGGCATAAAACATCTCAACATTAGAATATGGATCTATTAATTCATCTGTAGGATCGTCTGAGTTTGTGGATTTTAAAAATGAAGAATATAAATATGTATCATTTATTAACCCATCTAAAATATATATGTCTTGCTAAGCATCTACATTAGGAGAAGTAAAAGAAATCTTATTTTACTCTAGAGTATCTTCAATTTTTAAAAGTCCATTAACATTAGACATTCTTATGATATCAGCATTTGAATATGTGGAACCAAATCCAATTAAACACCAGAATTATGTTTTGCAAGTTAAAGTAAATTAAATATTGTTATAGTCAACAAATTGATATTCCACTATCATTATTCCATCCAACAATTATATCATAAGACATGGCTATAAAATCAATAATATTAATATATTCATAAATATAATAAAATGGATTAAAAGAAAAAAAGTCAACTTATCTAAGGATATTGCAATGGATTATTATTTTCAATCTTTTTGGGGATTTATGATTATCCTTTGAACTCTGCAAATGCAACCTGGACAAAATCCTAGGTTAGATTAGACTATGCCAAATTCATAGGATAAAAAGCTTTGTGTTTTCCTCCTATGCTAGCTTTATTTTAAATTACATGTGCCTATATGGAAGATTGGGGATATAGCTATCCAACATAAGTATTGGCAGCTGCTGGAGTAGGCATTTGTTATTTAAGTATTGTTAAGTATAAATGATTATTATGAGTTGATATATTCATGTAATTTTTAATAACTTTGGATAGTATTAGAGCCTTGGCTTATTTGTGTTTATTTTTATTAAGGTAACTTATTATATCTATTAAATAATTCATCACAAACTCTAAATGTGATGAGTATCCATATTTTATAATGATTTTAGTTAATTGGATGAATCATTTCTCAATTTTAAGGAATTTCCTTTACTCTTCTACTTAGATTTTTATTACTATTATTGTACTTAATTCATACTATACTGAAATATTTATTTTATAATAGTTTATTCTCATGAGATGCATCTTCTAATTTTGATTAGCATTAATCTGAACAAAGTTTCAATTACTTTTTAATTAGATATTCAAAATTGTTTCTAATTTCTTCTATTCTTTGATTAATTTTTGAAACACTTTCAAATTTCTGTATTAAATCATCATAAGTCTTTTACAAATCTACCATCTAATTTTTAGAATTTTAAGCGATATATAAACATAATGAATATATGTATGTTCAAATCTTCCTTATTTAATTTTCAAATATCTCTCATATATATTCTTTTAAGGTTTTCATCCTTTATCCTAAATAGCAGTTAATATTTCTCTCATCTATCTATTCAATAAAATAAAACAAAAGTAATATTATTAATATTTAAATGGAGGAATTATATTGTACTATATTCATCAAAGTTTTCAAAAATAATGATCCAAAACTTAAGAAGTGATCAAAATTTCATTTATTGGTCATATCCTTATTCCTACCCAATATGTATTTAACTCATTTCATACATAATTGACAATACTGAAGAATTGAAAAATAATGATTAATTTCTTATCAAATTAGCTTAAGAAGTACTTTCTCTGAAATTTGATGTTAGGGCTAATCCCCACTTCCTGAATACCCTATTCTAAGTAAAATAGATGAACTATAAGGTATTGTTATTCAAATATATAAATGATAAAAGGGTGTTAGGAAAATAACTTTTGTCAAATTATTCAACAATGATTGTAGTGGAACAATTTTAAATTCAGTAATTTTGCAGTAAGTTTATTTCCTTTTGCTTATGGGGGTCATTCTCTAAAATTATTTAACAATTATATGATTAGAAGATAGTGCTGGATTTTTTCTAATTAATGCTAAATGAAAATTTAACCATAATAATTCTTTTAATTAGGTAAAGCATAATAGTTTTGGTAATATTGTCAAATCTACTGTTCATATAAAAAATCTACAAATATTCAAGTAGTATTCAGTATAGATAGGATTACTATCAAATTATATTGGCTGATAATCTGGATCAGTTATCTCAAACCATATAAACTAAAAATTAAAAAAAATTGATTCCTCTTATCTAGATACTTCAGAGATATTATGGTGATTTGATTTGAAAATATTTGAATAATAACAAAACTCTTAAATTTTGCTAGCTATAATAGTAGTCTAGAATTATAAGATATTTCTTGATATAGTAGTTATCACTAAATTAAGGACTTAATTCATTAATGGATTTTTTTAAATAATTACATAATTAGAGTTATCTTTTTATATAAAATTAATTCTCAATAGATAATTTACTATTTTATTCAAATAATGTTCTAACAGTAATGACTTTAGATTTACATTATTTATTGTCATTCAAAATAAGTAAGATAACAAAAATATTTAATGAATGAAACATTAAAACTAGTCAAGTAGATATTGATAAACATATATAAATTTTTGTATCTATAATCTGAAATACCATGTTTATTAATAAACTTATTAATTTACTTTGTTAGAATAGCTATTAAAAATATGCCTTTTAAACGAGTATCAAAGTTTTACTCTAAATTCATTTATCTTTTATATTCTAATAAATTGAATTCCAGTATTCAAATTGCTTATAATTTTTAAATTATTATGAATATTAGAATTCTCCCTTATCTTGCTATTTGATTGAATAAAAGAACAACAATTGAATATAACACTTAAATAAAATACTTAAATGCAATGTAGCATATTAAATTAATATTTCTATAAAATTATTAACATATATAATATAATCGAATTTAGTAATATCAAGTAGATGATTAAGGTTTATAATTTTTAAAGAATTGTTTTTAGTCATCAGTCATATTTACATCTATCTATTTTGCATCATCGATTATTTTTGTAACGTCTATTGATAATTGATCTTTAATGAAGCTAGTCAAAAATTCTGAAATTTAACCAATATCTTTTTAGATTAAATCATATCCAAATTCTTTAAGAAAAGCAATACTAATTTTAATGATTGAAAAGATATCAGTCGCCAAAATAAAATCCCAAAAGAAAATCACACTATCAATAGGAAATGTATATAAAAATTAAGTTAAAATCCATTGCCAAATGTATTATTAATCACTTATGCCTTCATCTTAAAAATGCTGGTAAAGAGCTGGAAGATATTCATTAAAATTTTTTAAAAAGACTTGACACAAGGCTTTAGTGTAATTGAAGTTTACTCTATATATTTCCCACCATAAGAATAAAGGATTAGTATTAATGAAATGAATGAGCCAAAAGACTTCCTCCTCTTTACCTCCGCTGACAATTAAAGAGAATCCAACTATATAATTCATACCTTATACATATCCAATATCCTCATTGAGAATGGAAAGAGCTTTGAGAATGGATAATAATTATTGCTAACCTTAATTATAATCTTTAAAGTGATCATGAGAAGGAAAGGTTCTATTAATATCTTTTGTTATATCTTCGAGAACTTTCTGAGATGGAGTTTGATTTTTCAATTTTTAATAAAGAAGAGGATCATAATCTCTGTTCCTATAGACTTGAGCCATCCAAAAATTCCATCTATATTTGGAAATGGCTCCATCCATAAGAATGTTTTTAAAATCTTCGTTATTCATTTCTTTTACAAGGTAAGCGTCTATAATCTCTTGATTTCTCATTTTGAAAGGCCCACCAAGTTACTGTGCTAGCGACAATATTAATTTTTAAGAAAATTGCTTGTTAGAATTTATTTTTGGCTCTTTGCATAGATCATCTTCATTAGTCTGTTATTATAATTACTCAATCGATTGTTATCTTTTTAATAAAGCACTATAAGTCACATCATTTATAAGTTCATATTTTTTCTGATAATATATATTCCACTTTTATTGTTTCTCAGAATAAGTTGGATCATTTTTTTCAATTTCTTATTGAAACTCTTCACCAACATATTTGTATGTATTTACTGTTTTTGGTGGCACATTAGGAGTTGGCGTATTCACAGGTTTTCCATAACCTTTGATGATAATTTTATTGGTTTTATCTTTTGTACAAATAAGTCCCATTTAATCTAAAATAATATATAATTTATATATATATATATATAAGAATATCAGTTTTTGTAGATCCTGATAACATCTTGGATTTTTGTTCTGCAGATTGGACAATCTTTCAAATTTTTACTGCATTTTAGACAAGCAGTGTTGTGTTTGCAGGGCATGTATAAAGCATCTCGGTCATTTTCTATACAAATTATACAATTATTCTCGTTATTCTAATCGGTAACCAATTATGTAGTTCTTTTACATAAATATGTAGAAGTGGTTCCAATTTTAAAAACAGTTTAATTTTGTAATGGATATAACTATGAGAATTATCCTTCTTTAGACAATCTCAACCAGGAACTAAAATTAAATTTAATAAACTTACCCGTTAGTTGATCCCATATCTTCCAAATATACACGTCCCTCAATAAGACAAATTTTGGCATGAATATTTGAGAGATGATGATCTTCACTAAAAGTGAGATCAGCAGTTTGTTTTCTGCCTACAGTTGTAACACATTTTTAGGGGTTTAAAGCAATTATGTGTTTTTCAGAAGAATTAAGTCCTTCTATTATAAGCATGACAACCTAAATATAGATAAAGAAAGATTTACTTCAACTATTTGATTATTCATACTTAATTACTAAATCTCAAATTAGTTACTACCTAATTCTATAACCATTCCAATTTCTAACTCTAATTTGCTTTCGACTTTGATAAAAGTACCAGTTGTTGATGAAATGTCTTTAATGAAAAACTAAAGTATATAACATTTAAATTACATCTTCATTTTAAAACACTATTTCAGCATGAAATCGACTTATGCTTTCTTCCAATATTAATATTTAATTGCTAGAGTGCCTACCTATTTTTCCTCCAGATTCTTTTATACTATAGAAATTAGTCTGAGGTCCTTCAGTTGGTTGAATGATGAGTTCATTTTATACTTTTGATACTAAGTTTTCAACTTCTTATTCTTATTAAATGCCGGTTTATTATTTCTTTAAAAATTAAGGCTTATTTTCACTATATTATTATGTATTGTTTATTACATTTCACATAATGGTTGCTAAAACTATTGGGAATAGATTTCATTATTCTTAATGTAATTAGTCATCATGTCATGTGATACATTAATTTATCCATATTAGGGTTATGTTTATTCTGTATTTTCAAGAGAAGTGTATTCTTACTCCATCTTATCACATCTTTTATCATCAATCATTACTGATTTAATATGTTAAGCATACTCTTTTAATCCATTTTTCAACCCTTTCTTTAAAATTATATTTACAATGCATTAACTTTTTTCTAACTATCTTACTACTGATTCCTAGATCATCAATTAAGTCATTTTCTTCTATTAATTCTAAACATGATCCATCAATTGAATTATTTGCTACTCTTTAAAATGAATACATACTGAAAGTGCTTTACAATGATTATAAACCAACAAAATTGAGCCATTATGATACATCCTCCAGAGACCATTTTTTTGGATCTTTGGGAAGAATCGTAAAGAGAGTTTCATAATCCATATTTTATATTTTAAATTTAAAAGCACTAACTGAAAATTATTATTCACAAATATAATTGTTTCATCTTACTATAAGATAAGTACACTAATTCTGGAATAGCTAACGTATAATTATTGGCTCCTATTATTATATTTTTTGTATTCAATTCTGACTCTATTTTCTTCATTTCTTCCTAATGTCCTGGTGAAAATCTAGTAAATGCTTTTGACCAACTTTTAGTGATTATCTCTTTTGGTTCAGGAATCTTGACACCCAAATGTTTACTCAATTCACTCAAAATTACATGATCATTCACATCATATATTGACATAACAGACAAATTAGTAGCATTCTCAGGATATTAAGAAGGAAAAGAAAGTGAATCTGCTACCATCCCCAATATCACTTATTCTTACTTTGGATTTATTAAATATCCAAAACCTTCAAACTTAATATTACTATCTATTTTATACTTCCTTAGGTAATATCTTTTAGTTCCAACATATATTTCTTGTCACCAATGAATTGCATTTAACCCCTCTAAACATCTCTCCAATTTTATTCAAATTAGAATTAGCCATTATTTAAGATAATTGATGAGTAGGAGCATTCAATATTAAATAATCATAATTTATTCTCTACTCTTCCTATTCCTCTCTACTCTCTACTATTAATTCTTTTTTTGCCAAATCAATCCCTTTTGCTTTTGAATTCAACTACATTTTATATTCCATTTTATAAGTCTCCTATAAATAATCATGCAATCTTTTTGTTAAAGATTCTACACCATTTTTGAATCTATAACTATTTGCTATGCAATAATTATCATTGTTACCTCCTTACAATTTCTCATCTCTCACCTATTCAAAATCCTTGTCAAGACTCAAATCTTTGCTTATTTCTTAGTCATCATATCCTTTCATATGACTCTTAGTGTAGCACAAAGCCTTTGATAAATTGTACACTGACTCTCCATATATCCCATAGAATACAGACTCTGCATATTTTTCAGTCAAATCCTTGCCTAAAACATGATCTAAGTATTCTCCTAAATTATCTGTATTTGGATTCATTAACATAATCTTTGGATATGCTTTTATTAATTTAAAGAGATCTCCACTTCCATTATCCTTTATAAATTATGATATTGTTCCTAAATTCATTTACAAAGGAACAGCATTTAATTTACCATTCCAATAGATATAACTATATGGTTACTGAATACTTGGAACAACTAATGAATTTAATACTTATTTTACATTCTTTATAAAGTCCTATCTTATTTAGAATATGATATAATGGTCTATTGTACTTTCCCATTCTTATTGATCTTGGTCCTTCCTCACATATAAATCCATTTCTATTATTTGAAACGATCATGCCTCCTACACGATTAGATTACTCTATTAAGGTTATTTAAGCTTTTGGGAAAAAATGCTTTATGAAAAATGCATTACTCAACCCAGAGAGACCAGCACCAACAATTACAAATTTGTGAGACATATTAAATATATTATTTTAAATAAATTTATTTATTCTTATAAGTATAGTTTATATATATTATTGAATATCTAATATTCATAAAATTATATCTATTTCAAATATCATATAATTAAGAGTATCTTAATTATAAAGTAATAAAAATATTTATAATAATAATGAAAAATATATTTTACAGAATATTATTATGAATCAGTAAAGTTGTGTATTAAGTAATGATTACAAATTTTTATCTAAAAACATAGACAATATTCATAAAATAGATATATAATTTACATTTTAAAATACTCATTTAGGAATTAAACCAAAAAATTCAAATAAAAATAAAGCTATTTTTAATTTTATCCATTCAAATTTTTATTTCCAAACACTCTTTTCTGAATTTTTAACAGAATATTCTGTAAATTTTAAAAGTCTGTCTCTTGTAGTACCTAAATTAATATTATCTAAAGTAATACCTCCAAGTAAAGCATTATGAATTCCTACTAAGTTGGCTGCTCTTATAATAAACATAATTTCAGGGGGCATTGATCTTAATAAGGCATTTATATTTTCTAATGTTACTAAATCTTTATTTCTTAAATATTATCTCTCTTCAATACTGAATGCATCACCCAACTTCTTTTTTGATGATATTGTTCTATAAAAAAAGATTAAAGGTAAAAATTCAATATGATCTTTTTTGATACCCAATTTAAGAGCATATTATTCCACTTATTTATAATTAAATTTAGCTATATTATTCCATAAACATCTAAAATTTTATAACATTTCTTAATCAATATCTGTGTAAAATCCATGATCTAATAATACTAATTATTATTTTCCATTTTATTCTCTTATTAAAATATTCCCTGGATGTGCATCACAATGGACATGACCATGTTTGAATATCATTTATCCAAACATATCAATTAAAATATTAGCACATTCCCTTGGATTTTTTAATTTATTTACATCATTAATTTTCACACCATCAATGAATTCCATAATAATAACTCTTTAGGAATATTGATAAAATTAAGGTATGTAAATTCTAGAATTATTTTTAAAGTTATTTCTAGTTATTTCAGCATTTTAAACTTCTAAAGTAAAGTCTAACTCTTTCTCTAAAGCTTTTCGAAAAGTAGAAAATAAATCAGAAAAGTTTAATTAACTTGTACTAGTATTTGATACTACAAAATCACATAATTTAGCAATATTGTGTATTATCATTAAATCATATCTGTATTAAACCCTTAATTAGGGAAATTGTACTTTTACAGCCACATCTTTTCCATCATAAGTAGCCTAATGAACTTAAGCTAAAGAAGCAGCTGCAATAGCTTTATGAGAAAATGTTGTAAAAAGTTCTTGAATTGGTTTCTGAAATTCATACTCTAATACAATTTTGACATCTTCAAAAGACACCTAAGGTCCTTGATCTTATAACACTCTAAGTGTTTATGTAAATTCCCTTAAAATTTAACAATAATTTACCTTGGCATAACTCTCTCCAAATTCCCAATATATTGCCCAGCTTTTAAGTAAACACCTTTATTTTCAATACTTAATCTTAAAATCCTATCAGCAACTCTTTGATGAATCTACAAATAAGAATAAATATGCATACAATAGATCTTTATTGATGATATTCCTCAGTATTATATTCGTATTTGGTAAGCTCTACTTGATAATCATAAAGAGATTCGATTACTAAGTTAAGATGTTATAGTACATGTTTTGATAGCAGAGAAGGAATTGATGAAGCCTGCTGTAAATCCTTGAAGATCCTTCTTTTATTGTGGGGGCATAAAGAATGTGCATCCAGTAGTAAATGCTCCTAACAAAATAGCCTTTCTTAACATATATATTATCAATCATTAATTTAATAAGCTAAAAATGCTAGGAATTTCAATAAGAATTAACTTCCAATCTACCTTAACTATTGTCTCATATTTCTCCTTTTAGGCTATAGCTTCTCAGAGATTATTTTAGATGAGTTATCTTAACTTTATTTGATTTTTAGAGGAAACCTTTTGTTATTAATTAGATTTCTAAGTTTTAGCTCCTAAAGCTTATGGTTTTGTTAGCTATGATTCTTAATTCTAATTAGATTCATCTTTCAATATTAAATTATTCATTTTATTTTTAGAATTGCATTTCCAATTAATTTTTTATTTTCTCGTTCTCATAATTTATGTTTAGATGGTATTTAAAAATTTATTTATAATTATTATATTTAATTAATACTAGTATAAACTATCTCAGTATTTGTTTGACCATTTAGATAACTTATAAAATCACATTTCTAATAATATTTGTTGTTTTCTATTTAATAATTAAATATATTATTTTAGATCTATCTTACATTATAAATTTGGATCCTCTTTTTTGTTTAGATTTGATTGCATATTTTCTATTCTTTTATAGATCCAAACAGTTAATTAGATATTTTTAGGTGTGATAGTATAACTTGTAATTTTAGTTTTAATTTAACTATTAAAAATTGTTCTAATTTAATCATATAAAAGTATTGCTTAATACTAGAAATTACAAAATTCATTCATAAAACTGTCAATATTTTACAAATATTTGTCTCAAAGCAATACAGGATTGAAATATAAAAATACTAATATTTACAATTCTTGAATTATAGTTAATAAAGGAATTAATTTAGTTAATTATATGAATTCAATGAATTCAATACATTATAAAATATAAATAAAATATACTTGATCTAAACTTGTATATTTTTCAAAATGCTAATGATCTTTCAAATCCTAATAGTATTTTAAATCTATATTTTAATTAGTTGAATTATTCCATATATTAAAAAATGTTCAACATTTAATACCAATTGACATTTATAATGTAATTATCTTTCATTTCTAATTTTTTTACCTTTAAAATTTTTGAAATCCAATTGATTTAATTGGTTTCGTAATAAAAATATATAGAGCTAAAATTATAGGAACATTAAATAAGTATTATATTTTGTTTATTTAGATTTCTCTTTCTTAGGTTAAATTTAATAAACTCAACTTTATTTAAATATGGTTCTGTTTATTTGCTTGATCTAAATTATTATTATTTTCATAAATATTTATTTATAATTTAATTTAAAGACATCTTTTTCAGTTATTTGAAAATTTAAAAATTTCTTCATATATGAATACCAAAGACTTTGATCAAAATTTGTATTATCTATTGAATGAATTTCATGGTTATTGTATCCATTTTGTTGAAAATATAATTAATAATGATTGGATACAAATAATATTATATTAGTTTCTTTGATTCAAAATAACTTATTAATATTTATATTTAATGGCAAAATACGAGTAATTAGATTCTCCATATGCAAAAGTCTTTTTTATTTTGCAACAATTATTGAAAGCAGAATTAATTACTCAAACAGAGAAGGAATATATAAAAGGTATTTTTATATTTGTATTAAAGACTTAATAATCTAAAACGACTAGTCTATTTTGAATTTAATAGTAGTGGAAAGTTATCAGGAACTACAAGAAAAAGTTTTATAATTCATTAATAACAAAAGAGTTAATTTAGAAGGTTTATCTGATTTTGAAGATGATGATTCAACTAGCAAAAGTTTGAGACATTATTTAAGAAGCAAATTAAAACTGGAAATAAAATAGAGTAATTTTAATTTGGCAATTAAGAAAATTTGATTATATATATTAAATGTCTTGTATATAATGCGATTACATATATAATTTATTTACATTCTGTTCAATAATCTCATGGTTACAAACCATTATACAATAATTACTTATTGTATAATGTAGAGAATTCATTCCATTTTTGTAAATAGTTAATCTAATCATAATAATTTTATTGAAAAGGTAACTAATATACAAATTATTTTTATGGAGAGACAAAACCTAAGAATGGGTTCATCATTTGAATTCCTGGATATTGTGCAAAAGGTAATTAAGATAAGTTATTTTGTTGTTAATATTAATGTTAATTTTGATCTGAGACTATTTATGGATTCGACTAATTTAAGAGTGCCATATTGGAATATTATTAGAATATATCAGAATTATTTATCATCAAAGCATCTTAGTTTGCTGTCTAATTAGGATAAGTTTGTTGAAGAAGTTAAGAATTAATATTATTGTGATTAATTTTTAATAAATTTTCTTCTTTAATATTAGTGATTTGATTATAGAACAAAGAGTTGGCATTATGAAATCCTTAATAAATATTTAAAAAACAAATACTTTAACTATTTTCATTAGACCCATCTAATTTTTAGCTATTTTCATCATTTTATTTATTCTACTTTGATCTCGTCATTTTTTGGAGATTTTCTAAATTTACATCATTAACTTAAATTTTTTTTTATTTTTGATCATCCTTTGTTGATTTAGGTAATTTTCTTCTTTTTTTAAGTTTAATTTTTTCGTCATTGTCTGATGAAATAACAGATTCCTTTTCAAAATCATCATCATCAGAATCTACTATATCACATTAATATTTTCTCTTTAGATTAGCATAAAATCTATTCTTAACCATATTTTCCTATGTTTATAGTAATATTTAATTTACAGGTCTTCCATTCAAAAAACTTGAAATATAACTCCATTTAGTTCCAAACTTCCTATATAGTTTCAGAATCAATTTATCTTCCTCTTCTGTCCATTTATCTTAATTTATTGTCCCTTAAAGCTAATTCAAATAACGCTCTCTAACCTATTTTCCTGTTCTCCAATTCATTACTGTACAGATCTTACTCCATCTTTTTCCAAATTTTTCTACTAATTCTTTCAACTATTCATCTTCTTAAGGAGACCATAACTATCTTGAGGGAGTCTTTGTTTTTATAAATAACATACTTAATCTGGATGAAGTTATTGCCATCTATACATACATTCAATTGGAGTAGGACCATTTAATAAAGTACTTATGGATTTCCAGTTACCCTATTGTAATATATGAAGCTCTTTAAGTTTTTCCTCATCTTTTGGTGTCCATAAGAATTTTGTCTAAAACAACATTTGTGTTATTTAAATACATTGGTTGTAGTCTAATTGGGTTCAATTTCTTATTTTGAGTTTGATGAAATGCTCATTCTATAGGCAGAAATTATTTAAATATATTATCAAAATATCATCCATCTTTATCATCTTTTATACATTAAAGATGACGAAATAATATAATTCGTATCTTAATTAGAATTTTCTCAAAAAAATATTACAAATACAAACACCAATCTATTAAAATGCAACCTTAAATCATACTTCCTTTAACATCAACGTTAAAGATTCGTCTTGCCTGAGTATAGTTTGAAATGTCTAAAGTTTATAATTATTATTTACTTAATTGATCTACATAATAACAATTATTGTAATTAATTATCATAAAATTATATATTCCCTTACCGTTAAATAATTGGACTTAGTCAGTCCCATTTTTTCACAATATAATATATAATCAAAAATTTAATCAATTTTTATTTCAAGTTTACTAGAAAATTTCATTTGAATTTTTGATACTTACTCTCTTTTGATTAAATTAAAAAATATTTTTATTATATTTTTATAATATAATAAATAAAATATTAGTTGAGTTGATAATATTCTAATAGAAATTAGTCAATCATTTCTATTTTTCAAAACAAATAATTCATTCAAAAACTTAATATTAGTACTTAATATTAAAATTAATTATTATTTATAATATGTTTACCAGATAATAATTTATTTTGATTAATATATTGTTTTAGCGTTTATTGAGACTCTTAAGATATTATTTTTATATATTCTCATTTCCTTTATAATAACAACAACTAAATAAACTATCCACAATAGATTCTAATTATGAAAATAAAACTTTAAATTTTATCTTATAATGAATTCCTATTAGAAATGAATGATCATGTAATTGAGATATATATTTAATATTACAATTTATCGATGCTTAAAGAATGAGGAATATATTATTAAATGTCTCCATCTCTTATTTTTAGTTTTAAAAAGCATCTTAATATGTTAATATTAAAACATTTTTTAATTCCATCTTATTACTTAATTTATTATCTATGTGAAATCAATAAGCTGAAGTCTATATTTCAATTTTCAAGACAAGTGTCTTTTTTGCTGATTTAAAATGAATATTTACAAGAAATTTTATTACGATGTGGATAAAACATAAATCTTAAAAATGGAATTAGATAATAATAAATTTGAAATAATACAAAGATTATTTAGAATAGAAAAACATTAAAAATACAGTTGTTTAATTACAATGAGACAATAAACATAATTTTTTTTTTTAAACAATATAATATTAATGCTAAAATATCTAATTATTTAATAACATAAAATTTGAATTGTAATATATAAAGAAAGAAAGTAACAAATAATATAAGTATTTTGTAAAATTTAATCAGGAGAATATATTATTTATCTTATTATTTTAGTAAATTCTTTTAGTCTAAACTAAGAGAATTCACTAATTCAATCTATTCATTAATTTATAAACTATTTTCTTTATTATATATATATAATATAACAAATATTTTCTTTAAAGATTAAACATATAAATATATATTGTATTTAATTTTATAATTTTTTAATTCAGTATAAACTTTAAATCAATCTCATCACAAAAAATGTTAAAAAATGATTATGTTATAATCTATTGATAAATTTATGAGATTTTCATGTAATTTGATAGTTTAATATGTATAATAATTGAGTAAATTTAATTTCAATTTTTCTATAAGTAGATTATTGGTTTATAATAAAAATAAGAAAAATGAATTAGAAAATCTAAAAACTTCATATATAAGATTTTAATATTGACAATTTTTTAATAAATTGAGTTTTATATATCAATCCTCTAAGTATTTATCTGAGATTTAGGACATTAAATTTTATATTTAATTTGCCTAAGATGAATTTATTTACATGTTCTATTTTTTGTTATAATGTGTACCTAATATATTTCTAATGACTTTTAATAGTCAATATATGCTTATTTATATCGACCTAGTTCTTTATGGCAATCTGCACAATTTTTAAGTGTAATTGCTAGATTACCATGCATTTTGCCACATAATTATGTATATATTTTAATAGATTCTTCAAAACAATTTACAGCTTCTTCATATTATTTTCTTTCAAAATAAGATCTTCCAAAATTATTAAGAATAATTGCGATACTTGCATGACTTTGGCCATACAATATTTTTAATATCTGTTGAGATTTTTAAAAATATGATTCAAATTCATTAGAATTTTTATTATATGCTTTAATTTTTCCTAATGAATGATAACAATCAGCAATATCTTAAGAAGATTCTCCCATAATTTTAAGATTAATTTCTAAACTTTCAGTAATAAGTTTTTCAGCAGAAGATAAATCTAGATTAATTTAATAATTATACTTTCTTGATTATTTTTCATTCTTAAATATAAATTACCTTTCAAATAAATAGATTTAGCTGTTTTGATATGTTAATAACCTAATACATCTGTCCATATAGAAATAGCTTCTGAAATGGATTTCATTGCTTCATCTATTTTACCTTCATCGGAAAATAGTTATGATAATCCATGTAAAGAATCAGCTACTTCCTATAATTTATATATATATATAATACTATTGATTATCTTGTAAATAATTCTTCTCTAATTTTGATACTTTCAAATAGCATTTACTCTGCTAATTCATCTTGAAACATAAATCTATAATAATTTCCCAATTATGTTAATGTCATAGCATATACACCTGTTTTTGTTAGATTATGTTTAATCAACAATGATTATGCATAATCAAGATATTTAAAGGTTTATTCATAGTAACAACAATAAAAGCAACATCTTCCTTAAATTATTATTAATTATTACCAATTTTAGCATAAGAATTACATAGTCTTAGTATGCTTTCTTTGTCATTTTAAGTTTTGAAAAGTTCTTTTTCTATTTTAATCATATTTATCAAATATTGCATAGCACGATAAACTTAATTGATATCAATAAAGATTTGTGCATATCTCTCATAAATATTACTTTAAAGAATCTCATAAATAATAAATAATACTAATTCAGTTTCAGAGCATTCTTCAGGGTTATTTAATTTAGCATTTAATTCATTTTACATTTTTTCTAGCTTATTTAAACTCTTTTCAAATTACTATTTTCTTATTAATATGTCAATTATCTTAAAATGATCTCCCATCTTTGGATAAATAAATTTTATTAAAAACTTAATGTATTAATTAATTACTAAATTATGAGCACACATATATTAAATCAACAAAAAATTATTTATACAAAATAAATAGTTTCAAAATTTTCAAAATCTCATATGAAAACTATAGGTTCATCAAAATTCTATGTAAAATTAAAGTTTTCTAGAGTTTATAAATTATTGTATTTAATTAGTTTCATAATAAATTTAGAAGCCTTTTAATTATGAATCTCATCAATAATTTATCGAATTATTCTATTTTCATTCTATTTTAATTATTCTTAACTATTTAATATTTTTCGAGTGATTCTTAAATTTATTGAAAATAATTTACAATTAAAAAAAAACAATCCCACAATCTTTATAATCTTATTCCATCAAAAACTCTCTCTCAGTAAATGTATTCATTTTTATATAATCTTCATTAATTAGAGTATTTATTGATGAAGAGTGTTTTAAATTCATAATATTAGTTAATTTTGATTATCCATAATCTATTAAAGTTATATGTTCCAACATAGAACAATAAAAGATGTTTTCTAATTTAATATTTTAATGACTCAATCCCTCTTAATGTAAATATTCAACTATAGATAATAATTCCTATTGTATAATTCAAAATTTATACTTTCATTATTTTATAAATTTAATCCTTATTAAGTATATTTTTTTTTATATAATTATCCAACGAAGCTCCTTCTACTAACTCATATATTATATAATTATGTTATGATTCAATATAATATTCTTTTAATTTGGGAATATTTTTATGATTTAATAATTATAGGGCAATTACTTCATTTCGAAATGCCTATATTATTCATTTATTATACTTATTCAAATTCTTCTTTTCCTTATTTAATAATCTTAGAAGTGACTAATTCTTCATTCTAAATACTTCTCATACGAACTATCTAAAATAGTAGAATTAAAATAAATACGGAACCATAATTTCTTTTCTAGACATATTAAGCAATTTTATAATGATTGTTTATTCCTTAAAAGCAGACTTTTCCATTCATAAACTCTTTTAATAGTTTTCCAATATGTGGAGTAAATTTATATATCGACTTGTTTTTATCCAATAACAATTCAAATGAGATTATGTCAGAATTATTATTTTTAATCCATTTGATTTTTGGTTCAAATGAATAAAACTATATTATTAGGGAGTGTTAATCCTAAATTATACATTTAAAAATACATTAGAAAATTGAATCCCTTCTTTTAACATAAAAATGTTGTACTTTTCAATTGAAAAGAATTTGCTTTTGTAGCAAATCATGTATAAAAATTAATTATAAGATATTATTTAAAACATATTTCATTATCGGACTACTTTTAATTAATAATCGTATATTTCCTTAATCAACATTTTCAAATAATTTTAATATAATTTTCTAGATAGATGTACTAAATTTAATTATTATTAGTCAGTTTAAGATTGAAACTATGTTAAGCTATCATAATATATTTTACATCATGGTTGATAGAATTCAAAATAGCAGATAACTTATTAATTTAATTTTATAATATTTAACTGTTCTTGTTACAATACATTTTGTTAACTTTACATAATCATTGAAAAGTTTATGCTTTAAATATTATATAAATAAGGAATTCAATGATTATTTCATGTAATCATAATACTTAAATATTGAATACTATTTTCATTATTTGATATCTTAAATAAATAAGAATGAGATTGTTATTGAAATTAATTTGATTCATTATATCTTTAGAATTGCTGTGTTTTTATTGATAATTTTTAATTTTATTCATCCCATTCTTAATTGCAATTAAATATCTTAGATTATTAAGTTACTTTTGTATTCTGATATTTTTAAATGATTACATTAAAACTATTTCATTTAATTGTATGAATTTCATTCTATAACAAAGGATTTCCCTTTAAGGATGTTAAAATACAATATTTTGCTTACTTTCAAATTTTGAATGTTAAAGTATAAAATTATTAATGTCTTCAATGCATTTCCAATTATATTCCTTAAATTTTACAATTCAATACATTGGATGATTTGTTTCTATCCTCAATATAAGTTTTTAAAAATGATTGATAATTTTAGATTATTGAAACTTTAAGTTGTATAAAAATGAGTCTTTTCAAATGACTCTATAGTAGATATTCTATTAGTTTAGTTTTTAATAAGAATTGCTTTATTCAACTCTAATTCGATCAATATTAGATGATGTTTATATAAAAGGCTTATAAATACTATAAAATGATTTTAGTATTGTTTTATTATATATTCTAATATATCTTTGATGTCTAAAACCATTTAAAAAGGTGTATATAAATATCTAATTGTTTATATGATGATATATTATGATTAATATGATTAATTAGAATAATTCTAAAAGTTTTGTAGTTGTTAACCAAAATCTAACAAACAAAAAAGTATAAAAGTTCATCCATCAAGACTTTAAATAACTTCGTTTAAAGAAAAAGAATTTAAATGAACTTTTTAATAAAGTAGAGTAAGTTTCTTAGATTAATCAATAAAAGAATTTTTTTCAACAAAACATTGGTGATGATGATAAATATACTATTGAATTGATTAATTAGACTTATTAATTAAAAAAATAAGAACTAGAAGAGAATCCATCAAAAAATAACAGTAAAGGTATGTAAAATGTTTTTAGAAAACGAATATCTGAGAAATAATTAAGAGAATAAAAAGATGTAAACAGATTAACCAGCATATCAAAAATTAATTTAACTCAAAATGATGACTCACTACTTAGTGATCACAGTATAAAATTAAAACAAACATCTTAAACTCAACGTAATCTAAATTAAATAAGATTTCTTGAATAAAACTTTAGAACTTAATCAAAACTAAAACTATCTAGCAAGAAAAATGAAGTTTATAAAAACTAATATGAAGAAATAGATAAGTTACCTTAAATTTGGCAATAATATTACAACATTTAACCAGAAAAAGTTAAGATCTAAGTCAAAAACTCTTTTATCAAATTAAATGATTAATTTAAAGAAATGGAGAGAGAGAAAGTTCTTGAACCCTTCTTATAAAATCAAAAATTGAAAGTAAAATTAATGACACCTCTTATTATAAGAAAGGATAAACCATATTTTGTAGCTGAAAATAAAGATAATAGTATTTTTATTATATTATAAAATAATAGAAAATTTAATTGATAATATGAAAAATGAAAACATTAACTTAAAAAGAGATTAATATTTAATTGTTAATTATGATAACATCTTAGATTATATATGATTTATTCAGTCATTAAATATTATGAAAATAATTATTACATTTTGTACATAATTTAGTAGTTTCAGATATCCCACATTTAACTAAATTATAAATTTAAATTACTTGTCAAACAATTTGAACATGCATAAGCAATTGGATTAGTTATTTTATTGCAACAAGAACAAAAAGATTTGTACTACAATTCATTTAATTTTGCTTAATAGAATCCATTACAATCTCCGGGATTGAATGATGATAACTATATCAATTAAAGTATTTACCAGAATTTCAGCTAAAATCTTATTAAAATGTTTATCCTATTCTACTCTATGGACTATCCCTACTGTCAATTGAACTCCTAACTTTAATCCTTCAATCCCTAAAGCCTCTTACTTATAATCACTATTAGCTTATATATCAATTTGTAATAAATCTAAACGAATTTTTTCTTTACTTGCATAAGAACACAATTTCAAATATTAATTATAAGATTCTTATCCTAATTGAAAAAATTGAGATGTTATGAATGTAATTTTAGACTCCTTACAATTTTATTTATCCTTATTGATTCGACACATTATTTAACTTAAACATTTTATTATTTTGGATTCCCAAACATCATCTACTCCTTTCTTTGAAATTACATCATTCAATCTATTTAAAATTTATCTAAATTCCTCATTATATTCAAAACCACAATTTTCACCACTTCTATACAATTAATAAATATCATATGTATCAATGGCATAGATTGTAAAATAATTATGGAAATCTGTACACAATTATAATCCTAAAGTAGTCTTTATACACTACAAAATTGCTATAAAATTATCTTTTAAAGGTTTCAAGAACTTGGAGTTTATGTCCAATATTAAATAGAGTTCATGATTTTACATAATTTAATTTAAGATTATTCGAATGCAACAAGTTCAGGCATTACCTCCCCAGTTTTTCTAAGCCATAAAAATCTAAACTATCTTGGGTGAAGGACATGATGCTAAAGTTCTTCTCGCACTTGAGACCAAAGAAAACGAAAACAAACAATATGCCTTGAAGTGCCAAGCCCAAAAAATATAAGACACCGCCATTAACTTATTCGTATTACTTCCAATAACTTGAAGTTACTAAGAATGAAATACAAATCCTCATCCACATCAAGCATCACCATATAATTGAGCTATACGGCTACAGCCAGGATTACACATGTCTAGTCCTTCAATATTGTCCCCATGGCACCTTAGTTTAATTGATCAAATCATCTCCACTTCCAGTTAGCATAGCTGCCTCTCTTATGTACTAGGTAACTCTGGCTTTAACTTATATGCATGAATAAGGATTTACTCATGGAGATCTCAAATTATCGAATGTTCTTATAGATAGTTAATATAATATCAAATTATGTGATTTCGGTTTTGCTAGATGGAATGGCAAAATGGCAATCGAAAAATAAACTATAGCTGGTAGTGAAGGATACACAGCTCCTGAAATATGGACATCAAATCCAAATTATATAAAGAGTGATATGTTTTCGGTTGCTGTTATATTTTTCATATTAATAACTGGTCATCCTCCATTTGAATCAAATAATCCAGACAATCATGATCCATGGTGGAATTTAATAAAGAATAGTTAATGGGACACCTATTGGAAAGACATAAGATCAAATATAGATCAAGAATGCAAAAATTTATTTGTTTAAATGTTCAGTATCCAACCTGAAGAAAGATTGAGTGCAAATCATTTAAACTAATGGTTTAAATTAAAACAAACTACTCAAGAAAATCTGATACAAGAAATCAAAAAAAGGTTAGCAGAGATGTGATATATAATCAATGATTTATTATTTAAATCAGTTCGCTTTCAAATACTTATATTCTAAATCATATATTCATATACTTATTTCAATAAAAAAACAATTAAATTTCTAATTAATTTTTATTTTTCTAAATTTTGAACATATTGATAATTCTTTATAAATGATATTTAAATATATTAAATTTCTATTTAAATCTCTTATTATTAAATACTCAATTATACTATAAATTTTATATGACTTACATAATAATATATATCATAATATTCTTTTCAACCTTAAATAAAGAAAATCAATTAATGAGGAATAAAAGAAAATACAAAAAAATTAATATATAGTATTAATTGATGGTTTTTATATTAACTTATAAAATTTATTAAAAACTAACAAAAAGTAAAAAAATTATTCTTTCAAATAATTAATTCTTTTCTTTTAAACAAAAATTATATAAAAAAGAGATATCGAAAATTTTGTTCTGGCATTTTTCATATCCAAAAAGAATGCATTTAATATTAATTATAGTGTGTATCATGAATTAAAAGTATAATAATTAAATTTTCAATTTAATTTTTTTTCTAATTCTTTATAATCTTTAAACTTTACAGTGGATTATGTTAATCTTTCAGTTTATTAAATATGCGTTCTATTACCTTTTACGTATATACTTTGCTTAAAAATTGTTAGTTTTTATTATTATGAAGATGGCATAGGGCTCTACATAGCAGTTTGATATTCCAATGTTTTTGGTTCTGTTGTTTATTTTCTTCTTGTTGTTGCTCTTGATGTAGGTAAATATTCATTATTGATTTTATGGAAGAGTCTAAATATTTTGTTTGACCATTGAATTTTTAGTTGTTATTCTGATGATTTCTTAAGTATTTCTTATTTAACATAATTTTCAAATAGCTATAATTAGGATGCAATACGATTATATTTAATATTTTCATTAAAAAATTCCTCCTCAAAAAGTGCCTTTATTTATGAAATTATTTAAGGGATAAAAAATGAAAATTCTTCAATTGAATCTAAATTCCTATTGATTTGTTTTTTAAGAATATGTTAATCAAATAGCCATTCAATAGATTATTAAATTTCATTAAGATCATATAAAATAACTTTTTATTATGAATAAGAGTGAATCTACTATTTTAGTTATTTTCCTTAAATTATTTAAGAAATTTGTAACATAATTTACTTACTTTATGGATTTAACTATTCAATATATAATTATCTTCTATCAATCATATGCTTTGAAATAATGCAAATATAAGTTTCAAAAAGTAGATTACTTACAATTTCATTTTAGGCTTGATGTAACACTTAATTTATGGTTTTATTGATAGCTGATGCCAACTAATGAAATGGATAAAGGAGTATATGTTATTCTGAAAAATTAGTTTTGGATAGGAAATTTGATAAGGATTACAATAAAATGATACTATTATTTTGGATATATTTAAGCATCAATAAGGTTTAACCATATAATTTAGATAGGATATCTTCTGATAATTGATACACAGCTACCTAGATTTAAAGTACATCAAAATTAATTGTATTTTTATTGTCATCTAATATTTAATGGATTATGATGTCTAATTGATTTAAATATGAAGTTGTCAATTAATTTAAATGATGGATTTTTTAATGTAATTTTATAAGTTATTCTTATGTAAAAATATCTGATATTATTTTTAGATCTTATTTGCATTTTGTTTTAAAATCTTTAGCACAGAGTTCTTCATTAAGTTAAATAGATTTAGAGTTTATAATTTATTCAAATATATTAATACATATTTATGTTTTAAGTAATTTCATAATTGATTATAATTGTTAAAGATTAATGTTATCATTGGATTTTTCAAATACTTCTTCTATATTATTGATAAGAAAATTAGTTTAAATGGATAAATATATATTTTCTATTAATTTCATTGTAAATGAGTCATATAATGTAGTGGAAAATTTGGTTTTATATTTTTAAAAGAAAGACAATTATTTTTAAGACATTGTATCATTAATTCTTTTATCAATTGAATAAAAATGTTATGTAATTTTACTTTTAATTGAAGTTGCTTCACTTATTCTATTATCATTAGAAATAGATTAAGCATGTTTGCCAGGTTTTAATAAAGTAATAGTAGATTATCGATGACTAGGAAGTTTTTTATTAATGGTTAAAGTTGGTTAGATTTCTGTTTTCTATTTTTAAGGGTATAAGTATTAATCTATTTGGATGAATAATAAACAAAATTATCGTTTAATTTCTTATTTATATACATCTTTTATTGGATAATTTAAAAATTAAGCAATTTCATTTTTCTCTGTTAATCTTTATTTAACAACATCATGATATTTCTATATTTAAGAAAGTTCTTATTGAATTTTTTCAAGTAGATGGTAACACTGTAATCTACTTAATTCACCATCAATAGAATTAGCATATATCTGTACTTTAAATTTATTAATCAATAATTGAATAGATTTGTATGTTAAAACAAGTTTATTACATTAAAATATCAACATTCTTAATTTTCTTTAGTCAATCTATGCTTTAATTAAATCTAAATCTTTTTCATAATGTTAATAATGATATAACTATTAATGATGTAATTTAGAGCTATCCTAATTTAATATAAAATCTTTAAGTGGTTAAACAGACAGTTTTTAGCAAAATAATTCTAAATCGCATTTATCTACAACTATAAATGAACCTATTTCTATTAGTTATTCAGATAAAATATGCATTAACACTTTTTCTAATAATTACGAGAGATTTGATTAAATAAGTTGAGATTAAGAAAAATTTGTGTAACTTCTTCTATTAGATGTGATAAGATTATTAGTAAATACATTCTATGGTTTAATACTTTCATCAACTAGAAATTATTGTTATTATTAATCTTAATTATTGATCTCATTATCCATCAAATATATTATTGAATTTTTTATAATTATCATTAACTCATGAAATAGGCAACAACTATGCATAAACACACTGCAACACCAAAGAAGATCAAATCAGATTTGTAACTTGCTCTCAAGTACAAAGGTTTTCCATAATCTTCAACTTTAGGTTTTGTTGTGACTGTATTAATCCAAAGCATTTACATTTCCAAAAATAGCTTTCCTTTTCTCTTCCTAAAATTATTATAAATTTTACAATAGACTTGCTACTATTTATTCTTTTGATATAAAGATATCATGATTCCATTTTTCTTAAGGAAGACTACTTAAAAGATCTGAAACATTAGAAGACTCTTTTTAAGATACATTAAATTATTTCTTATCTTCTAAGGCAATCTATTGATCTAATATTTTATTTGTAAAGAAAGAGAGATATTCATCAATTATTGTATTGAATTTTATTTAGATCTTAATTTCTGAACATATTTCTTTGACATGTTGCTTAATCAATTTAATTTTTGTCATTAAGTTTGAATATTTAGTAATGATTGATTAATAATTCAATTTGGATTGATTTAGAGATTAGATTACTAAATTAAGGAATACCAATATTTTAGGATTTTCAGGATCATCTTCAAAATAATTTATGGCAACTTAGGCATCTGTTAATGATATTATAACTTTTTAGAAGTCTTCAATTATTATATCTTCTATAATTTATGCTTCTTGAAGTTAATTATCTTATTGCATTAGAAATAAAATATATTTATTTTCCTATTATGAACCCTCTATATATTACATAAGATGAACTTCATCAAATGTTCTAATCCCCAAATTAAACTAAAAGAAGTGCAGATTCTATAGTTACACTCGAACCTTAAACTGTTAAATTTTAATAAACATTTTCCAACATTCAAACTAATATCGAAACAATTGAGCAATTAAAAAAAGAGTTGGCTGCAAAAGATAAGCTGATAAATGAATTGAATTCAAAGACATCTTAATAAATTGAATCCCTTCTCTCTCAATAGGAAAAACTAATACAAGAAAATCTCAATCTCAAAAAAGAACTAAGCACATCAAAAGCTCAACAAAAACATTAATAGTAAAAATTAGAACTTTATATGACTGAAACAAAGACGCTTTAATAACTTCGACTATAAGAGCGAACAAGATACTAAAGAGATATTAAAAATATTGAAAAATACAATTAATCACTTACTAAGTGAAGAATAACATATTATATTTATATTAAAAATCAAATTTCTAAATTAAATTGAAGAATTTTAAAGAAGAAAATACATCAATCCAAATTTATTTATGATTATTGAAAAAGTCAATTTATTCTTTAGAGTGGATTGCTCTTATCTCTATTTCTAAATTGAAAACCTATGTGTTTAATAGGACTTTTCAAAAGAGGAGCTCTAAATTATTTATTTTAAGTATGTTATTATGATGTTTCTTCTTTGAAATCTTCTTATTTAAGTCCAGGCATATATATAAGACAAGGTGTTGTTCTTAAGATTAATCGTTCACTTTTTCTTTTAGAAGATAAATTATGATTTCCATTATTATTAATATTTGGCATGCTAGATCTAGATGATTATTTTGAACTAATTTATCTACTTAAATCCACAGAACTAAATTTAAGTATTCAATACTTGAGTGTTGATCTTTATTAATTGAATAAAAATGGTTCATTTTAATATTCCAATTACTATAATTCTGTTTAGAATTTTGCACTTAGTGTTATAGATTACAGGTTTTTACACAATCTAGTATTTAAACTTGTACTTTCATTATTACTTGATCTAAAAGAGTGTTTTGCACTACTGATCAACATCAAATAATTATTAATATAAACAAATTAATCAATTACTAATTTAATTGAATAACTTCCTATAATATCTATACACATCATATTTATCAGGCTAAATTGAAAGAAAAGTAAATATTTTTATTAGTGTAAATATATCAAAACTATATTGTAAAATGTAAAATTATTTTTACATCTTTTTTTAAATGATAAATATTAGGACTTATAATGTACTTAAAAATATGAAAAGGTCGATGTATATTAAAATTGAGTAAGTAATTTTATGAATTTTATCATTGAAAATGATTTGATTTTAATTAAATAAATAAAATGAATAGCACCTTAAGTTCAGAAGATTTAGATAACGATATAAGAATATAACAAGTCTAATAAACTGCACCTGATGCTGTGTAATTTTACATTAGGGAAGAGTATAAAAATGTCATTATTCTTATTAGCCTTTTCAATAATGATCCATATGATATTATATAATAAAAGGTAGCAACATTTCAACCAATACAATCTAAAGATGATACTAGATGTGATCAAGCATCTAAAGATGGTGGAAAAAAATTCGAAGATAAGAAGCAAATTAAGTGTATGAGATCGGTAGGGACCTATGTGATTTAGCAAATTGGACGTAAAATTTTATCTGGAGACATGAATCTCACTAAAATTAGTTTTCCTATTAAGGCTATGATTGCGAAATCAGCTTTAGAGAAAAATTTATAATCTACTATATTTTTTCCTTTGTATATTAACCGAGCTGTCTAAACAGTAGATTTTATGGAGTAATTGAAATTAGTCATAACTGCTACAATAGCTACATTCCATATAAATTTGAGTTTTCATAAACCCTTAAATCCTATCTTAGGAGAAACAGTTGAAGGTTTCTTATCAGATGGAACAAAGTTATTCGCAGAATAAATTAGTCATCATCCACCAGTTAGCTAATTTTATGGTATTGGTAGAGATAATTCATATAAATACTTTGGGTATTACCTTTATATATGATTAGAAATTATTGGTATGAAGCCTCTGCAGGACTTAACTCTATTACCCTAAAAAATAAGGGTAAAAGAACTATAGTATTTAATGGAGGTCAGAGAATTGATTATAATTTTGCTTATGAACTATATAGTGGAACTATCATGGGTTCAATGAAAGTTGAAGTATAAAATATTAGTAATTTATAAAGACTCTTGGGGTTTCTACCTATTAGACAAATAAAGGATTAACTGCAACTTTAAAATTTGGAAAAGTTAAAAGAAAACCTACTGATTATTTTGAAGGAACAATAAATATGGGATAATAAGAATTATGTAAAATATTTGGTACTTACATGGGATACATAGAATTTGATGGAGTGCGATATTGGGATCATAGACATATGGTAACAAAAATATAAAATCATATTTAGTAACCATATTAAGTAACTATAAAACCACCATTTCTGCCATCTGATGCATAATTAAGAGGAGATTATACTAATTTAGCATCTTTGGATATAGATAAGGCATAAATAGAAAAAGAGAATTTAGAAAACCTATAAAGACATGATGCAAAATTAAGAACAAAATTTAAGGAGTTCAGAAGAAAAAAGGAAGAGAAAAAAAAATAACATGATCATGATTGATAAATTACTATTCATTAAATCAATAGAGCTTTAATCTTTATTATAATAGTATTATAATCTATTAATTTTATATTCAAAGATTTTTTCTAAAATTTAAAGTATTGGTTTAAAGACCATCAAAAAATTTACTATTGCTTTAAAGATCTTACTTTCTTAATATATTAATTTATTCCTTTTATTATAATTAAGAAATGCAATGTTCTACCTCATCTAATGTCAATTTTAATCAATATTTTACATTTCAACTATACAGCTTCCATGTTACCTTTATCAATATCCAAAATTTTCTTATAACATACTAATGATTATTAGTATTTTTTCATTAATTTTAACACTTCTCCATATCCAAATAAAGCTTTTATATGGTTAGGTTACAATTCTAGAGCTTACTTATATTCAACAGAAGCATCATAATTATATTTAAGCATTCTAAGTGCTTCTCCTTAAAAATATTGACTTAGATTATTACCTTTGCCATATAGAGATAAGAAATGTTTTGGATGGTATTTTAGAGCTCTGTCAAAATAAACTATAGCCTTTCTGAATTTGTCTTACATTCTCAATGATTCACCTGCAATAGATAATATGATTAACCTTTTCCCCAAATTGAATTTATATGATTTGGTTTTATTTTTATCACTTTATCATACTATTCAATAGCATCATCATAATTTTCTATTAATCTAAAGTATTAGCCTATTTTCACTTTGAAATTAATACCCTTTCCAAATATACTTTAAATATGATTTGGATCTAAATCTAATGCTTTTTCATAAAAATTATTGGCTTCTGTATATTTTTATTGATTTAATAAAATATCCCCTAAAATTAATCAAGAAAGTGCCTTTTGCTGCATAAATATCAGATTGTTTATCATTATGACCTTAAATAGATGGTAAAGATAGGGCTTTATTTATAATAATTTCAGCATCAAATTATTTAGAAAAGGTATTAATGCAAAGTCCTAATATTAAATAAAAGTCCATTACCTTTTCCAGTAAGTGCCTATATTTGATTAGGTTTGCTTGACAATGCCTAATCAAAGTACCTTTAAGATTCTAGTTCTAATTCAATTTCTTACTCCAACTCAATTTAATGTTTAGGTTTAGCTAAAATCTTAAAAAGAAGAATACTCTTTCCTTGAAGCAATGTTTCAATTTTATATTAATGTAATGCTTTAGCTTAAGAATATTAATTATAATTACCTTTATCATTTAATTAAACTTCTTATTGTTTGTTTAAATTAATCTTTTCTATTTTATAATATTTAGAGAGTACCTTTTTCTTTAAGACGAATTTCTAATTTTTCTTTATTTTGATCTTCTAATAAGAGATATATAATTTAATACCTTTTTCTTTGAAACGTTATTCATGCTTTTACTTTTCTAATGAATCTATATTAAGAAAATTAATTTTTGTGTAATACCTCTTTCATTGAGAGTAGATTATGTCTTTTATTTATTTAAGAGTTTTGCTAGATATAAAATTAAAGATTGCAATACGTTTTGCAAATTTATTAAAATCTATTTCTAATTGATAAAGTGCTTTAGCTATAAATTTGATTAAAATAGTAAGTTACCTTTTCCAACTAAACTTGGAACATGATTTGGTGCTATACCCAATGCTCGATCATACCATTAGATTGCTTTCTAATGTTTATCGAATAATTACAAAGCATCACCTTATATATATATAATAATTATGTAATTACCTTTTCCACATAGAGAATCAGCCATATTAGGATCCAAACTTATTGCTGCATCAAACCAATAAAGTGCTTAATTCATTTTTTATTATTGTAAGAGTTATTAACCTAAATCAAAAGAATCACAACCTAATGCTATCATAGATTTAATGTCATTAGGATTCCTTTTAAGCACCTCTTCGTAATCTTATCTTAATATTTTAGACATTATTAATTTTATTATACATAATCAATCCTTTTTAATTTTACCTTCTTCAATCAATACAGGAACTTCAGCTGCTAACCAAGGTGCCAACTATTTAATAATTAACTTTTTATACAGCTAATTATAGAGCATGGACAATTCCAAATTTAGGTGCGTTTTTTTACCATAAAGGAGCAAAATGAATATCAATACAGATCTTGCCTCCTCTATACATCTTAGGTGTCAAACCATCTAATGATGGGATTTCGATTTCAATTGGTGCTAATGGATATGTAGGTGGTATCTAAATAATAGTGTTTTGTTTTACTTCAAATTAAAAATCAAATTCATATCTAATCAAATTATGGATAACCCAACATTTACCTTTCCAACTATTAAATAATTAATAATTTTAATTACTTTGTGCATTCTTTATTTGCTGGTTCCAATTTAACCCAATCATTATCTTCACTTTTATTATTTTTTATGTAATTGATCAAAGCAGCATATTCTTCTTTGAGTCTATCAATCCATTATGGATCTCTGGGTCCTGCATTGATAGTAATAGAAGACTATGTTGATTGAGCTTACATAATTATTTAATATAAAAATATTTCATTTCATTAAAATTATTATTAAGATGATAATAATAATAGGGAAACAGTACAAAAGTGTAATTTTAGAGAATTGACTCTTATTTTGTTTTTCAATTGTTTTTTTAGAAACTCTTTCAGGGGAATTTTTTTAACTTTTAATTGGAATCACTATTATAAGATATACATAGCTATATACAATATTATTATATTGCAGAATTAAGTGTTTCTTTTTTTTCATTTTGTTTATTTTGTTAATTAGTTTATTTTTTCATTAGAATAGAAGTATTCATACTTTATTATGTGTTAACAGAATCAGTAATAATAGATTGTTCAGTTGCTTCACTCTAAAGAATGTTTTTTAAATTATTACATCAGATATGGCATTTTTTGAAATATCAGAATATTATGTTACATATCGAACTCCAGGTAATGCATTAAATGAACTTTTTTTTTCATTAGCAGTAATATCTGTACTCTTTTATTAAGGATCATCTTCCTTAAACATCTTCTAACCCACTAATAACAATTTTAAATTTAAATTTTAAGATCTAGATTTCTTTTCTCCTTGAAAAAATTTAATAGATGGACTAGCACTTCTAGATGGACTAGCACTTTTAGATGGACATTCATTAATCTAATCAAAATATTATTTAAGCTTTTAAATTAAGAAATGATTAATTTGATTAGCAGCAATTATTTTTGGTTTTATTTTTTCTTCTTCAATTTAAGAATAATCTAAATTTTCACTTATATCAATTGATTTAATTTCTCTTATATCTTATTTTTAATTGTTTCCTTATCTTAGATGTAATAAAAATGCAAATTATGCTTTTATCATCACTTAACTTAAAATTCCTATTAATAATGACGTACTAGCAAATTTCATGGCTAATTATTCTTTTGCACTCATCATTTAATTATTTATTTCATGTTCATGTTCAGGTATATCATTATCATTTTCTTATATTATTTATTATTATTATGAGAATTCCGAATCTAATAAACTTACTTATTAAGAATGATGATTAATATTATTTATATTTTAGGAAATCGTTAATAAAACTTCTAATTATATTGATTTTATTTTTTGATTAATTATTAAACTAATTCGTCTAAACGTCTTTGATTATAAAAGTCTGGTTTTTAGAATTCTGAAGTTTTAAGTTTATTTCTTTCTAAATAATTGAAATAAAATGTTATTAAAGGAGATTTGCTTATTTTTTTTATTTTGATTATAATGTAATATATTGAAGTTTTTATGAAGATGTTATTTGATTATTGATTATAATAACAAGAAGGGTGCAATTGAGTATTTTGGTTAAAATTTTACACTTTTCTTTTTTGTGGGAGGTGTCAAATATTAAATTTACACTTATTAAGGCTTTTATAAAATTGGTACAGAATGTATATTTGATGTCTTTGTTAATAATAAAACATCAAAATAATGCTATAATCTTACTGATTTAATTTTATAACAGAATCCCACTAATTTATGAGTTGCAAGAACTATTTTTAATTGTGTAAATCTCATAGCTAATTTACAACTTTCATCTTCTCTCATTTCAGAATACACTTTTAATGTTGCTTTGACTGCAGAATTTCTAGAAGAACTTTAACTGCTCATACTTAATAATTGATGTTAATCAGGATTAGTTTTATTTCTTCTTTCAGCAAAATTCATAATAATTTATATTTCAATAATTAAGGGTACTTTTTTGGTCTTGCTATCATCTTACAACTATGAATTCTTTTATTTTAATGTCTATTTGAGAATTGAATGGAATTGAGAGGACTATTGGAACGTAATTTATTTATTTCTACGCTGTTATTTCTTATATTAACTGAACTATCTTACTTTTAATCAAAACTAGTTTATGTTTAAATTTAGGATCTTCCCTATTCTGTTTTCATTCTAAAATAAGATTATTATGTTGTTAGTCTTGATGTAAAATGATCACTACAACTTGTAGGATTATTAGTAGATCCTTAAACAAATAAATTAACAAAAGAGAATGAACTTTTCTTTAAATCATTCTATTTAAAGCTTTAATGCTATTAAACCTAATCATTTTATTTGAATAGGTCTGAAATAGTTGATGATAAAAGAGTTCCTTCTCTCATTGTTTAAGGTTTAACTCTCTCCTTCTTTTTGTTTTATTTGGTTAATTATCTACAAACTCTATCCCTTATAGATAATACTGAATCTTTGTCTAATGGAAAGACATTTAAATTTCTAAATCCACCCTAATTGGAAATAAAAAACCTACTCTAGATTAATTTATTTTGTTGTTATATTCAGTGATTTCGATAATACTTAATGCCTTAGGAGAATGTGATCTAATATCTTAGGTTTTGGTCTTTATAGAAGTATGGAAGATTTCAGATATGGCCTTTCTCTCCACCTTCTGTTGTTCTTTTTAAATAATCTCCTATTTATTAATAAAGTTATTCATAATCATCTCATATCTTGTTTTCATATACTCCTTCAACATTTAAGATTTCTCTTTCAAAATCTTACATATTTCTGGAAAGTTTCTTCTAATCTAATTAAATTCTTCAATATGAATATAATAGGCAATAGTATTATCAGCACATTAGCAAGTGGATTATCTAATGGATTAATCAACTAAAGAAATTTTTGATATTTATTTATACTTATTTCTTCTTATCCAACCCAACTATTGTCACTTAATTAACATAATGTAATCCTCACTTTCCCAATCTTCTTAATTAATTCCACTCTCCCTTTAAATATTAACATAAAAAATTTAGATTCCTCTCCTTCCTTCCATAATATACTTTATGGAGAAAATTCAATTTTATGCATATATTACATAAATTTTGTTATTACAAACTTGCTATTATTTGGCAACATCCTCATAAAATAATCAACATTGCTATTCATATCCTAAAGAGACTTTTCACAAATTTATTTGTATTCATTCTTATTCATAGTAATTACATGAACATCTTCTGACAATACTAATATACTTGCAGTTCTTGGCTTATCTGTATATAATGATACATCTCCAAATGTTTATCCACTATAATATGTATAAATCTTAATATTCATATATATTAATAATACCTTTTAATATAAACATACACCTCCTTCAAAATATCGATTTGAGATTAACCATGGATCTTCATCTTAAGCTAATAACAATTCCATATCAATTGTACTCTGTAATTTCCTACCTTTCCAAACATTATTCCATGTTTCATTTCTATTGGTCTCTAAAAGGAAATCTCTATCAATTTCAATATCATGATTTCCTTTAGGTACCAATACTCCAACATTACCTTTTAAGATCATAAAAAACTTATCTCCATAATCACCATAATGAAATATAATTGAACCTTTTTTATAATGCTCATATGTCAAAGCTTTTCCTGCGTATATAATAAAATCTCTTAAACTTGAACCTTCTGGACAATTCTTTTTAAAGAAATCTATTGCCATTAAAGAATCAACAATCTATGCCATCTGAGATTCATTAGTCATCTTGATAAAATTTTAAAAACTCTATAAAGCTGGTATCAATTGAATTTCTATCTTATCTCTCTACTCTTAATCATTATTTGTTAAAAAATTGATTGATGATCGTACATTTGCTGTCGATCTGTCCATTTCACTTGTACACTGTTAATTAAATATAAAAATATTAATTTATAAAACAGTTTCTAAAGATGAAAATTTTATAAAGTAAATTGATGAATCTTCTTTATAAATCTAATATAATCAATTCAATTCCTAATATTTGTATTTCTTTATAGACATCTATTAGAATGAGTACTAATTTTATGATTTTGAAAGAACAAACTTTGTTGACAATTATCATTATCTAAATTTCATATATAAAATGTATATAATTCATTATTTTCAATATGATTATTAAATATTTATTTATCAGAGTCTCTTCACTCATGTTATTTATAAAATTTATTAATATATACTTAAATTTAGATCCTCATATTTTAGAGACATCTTCTTTTAAAATTCAATTCAATATATAATATTTTGAAATCATTCTTTGATTTTATTCAAAAGAATTTTCATTTAAGAAAGAGAGGGAATTATAATTATTATATTATAAATTTTAACAAATAGATAATTTGAATAAATAGGATTAATTATAATTCTTAATATATGTACATATAAGTAATATCAATCTTAACAAAATATTAAAAAATGGACGCTTATTTTTATTACCTTTTTACACCTAATAGATTAGGATTAAAATAATTAAATTAATTAAATATTTTAAAGTAAGAGAAAATGAATTAAATGCAATTTGATGCTCTATGTCATGATTGCTGTTATTCTTAATCTGTTGAAGTATTGTACATTATTATTTCTATAGAAAAAATAAATAGCAGATTAAACCATTTATCAATTCATAGAAGATATCAGAAATATCGATGGATTGTATTAAATTATTAGCAGTACTCAATCAGGCTCTACATTATTTGTCATTTCTGAATTCATAGCTAAAATTATTGTTTCAGAAAGATAATTCAAAGGATTTTAGGTTGGTGAACGTTCCTCTAAAGAAGTTCAAATTATAGTAGGTTAATGTTATACAGGTGATGAAGTTGAGATTTTATATTAAAAATGTAGAGTATATGAAACTTTGGTTACATTATTCTGTTAAACTTTGTAGAGGGAATTAGCAATTCATGAACAAAATTCCATTTGTAATCTTGTAGGATTGTTAATTTAATAAATAATGATGTTGAGTGGAACTTAATTTATGAAATTCTAAGACAGATTAAATATATTTTTTGAAGGAAATTAAATCTATAATCTTAGTATTGGTTTGAAATTGATATAAAATGTAATACAAAATATCCAACAATATTCATCATATGATTCTTATGTTTCTTATAGAAGGATTATGTTTGGATTTTAGAATTAAGAAATATTTAATTGTTTTGAGATAGTTTGTAGAATTGTTAAAAACAGTCCTCCTCAATTATATAAATAATCTCTAAGTACATTAAAGGATATTTTAATGTTTAATTTTAATGTGAGTTATTTTGAATTAGAATCTGATTTTGATCCCAATGACTAAAATAATGTTAGTGTAAGAATAAATCTATGACTTTTAGTTTCCAGATAAATTTGCTGAGTACTTTACAGATTAATAATTTTTAGAGTTATTGTTTAAGATAGTAGAGACATATAGTAATAAAGATAGTTCTTTGGCATTATTGGCTTTGAAATCATTAAAAAGAATGGCATCATCTAAAAAAAGGATATTTGTAAATAAAGAAAAAAAGAGATTATTTGCAAAAGAGTTATATGCTGGTTGTACATATTTATTTTTAAATGTGTAATAAGCAAATGAAGAAATTATAAGTGATATCTTAGAATTAAATACAAAATTAAATAATTGTTTTGGTCTTAGATAAATTCGTTTTGATTTTGCATTTAGTTAAAAATGGCTTTATTGTTTATAAACATTTTGTATTTAGATTCTGTAGAAATAAATGAAAATTAAAGATCCTCATATGTATTAGATGATAGAATTAATGAAAAGATTACTTAAATTTATATCTGATTTTAAATTAGATACTACTTTTAAAACCTCTATATCTTAAACAATAACTGAAATAGGAAAATCAATTATTCATCTATTATTAAATTCTTAGAACTCTTTCTTCCAAGGTTACACTCCTCAAAATCATAAGAAATTGAAAAATACTCTTAAAGAATTCTTTGAAAATTTATTTCCAATCTTATCTATTGATTTGAGTAATCATATTAAAATGATATATCATTCATTTAAAAATGCTGCTTAAGATTAAGAGAAATTCATAATAGAATTAAGTTTAATTAATTATATAGTGATTAATCCATTGATTTTAGATAGATCCACTGAAGATATCATTTAAATGGTTTAGACTGTCATAAGAGAATCTTTGTAATTCTTATCAATCCCTCAAAATAATCTACCACCTTTGGTAATTATGTCAGCAATGTCTTTGGCTGATAATCTGTTTTAATTTGCATTAAGTGAGTCAGATGAATCAATAGGAAGACAAAGATCCAATAAAATCTTTTTTGATACTTGCATAAAACCAATATAAATGTAACCATAATAGGCAACTAATCAGTTACTTTAATATATTGTTATGCAATTGTAAATTCAAAATAAAGAAATAATTGAATATGCATTAATAATAATGAAGGAAACCATTGTTAGACTAAAACATCATCTATATAATGATTCATTTTAGTCTTCAAATGTAGTCACATAAATTAAGAGTGTTTTACTAAATCTAAAGAATTCAGCCTTACAATAGGAATAGTTTTTTAGTTGCCGTACTTTGGCATCAGAAATTATATCTATACTTTTATTTGATTCAGCTTATGAAAATTATATAGAATCAATTGTATAATTGAACTAACTCTTAACAATTCAACCAACATCTCAATCTATTCAAATATATCTATATGAAATGTTAGGTTATTTCAAACATGTTGATGTGAGTAAGATTTTTAGATTATTGATAAAATAACATTTATTAAAAATTGCTGATTTGACTAGATTTATTTTAATTGATAATCCTTAGTAATTTTAGCTTTGTAAATTATGTTTGAAATTGATGGTGGCAATAACTGAAAATAAAAGTCTCAGATTTTAATACCATTGTTCTTCAATTGTCTAAATAGAATTAGTTCGTACATTTTAAGGAATATTGACTAATTATGTACAACATCTAATAGTTGCCATTTAGAATGATAAAGTCAAATAAGAATTTTCAGCTTAAATCTGTAGATTGGTTGGACTAGTATACAAAGTTATGAATAATATTCTAAAAGGGAAATACATATCTCAAGCTTGTTAATTACTCTTTGCAGATCGTAAGTACTTAGATCTTCTCATAGCTATTTTAGATATTACTCATAAGATATCCAATTACATTATTGTAAATACTTATTTAATATATTTAGCTTTATAATAAGTCTTGTGTATAAATGATTCAAGTTCTTCAAGTTGTTAGTTCACAATAATTATAATTGTTTGAATTAAGTCCACAGTCTTTGTCAACATTGCTGAGCATAGTAGAAAATCTATAGAAACATCTATTGCAGCAATTGTCTTAAGAATATAAAACTTAAACTACTTCCTCATATCTATAATCAACAGATAAGATTTCATTAGATCAAACAACAGATATTGTAATTTCAACTTTAGAGTTTGTTTCAGAGGAACAGCAACTTACATAGTTAGGAGTGATTCAGTCATTTGTTTTACCTCTTGATCCAATCATTGATAATATTTTGAATGATTTAATTGTCTGTTTAATCTAAGGCAAATGTTCTCAATAAACATTTAGTAAAATAAATAGATAACTCTTTGCCATCATGTGTACATATTATCAAAATTTTGTTAAAGTATTGAGTAGATAATTTGTGAAATCTGAATAATAATTAGGTTAGGCATTGATTAATGTTTTAACAAGAGATTTAGAACTTAGAATCAAATAATAAAATGAGGAATAGTTTAAAAAGAATATGCCCTTATTTTTATCTTAATTTGGAATATTATGAGAATGTATTTTATTTTGTTATTAAAAACATTGATATTTATTCTCATAACAAAAAGATTTAATTAATATAATAATATTGATTAATTATTCAAAACAATCAGAATAAAATTAAAATATATATAGAATTAAATATAATACATATTTAATTTTGGTAAGAATATTTCTTCATTTATTAATTTTGTTAATATATCAAAACTAAAATATAAAATATAGACATAATAATTGTAATATTTATAGTACAAACTATAAATAAATGTCATAACTATTTTCGAGTGGCAGGACGAACTTTTCTTATTGGTCGATCTAAAATTATGAGTTGTTTTTCATCCTGTTACTCTTCAATCTATTTTTTCCCATATAGGCTCTCATATACCATTGCTTAGAGTTTCTTAAATTTAAAACTAATTTACTGCCATCTTCTCTGTTACTTTTATCACAGATATATCAGGCTTTATTTTTTATGTTTACTAATTTTACTATTCTTTCTGAATTTAATCATCAATTTAATTTTCCAATTTTTATATATCCTCAATTTAAATTTCATTACTTATATTCTCATCTTATTATTCTATTTCAATCTATATATTCTATTAAGTTATTTGATCTTATTTTTAATATTCAATTTATTAAACATCTTCCACTTATTAATTAGATGATTCTAATATTTCTTCTTCATCTTCTTTATTTTAATTATCATCATCTTCTTATTTCATTTAATGTAAGGGAAGCTTTAAAAGCATTTATCTATTCTATAATTATAGTTTATTCAATGTAACTAAATGTTCATTAATTTTATTGATTTCTATTTTTACTTCTTGTTTTTCATTTAATTATTAATGCATCACTCTTGAAAACTCTTTTATTGAAATATAATGAGTTTCAGCAAAAGCAACTAAATTTTCAACAAAAGCAATAAACTACACAATTGTTTTAGGATCTTCTATCTTTTCTTCTGTTTTCAACATAGCACCAAGTAATTATTATTTAGCCTTCAATATTCTATCTCTTTTAAATTCAAAATTAAAAGTTAATGTTTCATATTCTTATAATTTTTAATAAAAATAAGGTGTTGATATTGAATTTGAATATAACATTTCAAGGGCGCGAATGCTAGCTTACAAGTATTTACATTATGATTTCATGGTTATAATAGTCTAATCAATTTTTAATATCAAATCTTACATTAAATTTAGTTTAAGTTAACCACTTTAGTTGCAATTGTATATCAGACTTCAATCTTTTTAATAATTGAATTTCCATTTAATTATATATATATATATATATAAATAAAGTATGTGTAATAAAATCAAAATTGACAACATCCAGTACCACAACAATTTCTATTTTTTTCTATCATGCTTTTTTCCATATGTTCTTTGTTCAATTCATGTTATCTAGTTTTGAGATTTGTTTTTGCTTTACTCATGTTTCTTTATTAGGAAATATGGCTTTCTCTAAGACTGTCAATACTAACATCTAAAGACTATTTTCTAAGATTAGATAATCTATTTTTTGGAGCATTCTAAGAAAGACGTTTTGCTCCTTGATTTTACTCTGAATATCCAATTGAATTTTAAACACTTTTTTTGCTAGTAATCAAATTTTCGTTGACAGGATTGGACATGGACTTATCGAATATATTATATTAATTAATACTAATGGAGAATCGAAAGTACCAAAATATCCATCAGGTTTATGTAAAGGAATTTATATGCTTTGAACAGATCGGGCTTATTGTCTCTCTGTAGAAATAGTAGTAATTGGACTGCCCCTCTATAATTATTCAATCCACAATCTTCTAAAAGAATATCGTTTTCTAAAAAAATCTCCTTATAAATAAACTACTTCATTAGCAATTTGATCATTGATTATGTCTAATAAATGGCTTCATTTTCATCAAAATCCTACCATTCCCCTACTTCCCCTTCAGGAAGTCTGATGGGTACTCTTTATAAATTGCTCTCATAGAATTTCAAATATCCTAAGACTATTTCACCAAATTGTTGCATAGTAACTACTTCATAATAACGATATTTGATGTCTTAAATTAGAGATGGATCTTCGTTTTTTAGGTGTAAATTATTTGATCGATTCAGTCTAATACTCAATCTACTCCTAGACTATAACCAAAGTGGATGCTCTTTGCCAACTGTATCTAAGACTGCCTACATGTCAGTGGCAGCACCCATTACATAGATGAAATCCTTCCAAAGATCTTAGAAATTGATTTCCTACATATTTTCTGTTTATTTCAAATAATATTAATAAGAACCTAAAGCTCTTTCAAACGTCAAAATATATTTTAAAAGAGAAGACATTTAGATTACAAATAATGTTAAGAAATTACATTCTTTTTTTGTTATTTAAAATAATAGAAGATTTATAATTGGTTTAAGTTGGAAATGTTAAAAAATTACTTAAATTTGTGTAAACAAGAGTGTTATAAGTATTGATTATATAATATTTATACTAATTACATATAAAATAATGAAATAATCAGATTAATAAAAGACTCATGTTTCTAGATCAATGAGTTAACATTTACTGACAGAATAAGATATAAAGAAAATCTTTCCATATACTTAAAGTATTCATAATAGATATTTGGAATAAAATAGAATGGAAAGCATTAGAGATTAGTTAAATAATTAATAGTAACAATCAATCTCAATTCACATTAAAGATCTCATAGTAAAGTAATGATGTGATATTATTAAATTTTAAATAGAGATAAATTGAAACCTCGATTATTATAGCCATTAACAATGTTAGATGAAAGTTGTAATAGAGGAGTTAGAAGAATGAAGAAACTATTATATCATGATTCATAGAATGTTAATTTACATAATATCAATTAAAGAAGAGAAATGGTTTAATTGGCATAATGGTTAGATATGATGGTAGAATAGGTTCATTCATAAAAATTAACAGATTATTAAGAATATTATAATAAATTAGAAGTAGTCTTCCAAGGTTCTGTATTAGAATTAGAAAGATAGATATCTATAGTTGGATTTGAGTTTGGATAATTTTTAAAGAAATTGTGGGAAGCTTTTACAGAAGAAGTCTAAAAAATAATATTAGGATTATAACAAAGAAATGAATAAATAGAATAGAAATGTTTAGAAGATATTAATTAATTACATAAGAATTATTAAGATGCTATTGAAAAATAAGCAGAATCAATGAGAATGATGAAAGAAGAAGCATTAGCAGTTTAAAATTCAATTATAAAAATGAAAAAGGAAAATGTATATTTAAGAAAGAAAGATAAAAGAAGAGAAGAATAATTACATGATATAATGAGTGATTTTTGGGAATAAAGTTTATAATTAATAGAATATTAAGGAATTGATAAATTTCATAAATAAGCTGAAACTGCTGAAGAGATGGATCTTGTTTTATAATAGAAAGATATGTTTGAATTTTTTAAATAAAAGTTTGAAGTACATAAAAAAGAAATTGAAAATTAATATAAGTATGATTATAATATAATTATAGAATTCTTACTTTATAGGATGAATATTATGATGGATCAACTCATTTGATTATTACTGAATCATCTGTTGATACAAGTGATTTAATTAAAACAAAAGTATAAAGTGAAGATACATCAGAATATTTTGTTTATGTAAGTTCTTCAACTCAGACACCTAAATAAGCAAAGAAAATAGATGAAGAAATATAAGTTTAACCATCTTAAGGAAATTAAGAATCATAAGTTAATTCAACATAATTAAGAAAAGAGAGAGTGCCTAGAAATTAAACAGAATCAAAATTATTTAGAAGAGCAAGATTTCCTTTATCTGAAATTATTTAAGAATATAGTTCTCTTTATTTTCCTGAATAAGAATTAAGTAGTAATGATCCATAATTTATTGTTATTATGGCTGATTAAATTACTTAATTAAAGGATAGAATTGAGGATTTATTAACTGTATTAAATTTGAGAGGTGATAATTCTAGTGAAGATATTTTTGCAATCAAATAATATTTACTCTAAAATTATGGCAATTTCAATTATTATTTTAATGTAGATTCTTAATATTATATTTTTAGTAATGTTGGAATGTTTTATAAACTTAAATATCTGTTGTTATGGATGCTAAAATAGACAAAGAAGAAATGGAACTTGAAATGAAAGAAATTGAAAATAAATTTAATGAAAATATTGCTTTATTTAAAAAATATCATAATAGAACTAAAGAAAAAGAAACTATTGTAAAATTATATAATAAATTAAGTCTAAATTTTATGAAGACTCTCTAATAAAGGTTATTAGATATGCTCCATAATTTTTAATTAATTAAATTAAAGAATAAGCTAATGCATATGGAGTATTGGAAAATGTAGAATTTAAAGAATTTAAAAGAAGATAAGGTACTAATATTGATCCTAAACAATAATAATAATTATCTAATAAAGATTTAGATTCACCAACTAGATCTCCTAATAAAACTTTAACAAATATCAATATTTCTAAACCATTAATGAAAATTTAGAAAATACCCAGTCAAATTGAAATATCTAGCAAAGAAGATGATGATATTTACAAAAGTGATTCTTCCAAAGAAGGCTCAGGAAATGAGAGTGATGTTTCTTTTAGTTAAATTAAATTGGATTTCAAATAAAGCAAACCAAAATTAACAATAGAAAAAAAATTAAGAATATCAACTTGTCCAGTAAAATCTGCCTCATATGCTACAAATTTATTAAAATAAAGTAATATCAGTATTTTTATATTTAGTGATATCTAAATTCAATATTAATTAGAGAACTGGATTATACCAATTAAGTACTATACTCTAAAATTATAATGAATTAATTATGAAAATTCCTAATACTATTTAAAATACTCCCCTTCATGTTCACATGTATGAAAATATTGTTGCACATTATGGTTAATCATAATTTAGTGATGCAAATAGATACAAAAGAACAATTAGAAGTTTCTTATTTTTTGAAACCAAAAGTAGTACTTGTTAATTAGTTGTTAAATTTTTAAAAGCTGAATATGATATCCAAGATCTCAATTTATATCTCTAAATAGTTTAAACTTTATAAGAATATCCAAATGTATCATATTCAAAATTCATTGATACTTTACTCAAATGGTTTTTTGATAATAAATACTCTTAAAATGAAATTGATAATATTATATATGATATTTCAACATCAGAAGTTGCTTATATGTAAAGTTAATAAGGACCATGTGATTATGATATCTTGATGTTCTAATTTTTAGAGATATTTTAAAAATACAAAAATCGTACTTCTGTTAAGTATAAACATCTCTATACTGCTGTCGATCTAGTAAATAAGGGAAGTATTGACTTTTATTAATGGAATTTTTTGTATGAAGTATTATGTTGCATAAATTACTCATTTTCTATAAGACTATTTTATTAAGAAGCAGATTATTGTGGGGATAGTGGAAAGATGATGTCAAAATAAAGATTTACATTAGTTTGTGATGAATTAAAGATATTTTAGGAAGATGATTAAATTAAGTTATTAGATAGAGAGACTTATTTTACAATTAGAGAGAAGATTAATACTTAATGGATGAGAGAAAAGATAGTGATGAAAATGTCATTTATTAAAGCGAACAAAGTAATAATTCTATTTAAATTAATAGTATAATAAATTTATAAAGAGTATCTTTGCAGCAATAGATAGTTTTGTTTAAAATCCAAAGAATTGTTAATTTGAAGCAGAGACTATTTGTTACATGTATAAACTATTATAAAAAACATGGAAGCCATCCTTTTTAGAATCGTAATTAAATATAGGCATACCAGTAGAAATTTCGTTAATAAATAGTACATATAGAAAATTGGAACTCTAAATTCTCAACAAAGATTGATATTTTATATAATAATTATCTCATAGAAATTAAATTCCTATTTATTAATAAATGCATAAAATAGATCAAATTTCTTAATAAAGGAATTTAATAATATCCTAATAATTTTATCTAGCTTTATGTCTTTGCATTTTCATTGTTTCAGTTAATATTCCAACTTAAATAAATGGTCTTGGTTCTAAGTAAACATTCTTGATTTGCTCAAATCCATTTAAATTATCTTATTTTCCCTAAAGATTAAAATGATATTTACTTATTCATTCACTAATTTTAAGACATGAGCTCTCATAGTTTTATCTTAACATAATTATTGATGATCTCCTTAGATATTCAATTCAGTTGCCCATTACTTCAAAAATGTCTATTCAGGTACAATAACTCCTACACAGTAATTAGATAGAGAATCACCAAAAACAACTATTTCAGAAATACCTTTAACTCTTAAATAACAATTTTCTATTTTTTCTGGTGAAACATATTCACCTTGAGATAATTTAAATAGATTCTTTTTTCTATCAATTAATTTAAGTGCTCCATCAACTATTTCTCCAATATCACCAGTATGAACCCAACCTTCTTCATCAATAGTTTCTTTAGTTGATTAAACATTATTGAAATAACTCTTTATAACACTTGGTCCTCTTAAACAAACTTCTCCTCTTATTTTTTTTTGTCCATCAACTACTTAATCAGTTAAATAATCCATCTCTGGAACACTGACTAATTTAAATTCCTAAGAAATAGTTGGTCCACCAATATGACCACATACAGGATCATTAAAATCAGTTAAAAATGATGCAGCAGTTGTTTCTGTTTAACCATAACCTTCAATAATTTAACAACAAAATGTCATTTTTAAATACTCCAAAATCTTTGGTGAAATTGGAGCAGCTCCTGTAATCATAATTCTCTATCTACCACCTAGAATAGCTCTAGTCTTAACAAAGGCTTCATCCAATTAATCATGTGTTGTTTTACCTGTAGCTCTAAAATATTTTATTTTTGCAGCAAGAGCAAGTTCAAATTTTTATTAGATCTCAGGAGGTAAAGAATTTAATTAAGCTTGAATTCCTTCATAAAATCTGTTGAAAATTCTAGGCACTCCACAAAAGTATGTTGGTTTACATCTTTGAATATCTTTAGCTATATTTTATATGTTTCCACTATAATAATTAAGTTCTGCTCCTCCTGATAGAGCTGCTAAATGAACCACTCTCTCAAAAGTATGTGGTAATGGTAAATAAGATAAATAGACATCATCTTATGTAAGAGCAAACTTATCTTAGTGTTCAAAAAGAGCAATCATTGAAGTAAAATTAAGATGAGACTATATGGCTGCCTTTGGTTCTCCAGTTGTTCCACTAGTGAATACTAAAGTTAATGGATGTTATGGTTCTAAATTTGGATAAGGTTATATTTTTCCGTTTGATCTTTTAAGATAGTCCTCCCAAGTGATTACTTCTTTCTTTTGTTCTGCCAAGGTATTTAAGATGTTTGGATCTTGAGCACCAATTGTTACTATAGTTTTTAAGTAAGGTAAATTTGATTTGGCCAAAAATCCTATTGTGCTTGGTTAAACAAAACACACACTATATAAAAATAATATATATATATTTACCTCACTTAAGTAATATTCATAGAATAAGTTATGCTATCCACTCCAAGAGTATCATAAAATGGACAAGATGTAAATCCATATAATATACAGGCTATATCTATTAAAGTCCACTCTCTTCTATTAGATAAATAAATTCCAACAGGTTTAATCACATTATTTTATTAATCTTTTACTTCTTTTATTGAATCTTATTAACAAAGGGAAGAACCAAGAGAAGTTGCAATTTCTTACATTTCCTAATTCATAGATTCATAAAATACCTTATATGTAATGTGATCGTATTGTTGGGTTTCTTCATTGAAAGTACCCAATGTCTTCTTATCAGAAAACTTTTCAAATTAGATGAGTAGTTACTGTTGCATATTCACCTTTCTATTGTCTAATGGAGGCAAAAATCCATCCTAATGGTAATTGTTATAGTTTACTTTTGCCATAGGATGTCTGTATATTGGAGTTTCATTAGGCTTTGGTTCTGTAATAGGACAAAGATATTCTCTTTTTGCTTACATATCTAATTTATTAATGATTTTATATTTATTCAATCATCCATTTAACACGTAAAAATTAAGATATGAAACAAATTACACATTATATTATTTGTTAATATATTAATTTTTATATTATTATTATTTATATTAAATATATTTATGAGTAAATAGAAGTAAACTGATAATAAAACTAATGAATAAATTATTAGTGATTTGCGGTCTCTTTTTGACTTCACTAGCAATAGACATAAATAAGATAAAGATTTCTTGAAAAAATTTACACCACTCATTAAAAAAGAAAAACTTATTGATAAAAAAAATGTAGTGAATGAATTACTCAATCTGTTTAAATTGGCTTCCAATTCTAAAAATCTTTATTTTAATACTATTGTTGATTGCTTATTGCTTTTATAAGCAAAAGATATCAATATAAATCTTGTATTGGCTGAAGCAATTAAAGGTCCTTGTTAAATAGATAAAAAGTCAAAAGAAAATTAAGATAATGAAGAAATCAAACTCTTTTGTTTTCAAAAATTAGAAATCTAACATGCAGAAACCTAACTCAACTTGTCTAAAGTATTGGTATTTATGGAAAGAGTTTTAAAGTAAATTGCCACAAAAACTAAAGATGAAACCAAAAAAATATTTTAATTCTTGACTTCAATTCAAGATATCTTAAGTCAATAATTATAATTATAGAGCTTAATTTGTATATTAATACTTAAAATTGTATTAACTTTAATGAAGTAGTCAGTACTATAGAAAACAGACATGAAAGTCTTATATAATTTAATAGATGAATAAAATATTCACTTAGTTTTTAAAAATATCCTAACAATTGCAAAAACAACTTGTATATATATTTTTATATCATTATTTTAGATGTTCATAAATATTATCATTATATATTTAAAAGTTGCTTCATGCTATTATGCGAAGTTTGTACTAAAAATAAAATGGCTGTATACTTTTAAACATTTCTTTGTAGTCCAATGAGTTAAACTCATCTAAAAACTATTTTTAATATAATAAAAGAATTTAATTATTTATTTTACTAAGATGTCAAAGATTTGGTAACTATTTTTAATACTATTAATAAGCCATATTTATTTGAAAAACCAAGATTTCTAATAGATTATCTCCCAACAAACTTTTTATTAGGATTACTCAATAGAAATCCAGGAAATTGGATGTATGTCTAAAATTTCATATAAAATCATATTCAAATTGATGATAAATATTTAAATTTTACTATTGCCAATTTAGCATAAAGACAATCTAAAATAGTAGATTTTGGTTATATCTTTTAATCAAATAAATTGTATAATTTTTATTATATAATCAATAGAAAAAAGAAAAATATTAATCAAATAGATCAATTATTAATTGAATCAATTCAATAGTAATAAGATGTTGGAGATTATAACACTTATATTTATTGTTAATTACATTTACTTTTATATTTAAATTCTTTTGATTTAACTAGCAATTACTTCAATAAAACATAAATATCTTGTGATTCAAGATTCTTTAAAAGATTATTCTTGTTAAAATTAGAAGATAAAATGTAACCATCTTATAACTCATATTTAGCTATAAATATTAAGAAATTACAAAATTATCAAAACCTAGATAAGGAACTAATTAATACTTTACTTTTTAAATCAACAAATAATTAAAATAATTAAAGCATCCAATTGCCTAAAGTTAAATTAAAAATATCTATTAAGACATCAAATAAATGCTTAATATTAATTATTATTTCTAATTTCCATTCATTTCAAAATTTTCTTAATATATTAAAGTTCTTTTTAAAGATTTGACTCAATAGTTTTTAAATAATACTTTATTTCCATTTGATTATCAATAATACTTTGGTTTAAGTAATATTTTCTTAATAAAATAGTTATGATATTAAGTTCATATTCAAAATAAGCATTCTAAGCTTTTATATTCTAAATTTTTAATTCATTATTGGTAATGTAGAAGCCACATGTAGTCCATTAAGAATTAACACAATTGTAATTGTCTGCATTAGAAGAAGTGGGGGTAATGTTCAATAATTTGAATATTGAAGATTCCATATTTTAATAAATGATAATTTCAGCAATTCATTTCTTTACTACTTTTGAAATAAAAAAGAATTAAAAATTAAATTAATTCACTTAAATTCTAGAGAGATTAAAAACCTATTTAAGATTGAATTGGAGAAATGAATAAGGTGTATTAAAATAATACAAATAACTTATGTTAATCGCAGTTGATAGATTCTTGATGATGAATGGATTAGGGTAATTATATAACAATAAATAGAGCATAATCTCTTAAAAATAATCAAAGTAAATTTTTGAGATTTTTTAATACTAATTTAGTGAACAATGTTGATTTTATAGATGTCTTGATTAAGATAACTGGACATATTAAGATTTAAGAAGTGTCAAAATATTTAGAATATTTAGGAGAATGTTATTTGGGTAGTCTTGCAATTCATTAATAAAATAGAAGTCTGAAATTTTAATTGTGTACTTAAGTATCAAATAAGATTATATTAGATATTGTATCATCATAGATAGAATGCTTTGATTTATTTAGAAAAAAATATGAAGGAACCAAATTAACTTTATGAATTATTATATTATTTTTAAAGAGAGAAAAGATTAAAGCAAGATTAACCAAATGTAGAATCAAATGGAAGATATTAATGTAGAAAGAAATTAGTCTATTTGTTCATGAAAGAATCGTAGTTTACAAAGATGCATTATAATTGTTTATTGAAATTATTAAAATGAAAAAAAATAAAAACATATATGTAGGATCTGCTACTAAACAAACAATCATAAAGCAATTTAAACCATGAAATTGCAAAAGATCTTTGAATTAGATTACAAAATATCTATTATAAAGAAATTAATAATTTAAATCAAGGAAGGTCTATAATATTGTTATAATGAAATGATAAAATATCTCCTTTTGAATTCAGTTAAAAAAAGGAGAGTAATAATTAAGATTAATACTTATATTTGAAATACTGAAATTATTATATGTTTATGTCAGAATATATGCAAATTAATGAAAATGATAAATATGTTAAAAGTAGTAAATAGAATTCCTTTAGGTATAGTTTTAATTATACTTTAATTTGACAAGATTTGATATAATGCAAAGAGTGAGCTGAAAATTTGGATAGATTATAATTCATGAGAAAAGTAATAATTAATAATAATAACTAATTATGAATGAGTAAGATAAATAGTGAATTGGTTATTAAATTTGAGAAAATATTAAACAAATAATATCAATTCAATATAAAGGAACCAACAGTTTTGTAATTATTTAATTCAATATCTTCATCTAAAGACTTTTGATTCCCTTGTATCATTTCATCTTTGACATCTTCTATTTAAGTAACACTTGTCTATTTTTCATTTTATCCCTTGATTTCTGGTTCTTGATTTAATTATTTAGATGAAGAGTAAAAATATATATGATTACCTATTTCATCCAATTTATCTATTTTTTCTTTATGTTCTTCTACTCTTAAAATAGTACTTGCACAATAGGGTTCTTTAGTAAGTACCATATTTTAATCAATCTATTCAACTCCTATTAATTATTCTGATGTTGATAAATTCTATAATTTATCTGGATTCAATGAAAAACAAAATTGGTTTTAATTTTATTCTTAATTATCTGGATGTAACCAAGGATGTAAAATGAATTCTAATAATTAATATTATTACAAACCTGTTGATGATAATCTTTTTTCTGGTTCTTTTCTTAATAATCTTTTTAATAAATCCTATTACAATAAGTCTAAAGATTCAAATTATACAGTATTCTCTACATTATAATTAGGATCACATATCAATTCAATTGTATCTATTATTTGATCATTTTAAAATGGCAATTATTAACAAAATAATTAATACACAATAACACCAATAGACCATATATCAACTAAATAAGTATTTACACTTACCTTTTTAATTATATCCTCCTCCTGCAAAGATTTCAGGTGCCTAATAAAATAATGAGCCAGTTCTTGTCCACATTTCTATATTCTATGTAGAATTTCTGGTTTTAGTTATAAATTTTTTTGAGACTCCAAAATCTATTATTTTAATTTTTGCATCATCATCTGTTAGTTACACCAAGATATTATCTGGTTTGAGATCTCTATGACAAACACATTTGTTATGAATTTTATCTATAGCTTTAGCAAGTTCTAAAATAAGTAATTGTTGCTATCTGATAGTTAATTATTTTTTTTATTAAAGGAGTTTATCTAGAGAAGGATATGGACATAATTCCATAACAAGATGTATTTCTTCTTTGGTGACATTGATAAATAAATCAATAGCTTTGATTACACATTGGAGATCATTAAGTTGTCTATTGATTTTAAAGGTTTTTTTAATTGTACTAATAATTTCAGGATCACCAGAGCGAAATACTTTTACTGCATATTGTATTGCATTTCCTTCTAATTTGTTATAACATATTTTAACAATCCCATGTGCTCCCTAACCTATTATACTTAATTCCATTACCAAGATTCTTATTCTTGTAACAATAAATCTCATCAAAATTTTTATATAATGTTATTGATGGTAATTCATTTATTTGTATATTCTCATTAGATTGAAATTAATGTTTTTTACCTATAAATAAAGATTATTTAAGGGTTTATCTAATTTAATTTGCATACATGTTTCGCATTGGTTATAAATAATTTAAATAGCGATTAATTAAAATATTACAATTTGTGAAAGAGAGAAATTATAAATTTTGAATATATCATTTTGTGGTCTTCATTAATTGATTTGAATTATTTAATTTTCTTATTATTTATTGAATTATTATGTCTATCTTAACTTATCTAAAGCAGTAACAATTTTTGTTTCAATTGTTTAATTTATCTCTTCATCAATCTAATTAAGTTTTGTAATTATATCTTTCATTTTCTCTTCTGAAAATTGAGGTTCCTCTTCATCTGATACTTCATCTGTTGATCTATTTTCAAATTAAAAGTCTTGCCATTCATTATTATTAAATGTTTTATCATTATTTTCAAGCTGCTATTCAATTTATTCAACTTGCTCAATAATGTTAGATGGAATATTAGTAAAATCAAGTCCTTTTGTATAAGGGACTGTATCTAATTTCAATTACTTTAAACGAGAGTGATAGACATTACATGAAATTTGATTCAATATTTTAGTATTGTTTAGATATCTACAATATTTAACCCAAATGCATACTTTATAGCATCAATTGCAGAATTTACCTCATCATATTCAATAAAGACTTTAGTTAATAATTAACCTCTCTCAAATATTAATATCTATAATATCATTGAATAGCATACTTTTGATATTGAACCATGTTTTGAGAATATCTTGAGCAATGATTAGTTATTGATTTAAATATTATTTTGAGTAGTCTTGAGACAAACTAAAGCAACTCTTGTTGGTGTTGGATCTCTCTTTTTTTTCCTTTAAGACATTATATAATAAATTAATTAATGTTTTTCTCACTCTCTTCAATACGAAAGCCTAAACAAGAATTCAATTTATTACATTTAGAAACTCAAGAATACTACTTTCTATCCCTTAAAGTTTCACTTCATAATAATAATGAGTAATAAATTCTATATAAGAATAGAATTCGTGGTAAATTACACATCTGTTCCCGTTCTTTAGTATTTCAACCAAATCAACCAAAATTACCAATGATTAAGATGAAATACTCAAATAACCTTATAATGAAGATTTTGCGTAATATTGATACAAAAACTATGAATTAAATCATGTCAATTAAATGGACTCCTTCATTATTAATGGAAGATATTGACTCATTAGATATTAATTAATTGTATTAACATTTCAAAAGAGATAAAAATAATGAATTATTAGATCGACTCTACAAAATTTAATCTAGAACTGCCAATTAACAATATACTATTATGTTTCTTAGAGTAGATAAACTATTTGTTATTAATAGAAATCCTATTAGTCCCTACATTACTGAGACTGTAAACTAATATCATTATTATCTAGTGTGATGAGAATATTGTCTTTTCAATTTCATAATCAAATTCAAAATAAAATATTGTCAGATTTCTCAAACTTTATTAAGGACTTACTTAAGCAGAAGATGAAAACTCATTTATTAATACAATTATTAATACAACATTAAATGAAGCAATGAATGAACATAGAGCTTAATCATCTTAATAAGGACTTAAAATTGAACTTGCAGTTAAATGTAAATTAATTAAACCTGAAGGAATTATATATGGATTATTTTCTATTTAAAGAGATGAAGGAATTAAATATATTCCATTAATCAATTCACCAAAGGGAAAGATATTAATGTGGTAATTGACTGATATTAAATTCTTCTTAAAATATACTTACATGTTTAAATAAATCGGTTTAGAAATATGGTTCTTTAATAAAAAAAGAAGTATTTTACTTGTTTTTGAAGATATATAATAATTAGAAACAGTCTATAAATATTTAATTAGAAAAACTACTAAAAATTAAATAACTTCAATAACAATAGATAAATTGACTGAACTTTGGGTAAATGGTAATTTAAGCAATTTTGATTATTTAATGTCTTTAAATACTTTTTCTAGTAGAAGTTTTTGTGATTTATCTGCTTATCCTGTATTTCCTTGGGTTATTTCAGAATATAATGATAAAACATTTGATTTATCATCTCCAGAATTTTTCAGAGATTTATCTCGTCCTGTTGGTGCTCTAAATAAACATAGATTATAAAAATATAAATAATCCTATTAAGATTAATTGAAAAACTAAAAAAACAATAATAATAATGATATGATACCTTATATATATCCAACTCATTATTCTAGTCCTGGAACTGTTGTTTATTATTTAATAAGAAAAATACCTGAATTTGTAATTAAATTATAAAATGGTGTATTTGGACCAACAGATCGTATTTTTAGAGGTATTGATAGTACTTGGTATACAACATTAAATTTACATGCAGATTCTAAAGAATTAATTCCAGAATTTTATTCACTAGATCCAGATTTCTTGATCAATTGTGATAAATTAGAATTAGGAATGACTTAAGAAGGAGAAATAATAGATGATGCTATTATACCACCTTGGGCTAATTCAATGACTGATTTTTTATTGAAAATGAGAATGGCTTTAGAAAGTGATTATGTAAGTTCTTAACTACCTAAATGGATAGATTTAATATTTGGTTGCAAAACTAGAGGAGATGAAGCTGTTAAGTAAGATAATTTATTTTATCCTTATACTTATGCTGAAAATGTTAACTGGAATTAATGTAGAACATCTATAGAAAAATAAGCTTTGGAAACCTAAGTAGCAGAATTTGGATAGGTACCAATTTAATTATTTAATTCAAATCATCCAAATAGAAAACTCAAAATATATTCTACATTAAGATAATAATAATAATAATAATAATAATAATAATAGTTAAATTCATCAAGTTAAAGAAATCTATAAATAAATGATGTATAATAAGATTCTTAGAATAAAGATTATGTTACATGTTTGTAAAATTAAGTATCATCTTTATAATGGGAAAATGAAAAGCTGAAATTTAATTTAGATACAATTAAATAAGAGTTATAATTTTAAAAAATTGAGACATTCAATTCATAATATGATTAAGTATATAATTAATGTTATTATTTTTTTTAGGAGGAAATTGATAAAAAAGGATAAGATTTGATGAGCGATGATAGTTTATATCAACAAATAAAAATATGATCTTATGATTTTAAAATATTTAACTATAATATTATAATATTTTCTAGTTATAATATTTTTTCTGATAAAATTTCATAATCAATGTTTCCAATCGATCTTGCCAAACTAGCCACCTTATAGTCTAAGGTACAAAATAAACTCACACTGTTTATTTATATAGACCTAACTTATAATTATTCTTATTTTCCTAATATTTATGTTAGAGATTAGAATCGGACTTCAAGGTACTAGAGAGGATAGGAAAGGGTGGATTCTCTAAGGTTTATAAAGTGATCAACTTATTGGATAAAAATACTTATGCTTTAAAGAAAGTATATTGTGTTTTATATATTATTTTAGATAGAACTCCAAGCTAAAGATATTAAAGATAGTCTTGAGAAAAATATTGAAAGAGCATAAAGAGGTAAATTAATATAATCTAAAAGTTCTTTAGAAGCCAAATACTTAGCCCGTCTATCTCATCCAAAAATTATTAGATATTTCAATTCATGGGTTGAAGTTATTCAAAATAAATTAGAATCAAAAAAAATGAGAAATTAAGAGTAAGATTAATATGATTTTGTTATTGAACGAAATAATATTAGTTTTTGTGATTCATAATCAAATTCAAAGAATGATCTTGAAAATTTAATTATGTTTAAAGATACTCAAAATGAATAAATAAGTTATTCAGAATAAGAAAATGAAATATAATCAAAATCTAGAGTTAATAGAAAGAAAAAAAGTCATAAAATTCAAAATAAGAAATCAACTAGTCAAGATGAGAAAAAATTAGAATTTGATAAAATCATATTCTATATATAAACAGAATTTTGTTAATAAACACTTGAAAACTATTTGTAATAAAGAAATAATGAATTAATGAAACTTAAAAAATAGAATATACAAAAATATTAAATTTAACTATAAGAATATGAAAAAGAGGCTAAACTTATATTAGAATAAATTATTAAAGGATTAGACTATTTACATAATGAATGTTAATTAGTTCATCGTGATTTAAAACCAGGAAATATATTTATGAATAGTCCAGAAGATGTTAAAATAGGTGATTTTGGTTTAGTGACTAAATTAAAATAATATTATGATTTTGATGATATGGATAATGATGATGATATTTGCACTAAAATGTATGCTGCTCCAGAATAAATCATTTAAAATATAAATAAAACATTTTATGATTAAAAAAGTGATATTTATGCTTTAGGATTAATAATTTTGTTATTATTTCATCCTATATCTACCTCTATGGAAATGATTAAAGTAATTAATGATGCCAGAAAAGGCATTTTGCCATCTATTCTTAGAGATAGACATATTAAAATAAGTGAAATAATAATGGAATGTCTAAATTATGATCCTAAACAAAGACCAAATATTAATGAGATTACATTTTAAGATTTATCTAATTCATTGTCTTCATCAAAGAAGAGTAGTAATGAATTTAATAGTGATACAACTGATTATTTTATTAAAAATATTGGTAGTTGTTAAATTTAATTTGAGGATGATGATATTTAAGAGAAGTAATAGTTTATAATATTATAATTTAGATATTTGATTTATAATAGTAGATAAATTTAGATTTTCAAAAATTAAAAATGTAAAAAGGCTTAAATGATTTATAATCTTAATGAATGCAATATATCTTATATTGATAATAAGATTATAATTTAACATAGCTAATTAGAAAACTTTTCATTTACAACTACACATAATTATTTATAAGATATTTATGATTAATTATGTGAACTCACTTAATCATTCAATTGATTATTATAAATATATTTATATTTATAAATTATTTTATAAATATAAATCATTCATCCTTATTTAAAATTAGTTTTAAACATTTAGTAAACGAATTCATTTCATTTATGTAGTTATTTTTTGCAAGTTCCAACTTTTATAGTCTTTCTTGAAGAAAATGATAATTTTATTGATATTATTGACATGATTCAGTCTCTTAAATTAATCTATATTCAAGTAACTATTTTTATCGTTTCAAAATTTGTAATTAATCTTAATTATTTTATTTAATGACAGCAACATTCATTTATTATTCAACATCACTATTTTAACTTCTAGAATTAATTTGATCTGATGAATTATTATGAGAATTTCTATTTGCAAATGTAAAAGGATTTACATCTATCTTATTTAAATCAATTTCAGGTGGTTTAAGTAGAGGGATAGGCTTCCTAATAAATCTAAATCAATTTTAACTTTATTATTGTTGAAGTTATGGATTTTGCTCTAGTTTTGTTAGTTACAACTTATTACTTTCCTTTAGATATTTCCAATATAGATAGTATTGACTTTTTTCTTAAATTGGAATAGCTTTTCGAATTATTTTTAATCATTAACAGAAAATATAATGAATTACCAGACCAGAGAAATTTTTAATAATTAATATATTATAAGTGTTAAGGAATAAAACAATTAAAGTTTTAATAATTTATAAACAAATGATGATTAATCAAATTACCAATATTTCTTGTAATTTAAATCAAATCAAAGTAATTCTAATATATTAAATTAATATGATAAGAAATAGGTTGATTATCAATTAAGAATGAAAAATGGAGAATAAAATTGGTTAATTTTAAGCAATAGAATTGAATTATTTAATTTTTAATATATTAATTATGAATTAAGAAAATAATAGTAACTCTTATAAAGTTAAAAAGTAATCCCTAATTTGGGCATAAATCAATCAGGTAGCGACATAATTATATTTATTAGATAAAATTACTAAAAAATAGCTTACCATCAATTAAAAAAAAAAATTTAGGTTATTTTCCAAATGAAATGATGATTGAGGAAAATAATGAAACTTTTACTTTTATTTTTCCAGATAATGAAGATTTGAAATATTATAATAATTTTTTTGAGCTATTTGATTTAAACGAAAAAGGTTTTAAAGCAATTACCCCTTATATAATTATTAGATTATTAAAATTGGGAATAACTCTCAATAAATTAGGGTATGAAATTAATTCTATTAAAGAATTCATCTTCCAATGCTGAGTAGTTCTCATTTTACTGACACTCCAGATCTTTCTCAATAGATTGTACAAAATTAGTAAAATTAAATGAACAAATTATAAACAAAAAAGATTTACCTTGCTTAATTTGGAACAGATGAATTAGAAAAGAATAATCAGAAATTAATCAAAAATAGCAATATACCTAATGAGATTATTGATTAGATAATTAAAGGGAATGTAAAATAATTAAAGTTTAATGAAAAAATGACAGTTTTTGCCTTAGGTTGTGTTATATATGAAATACAAACCAATAATTCAATCTTTGAAATTTAGAAATAATAATAATTATAGAAACGAAATAATATAATCAATAATAAGGACCCTATTGATATAGAAATATTATAATTAGTAGAAAAATGTACAATAAAAAATTCACATGAAAGACCAACATTAATATAATTAAGGATGGAATACTTTACATTATTTTTGAAAGAGAAGATTTTAGGTTTAGAAGAATTTTTAATTTATAAAATAGGTAAATATTTGATAGCTCCTAATGAATTAATTACTGGAAGACTTTATATAATGGAATTCTTTGCAAAAATAAAGTTTATTAAATTGTTTTTTAAAAAGAATTCAAGTAAAGATGATGCAATTAAATCAAATACTATAATCTTATTATAAATATACTAGGAATTAGATAAATTAAATCTTGATGTAAATTAAGAGTTAATATTATGGGATGAGGAGAATACAAAAGATGAAATAAATCAATTTAAGAAGTATTATCTAAAGACTTATTTATCAATTTTAGAAAATTATAAAGATAAAATAATTGAATAACAAGATTAGACAATTCCTTAATTACCAAATAAAAATTATGATGTTTTATATAATAATAAAATTAGAGAAATATTAGACTAACTTAAAAAATAGAATGTCAAATCTTCTTTACTTAATTGTTTATAACATTTAAATAAAATATTCAAATTTAGACATTTATTAGAATATTTCAAGCCAATTTAAGCGGAATTAATAAAAACAAAGCCCTATCGTAGATATGATAAAATATTAGAAATTCTATTTAATGATGAAAATGATCAAATTTTAGATTTAGACAGAATATCAAAAATAAAATAGAATATTTGATAAAGAATAATACATTAAAAATTTATTAATTATCTATAAAATTATTCTAATAATCTTAATGATAATGTATAAAACCTATATAATCATTCTCAATTACATTAATAAAGTTTTAAATATATTTAATTAGCTCCAGCTGAATATATTTTTTATATCCTTATTTTGTATAAAATATTGGTAATGATATTTGGTTAATTTTCATTCTGAAGAGTTTTATAATTTTAAAATAAATTTCTTGAACTAAAGGTAGTATTTCCAAGTCAAAATAATGTTTGGGATTATAAAATTAAATAGATTGAGTTATGCAATATTTTGAAGAATGAATATTAAAATATGAATTAGATAGATATATATGAAGAGAATAGTTGATGATAGTGAGAATGAATGAAGTGTATATATTAATATTAAGTTTATTTAATATAAATTTGTTTTATAATGCAACGCTAATATATGTTACCAACACCAAGAGAAACTAATCAACAAATGAACAGAGTAGGGGAGTAATCCATTAAAGGAAATGAGTTTTAAATTAAGAAAAGTTAGAAGACTAAAGATTATAATTTAGAAGCCATGTATAAATATTATTAAACAACAACAAAGATAACCAATTTATCAAAATTCATAAGAAAGTTTATCAAATTGCAATAGTAATAAATCTAGTTCTAAGAATTCTATTGGATTTGATTAATAACCTAGTTATATGGAAGAATAATAATGGAAATCTTCTCACTATCATACTAATACTGCACCTGTTCATTTGTATTAAAATATTGGTGAGAATGATGCAGCATTTTTAATAAAAGATTAAGATACAGGTAGTTAATTATTTATAATATAGGAATTGTTTATGATATTAGAAATACAGAAAAGATTCCTGTGAATAGAGAATACATGACAAAATTAAAGAAAAGACATAAATCAGCATGGTAAGGTTGGTGGTAATAGAAAAAAGAGAACAATTAATGTTTATTAAATTATGTTAAATCAAATAATATAAAAGAAGTAGAGAAACTTTTAGATATTGCATCCAAGGATTTGAAACCTGAAATAAATATAAGAGATGAAAATGGTATTAAATATCATAATAATTTAAAGGATTGATTCCATTACATTATAGTTGTATGAATCAGAATTATGAATTAGCATTATTGCTTTTAAAAAATGAAGCTGATTGTGATTTAATAAATTCATAAGGATAAACTGCATTAAGTATTTGTGCTTAAAAAGGTTGTGAATACATTTTGTCATTATTATTAACTATAGGTGCTGATATTAATCATATGGACAATCTTTAAAATACTCCATTACATTATGCTTGTTATTTTTGTAAAACTATTGATTTTATCATAGAACACAAGAGAGTTTGTGAAATCTTATTAGCTAGACCTTCAATAATGATAAATATTAGAAATCTAGATGGCAAAACACCTTATGATTTAGTCCAAAATTGTCCTGCTCTCAAAATACTTTTTGATAAACACTTGAAGGTAGTGAATCAACTTAATTAAGATGAAATAAGATTCATTTAACTTATGTTAAAGAGTTAGAATCTTTGAAGAAACTACTGAAAGAGTAATCACTTCCCCTAATAGTAAATAATAGACAAATACTTATCAAATGTTAAGTCGTTGTTAATCTCCTTAAAAAGTTGAATACATGAATTCACATTCAAATAGATCAACAGCATACATTCATCCTGCATAAGATTATACTGAAGTAATTGGACCATCTTCAATTAGAATAATATTACAAATAGGTAAAGGCTCATTTGGGGATGTTTATTTGGTTGAAAAGAGAATAACTGGTAGACCTAATCAAGGACCAAAATTAGCTATGAAGGTTTTACCTAAGAATAAATTTCTTGGATAAAATTTATTAAGATATGCATTAACTGAAAGAAATATTCTATCTTATTTGAATCATCCATTTATTGTTAAATTAAGATATGCATTTTAAACTAATACACATTTATGTTTATTAATGGACTTTTGTCCTGGTGGTGATCTATCTAAATTAATATAAAGACAATAAAGATTATCAGAATAATAAGCAAAATTATACTTTGCAGAAATATTGACTGCTTTAGAACACTTACATTAAAATGATATTATCTATAGAGATTTAAAACCTGAAAATGTTGTTATTGATTAATATGGACATGCAATGTTAACAGATTTTGGATTATCAAAAGAAGGAATACATGATAATTATGGAGCCAAAAGTTTTTGTGGTTCTATGGCATATTTAGCTCCAGAAATGCTTAAAAGAGTAGGGCATGGTAGAGCTGTTGATTGGTATCATATGGGTAATTCAATTATATTAAATTTTAGGTATCTTATTATATGAAATGATTACTGGTCGACCACCTTATTTTTCAGCGAATAGAGATGAAATGATGAATAATATTGAACAAAATAACATTCAATTTCCAGAAACAATAACCAAAGAATGTAAATCTATGATATAATCTCTCTTGATTAAGAATCCTATGTAGAGATTAGGTGCTTCTTAAAGAGATGCTGATGAAATTAAAGATCATCCATTTTTAAAATAAATAAATTGGAAGGATCTATTAAATAGGTATACTCTATATATATAAAATAAAGAAAATATAAACCACCAATTCCAGTAATTAATGAAGATATACTTAATTAAAAATTTGATATTCCTTTTGATTTTATACTTTCTGCAGATAAATCTAGTGCAATTAATTATATAAATGGTTGGTCATTTGTTAACAATGATTTTGTACAGTTTTGATTTATTTATTTATTTTAATTAACTCAGTAATTAGTATATTGAAATAAATCATCTTTATTTTAGCTATCATTAGGTTAAAATGTCCAATGTTGACTTTACTATTACATTTCACAAACTTTCTGTTAGAATTCTTGTATCAAATCAACCTTTTATTGTAATTATTAAGAAATTGTTTATAAATAAGATTGCATATCATATTATTTCTCATAAATTGTTATTTCTTTCATTTCCTAAAATTAATCAAAATTATAATATACTAATTTAGAAATCTCAATAATTTTATCTATTAAATTTTTATGTTCATAAACAATTGAAGAATAATTGCTTTATCCTTATCTTTATGATTTTTAAGGTATTGAATAATCAAATTCTTCTTCTAATTCTTAACTTTATTAAACTGCCTATTGATTTAATTATCGAAATCCTTGTTCTTATTAGGATTGATAAGGAGATTCACTGAATAAATCACTGTAGGTATTAGTTTGATTAAATTGATGCTATTAAAATAGTTGATTATTTTATTAAGATGGATTTTAAGTTTTTAAGAATAAATTTGTCTAACTATTATTGAAATGATCATAATCATTTTAGTAACTAGTTGCAGAGTTTATTCTTTAATGAGTAGGAAAGTAATTAGATTAATTAAGTTATTAAGTGTTATTAAAATTTACATTAATAGATGGAATAGAAGATAAATTAAATTTATGGATAACAGAAGAAATGTCACTCTTTCTATTATCTTTTTATTAATTAAAATTCTAATTATTATACATTTAAGTAGATTAGTGTAAAGGTTATAATGATTATCTTTTAATATTTGAAATTGGACTAAAACTTTTCACATTTTCTTAATCTTCTTCTTCATTGAATTATTTTCTAGTAATATTTTCTATTTATATTAAATACTATCATACTTGTCTGTCTAGCCAACATTAATTCTCTTTACATTAAATCTCCTTAACACAATCTATTTTCTGGTTTTTTTAACTCTTTAACTCTATCAGCATATCTTAATGTATTAAGAGTATGCTCACTACTTTGTGAACTTGGAGAAATGTTTCCAATCATAACTGTCTTGCAATTACCAGTCAAACTATCTTTTAATACCAAAGTTAATTTAGATCCTCTAAAAGGTGTATGATTTTTATTTAGATCTAAAGCTCTTATACATTCTTTCAATGCTAATAATGACTTATTTATTTCAGCACCATCTATTCTAGTTTATTTATTTTAATCTTAAACATCAGCACCTCTTTCACTACCTGCCAAATCTATGAATGACATCTTTCCATGAATTGTTTTCCCTGATTTTAATATCACTTATAATATTGCATGAGATCTTGATGATTCAGAATTTGAACTATTTGATGCTATTATTTTTATTTTTATTATTTATACCTGTAATTCTAACATTCTACCCTAATTAAATGAAATGCATTAATTATTATACTGAATTTATCTTTTTCTCCATTAAATTTATCATATTCACATTACCTTTTGCATCTTCTCTTATTTAAATTTAATTCCTTTAAGATAGTAAATCATACAATTTTCCACAATAAATCTCAAAAAATGACACATATACTTATAGATGTGTATATTCTTCCTAATTTTAATATTAATTTAATAATTTTACCATTTCAATTATTTAAAATATGTCTTAACCAGCCAATAAATACATTCCAGGTACTTATCTCTCCAAATCTCCAATCATTGTATATGTCTTGCCACTTCCTGTTTATCCATATGCAAAACATGTCACTTTTGCTCTTTGAAAGGCTGCACGAATTATAGGTCTAACAGCATTTATGTAGACTTATTCATTTGAATGGTTTTGATTGAAAGCAAGATCAAAATTAAACTAATGTTCTTCAATATATTTGGTGAGGTCAACTTTTTATCTTCAGTCATTTAATTTATTAATCTTACTTAATTTCTTTAACGATCACACTGTTATCATTTTGTACAATAATTATGTCTTCCTCCTTTTTAAGAATTTCCTTTTAAGATAGTGGTCTTTTTCTTATGGCAACTACTATTCTATCAAAAATATCTGTCATCCTCTTTGAAATAGTGATTATGAAAATATTATATAATAATTAATATCTCAAACAATTTTATTCTCATATAAAAATACTCATGTACAATTTTTAATTCAATTTTTTCATTATTATATATTATTCCATTCTAAGATTTTTGATCTCTTTTAATTCCAATCTTATTTCTAAAGTACATTCTATTTTTAAATAGTTATAATTTGATATAAATTATTTAATGTTAATTTTTCTAATATAAATTACATAAAGTCTTTGTTATTTTATATTTGAATAAAAAGGAAGAATTAACAATTCATTTCATCTTGATTTGAATATTACAAAAGAAGAAAAATAGCAATTAGATAAGAATTATTTATGGTTTGATTTTTAATTTGATTATCCAACACCAACATCAATATAAATAGAAAATAGCACCTATAATTAATTACTTTAAGTGCAAGTAGAAGAAGCATAATATGGCCTTTTTATATCTCAAGATTTTTAATTATCTAATTATAAGACTACAATCATCCTTGATCCATTACCATAGTATTAAGATTTATGGTATAAATATAATATCTAGATGAATAAAAATCCAAGATTTCTCACTAGATTTCAACCTGAATTAGGTTTTACTAAAAATTAATCAGAAATATTTTATAATCTCAATATGACTTATGAAACTTCAGGTTTTTATCAAATAGAGATTATTTATAAATATGGATCTGGATATTTGGAACTTTCAACTTGTAAAAATAATATTTGCTAAAATTAAATGAATTAGACTAAATTATTACTAAATTATTCATAAATAGAATGCACTATGATTTTACAAGATTCTTTTGAAGATCTTTGTAGTTATCAACTTAAAGTAACTACCATTAATGCCACTTTTTATTAACTTACTATTAAACACTATAGTTATGCAAATGTGTAATTTATTAAACCTAACAAAGTAACATAAATAGAAATATCAAACTAAGAAGCCTCTCTTGTATTGGATGATTTAAATTCTCTAAATTTTATTTATTTCAATTCAAATATTAAAGCAATCTAATTCACCAAAAACTATAGAAAATAATTTGAAGGTAATATAATTATTTTGGTCAAAGAAGAATAAAATTTATAAGATTGGGATTAAAATTTTTATATTTAGACTTCCTCACATTAATAATTAACCTTATAATATATCAATTCAATATAGATCCTATATTTGAATTCAAATTTCAGATTAGAATAAGAAGAAGATTCTTATCAATTCTATTGTGTTGAAACTATATTTCCTGAATTTATTTTTGAGATTTTTGTTTATGACAATGTATTTCTAGTTTAAATTTATTTTTCTAATTAAACCTTATATCCTAATGAGTATAAGAACCTATTTGAATTAAGAGAATCAAATATCAAAACGATATAAATGAATGGACTTAGCAGGATGTATATTGGTATTAAAACAAAATAAAAGTCAATCGAATATTAATTACATATAAGAGAACCTTCTTTCTATATATTAAACTTATATTAATTAAGAAAAATTAGTTATTGTATGTCATGTTAGATGGAATTCAAATATGTAGCATAATTTAATGGAGAAATTTAATTCCACATTTATTATAATTAAATGAACTATGAATAAGATAATTCTGTATTTGAAATAAAGTTTATAGAAAATGGAAAATTCATTAAACAATCATAAATTTACAATACTAAAAAATATTTAAGGTTATCTGTTTAAATTAAAGAGGGATTGCAATACACAATAATAACAAGAAGTCAAGTTTAATAGGAGTTAGATATTATGTTAACTGATCTAAAATTTTTGGAAATAGACTTTGATTAAGATATTTCTTCAATCGATTTTAATGTAGAAATATTTAAGATAGCCAATACAAACAATAATATTTATTTCTTATATTTTATGTAGGATTTAGAAGAATCAATTGAAATTATTAATAGAAACGGAAGATCTGAATTTTAAAAGATTGCTTAAAATTATTATGAAGTCTAATTTACAAATAACAAAAAATAAGATACTTATACATATTTTATGATAACAGGCATAAATTCATCAATTACATTTTAAGTTTAAGAAAAACCTTGTGAAAACGTTAAAATTATATCTCATAATATTTTCTTGTAGCCTCTTAAATATTATTAATCAATTAAAAACCTTACTCTTAAAACACAAATTCTTGATTGCTAATAAATAAAATGTGATCAACTCAATATTTCTCAAATAAATATTATTACAAAAATAGTTTATAAAAATAATATTATAATGCATATTAAAGGATATTATAATTTAAGCGAATATTATTAAACTCTTGATGAGTAATATGAACCTATTTAAAATATTTAATCAATTTAATTGATTGCATCTATAAATTAAAATAGTAATAATTTCAACTTTAGTTCTAATGTTTATTAATTATAATTAAAAAATTAAATAATGCTACAAAGATAAGAACCTTAATTATAAAATCTATTATTTGTAATTTTGTATATAGTTTTCATTGTTTTTCTTGGATATATTGTCTTTAAGATGATTTATAGAAAGAAAGCATCAATATTTCCTAAAAAAGCCAATTAAAAAACAAAAAATTATGAAGATGAAGAAGAATCTATTAAAATAGATGATTTATGAGTTTATTAATAATAAATCATTATTATATCATAATAATAATATATAATCAATTAAAAACAAATTTATTTTACAATTTTAAAATATATTTAAATCTAACCTTATTAAAATTTATATTTTATTTCCAAAAAAAATCCCAATTTTAACTTTCTTATAACTAGTAATTAAATAAATCTATTTAATAAATGAATTTTTATATATTTTATTATTTCTGTATATTATACCATAACCTAACTCCTCTTGAAATAATATTTTTTATTCTTTAAACCCTTACTTATTTTTTTTTTAACAGAAAAATTTATTTAATTTATATTTAATATTTGTTGTAGAGTGGTTAATTTTGATACTTCAAAATTTTTAATATTATTTATTTATTTTTTTTTATTATAGAATTTTGTTAAATTTTCATTAATTATAGTAATTATTACATTCAACACTTTTAAATATGTAGATTAGTTTTAACATAGCATCTTTCCTAAATAGAAGTTTAGATATTCTATTAAAATTAAAAACTTTTTACAATTTTCTTTTCCTTAAGGTAAAGAATTCTTTATTCTAATAATAGAACATTTTATTACTGAAAAGTAGATAAATATTTTTTATTCATATAATTATAATATTTTAAAAAACGAAGATTTAAACTTAATATGGCAATATTTATAAACATTAATGTATTTTTTTTTTATATTATTAATAGCATCTGAAGTATTAATTGTAACTAAAATATTTTAAATCCTTTTTTAAAAGTATTTATAGTTATATATGAGTATTTTGGTAGATTTAACTTTAATTTATTTATTTATTCATCTACAGAAAACCCTAATTTTATTTTCTTTTATAATAAATGCTATAGGTTAGTCTAAATGAATTTCTTTTTGGCATAATATTAAATCCATTTTATAATTATATTATTATAATTTAATATAAGTTATGTATTATTAATAATCCTAATGAATTAAGTTTAGATATATATGATCTTAATTAAAAAATGTAATAAAAATTTACAAATTCTTAAAAATAAACATCTAATAATTTATCCCTTTAAGAATGCTGATATGAATCGAATAACAAATGTGGAGTTTATTTTTAATTTATTACTAAAGTAATATTAGTTTTAACAATTCTTTATGCATATTACAAGAATGATTAATGTATATATAAATAAAAATATTGTTTCCAAGTCTTAAAAATGTTATTGTTTATAAAGTATTGTAATAATGTTCAAAGGTAAAAAATAAGATAAAATTAATGTTAATTTAATGATATATATGAATATCAGGATGCTTAATAGTCAAGATAAGCAAAATATTTTTATTGATTTATCATTGATTATAAACTATCTTAATAATTTTGCCACTTTGGTTTTGGTATGAATTCTTGTTGAATTTTAAAAAGATGGGAATTCTGCTATTCCAATTTCTATTTAGCAATAAGTTATTTAATTTTAGTATTGTTCCTTATTTACTATAAATATTTGTTATTTATCGTGGAATAGTCAAAACTATATTATAATTTATTGATATTATCATAGTTCCTTGGAGTATCTTACTTAGACCATCTCCTTTTGGGGTTTTATTCTAAATCTTAGTTTTTATTTTGAGATGATTTTCTGCTTTGCTTTTCATATTTTCTTTAATTCATTTTAATATTTTATAATAAAGAAAGTTTTTATTCTCACCTCACATTACATCTTAATTTTGGTATAGAACATTCACAAATTTAAAGTAGGAAAGTAGTATTTCTCTTAATTAAAAAAAATAATTATATTTAACAAAGTGTTCAGTTAGTTAATTAATTCAATGATGAAAAATGCTGATGAAAAATCAAATTGTTGAATTGAAGGTATTATTTAATATAAAAATGAAGAATAGCAAAATAAAAGGAATTTTATTAAAAAAGATTTTAATGAAGGTTTAACTTAAGTTAAATTAAAACATTCCTTATGTATAGAAAAAGAGAGATTTTCGAATGAGTATTAATTAGTTATAATTAAACTTATGATTTAGTATTATATTAAGTGTATAAAATAATTTATCATAAATTAACCTATCATATATAGATTTAAAATACAATGATTTAAAAACTAAAAAGTGTTTACAAAAAATTGAAATGCTAGAGTTTTTGGAAACTTAAAAATGCAATTGAATTAATTTCTTATTTATTATGTTTGGTATATTAATTGTGATGCACTTAAAACAATAATTTATAATATCAAAACAACTCTAATGTACCTTATTCTTTTTCCTTCTTCAATGTTTCAAAATAGCCATAGATGATAGTGACCGAGAGCAAAATACCAGTTCCTATAAAAATATATGACAAACTAATACCTGATCCAATAGCTCCAAGAAAATCAGCCAAAATAGTAAGAGCTCCAATACACATGCCACCAAACGAAGCAGCAATTGGAATATATCTCTTTAAGACATCTTTCATTGATGAATCTCTGTATCCAACAATTTACATGTCTTATTCTTTGAGTTATTTAGCAACCTAAATATAATGATTTATAAATACATCTTTTGGTGATGATCCAGAGACGTCAATCCAAGTTTTGGAGAAGACTGCACATGTTCCTAATATGAATGCAGTATATAAAATAGTATGAATAGGATCAAAAATAGCTTCTGAAATAGATCTTGGAGGTGATACATAATAGACTAATCCACCAACAGGGACAGTTTGTCCATTTTCTAATTCTTACCAATATCCTAATAAACGAATTAAGAAGTTTCCTTTGAAATTTCTATAGAGTATTTAAGAAAGGAAATAAAGGTTTGATACAAGTGCAGTCTACAAAATGATTGGGATATTTGAGGTATAAAACAACTTAATTGGATATGAAGTCAATCCACCTCTAACTTTATTGTTTTTGATGGGAATATCTACTTTGAATCCTTAGAAGTAAATGACAATCAAAAATACAAGGACTGTAGCCAATAAACTAGTAAGATTAGGTAAAGAGTCTCTTAAAATAGCTGATTGGATGGCAGCAATTTTATCACTCTAAATAAAAAGTCCATGTAAAAGGGCAATGATAGCTCCTTCATATTCAAGTCCTAGTTATGTTTTATGTGTAATTGGTGAGAATGCTTTCCACATAATATTTTCACATATATTGATAGCAATGAACAATGAAGTTCCTGAATTTCCAATTCCATATCCTTTAGAGAGTAATTCATCGATCATGATCATCACAATTGCTGAGAATACTAATTGGATAATGATAAGGATAGCATTTCCTGCTCCTAATTTGTCTAAATCTCCATACATTCCTGACCAAACATAAGCAAAAGCTTCTCCAAAAGCAATAAGGATTCCCAATACTAAAATAAAAAAAAAATTGATTACATTTTTGTGCTCCAGAGTAAAGTTATTTGTCTTCCTTAACATTTTAATCAACATCAATTAATTTAGCACCTGCCAAAAGTTACATAATCATAGAGGCTGTGACCATAGGTGAGATACCTAATTCCATCAAAGTACCTCTATTGGATGCTAATATAACTCTCATCCAATAGAATGGATCACCAGCAGATGATTTGTAAATACCATAAAGTGGAATTTAGGAGCAAATCAGATAGAGCAAAGTAGCAATGGCTGTCCATAATGCTCTGTATTTAAATAAGATCTAAAATCAATTAAAATTAGTACTCTTCTTTCAGGCTCAGCAACATCTGGGATGATTGCCATGGCTGGTCTCATATAATTGAGTATCTTTGTTTTATTTGTCATTTTTATTATTGTTATTTAACGTGGTTATTTTTTACATTTATTTAATCCCAAACACACGTGTGAATTGAATTAATATTATAATAATAATAATCTATGAATTATTTATTCCTGTCACAAAATCAAAATCTATCCAAATACCCCAATCTACATCTAGAATCATTCAAAAAAACTGTCAGTTTCATATTATTAGAAATCTTAGACATTAAAATATTTGCTAAATGCATTAATTTAATGTTGTATTTGCATCCAAGTTTCAATTAATACTGCAAAGACAGGTATACTCTGTATAAAAAAACAAGAAATTGTATATGTCTTTTTTGGATTTTAATAACTAATTCATTGATATCTTATAATTTTTAGATGTTTTTGTAATATTTTGTTTGACTTCTATGGCCACTAAAATTCTATTTCTATTTAAATAACTTAATCCAAATTGCTTTGCTTTATCTAACAAAATTACATTAAGTCAATTTGGTTGTAATACTCAACATTCATTTAAATTTTCTGATTGTAAATTTTATATGAATTTCAAAGATGAGTAACATAATTAGATATTTATACCATAAAAATTACATAAATAGTAATTGATTCATTTTAATTAGTCATTCATTTACTAAATAAATATAATATTGTAATTCTTTAATAAACAACTCTTAGTCATGATTTTCAACAATTCATTAACTATTCCCCCATTAAATTATGAAAATCTATATTTTTACATATATATATCTAGAATATATTTTAATTTTTTAGGGTTTTATTTCTTTTGATTATAGATATAAAATAAAATAATATATATCTTGTTTAATTATGTAAAAAGGAGTACTTATTTATCAATATATGATCAAGGACTTCACTTTAATTAATTTTTTATAAGTAATTTGTATTTGGATAATGTAATTTAGATAATCAATAATTAAAATATATCGATCAGTTATGAGTAATACATTATAATCATATGAAAATACCTGTCATCAATATGAATAAGATCAGATATAGTTTAAGAGAAGAAAGGACATGAACCTTAAAGATGAGTATTCCATTAAAGAAAAGTAAAGGGGACTCATTGATTTTGATGAAACAAGCTAAAAAGAAAATTAAACGTATAAAGCATTCAGTTTTAGATAGATAAATGTCATAGATGAAAAAAAACTAGACGAAGTATATTGTAAAGATGCAAAATTTGAATCTAATTAATAGTTATGATCATAATGTAAGAGTTTTAGATCTTTCAAATTCCAAAATGAATTCTTTACATGAAGGAATCAAACAATACATTCGTTTATCAATTATCAATTTAGCCAATAATCTCTTCCAAGAAGTACCAAGTTGTCTATTTGAATTATCTCTATCACATATCAATCTTAACAATAATCTATTAAAAAGTCTCAAATTGGGGGATAAATGGAAAACATCACTAGAGAGATTGGATGTTGGCAAAAATCATATTCGTATATTACCAGATGAATTATTTCAAATGGAACAACTTAAAATTGTTGATTTAAGAAGCAATGATTTCACAAAAATACCAAAAACAATACTAAATTTAGAGAAGTAACTTAAAGGATTAGGTTTAGATTGGATTAAATATACTAATCAAAACTACTATTCATCCAGTAATATATATATTTTTATTATAAAATTAGAGAAAGATATGATGATAACAGATGATCTCTAAAGATTTTGGGATTAAATAAATCAACTTCTCAAGGATAATGAATTTATCATTTGTCATGATTATTTGATATTCAATCAAAAATATCATGATGATTAAATTCAAGATTCTATTACTGTACAAATCCCAAAATAGTCCAACATTACTAGAGCAACTTAGAGAAATACTGAATTAACCCTTTAAGAATTGACTAGTAGTTCTTAATTCATGTAGACTAAAACCCTTGGATAGGAAGCTGATATATCTGACAATGGATCAAATCTAATGCATATTGCAGTTGAGAATGAAGATATTGGAATTGTGAGAGCTCTTCTTAATATAAGATTTGAATTATCTTCATAATTAGATGATAGTTCTCATACACCACTTTCATTAGCTATCAAAGAAGAAAAATATCATTGTGCAAAAATAATAATAAATGCATCTACAAATTTAAATATAGGAGGGTATTTTATCTCATTTATTTAAAAAGAGGAGAATACAATAGTATTCTAAATTAAGCTGTGAGTAAAATGTAATACTACTTAATCAGAGATATTTTAAATGCAAAAGTCTAAATTAACAAGTAAGATAAAAAAGGTAATGGACCTATACATAATTTGATTCCATCTTTTAAAAAGAATCTACAAGAAGCCACAAAAATAGGTCATTTATTAATCGAAAGAGGTGCAGACCCTAATTTAAGGAATATAAATAATAATACACCTTTACATTTGGCAATCAAAAAGTCTTCATATTCTGCATTACGTTTTGCTATATCAATTAATGAGTAATATTAACGAGATGTTTTTTCATTCAAATTACTTGGACATAAAGGCAATTCAGGTATTTATATTAATATTATATAGTGATGCATTTTGCTGCTAAAAGTGAAAATATAAAAATTATTTTATAACTTTACTCTATCAATCCTTACTTATTATTTACTTATAATGAAGAATAAAAAAGACCTTTTGATATTATTCAAAAGAATTATACTCTAAGCAAATTAATATCAGTTTTAGAATTAATCTTTATAAGAAATAATATTATTAAATAACATTTAGACTCATAAAGTTAATCTACTATGTAGCCTATAAAGAAAGAAGAAAAAGATTAAATCAAAAAGAAGGAATAAACTATTGAATATTCAAAGAAAAATAGTTTTGATTTAATTGAATCTGATGAAGAAGGTACTAATAGAATTGGACTTAATAATTTTCAAATATTACCTAATTTAAAAAGACAATAGTCATAACCACCTAAAAGACCAAGTATAAAGAATGAGAATAAGGTATCTTGTGAGAATGTTGGACCCATATTTATTCATAAATCTATCTAATAGGATAGAAATGATATAAAACAAATAGAATTGTAGAATTAGTAAAACAATAGTAAATATAATAAAAATAAATTTATAAATAAGTAGATCCATAAATTATTAAAGAATATAGAAAATATTCAAACTTTAATGTAGACTTAATAAGATTAGTATTCTTAAATTGCTTTAGAAAAAATATTTAATGCTTAAATTCAATAATTAAATTATTTCAAGGAGGATCCTCTCACAAATTTAATGATTCAAAATGCTACTTAATTATAGAAACTTGAGTTTGAATCTAGGCAAACAGCTAGCCTTTCTTATGATACTTCTCCGTTATTCTTAGAATATGAATAATTTATGAAGCTATGAGTAATATATTACACAAAATATGATCACTTTTTATAATAAACTCTGATTGGTTGAAGAGGAGTTTCTCTACGACTTCTCGAGAATTCAAAGGAATGAATTGAATTATTATCTTAAGTCAAATCAAAATCAATCATATGATTAAGGTTTTGATTGATTCTTTTTGATTTTAGAGTATTATTTAAGTATGATTCTATATTAAATTGCATCTTTTTGTTAATCTCTTAAGAAGTCAATAACAGACTTTTGTTAATGTCTTTCAAATCTTCATTACCTGACAATTCTAAATCTCTCATAAAGCTTTCACTTGAATCTCTGTTTCTTATTTGTTATCTAACAACAGGACTTTGTTATTATGATCTTTGCATTTTATGAATATAAAAGCTATTATTTTTTTTGGATTTATTATCATTAATTCTAGGAGAACAATTAGGTAATTTAAGATGAGTGCGTGGAGTTGATTTTGGTTATGTATGATTACGGGATGCATAAATTAAATAGATTTATCTCTATTTAGGTTTGCTGAACAAACTTGAGTTGATCATTTAATTTTAATAATTCAAGAAATTATATATATAAAATGTTGAATGAATAGATTGTGTATCCTGAACCTAAGATAGCAATTGAATTTGATAATAAATTAGTCTGTCATATTTGTGATGATGAATTAGAACTTCAAAATCATTGGTAAGACTTGTTCCTAAAATTAGTGATTTTTGTGGAAAATCCACTTGTTCTAATTGTATAGTAAAGAGAAGAAAATTAAAAGAGGAAGTTCTTCATCCTGTATGTGAATATTGTGAACGTATATTTGTTGAACGTATTCTAATTCTAAGTGCTAAAAAATAAAAGGAAGAGTTAGCCATATCTTTGGAATCTGCGAATGTTGAATTAATAAATAGAAGACAATAACTATATTAATATAAGAATTTACTTCATTAAAATTAAGGAACAAATGCTTCTGAATAAAAGATTTAAAAGCTTGATGAGGATATCATTGAAGCTACATTTAAAAAAAATTAATTATTATTACAACTACAAGAAATTGAAACATAAAAAATTGAACTTAAATAATCAAATATCCAAAAAACTTAGAGTGTTGATATTAAATAAATTAAATTATAGGAGACTACCAATAAAGCATAAAAATCAAAAGATGAGTTAGAAGATATTTAAAGATAAATTGATGAATTCTTAGCTAATTTACCTATGCTTGATGCTGAATAAAAATCAGCTCTTACTTAATTGGATTTCTCCAATTATGAATAAATCTTTAGAGGTAGTAATTTACCTGAATTAATGAATTAATAAGCAATTAAATAAAGCCAAATTATGTAATAACCTAATATTAAAAAGAAATAAGAATAGAAGGAGGAATGCTATATATTTTGAAAGTATCTCAAATAATAATTGATTAATATAATGTTCCACAGTGAAATTTTTATTAAACTCATTATGACTATTACTTCATTATATAATATTAAGCAAGTGGAATTCTAGTAATATCTCTTAATTGGCAATCAGGATGTAAACGATTTAACACTTCCTCAAAATTACCAATTTCATCAGCCAATCTATCAATTATATTGGCTAATCAATTACCCATATTTAACTGCTTCTATACCAGTAAATATATTAGCATTATAAATTAAATCCTTAACATCACCATCTTATTTTTATAATTGTGGTCTATATTTATCACAATGATCAAAAAATTATTATCTCATTATTCCAAATTAATCCTTTATTATTCTTTCCATTTCCTCATTTCTTTCATCATTAAAACCTGTATAATTTTGGAAAAGCTTTCTATTTACATATATAGTCTAAAATCAATTTACTTATTTGAAGAAAATTTTCTAGGTTCAAAACCTAATTTTCTGGTTAGCTTTTCAATTTTCAGATTCAAATATAATACTCCTATTGAACCAACTAAAGATGCTTCATCAACAAATATCTTATTTCCAATTGATAATAAATAATATCCAGCTGATAATGCAGAATCTTCTGCAAATGTGTAAAGAGGTATTTTATGTGTTTTAGCAAATAATTCTATTTTCTTTTTCATTAATTCTCCTTATACAAGCATTCCTCCATTAGAATTTATTATAACTGCTAAAGCTTTCATTCTAGTAAGTGGCTTTAAGGATTCTTCAACCAATTTAGCACTATTATGATCAATACCTGAATTGATTCTCAATATTGGGATGGTAGGTTTAAACCATTTATTAAACATATTTAAATATATTATCAATTCATTTTAATCCATTTAGCTAAGATAAAGAGAAGGGCATCTATCATTATGGGTTTTGATAAATAATCATGAAAAGGAAGCCTTCTTAATTATGCTCTATTTTCTTCATCCATACAACCAATCAATCCTATAATTCTAGGTTCAGCTTTAAATTCTGCATATACATCTTTTATTTAATTAAATAAAGCATATAGTTCTTCATCAAATTATTCAATGGCAATGAATATAAGTTATAATCCTTTACAACAAGGTTAATTTTCATTGTTCTTCAGCTATTAATTATCATTAATTATTTTTAATTATTGATTATCAATATTCTACTTTTATTAATTACTATTTTACTATTATTACAAATCACTATTTAATAATTTAACAAGAGTGCTCACTATTTGAGATCTTTAAGTTATATACTCATATGTAATTCCTATATTTGTTAATTAATGTGATAAAGCATATAGATCAAGATCGATACTTTCACATATCAATATTTTAGTACACTAATTATTAAAAACAATAATAATACTTTACAATTAGATTTATTTTTTTGTTATTTAATTTTTTCCATTTTCTCAAAACAATCCAGTAAATCATTAGGTTACATAGTTCCACTAGTAAAACATAAAGAAGAATAAATTGATGATCTACCTTATCCTAAACCTCCAAATGTAAGTTATTGAGATGGTTAAGAACTTGATCCTTCATGTTTCTATTGTGTTTCATTAACATAATCAAAAAAGTATGGTTTAATTTTTAACATTTATTCCACTCTATTTGAAATTCCATTCTTTGACTCTATTGATACTTCATCATCTTATAAATCAGAAAGACTTTCATCTGATTCATTTGATTATTCTTAAATTTCTTTTTATTTTTCTTTAGATACTTGACCTTATGTTTAAATAATATTGATATTCAATTTTTTTCTAGCTTCTTCAAGTTCAATTTTGATATTTGGATCTTCTGGTTGTAAACTTGACATTTAAGATTAATATCTCTTTAAGCCTTCTTTATTTTGATACTATTAATAAAAACTTTACTAATTTGTGAATTCTGATAATCTTTTTTAATTCAAATTTTGATTAAATTATGGATATAAATTTTATATTTTTATGACAAAACTAAATTCCTCTTTATTACCAACACGTTCATAATTATATTCAAATGGAATTTATGATAGACATTTTGTTAAATAAAATGAAATCAAAATTGATTATGAATACTATCTAAGATTACCAAGATCTAATATTTTTGACTTTAAAGTTTATGATTTAAAGAATCTCACTGTTCTCTCAATTATTTTAAGAATTGAGAAATTAGTTTCATTAGCCTTTACTTTTACAACAAAATCAATATGTTCATTAAGCATTTAACTTTTCGAAACACAAAATATTATGGATCCACGAACTGTTGCTTAGATTGAAGTTACTAATAAATTAAGTAATATTTATCTTAATCTATTTGGATCAGTTCTAATAAATTAAGGAACATTCTATTTAACATTAATAGATATTTTTAATCCTCTGAAAATTGCTTAAGATTTTACTACATTAATGATATCAGTCAAAAATTCTTATATCTAAACATCCATTTAAACTAAATCTAATTTATCTTTCTTTTATAACTAAGCATAATCTAGAATATCATTAGCTGTATTAATTAATAATTTACAACCAGCAAGTGCTGGACTTATATATTTTTCTTTTATTTCTTATGGAGTTGTATTCTTATATAATATTTAATAATTTAAATACCATAATAATTTCTAACATAGATATTGTACAATTAAGAGGTTGTTTAATCTTTTGTGAAATATCATTAATCAAAAAATCATTGTTTTTAGTAGCATTTAATAATTATGTAATATAAGGATCTTCAGTAATGTCAGAAACGAAAATAGCTATTTAAGGTTTAAGTTTATAGATTAATGGTGATAAAACAACTTGTAAATAACAAGTATCGAATTTAATATATATTTTAAGGGAAAAGTCTATAAGGGAATGATTGTTTGAGTATTTCAAATGATTGTAAGCAATTAAATTATCGAAAAATACTTTAAAAGATATTTTTTTGGTTAATAATTGTAATCGCTTAATTTGAGAAGGTTCACTTTCGATATTATTATCCAAAATAAATGGAACTCAACAATATTAACTTATATAATACTCTAAATTTTAAGTGAATGTTAGAAACTGTCCAATATCTTGACTTCTATGAAATTTTGGCAATAATAAACATGATTCTTCAAGTAACAATCCAAAATCGTATAATTCAGTCTCTAGAAACTAAGTACTTAACTAATCTTCTTTCATTATAATATTAGATAATTATGGATTTATCACTTACACTGTTTTAGTCTGACTATCTACCAAATAAATTCCAAGTTCTGCTGAAGAAAGTATAGCTTCATTTATTTAATCTTATTGAACTGATTCTGTTTATTAATCCTCTTATTTTTATTCTTATGGTATTTGTGATATATTTCTATTTTCAGGTATATCTATATATAATTGATGAAGAGTTCTATTTGGATTTGATATTCTCTAAGAATTCAATTAAGTATAAATCAGTTTATTATTAGAGCCCATAGCTATTAATTAAGAATTTAAATTATTTCTAATGTTCTTTTTATTAAACATGATCATTAAGAATTAAAGAATGATATGAAACACAATTAACTTTATTCCAAATATTATGTTCAATTTAGAATCGAATTCAAAATTTCTTAACAATGTATAAATCAGATTGAAAATAATTGCTATTGTTTAACATACTTATGATTCTATTGCAAAAACGAAGAACACAAGAATTAGAAATTTATCCAGTATTCTTTGAAATATTTGTTACTCTGCATAATAATCAAGCTCTTCCCAACATATGACTACACATATAAGTTTTAGTAAGGTCACCAGATTTATGAATCCATTTTTTATTTTGATTAATTTTAATAGTAGCACTTCGAAGAACGCAATCAAAAATATTTGGGTCTATAATGGCAATTTATATTACCAAGATTCTATATATCAAAATGTATTTGTCGCCTTAAATTTTTAAAGTTATGGCATCTCCTGTAACAATTATTACATCACACATTTAATAAATAGAGATTAAAACCATTAGTAATCTCCATTAATCTCTGTTTCTTAAATGTTCCTAATAAATCGTAAAATATTCTTTAAAATTATATAACATAAATTAATAATCAACTTCTCTAATATTATATAATCTAATATATTTATAATATCTAACCAACTATAATGTCTGTCTGTTTGAATAGAATGCTTTCAAAATTCCTATTGACATTCATAAATACAATAATGAATAGAGTATTTTAACATTATATAAATACACATAATCAATTATTTTCATTCTTACTTTATTTCATCATTCTTAATTAATTAACTGCATCAATTGTTAATGATTATTATAACTATTGTAATGCACCTACTCTTTTAGGCAATGATTCATTCATATTAGTCTAATTTGTCATTGGTTATTGTTGTTTCTTCTGTTAGTCTAATTTATTCCTTTATTCTTCTTTGATTTTCATTTATTATAACTTTTCTATTTATTGTTTTGACTTAAAATATTAAATTATATACTTTTATACAATTATTCCAAACTGATTAAATAGATTAGAAAAATACATCACTTTACAATGTTTTTGGATTCTCACAATAAAATATACATAAATCAGAGTATAATTATTCACATGTAGATAGTAGTTAAGATAAATCTGTTATTTCTAATAAAAGTTATTATGATAATTCTTCAAATTTACTTACTTTATCATTAGGATGCTTAGATTAACTCTTTATAGCAATCTAAACAAACTTTTACACCTTCTTTATTTCATTTATATCAATAATCATCTATGAAACAGGTAATCTACACATAAAGTCTAAAAGATCCATCCGATCATTTGAAAAAAATAATCCCTTTCCTTATTTTTCATAAATTTATTCACATTCTTATACAATACTCATTAATAATGTCTCTTTTCCATCTGCACTCTTTATATCTGCTGCTTTTGTTATAGCATCTATTTTAAAACCAAAAGCTCCTCCTCTTGCAGAATCACCATTTACATAATTACCTATAGCTAATGTGCATTTTATCAATAATTTAAATGGCTCATCATTTTTTTATAATTCAAATCCCTTTTTTAATTGTTTTAATTTCCCTCTACATTCATTACACATATCCATTCCTTAAAACTCAGCCTTAATAGCCTACATTCTATCTCCATGAGCAGGAACCTAACATAATTCTAAGTAAAATAGATCTGATAACTATAAAGTCTCTTTATCTAATTCTTCTGGATTTGCATACAATGATTTTTCTTAATCACTTGGAACAACATTTAATAAAGATTCTATCACATTTAAATTTAAGACAGATTTATCACATTCCAATAAAGCATTCTTTATTTTTTCATTACTCATTCTTAATTTACCTAATATAAGTTNCATTATATAAATACACATAATCAATTATTTTCATTCTTACTTTATTTCATCATTCTTAATTAATTAACTGCATCAATTGTTAATGATTATTATAACTATTGTAATGCACCTACTCTTTTAGGCAATGATTCATTCATATTAGTCTAATTTGTCATTGGTTATTGTTGTTTCTTCTGTTAGTCTAATTTATTCCTTTATTCTTCTTTGATTTTCATTTATTATAACTTTTCTATTTATTGTTTTGACTTAAAATATTAAATTATATACTTTTATACAATTATTCCAAACTGATTAAATAGATTAGAAAAATACATCACTTTACAATGTTTTTGGATTCTCACAATAAAATATACATAAATCAGAGTATAATTATTCACATGTAGATAGTAGTTAAGATAAATCTGTTATTTCTAATAAAAGTTATTATGATAATTCTTCAAATTTACTTACTTTATCATTAGGATGCTTAGATTAACTCTTTATAGCAATCTAAACAAACTTTTACACCTTCTTTATTTCATTTATATCAATAATCATCTATGAAACAGGTAATCTACACATAAAGTCTAAAAGATCCATCCGATCATTTGAAAAAAATAATCCCTTTCCTTATTTTTCATAAATTTATTCACATTCTTATACAATACTCATTAATAATGTCTCTTTTCCATCTGCACTCTTTATATCTGCTGCTTTTGTTATAGCATCTATTTTAAAACCAAAAGCTCCTCCTCTTGCAGAATCACCATTTACATAATTACCTATAGCTAATGTGCATTTTATCAATAATTTAAATGGCTCATCATTTTTTTATAATTCAAATCCCTTTTTTAATTGTTTTAATTTCCCTCTACATTCATTACACATATCCATTCCTTAAAACTCAGCCTTAATAGCCTACATTCTATCTCCATGAGCAGGAACCTAACATAATTCTAAGTAAAATAGATCTGATAACTATAAAGTCTCTTTATCTAATTCTTCTGGATTTGCATACAATGATTTTTCTTAATCACTTGGAACAACATTTAATAAAGATTCTATCACATTTAAATTTAAGACAGATTTATCACATTCCAATAAAGCATTCTTTATTTTTTCATTACTCATTCTTAATTTACCTAATATAAGTTCAATATTTTTTGTTCTTTCCCCACTCAATAAACTTATTTTCTATACTTCTTTTTTTTTATCACTTACACCAATGCTTTATTGCATTTATTTAGCTGGTTTAGAAGCAAATTTCTCTTCTAAAGACTTAACATCAAATTTAATTTCATTTTCATTCATTCCTTAAAATACTGAATTTCCAATTTAATCTGGTTTTAAAATATTCCAACTTAATCCTTTCATTGGAACTGTTGGTTTACACTTAGGTTTTGTTGGTACTGCAGATTTTGTATTTGGTAAAGGAGGAGCTTTTCCACCAGGTGGAGGAGGTGGTGGAGGAGGACCTCCGGCTTTAGTTCCAGGAGGTGGTGGTGGTGGTGGTGGAGGTGGAGCTCCAATCTTACCACCTGGAGGAGGAGGAGGTGGTGGTGGTGGAGGAGGTGGAAGCATTGAATTATTGTTAGTAGATATAGCCTATGGAGTTTGAGGAGGTGGTGGTGGAGCAACCTATTAAGAGTTTTTTTAAACTGTTGTAATATTTTCAGAAGGATTTGGTGGAGGTTCAGAACCTCCATCTGATGCTTATATTTTACATAATTAAGGTTGAATATGAGTTGTTTTTAATCGATTTATTTCACTTGCATACTCTTCTAATTTTGATTCTAATTCTGCAACTTATTATGCTTTAGCCATAACTTTCTAAGCTTCTAACAATTAAACATTCATATCTTAGAATTTATTTTTGAGTTATGAGTATTATTAGCTTTGATCTTATAATTTTTAATTTTCTTCAATGAGTAGACTTAGTTTTTCATTAAGGTTTTTTAAATCTCTTTAATTTTCTTGTGTACTTCTCTGTTTAATTTCTAATTGTAAATAAGCCTAAAATATAAATAGAGATTACAATTTATTATTTATATCCTTCATCTCTGTCTTTTCTCATTTAATCTCTTTTCTTTTGATCTGCCATAATCTGATCGAACTTTCTTGTCAATAAATCAATCAATCTAGAGAGAACAGTAACTCCGGAAGATTCTTCATTTAATTTAATAAGTAATTCTTATATTTCAAGTAATGAATTTGCTTTTTTAATGGCATTCAATATAATTTATTAATTTGTTGTTTCAGTTCCTTTACTATCCCACAATCCTTTCAGAGCATTAACTATACCTTCCTCACTTCCTTTTTTTGTTATTGTAGATATAAACAATGGATTTTATCTTTCTAATATTGTTTTATTTAGATTAAAGATTGGTTAAATGAATTAATCATAAACATCCAATTAAACTTAAAGTTAATTTTTTTGTATTTCAAAATAGTCTGGGTCTGTATTAAAAATCTCATCAAAATATCCATATTTAAATATTAATGGTTTTTTGGGATCAAAATCATAAAGATTATTAAAATAATAGTTATCAACTTGAGAATAATGAGGAATTTACTTTTAGTCATACAAGAATTACATGGAATGTTCATAAGAACAATGAGCTATTTGATATTCTTAATTTTTGAGTTTTAATTTTACATCATCATATATAACCGTTAGACCATATTGCTATATTTATTATTTAATTAATTCACAAATTTAGTCATCAGAATGAGTCTCTGCTAACGCATTTATAAATGTGCATGCATCTCTTATTAAATATAAGTTTTATTAAACTTCCATGATTTTAAATATGGGTTCAGTGGCAAATCTCCATTTTGCTTCATCTTTGAGTTTGTTTAGTATTTCTATGATATTCTCAATACATTTATCTTGATTAACACAAATATCTGCTAATATCTATAATATTAAAGCAACATTTAAAGTATTATATGGATTCATGTGTTTAATGAGCCAGGATATATGTTATTATTCCAAAGTAATAGAGGGTAGTTTACCAACAATATTGTGTATGATAATAATAATTAATATTTATTTATCTAGGTCCTGTTCTTACTTTTAAGTTAAAATATTAATAATATTAAAAGTGTTAATAAGTTCGAGACATTCATTTGAAGTACAATTAACAATGAATTTAGTAGCTTAGTACAATATTATTAAATCATCACATTTCTTTAATTTATCAAAAATCATTTATTTGAGTGCTTGTTCATGTAAATATTGCAGTTATATTAGGAATTCTATATTAAATGCACTTAATTTTACCTTAGTCTAAATCTCGTAATGCTGGATTTATATTGACAATTTCTTAAAAACGTAAAGGTTTTTAATATCCCATTTTTATTTTTGGGTCAAATTTCAATGTTACATCCTATTGTTATAAGATTAGTTCTTACATGTTCATCATATTTATATTGTAAGGTACAAGGTTAGCGCTTAAATAGTTTTGATTGCTCTTGACCCATTTTAATTTATTTATTAATAATTATAAATTAAAATGAAAGATTTTAGAATCCTAATTTCAGTATTAAATATATATACAATAGTAATTACCATTATTATTGAACTGATTCTAAGTTACTTTACTTTCAATAATACATTTACTGTATAATTCAATTTCTAATAAGAGAAAGTGAGTTATACAATATAATGGTATTTGGATATTGATATTTCATAAATCTTAACTTTTCTAATGATAATAATAATTTAATATATTTTTGAATCTATTTTAAATTGATATAAACTAATTGTTATTTTCAAGTTAATAATATATATAGAATAATATTTATTCTATTTATTTTTTATTAAATATTAATCTAGTCATATTAAGTATATTTAATATTAAAAATAATAATTTATAACTTAAACAATCTTCAAATTGGAAATTAATTACAAATACTGATGAAAATTCATTAATTTAAACTAGAATAATAGTAAATAATTGATGATAAAATAATTATTGAGTATATAATAAATCCAATATGATCAGAGGATTGAGCATATTCTTATTAATGAATGTTTGCAAAATTTAAAGAACACTTATATTTTTTCATTTGAGATAATTCAACAATATTGACTAATTTATATTTTGAATAAGAAAGCTTCATTTTTTACACAATTAAATATGGATAAGTTTTTGGAATAACAGTACTTATTAAGAAGAATTATATCTCAAAGCTAAGTATATATGATTATATTGGAGAATTAAGATAAAAAAGTAAGCAAAATCCATGAAAAACAACTAGAGGTTGATAAATTATAAAATAAATTGAATTTTAATTTGATCATATATATATCAGAGTTATCCTAAAAAGAACTAATCTTAAAATTAGTATATCAAATTTCAAGGTCATTTGAAACACTAATTTCATAATAAATTATTATTTTAATAATAATTTTAGATTAATATATAATTATAAATAATGAATTAAGAGGTAAACATTCCTTGTGGAAGATATGAATTTAATCAGGAGACAAGAAAAGTAGTAATGTAAAAAGATAAAGGTTTGTTAAATTTAATATTGAATGATGAAAATGAATTATGGCTCAAATGGTATAATTTGGATCAAAATAGAAGATTAGATTTTGTATATAAATAAACAATACTTAGGAAAGAGTGATTTTTAAAGGAACAACAATTTTTGAGAAAGTTAAAGGATAACATAGAGTTTATTTACTTAAGATTACAGATGAAGATTCAAAGTATTTTTTTTGGATGCAAGTAATATAATATATAATTTAAATAAAGAATGAAGATGTTAATTAAGATTAAATGTATATAGATTAGTTCAAAGTGATTGTTGATTCATAAATAATTGATAATCTAATAGAATTTGAGGCATAAATTCCATTAAATTAATAGTAGCCAGAATTTGTTGCTAATTAAAATAGATAATTTGAAAACTAATAACGATAACCTTTAATAAATATTAATTAATTATAGTTATTAGAACTATTTCAGTAGCAATTATATAGACATACTAAATAAGACCTATCATTAAGCGATATATTATCTAGTGAATTCCTGTTTTCTGTGATATAAGACTAGGATTATTTTGAAGCTTTGAAAGAGTATTAAAGAATGTTAGCTTAGATATTTACCGATTGATCAATAAAATATACAATATTTTAAAGATAATCTCATAAGTCCATAATTCTAATAAGCTTTGGATCAACTATGCCTAGCTTTAAAAGGAAGAGAACGAAGCTCTGTCTTACAATAATTAGAATTAGATAATTCCATTTTAGAGAAGGAATATGATGGTGTCATAGCTTTTATTTAAGCAATAATTAAACTAATAAAAGAAGAAAATAAAAATATTTGATTCATCAATAGTAAAATTATGTTTAGTAGTTATAAATTATATAAATTAAATATGAACACTTTAACTAAATTTCATGATGATGACGAAATCACCAATCATAAAATTAAAGCTTTAGAATTGAATGCATCTCAATTTTAAGCACAAATGAAAGTATATAGTAGTAGTTATACAGCCTCTTTTTAATGAGAACACTAAATTAAAACAACATGTTATTAGTCTTAATTTCTATATGGAGGAACGCAAATTATAATTAGCTAATCTCATTAGTGATACAGGTCCAAATGGAGAAGATAGAGTATTAATAAAAGCAGTAGCAGATTTCAAATAAATATGTGATCTGTTAGAAGGTATTACTGTATTTATAAAAAGAGGAGATAATTCGATTAAATCATATTATAATAGATAACAATAATACAAAAGTAGAATTTTAATTGAATATAAAATAATTAAAAGAGAAGTTGTAATAAGAGACTGAAAGATATTTCATTGAAAAATAATAATTAATAGATTAGAACAGATAATTGGCTGAAAAATCATAGATAATAAAAATTGATTTATGAACAACGATAAAATCATCTTGTATAATAAATACACAAATATTTTAGTTTATGAAAATAGAAGATCTCAATTCATAAATTATGTAAGTAAAATTGAATGAATAAAAAATACATAAGTATTATAAAGAGGAATTGGAAATTAAGACATTAAAATTAAATACAGAACTTGCTTAAGTGAAATTTGAAAAGTAGGATTAATTGGAAAAATTTGAGATTGAAAGAAGATCTTATTTATAATAATTAGAAGTCTTCAGTACTAAATTGAATGAAGTTAAAATCGAATTGATAAATGAATATGAATATAAGATTTAATCATAAAGAATGAAAATGGATAATTAAATTTAAAAACTTAAAGAGGAATCTTAAGATTATAAAAATTAATCTTTGTAATATATAGAAAAAAATAAAATTCTACAATTTTAAATTGATAAATATTAGCCATATATTGTTAGTTTAGAAAAGGATGTATAAGATCACAAATATAAAGTCTTTTTATTTGATGAATAAATTAAAGCAAAAGATTCCAAACTCCTTTAAAAAGATATATTAATTGATTAATTAAAGTATTAATTTATATCTAATTAGTGAATAGATCAAAAGATTGAAATAAGATAAAACTTAGCCAGGTACAAGGGAAAATGTTAGAAAATAGAGTTCTATGAATAAAAGTTCATCTCCAGATAAATTATAATAATAATAAAAAAGTTATTAATAAAGGTAGATTATTAAATAAAGAGAACCAATAAAATAAACAAGCAATCCTGAATCAGCAGTTTAATCTTCTCATAAAAGGACTTCTATATAAAAAGATGAATTTGTATTTGAAGAAACAACAATAGAATAATATGTTGAAAACAATCGACAAGAGATTATACAATCAATTAATTAAAGAAGTAGATAATCTTCAATAGATGATTAACCTATTTAATAGATATAAATAATAAAAATAGTTTCTAATGAAGTATCATCAAGTAATAGAAATAATGATGTATTATAAAATACAATCATTTAAAACAATAAATCCTTATAAACTACTTAAAGAGTATGGACTATTTAGAATGACTTTAGTGTTTAATGTGATTTCATTGAAAATAGTTAAAATATATCTTCTTAATATACTTCAGATTCATAATTGATTAAGTGTAAAAATGAAATAATTCGACTCTAAGAAGAGTATGAATTTAAATTGAAGAGTAATTAAGATTAAATTAGTGATATGTAAGATATGATGAAAATCTCTTAGCTTAAACATGAATAATAAATTGATTAATTAAAAAAAGAATTTGAATAATAATTATAATAAGAATTATTAAAGAAAGACTAATAGATTGCTTAATTAGAATAAATAATTAATGAAAAAGACTAAAGAATTAAAGGCTATGAAGAATCAGAATAATTATATGAAGTATTAATAGAAGATTTAAATCTAAAATTATAATAAAAAGATTAAGAATAACAACAACTCTTAAAGAAATTTCAAGATGATATTTAATAATTATAGAGTGAAAATGCAATAGAATTAAAAAGACTTTTAGATTTAAATGAAAATTTGAAATTAATTCATAAATAAGAAATCGAAAATTTAAATAATTAACATAAATTAGATTAGGAATAACTTATATAAGAAAGGAAAAAATTAAGAGAATAATAAATTGATCATGAATCCTTTATAAAATAAACTACAGATTAATTATAGTAAGCTAAATCAAAAGAATATTTATTAGATAGTTATAGGAGAGAATTATTAAAAACTAATGAAATTGTTAAATATTTATCATTAGAAATTGAAAATTTTAAAAAGATTAATAATATTTTTAGAACAAAGAATGATCATATTTCTTAAACATTTCTATATAATGGTATGGGATTTCTACCAACAGAAGTATAAGATAAAATAAAGAATAAAATGAATAAAGTAAAATACAAATAGAGTATACCTTCAAATATTGCAAAAGATGCTTACTAAATGAATTTTTAGCTATAAAAGGGTTCTAAAATGAAACCAGCAAAATTGGCATCAAAAACTAGTAATATACAAGATTTTCAAAATTAAAAGTGAGTATATTGTATATATATAATTATAGATAAGAGATAAAAGTTAGAATTGAATAATTGAATGATTTTAATGATGGATTACCAAAAATTAATTCTAAAAATGTTTAAGAATTTGAGAGATCTCTTTCAGAATCAAAATAAAAAACATTAAATAAACAATTTAGATCAAGTATTATATTTAATTAATAAATAATTTAGAAACTTAATAAGAAGATTAAGTTGAAGTAAATGATCCTAAAAGAATTATTTAAGATATTAATTAAAAAGAATTGCTATTGATTTAGCGTAGTCAAATGTTATTATCTTAGTTGAATTCTACTACAGAGAATTATTAAAAATAAAACCAAAGAAAAATCAATTATAGTACTTGTAAAATATGATGAATTTAGATTTTCATGAAAATATTTCATCTTCACCTATCAATATATCATCTGATTATTCCTTTACAATCGAGGATTGTCTAAGGGAAATTTACTCTGTTTAAGGTTCATATTGCGAATTTAAATTCATATTTATTTCAATTATTTTTCCTTATTACAAATTGAAAATATATTCATCATAATATTTTTCTATCATTTTCAATCTATTTTCTAGAATTTCAGATTTATGTGGTAATTATTAAAGTGCACATTCTGAAATAATAGGAAATACAGGATATTCTTTAGTAGATTTAGATAATTATTCATAAATAGGAATTTTGTAATTCTCATCAAATTATTTTCTCCATAAATTTAATTTATTAAATTCTTTATTTTATAATATCTTTAGATCACTTGATTAGATTGGTACACTCTATTAAAGTAAATATTTATTGAAATCACCAGCAACAGAAGAATCTGTATACATTAATGCAATCAAATTTTTAAAAGCATTGATTATCATTTAATCATCTTTAATAACTGTTTAATAGATTGATATTATTTAATTGAAATGCTTTGAGTCTAATTTTGAAATTAAAAATTTGAAAGTGATCATATCACAAATTGTCACTAATGCTAATAATTTATCATCTTATTAATATAATTATAATATTACATTTATGTTATTGACTATTAATAATTTTAAGACAAATATTCAAAGATTTATGTAGAATATCAATTTCATCTAGAATAACTAAAGCTACTTCTGATTATGATAAAATATAATGAATTTGAATTAAGCAAGATTTAATTAAAGGGTTAATAACAATATGATCTAAATTTATTAATTCTAACCATTTCTAAACACTCTTTACAATCATTATAGGAATAGTATCTCTTTATTCTTGTAATAATTTATTGATTTAAGATTAATCATAATCTTCTAATAATTTCATTTCATTTTCGAATTCAGGATGTGATGAATTGAAAAAAAACTATTCTAAAGCTAATTCAAAGGAAGTAAGTTGAGTTAATAATTTACAAGATAATCTCTCAAATTACTTTATAGATGATTCAGAATTAATGAAATTTCCTTCTAAATATAGTCGAAGTGACTAATTGATTGATTCAATTAATTCATTCATAAATACAATAAGTCCTTCATCAGTTTACCAATTTGGTTATAAATTATATTCTTTAAGCATCATATTTTCAACAAAGGTTTCATTCCTTTATTCAGGAAATCTATTAATTAATCATATAAATATACAATGGTGAATTTATCGGAAAAATCTATGCATAATCGTTAGAAGGTTTTTTCAAAATTTGATTATTATATCTAAAATATACCATTTGTATACTCAATATAAATAAGCAACATTTCTTTCATCATTGTTTAAGTCCATACCAAATTTGGTGTATTCCATTCTCTAGAAAAATTACTAAAAATAGCTGTTTCATCTCCATCATCCAAAAAAAGCTATATTTAATGAACATTTAGAATACTTCATATAGTTATTTAGGTAATAATTTGATTAGTCTATATGATTCCAATTAATCATCTGATTTTCTTAATTATCGATCTGCATTTTAAAATTCATATTGTAATAGATCCCTATAAAATAAAAATGCTTCCATTCTATCATTTTCATCTATAACATTCAACTATATTTCAAAAATTATTAAAATACTTTGAAAATTATTTCTAAAAGTACACTTGTAAAACCACTAGATATTAAATTCATACAATCCCCTTTCTATTTTACATCATACATTTATCGAACTAATTATAAAAACTTTTATTAATTTTAATATCGATTAATACTTCTCCTATTGTTTTGTCTTCCTAATTGTTCACCTTTCTAATTTAAGTGATCAGATATTTTATAGACTATTGGTTCATTAATAAATAATTATATTAATATATATATCAATATTAACAGGTGTGAATTAATTTAAATTGGATCATAAATACTTATGTATATTTAATTTACTTTATTTCAATTTTTAAGGTATTCTTTTACATTAGATAATATAAACAAATTATTTATTATAAGGTATATTAATAATATTGTTTCATCAATAACTCATTTATTCTAACATAACTAATATATATTTTATTATCTGATTAAATAAAGAAGCTAAAATCTAAAATTGATTCCTAGCTCATTTAACAGAAAATAATTGTAAAAATTAGTTGTTAAATAATTAATTATTTTGTCTACCTATGTATTCCAACAGAATAATGAGAACAAAAGTATCCTCAGACTTTTAAAATACCTGTGTAAAATGCACGAATTTATTTCTAGTCTTCCAATTTTAAGCGTCAGCAATTTCATACATAAACTGGATCTATTTCACCTTGCAGATTTACAGTTGATAACTTTTGTACTGCAAAAACATACACTCCTACAAATGTTTAAAATGATAAAGGGGTAAATTTATATTATGAATCTATAGCTTAAAAAAGTCCAAATAGAAGCATTTCTAGCAGAAATTGAAAAACTAAATGATATTCTTAAAAAAAAAGTAAATTTGATAAATGAACTTACTTTGAAATTAAATTCAAGTGAAGTTCATTTCTAATAAAATAGAGAAGAATTATAAAATATAAAAATAGCATATTAACATCAAGTAGAAGAGTAGTCAAAAAGAATTGAAGAATTGTTGCTAACGAATAAAGATCTTATGGAGACAAATATTTAATAACAATAAGAGTTAGAAAATCTATATATACAGATAGAATAATATAATAAAGAATCATAAAAACTAAAAGAATCTCTAAAAAATTCATAGACTTTTCATAATGAAATAGAAGTCAAATAATTAAGATTGGAGCTTAATAATTAAAAATAAGAGATCATCACTCAATTGTAAATTTAACTTTTAGAAGAAAAAAAAGATGTTAATTTATTAAAATTATAAAATGAAGAACTTAAAAACTAATCACAAGTAAAAATTCTAGAAAAAACTTTGTCTGATCAATAAAACACTATTGATAATTAAAAATAATGCATAGCTCAATTAAGAAAAACTATTAATTTACTTGAATAGAATATCTCTGATTAATTTATGAGTGAAAATTCTTATAATTAACTTGTTAATGTTTTTAACACTTATAAAGATCAATAATAAGAATCTGAAGCTAAGTTGAATAAAATGTTAAAAAATAAAGAAACAGAAATAATTGATCTAAAAAACAACTTTTAAAGTTAATAAATCTAATTAGAATAGTCTAATCTTTTGGTAATATCCTTATAAAATTAAATTGAAAAATTATAAAATATGATCAAACTTCAAATAGAAGATTTTGATATTAAAAAATTTGAAAGTGATTCAGTATATAAATAACCTCTTAATTAACATAATAAAAATTATAGTAAAAAATTGAATAAAGATTAAATTGGCACTCCATAAAATCAATAAATTAATTTTATAGTATTTCTATATATTTTATTAATTTTAGAAAGAATAATGTAGACATGTTCCCATTTCAAATTAAATTTTTGAAAAAGAATTATAATCTTATAAAAATAAAATGAATAGTCCATCGAATATTAAATTTAGATAAGATTTTAAAGAAGGAAATTAAAATAAAAAAGTGTTTTGATATGTATATTTATTTAATTTCTACACAAACTTCATTACTTTTTCATCACAATTTTGCCATTAATTTTATTATGAGTTAGTGTAATAGATTGTCTCTTTGTAGTTTATTTATATTCTGTTTATAATCTAATTGTATCTGTATTATGTAATTATAATTTTTTTTTTTATTTTGGATGAGGACTCTCTAACATAATTTTAAATTGTTAAAAAGAGGAAAGTTTGTCGAGATTTTTCATAAGATTCTTTTAAGAACTATTCTGAGATGTTAAAGCACTTGCTTTATAAAATTATCTTAATTTTTCTGGAGTCTTTTTAGGTTATGTTTTTATTTTGCTACTAAAATTATTAGAGTAAATTTTAATAATTTTTGAATCCTTTTTAGCTGGTGTGAATTCTGTTTATAATGATTACTGTGAATTAGATTTTTTATGTACTGGTGTAATGTAATTAAATAATTTAGGTTAACTTTAATTATTTCCACCAGTATTGATAATTTAACTTAAACGCATTTAATCTGTTTTCAGTTATTCTGATGAAACACTTCTAGTACTTGTAATAAAGTGAGCACTACTATGTTTAGCTTAGTTAGTATTAAGATTGTTTTAATCAATCTTATTAGATATTATTTTTTGAATTTTAATCTTATTATCTTAAGATAATTTTATTATCTTGGCTTTCATGAATTTTTAGAATTCATTTTCTTCTTAACTACTATTAATATGTTATTATGATGATGATTTTTATGAAGGATGAGGCAATTCAGGAGATTATTTTTAAGAATTTCTAATATTTTTTAAGACTTTTCCATTAATCAAATGAAATGGTAAGTTTAATTATAATTTATCTTTATTTATTTAATTGTTTCTTATGACTAATTATTTTAATAATTTCAAATTCTAAGATGGCAATTTTGTTAGTTATTTTTAATTATTTTTTTCTGTTTAAATTTATTATTGCATTGTTAACCATGTTTCATCTATGTTCTAAAATATTAAATAATGTAATTACAATATAATCATCATCCTTTTAGAATTTAATGATTTATCTAAGAAGAGATTTTGCAGATTTCTCACTAATTTTTGTTATACTATTCAACACTTGAATATCTTCATTCAATTTTTCATATTCTATTTTATTACTTTAAATTCAATACATGTACTTATACTGGATTATTCATATGGTATTCCTAGTTATATTTTAATCCTTCTATATTCATATTTTCTAATATCATAAGAATTATTACTTTTTTTTCTCATAAAAATAAGTAGCCATATCTGCAAGGAATCCAAAAAACATTCTTGGTATATCTTTATGATATTTATAATATTCTACTAATTGTTTAATTTTGTTAGATTATATTGTAATTGGATAATATCTATATTCATATTACTAAATTGAATTACTTTTTTAAATACTCCTCATTCTCCTTTATATTTAAGTTATCTTTGAAATCTATGACCCACTTAACTGGTTTTGTTGAAAAAAAGTCCTCAAATTTTTTGACTTTTTATTATGAATATTTAGTGTACAAGGCCTTCTCAATCTTTAATGAATGATACACTATTTATTAAATATGCGTATAAATGTTTGACATTTTTTGAACATTTTAATTTTTAACAGAACGGACAATCCCTCTTTCTAAAAGAACTCTTCATAACTGAATATAATTAATATTGTATAATAAATTAATATCAATTCCTTTCTTAACAATTGGTATCCTAAAGAATTTTGTAAATTCAAATCAAGTCCTTCAATCAATCTTTAAGTTTATTATTTTAGTTACTTGATATAATCTTGAAAAAATCTATTTTTTTCAAATCAATGTTTTTACAACAAATTTGATTTAATTTCATCCAAATTATAATTAAGTGTCTAAGCTTTCTCTTTACAATTATGATTGTTGTTTATTAATTCTAAAATATCTAAATAACATGAGTTAATATAATAGAAAATCATTTGTATTATTATTAATCTAAAAGATCAAAATTATTCATAAATTTGAGATTCACATTAATAAGAGTAAGAATTTGAGTTCATTTTTAGAAATTAATCAGATTTTGAGTTCATTATAGATATTTATGTTTTAATAAGTATTATAACATTATATATTATATAATCTTTTAATGACAGAATATAAATATTAAAGTTTAGTATTCTTTTTAATGATAATTAAGTTTTTAATTTATTGAGTTCATATTCAATAACATTAATATAATTCTGAAATGGTTTCTATTTGAATTTCAAAGAAATATCGAAATTTAAATTATGTAATTTATAAGTATAGAATATAATTATCCTAATTTTTGAATTATCAATTCTTAAAAAATAAAGGAGGATTCAATAATTTAATAATTTGATAAAGAAGGAATTAGAATTATTTAGAAAATTTACACCTTTACAATTGATTCTGAAGAATAGTAGAGTACTTAATTTGTAAGTTTATTCTAAACATTAAAATTTATGATTACAATCAGTACTAATAATATTTTTGAATTAATATCAATAAATTTTTATATTTTGAAATATATATGTTAAGTTTATATTTAATTTGAAAAGAATTTGTAAAAATTATCTGATTTTAAATTAAAATAGGTTAATCAAAAACAAATAATTTTTTAATTAGATATACTAAATTGTTAAGGTTAGAGGGGATATATTATTAATAACTAATAGATTTTATTGATTTAATGAGATTATTTCTTAACTCAAAATATAAAAATATAAAATAGATTGCTATTCTCCAAACATGTTTATGTCAAATTATTAATAAATTTACTTATTTTAAAATCACTATATATTATGGGTTGTTGTATATCTTAACAAAGAACCTAAGAAGCTGTTATTTTAACTTAAATTTAAAAGGCTGTATAAGAACAAGAAGAAATGTCCATTATTGAGAATGTAGAATAAGAGCGTAATGATATTATTGAATAGCCTGAACCTATGGCTAATGATAAAAAATAAGAAGAATACTTGGCAAAAATTCAAAAAAGTGAAGAAGAAGAGGATAAGTAAGAAAAAAAATAATAAAAAACAAAAACGACAAAAAGAGATGAAAATTATCTTAAAATCATTGAATACAAAAGCATTAAGATTAATTATTACATTCTAACTCCAAAATATGATGAAGTTTCTATGTATTATGATTTCATCATCAATACAAGTCATTTAGATTTTTAATATGAGATAAAATGTAAAGCAATTGTTACATCTGAACCAGAATAACCATTTTCAATTAAACCATATTCTTATTTGGAAGCATCTTCAAATTCAAGTTACGATATATTTTTTAGAAATGACACTTATTTTACAATAGATTAATAATTAAATACTAACAGACAATCTTTTGATACCTTATTAGAAGTAGAAAGAACTTTGAAAAAGAAAAAAGAATAGATAATTCTACCTTCGGCATTTTAATTACGATCATAAAAATAAGAGGATTCTTAATAAAATTTGAATAGCCCAAGAAGATCACCAAAAAAACAAAAAGGCAAAATTTAAACTGAAGTAATTTCAGAAATGTTAGAAGTTATGCATGTATTTGATATGGAATTATGCCCTCGTTTCCATTAATTATTATTTTTTTTGATGGTATAATAATAAATGGCAAAGTTAAAACCATATTTAGTTAATATATCTGAAGTCTATTTTCTTTTTGATTAGAAACCTTCTTTAGATGAACAATAAGTGTAAAAAATTGCTATATTTTATGAATTTTTAGATTATAATTTATAAGAATTATAAGATTATTTAAAGAAAGAGAAAAAATAATTGTCACATTTGTTATTCTTAAGATTATCCTTAGACCTAACATAGATATTTTATTATTGTTACAGCTCTTATACATATAGATGTAATTTTACTTTAAAATCAGTCTATTATACTAATAAAAATAAGAAATTTAAATTATAAGCATTTGCACGATTATAAACTTTAATAAGATTTTCAAATGAAGAGGATGTATAATAACTTCTTCAATCAGTAAGTGAATAAAAGTTTAAATTCTTTATAAAAGATTTTGAAAAAGATTTTGGAGCTTTGTGTGATCTTATTCTTCTTTTCAAAAATGTTGATAATTAAATAGGAAATATAAAGAAAATTAGGAGGAAGAAAAAAAACTCAGATCTTCACCATTAAAAATATGCAGAATTTGCTATGTCTTTATTAGATTCTGAAAATACAGATAAATTAATATATGAATTAATAAGATTAAAATGTTAACCTATTGATAAAGATAACTTTGATTATATATTGGAGGAAATCAAAACATTAATAATGACTTTAGAATAACAAATTTAAGATGAGATATATTAAAGAGAAAAATTGAATGATTTAAAAGAATAGATGATTTTGCAAAATGAAAGCATTATTAAAGTAAATAATAATGAGAAAGTAGATTTTATTGCAGAAGAGGAAAATGAATTACACAGATTTGAAACTAATTTGCCAAAAAAATCTAAAAAGTAAAAAGTTTAACCAAGCGAAAATGATCTATTTAATGAAATGAAGTACTCTGCTTTATTTTATTTTGAAACATTTATGGAAAGAAGTATGAAATTTTTAGAAATATGCACTAATGATGCTCATCGTGCATATGCTTTAATACTCTAATCTATAGGACAAACTATGAATATTCCATCTAGAGAATAAAAATTAGCAGAATAATAATTGATTTTATAAGAAGCAAGTAAATTAGTGTTAAAGGAAAAAGTATTTATAATTTAAGATTCATTTCATTATTATTTGTTATTAACACTAATAAGTTCATTAGTTGATAAACCAATTTAATTATTAAATTAACTTAAATCATTAATTTAGTAGTAAAATACTATAAGAAGGAAATAAATACGACCTAAATTAAGTACACATCAAACATGTACAGGTATAATTGAAATGAGAAAAGCATTGATATTAGACCTTTTTTATATTGATCATTATCTGAAACGTCATTTATTTTAAAATGCCACTTAATTAGTATAACATATAGTAACATAATAATTGAGATTCAATTTAAAATCTTATTTACTTTATGGAAGAAGTCTCTTCATAAGTGGTATAATTTGTGAGAAAATGATGCAACCAGTGTCAGCTATGTTAAATTTAGAAGTTTGTAGATTACTTTATTAATAATTTTTCCCTGTTTAGAAATTTATGTATTTAGATGAAGAGACTAATCAATTAGTAGATGTAGAATATTAAGAAAGTAATAAATAATACAAATAAATAATGATTCATTTTGAGAATGAAGGTTCTGAAAATTTGAATATTCTTGAATTTAATTTAGGACTTGTATATTTCACATTGTCTGAAAAAGAAAATGCCTTAAAATGTTTAAGAAAAGTCAAAGAAGCTAGAGAAAAGAAGTATGATCTAGTTTCAGATGAGGTTTTAGAAGTTGTCTTGTAAATTTTAAAAATACATGTTGAATAAGAAGAAAATGGAGCTGCTTTAGAGATTTGTTAAGAATATTATGTTAAATTTAAATATTTGGCTAAATAGAATATATTAACAAAAAGTAGATTAATTGCTCGTTTATAATTAATTATGGCAGCTATATATGAATGTAATATGATGTTAGTGAGTGCTTTAAAATATTATTAGAAAGCAAATAAAACATTTGCAATGTCTAAAAATAATTCTTATGTTAGATAATTACATATTTTATAGAAAATTAGAAAAATAGTTGAATTGATTAAGTTAAAGGCTTATTAATCTCATAGTTTAGAGTAATAATCAGAATTTAATATTGAGCATTATCTTGGTCATCTCTCTGAAAAAGTAAAGCCTTACTTTAATAATCAGTTTATTAGAATGTTAGAAAATGACAAGATAGTTTTATATAATGTTACTTTGATGAAAAGGTATATAAGAGCAAACCAAAGTTTAAGAAATTTAGAATATTAATAAGCTTTAAGAAGATATCAAAGAATACATTAAAAATTTAAAAAGAAGAAAATTGATGAATGTTATGGTTTTACTTTAGAGAAGATTGGTACCATATATTTGATTTAAAGAAATTTAAAGATAGCAATACAACATTTAAAAATGGCATCTGAATTACATGATAGATATTTGTAATTTCCATTGAAAGAAATGAGAATATTAACATGTGAAATATATATATTACTTGGTTATGCTATACTAAGAAATGTTAAAGAGGTTCAGAAATAATTAACCCATATTGATGACTTTATTTAGAATATCAATGATTTATTGAATTGGTAAAATGTTCCTTATAAATAAAGATCAAATAAATTTGCTATATTATCCAATAAACTAGGTAGATCAGTATTGTATGTGCTCAATGATCTTTTTGAAAGAATAGAAAAATATAATAAGTTAAGAATCAAATTTGGATAGAATTTAAATAATGATTAAGTTTTGAATGATATTTCAGAAAAGTTTTTAAATGAAAAATTCAATTAACAAACTGTGAAAAATTCAGATATTTCAAGTTAAAGAAAATCATGTCTTTTTGGATTATTCAGTTTTGGTAAAAGAAGATAAGCAACATGGAAAGAATCAATTTCATAAAATTAATAAATAATTATATAAAAAAATGAAGTAATAAATAATGAATAAATTGAATTATCAAAAAGTAAAATTGATATATAAATTAAAAAAACTAAAGATTAAAATACAGATAGAATTGATAAAAACTAAAAAATAAAGAATTCAATTCCAATAAAATAAGCTGAAAAATATTAATATATTTAATAATTTAAATAAGATAGACCAGAAGTTTATGATTAATTGTAAGAGTATGAAATAGATTAAAAAACAAGTTCAAAATAAAAAACATCTTTACCAGCAACAGCTTTGGTTAGTCCAGTTTTGAGTCCCATTAGCATTAAATCAACATCTTAATAAAAAACTTAAGATAAAAAAATAAATCCTTTCCAAAAAGTTAAAAGAAAGAAATGAATAAATTGTCTAATTTAATGAATATTATTATTATTATTATTATTATTATTATTACATATTTAAATATATATGGGTATATGTTTTGGAGTTAAGAAGAATGATCGCTACGCAATTATTTAAAAACAAATTGATAATACTGTAAAGGAATAAGAAGATATGTAAATTTAAGAAGAATTAGCATATCAAAATTAAAACTAACTTGATGATGAAGAAATAACACTTAAGATTAATACATAAACTTAATTAATTGTTTCTAAAGATCTAAATGAAACTGCAAGTTAATAGATCATTGAATAAAAGGCTTCAAATAAAAAGAAGAGAAAGAAAAAAACCAAAGATGAAAATTATCTCAAGTAAATAGAGTATCATATAACACTTAAATCTATTATTATTGAAGAAGAATAAGATCAGACTTAATAATAATATAATATACTCATGGTACTAGAATATATGGGTTATTGTCATAATGTCTAATTAAAAGGAGTGTTAATTAATCATCCAAAGAAAACATTTCAACTCATTCCAAATACTTATGAAGATGCTGCTAAACATTCTAGATTCTCTCCTTTTTTTTAAAATGATTTTTACTTTAATATTAATGCTGATCCTTTACATAATACTAATTATTTTGAGAAATTATTAAATGTTGAAAGAACTGTAACAAAAGATAGACAAATTAGAATCTCACCTACTAAAAGATATTCTAGAAGATCATCATCTGTTTTAGATGAACATCAAAGTCCATCTCCTTTAAAAAAAAGATAAAATATAAAAAAATAAGAATTTGTAAGTGAATTACTTGAAGTAGTATAAGTTTTTGATTTGGAAGCCTAACCTAGATTTCTTTAAATATTATTTGCATTATTATTGAAAGAATAAGTGCCATAAATTAGTAATAACATAGTTTACATTGAAGAATTGATTTTTTTATTTGATTAATTGCCAAAAATGGAATAACCTAATATATATAGAATTGCAATATTCTATGAAAGTCTTGATTATAATCTTCATGATCTACTTGTTTATATGAAACATGAAGAAGTTAAATTGTCATAAATTTGCTTTCTAAAATTAGCACACAATTTAATATAAGCTTTATATAATTGTTATTCAAATCATTGTTATAGAATCAATTATACTTTATCTACAATATTTTATACAAAAAGATTCAAAAAATTTAAGATTTAATCTTTTTGTAGAATATAAAGTTTAATACCATTTGATGGAGATTAATAACTTAATTTAAAAAATGTACCTGAATAGAAACTAAAATTTTTTATTAGATCTTTTAAAAAGGATTTTGCTGCCTTATGTGATTTAATTTTATACTTTAAAGATATAAGTAAATCATTAGATAGTATCCAACATCTTCGTAAATAAGCTAAGACAAATAAGTCTTCTGAATATTTAAAATATACAGAAATGATTCTTGAAAAAGACTATGAAAAGACTTTAGTTGAAGTTATTAGATTTAGTTTAGACGAAATCTAATACGAAAAATTGAATGAGTACATACTTTCAAATTATTAATAGATTATTAAGCGACTTAAAAGATTCTACAGTAAATTTAGAATAAATTATCGCAGAATTAGAATTAAGAAATGAAACAGAGAAAAAATAATAAAAAGAAAATTAAAATTTCTAAATTTATGATTAATCAAATAGTGACAGAGATGAATATTAAACAGAAATTGAAAATTTTGATTTAGTTTAATAAATGAATTCATTACCAGAATTCAATAAATCTTAAAAAGTAACATCACTTAAATGTTTATACAAAGAATTATTATATTCTTCCCTATTTATGAATTATCGTTTCTAACAAAATTGTATCTCCTATTAATAAAATTGTTCAGATACTTTACATGCTGTTCATTCTCATATTTTATAATCTTTTCAATAAATAAATTTTGATGAATAACAATATGAAGCTTCATTAAATGAATAAGCAAAAATACTATAATCATCTATTGATTAAGCAGTAGCTCATCCTATTGATAGATAAGATCCATTTCATTATTATGTGTTGATAAATTTATTAACTTTATCTCAAGATAGACCATTTGCTTTGATTACTTAATTATAAAGATTAATTGAAGCATAATAGAAAATTAAAAAAGAATAGATAAAACCAAAATTAAAATAAAATCATGCTCCAACTGGATTGATTGAAATGAGAAAAGCTATAATTCTTTAAGTATTCTATACAGAAAATTTAATAAGTAGACATAATTATTCTTAAGCAATTCATTATATGTAAAAAATAATTACATTATAGCAAAAATTAAATCAAAAAAATTCTCTTCTTTATTCTTATTGTCTATTTTTAAATGGATAATTATGTGCTAAAACTATGTAAACTATTTCTGCAATGCTCAATTTAGAAATGTGTAAACAATTATATGATATGTATTTTCCATCTTCTATTATTATGACAGAAAAAGTTATTGAACCTAAATAATAATAATAATAATAATAATAATAATAATAATAATAATAATAAAATAAAGAAAATCAATAAATTTAATAAACTAAACCTTAATGTTTTATAAAGGAAGTTGATAATATATCTACAACTAATTAATCAGTATTAGAATTTAAATTAGGATAAATGTATTCTTAATTAAATGACTAAGAAAATGCACTTAAATGTTTAAAAAGAGCCAAATCTATTAGAGAAAAGAGATTTGAATAATTTTCTGATTAAGTCATTGAAATTACTTTAGAAATTCTTAGAGTTTATGTTGAATAAGAAGAGAGTGGTGCTGTAGCTAAATTATGTTGTCAATTAGCTGCAAAAATGAATGAAAAATATAAAAATAAAGAAGCTTTAAAAACTAAAAATGTTGGAATACTTCAATTAATTATGGCAGTTATATATGAAAGCAATGGAGTTTTAGTTAGTTCTCTAAGATTCTACTAAAGAGCTTTAAAAACATTTTAAGCTTCAAAATCTAATAATTATATACGATAATTATATATAAGTGATAAAATTAAAGGAATTATTGAAAAAATAAAATAAATAGCAACACAAACTATATCATTGGATAAGCAATGTATTAATCAACTTAATAATTTAAAGGGGTTTTTAAGCATTTCTGATATTCTTAAACCTTATTTTTCAAATTCTTATTATTAAAATTAAAAATAAGCAAACACTATAAATTAAAATATTGTATCTTCTTTAGTATATGCTAATGGTTATTTGAATAATTATGAATTAATGGATGCACTTATTAGATATTAAGCAACTCATAAAATTTATAAGAAATAAAGAATTGATGAATGTTTTGGTATAGTTTTAGAAAAACTTGGTTTAATTAATATTTACTAAAAAAAATATGATTAAGGAATTCATTATATGAAATTAGCTTTAGAAATTCATGAAAGATATTTATAATTCCCAATGAAATAATGTAATATTATAAAAATAAATCTTTATATTCTATTAGATATGGCTTAAAAGAATTAATAGAAAAAAATACTGGATTAATTTGATGTAATAGAGAAATTCATAGAATAAATCTATGAAGATATTCATTGGAATTTGACTCCTTAAGTTGCTTCTCGAATCAACAAATTTAAAGTAATGTCAGCAAAAATTGGTTCAAAGACTTTGCATTAGATTTAAGAACTTATTCATTCTATAGATCTATATTATAGTATTAAGAAATTATTGTATGAAAACTTCACAGATCCTCAATAGCTGTAAGAATAAGCTTAATAATATTTAACAAAAAAGTTAATATAGATGAGTAATAAAAAAAGACAACATTGGCTTGAAAAAAGAACAAGATGTTAAATAGGTTAATTAGCAAAAGTTCATATTATATAAAGAAGAAGAGTTTCCAGTATGTTTTCTTATAATGAGGGAAAGAAGGTTGATGAATAAACAAAAAGTAGAATAACATAAAATTCTACACTTATTGATTAAACAAATGAGAAAATACAAAAAAATTAATTTTCTTCAGTTGATGAATCAAAAGAAACTGCTTTACCTAATAATAAAATTTTAATAGATTTAAGATCTGCTGATGAAATTTTAGAAGAGTAAAGATAACGTTAATTAGAATTATTATAATAACGTAGATTACGTTTAGCTAGAAATATGAGTTAAACTAATGAATTCAATATATAAAATCAGTAAGGATAAAGTGGTTCATTTATAATTTAAAGATAAAGCTAAATGATTTAATTTAATTAGATGAAGTAAATTTTGTAAAATTAGTAATTATAAGTAGAATGTTAAAAATCTATTTCAATCAAAGATAATTAATAATAACAAAATTCATCTTAAATAAATTTATAACCCATAAAAATGGTAGGAAGACAAAAGAAGTCATTATCATAACCAGGTGTTGAACATGATTAATCGAAGAATTCATATATAAAATTAGCAGATGAAGGTTTAACAAATAAAAGAAGGAGAACAATAAGTTAACAAAGTTTGGCATCAATTTAATAAGTAAAACTAAAAATTAATCCTTTTGAAAAATCGGTTAAAAAAAAATGATTATTTATTTTTATTATTTAATATTTTCAATATTTCTCATATCTTCAAAAATAACAATTCATATTCAACCAAAAGAATTCTCTTAAGTTTTATAACACAATTATTTAAATACTCAAAACTTATTACATAAATCATTATTAATCTTCTAAATAAGAATTGTATATATTAAATAATGGGTGTTTGCTGTTCCAAATAACGAGATAGAGAAGATGGAATAAGATAATAAATTGAATAGACTATAGTTGAATAATAAAAAATAAAAGAAGAAGAAGAATAAGAACAGATTTAATTTTAGTGTTATTCATCAAGCAGGAAATCATAAACTTTCCAAATTAATCAAACTAATCCAACTGATATTTGTAACTTAGCTACTTAAGTTGGAAACGAGGATGTAGCAGTTGGTGTTGAACAACCAAAACTAGATAAAATAAAAAAGAAAAAATCAGAGCATCATAAAGACGACGCAAACTACTTAAGAAAATTAGATCATATTTTATCTATAAAATCAATTGTGGTTGAATTGCAAAAGGAAGGAGATATGAAATATTACAAAATCTCCATACTTATTAACTATAAAGAACTTTTTTATAATGTTAATTTGTATGGTACTTTAACTACACAATTAGATTTCAAATATTTCACTTTAAAGCCTAAGAAATTTGAAGAAGCTTAAAAATATTCAAGGTTTCTAACATTTTTTTCAAATGACAATTATTTCAATGCAGATAAAGAATGCACAAATAATTTTAATGCATTTGATAAATTATTGTATGTTGATAGAAGCCAATAAGAGATGAAGGCAAATATGAAAAAAATATAAAAGAGATAGAGTTTGATTTTACATGAGAAATAACTTGAAACATGTTTAATTAATTCAACTAATTAAGAAATGCTTGAAATCATCTCAGTTGTAGATATTGAATAATAATCAAGATTTTTGACAGTTCTATTTCACTTGCTAGTTTAAAAATATTTTAAAAAGCTCGTATTATAATTAGTGTTTATAACAAATGCTACTTTCTTATTTGAAGTACCTCCTTAATTTGATTAACCTAATGTATATAGATTAGCTTTATTTTATGATAAATTGGATTATTCATTAAAAGATTTATAAAATCTATGTATAAAAAATTAAATGGAATTATCTAAGATTTTATATCAAAAATTGGCACTTAATCTTATAGATATCTTTTATTAATGCTATTCAAATTATTTATATAGATTAAATTTTACATTATCAACAATATTTTATGTTTCCAAATTTAAGACTTTTAAGTTATAAACTTTTGGAAGATTAAAATACTTGTTATAATTTGGATTAAATGTAGAAGATGGAATAAAATAATTAGATGAAAAGAAATTGAAATTATTTTAAAAAGCATTTAAAAAAGATCTTTTAGCCTTATGTGATCTTTTAGTTTATTTTAAAAAGATTAATCATTTCACATTAAAATAAATTCAAACATAACGAAAAAAATATCTTTAAAATATAACAAAAGGTGAAGAATAGGATGATGACACTAATTATATAATTTATGTTGATAAGATTTTATCATCAAAATCAGATCGATATATTTTAGAATTCATTCGTATGGCAATCTATGCAAATGAAATTAAATCAATAGATAAAACTTTACAAGATACTCTACCAATAATTGAATCACTTTAAAAATCTATTAATGAATATGAATCAAATCTAGAAGGAGAAGAAGAAAAGGATTCTTAAAAATAAATTGATATCTAAATTTAAGAACATCATCATGTAGAATAATAAAAAGAAATTGATTCAGAAAACTCATTAGATTTAGAAGTTAATTAAAAACTGTTAAAAACGTTTTAATTTGATTTTAATTCAGAATATGAAGAATTATCTATTAATAATAATAAAATAACAGAATAATAATTTATTTATAAAGAACTAATTTATTAATCATTATTATTTGAAGATTCATTTCATTTCTATTATCAAAAATTTAAAGAATGTGAAAAAACAAAATTAGAAGAAGCATATGTTGAAGTATTAAATTCATTTTATACTTTGAAATCTATGACTGATGACTCTTGGTAATATAAATTAATTATGGTATCAAAAATGATGAAAAAACCTATTGAAATTATTAATTCAATCTATGAAACAAGCATTGATCATTTTCATATTACAATTATTTTTCAGATACTTACTCTATCATAAAGAAAGCCATTACCCTTATTAAATGAATTTCAAAGAAGTATTAATAAATAATTAGAAATGAAAATGTAAATGGATAAAAGATTAAGAAGTCACAATTCATCTAAAGGTATCATTGAATAGAAAAAACATATAATGATTCAACTTATGTATGCACAATCTTATTTAGCTAGTCATAATTATTATTAAGCAGTCCATAAAATATAAAAAGTAATTGGATTTTAATTAAAAAATCAACATCTTGCTTCATTATTTTATGGATATTCATTATTAGTAAGTGGAGAAATATAAAAAGAAAGTCTATAAGCAGTATCAGCAATGCTCAATTTAGAAATGAGTTAAGTTATATATGATGGTTATTTCCCAGAATTCATTACATTAGAAGAAACCCAAGATCAAGTAGAAAATGGTGTAAAAGAGAAAACAACTCAAAAATTTGAATACATTAAAGTATAAAATTTAGCAACAAGTAATAAGGCTAAATTGGAATTATTATTAGGAATGAGTTACTTTGATGTACATGATTAAGAGAATTCATTAAAATGTTTAAAAGTTGCTGAAATGTTACTATTAAGATCATTTGATATGTATGCAGATGAAGTTGTAACTGTTGTATTAAAATAATTATAATTATTTGTCTTATAAGATGATATAGGATCAGCCTTTAAAATAACAATTTCATATGCAGAAAAAATGAATTAATATTATTAAGAAGGTAAGATTTTTAAAAGAAAAATCATATCTAAATTATAATTTATAATGGCATGTATTTTTGAATTTAATGGATAATTTTTAAGTGCTTTACGATATATAGAGAGATCTAATCGAACTTATTCTAATTCTAAATCTAATAATTTTATTATTTAAATGCATTTTTAAGCTAAAAAACTTAATTTAATATAAAAAATTAAAATAGCATTCTAAAAAATAAAAAATAAACAATAATTAAGAGATCCAACTGATTTAGCATTATTTTCAACTCTTAATGAACATATGGCTTCTACTTTCCTTTCATAATTTTATAGATAGAGATTTGTTTAAAAATCTTCATTACTTCTTGAAAAATATGGATAATATTTAATAAAGGTTTAATAATTATAGAGACTTAAAATGAATCAAAAAGCAATTAAATTTTTGAAAAAGATTGTTAAGATTTTAAACAAAACTAAAAAAGATGAGTTATACGCTATCTTATCTGGTTATGTAACTTATCTTAGTCTTGAAAATTCTAAAAAACCATAATAGATTAAATAATTACATGAATAAATAGAAATTAATGAAAGATATTTTCTCTTCCCAATTAAAGAATATCACTTATTAAAATGTTTAATTTATCTAATAATTCTCTATACTAAGATGAATTAAGCAAAATAAATTCAAGAAACTAATGTTAAAATTCAAATGGTAATTGATGAATTTCTTGAAAATCTCTAATGGAAATCTATTTCAACAAAATCCTTTAAAAATGCTCCTAATAAATTTGAAATATTTATTAAAAAAGGTAAAATCTCTTTATTGTATTAAATATCTGCTGTTATTGAATTAATTGAATACTATCACAATTTAAAAAAGTAAATATTTGATGCTATGTTTAATGGAATGTAATTAGCAGATTTATATAAAACAATAAGAGCTGATTTTTAAAGGTTTATTGGTGAAATCAATTATCAGTTATTAATTTAGAAATAAAATTGTTTATTTGGATATTACTCTTAAATAAAATATCAAAATAATTTACCAATTGAATAGTAAAAAAATGACAATAAAGTTTAAGATAATATATTTGTATAGGCATAACAAGAAAAAGAAATAGATACAAATTTAACAAAGACTGATACAGCTAAAATTGTGTTGGATATTAGAAGTTATTAAGAGATATTGATCTCTAACAAATAAACCCGTTTGTCAAAATAATAACAATAGAACAAAATAGAAGTTAAAAACTCTAATAATAGTTTAGAAAATATTTCTACAAAACATGAAAAATAAAAATCAACAAGTCACACTGATTAATTGAAAACAAAGAGTGTCAAAAAGTCAACTAAATTGAATCCTTTTGAAAGCACCATGAAAAAAACTCAAAAATAACTTTAATGAATTATTAGTAGAAAATTATAAATAATTATAAAGATATAATTTAATTATTATTTTCATACTCTCTGTTTTAAACTAAGATTATCATGAAATATCTTATAAACAGATTTTCTGATTATCAAATTTTGGTAATATGTTTAATATTCTAAAAGTTCTTTTTAATGTTTGGAAGACATTTATACTATTAGTATCATTTAAATCAATAATTTAATTTTAAAGATTAAAGCAGAAATAAAGTTTTTTTCTTCTTTAATAAATAAAAATAAATCCAAAAAATTAATAATTCAATTTTCCCTCTTTAAAAGATTTGATAAAATTGCTTAAAATAAGATATAATAATTGACTCTATTATGGATTAATATTATTGATGGTTTAATTGTAATTAGACCATAAATTGGAGTAAATCAAAAATAAATTAATAACTATTTTTCTCTTAAAATTTTATTAATTTATGAAATTGTAAACAATAATTATTGCACCAAATTTCCTCAAAATAATTTGAGAATAATTAAAATCTAATTCAATATGTAATCAACCAGTATAATTAGATATGAAAAATCGCTCAAAAATACGTAATAATAACCTTAATACATTCAACAATTGTAATAAAATAAAATTATATAATAACCAGCATATTATTTCTTTGTACTTTAATTATTTTATAAGAAATGATCATTATTTATTTTTTATATTTATAAATAAAGTATATATAAAATGATTGATTCATAGTTTCTTTAGTATTTTTCTTAATTCTCATGTATTTTGTTCTTTAAGATTATTACTTGATTAAATTATTCTATATTTAAAGTACAATTTTTCTTTGAATGACATCTTAAGGACTTTTAATAAGAGTAATTTGAGGAGGTCAAGATACATTTTAAGAATTTATTATGTTATAATTTGATTAAACCGATTTTTCAAAATTTATGATATTCATTAATATTAAATATAAATGGACCAATTTTCAATTGAGACTAAAATAAGAGAAGTTGTTTATGAATTGTCTTAGCCGACTATGATGAGATGTAATATCACTTATATTAATATAGTATCTGATTGTTTAAGATAAATAGATTAATAGTAACTGAATATTGATAATTTGAAATAGTAAATTAGATAATAGAATGATAATTAACAAAATCATTAGATTGAAACTAATAGGAGATATTCTGAAATTGATACTCTTTAGAAATAATAAAAAAAGCTAGAGTTAGAAATCATGAAGAATTTAACACAGAATTAATAATCATCAACTCATTTGAAATCAAGAATTGAATCATTAGAAAAAGAATTGGAACAATAAAAGAATAATAGTTAATTTGTAATAAATTCACAAATAAAAACTTAATCTGATTTAGATTAGCTAGCAAAGAAACAAGCAGAACACACTGAAACTTTTAATAAAAAAATTGATGAATTTTTTAAAGATTATTATACATTTTTTGTAGATAGTAGAAATTAAGTGAATAAAATTTCAAAGGATTAGCAATTACTATAGAAAGATGTTTAGAACTAATGTCTATAATTGGAGTAATTAGGGACCTTTAAAGATCTATCGGAATAATAGTTTTCAAGTTTAACCTAAAGGGTTGAATGGATAATAAATGAAATGAATCATTTGGTGAATTAAGATTATTTTAAATTTACTTTTGATAAAGTATTATAATGGATGTATATATAGAGGAAGAAAAGTCAAGAATGGAAGATAATTAATTTCTAAAGGGAGCTGTATAATCACTATAAAGTTAAGTACAGGTTTACAATATATCATTTGATGAAAGAGTAAAAGGGTTAGAGATGTTTGAGATTCAATATCGTTAGTAGTTGAATTCTTTTTAATAATAAATGAATAATTAAACAGAGAATTATTAGAAATTCTTTAAGGAAACAACTTAATAATTATAAAATTAGAATTCTACTTTAAATGAGATATAGGATTTTTAGAAAAATGCTGAAGAGAAAATATCTATAATTGTAAATAATTAGATTAGTATATTCTAAACAAATATAAATTAATAAATGAAGAAATTGACAGATTAATTTAATGGTTTGAAAGCTACTATAGCAAAAGAAATGGCATAGGAGTTCAATTATAAATTAGAAGATATACGTTAATAATTATTGAATGAATCTTTAAAATAATAAAATATGAAATTAGCTATATTTGAATTATAACTTTAGGAGATTAAAAATAAATAATATCAAAAAGATGTTGAAGTTTAGGTTATTTTATCAGATAATTCATTAAGTTAACAGGAATAATTATAGAACTTTATAATTGAATAAATAGATATGAAAATAACAAGTAGTTCATTTAAAGGTTAGAAAGTAACTAGAAGAAATAGTATTTGTTAAAATACAAAAGGAGGATTTAATTTAATTTAAGTTGGTCAATCTGAAAATAATCAGAAATCTTTGGTTTTAAATGAATTATTGAATGAATAATTAGAAGATATGAAGACTGATATATAGATGTTATTTGAGATGAGAGAAGAAATGGAATAAAAATTTAAAGTATTTGAGGCAGACTTTTCAGTTGCTATATAGAATTTTGATAGAAATCATTCTCATGTATTAAAATTAAAATCAGATATATTTAATGATACAGAATATTTAAATAATTAAATTAAAATATTATTTAGAGAGAAGGATATTATAAATAGAAAATTTTCATTACTTTTATAATTATTATCTGGATGTTCAGAACTTACTTAAATTACAGTTGCATATTTACTCAAATAATTAAAAGATCCTATAAAATTTACATCTGATTTAGGTATGGTTTTTGAATTCAGAAATGAAATATGCAGTTATAGATAATCAAATTATACTATAGAAGATCTTTTGAAAAAATAATTTCAGAGTTTTATTGATAGTTGGGATAAAAGTGAATTATTAGAAGTTAGAGAATTTAATCCATATTGGTATTTTAATAAATACATTTATAAAAATCATGTAGGTCTATCTAAAACTTTAGACAGATCATTTGAAAAAACAATTAAATGTACTACTTAGACTGTAGCTGATGGTGAAGAATATGTTAGAAGATCTGGTAGATAAAGAAATACTTCTTAAAAATAATCAATAATGATGAGTATGGATTCAACTAGATAGAAAAGAGTAACTGTTAGATCTATGTATAAATAATAAGAGGTTGATGATTGTAATGAATGTTTTCCAAAAGTGAAAAAGTGAATAAATTTATATCAATTATGATACATTATATTAATAATGAATTAATAAAATTATGGATTAAGAAAGAAGACGAAGATGGATTCAAACTCAATAATAAAAGCTAGATGATATCAGATCTAGAAAACTTACTCCTACTCATCATCTTAGAATTGATAATATTAGATTGAGTAAAACTGAAAAGATGATCTAATTAAAATAACCATCAATGTTAAGACAATAATCAACTATGGCTATTGATGAATATATTTCAAAAGGAGATTGTAAACTCATATTTTTACAATAATAAAATGAAGACATTGGATTTAAAACATTTACAGAAATGATGAAAACTAATTCAAGTTGGTGGGGTAAAGTTGATTAACTTAATCCAAATGAATCTACACTTAAAAATAGATTATAATTCAATTAATTATAAGCTAATCAATTTACAAATTAATTAAATAGAAAATGGACAAGCACAGTAAATGAAATTACAGAATTGATAAATAAATAATAAGAAATTTAACATCTCTAAAAAGTTAAAAAAATTAAATTAAAACCAAAACCTATACAATAAGTAGAAGAAGATCAATAAAATAATGATGAAAATAATAATAATAAATAATTTGATACTTCCTCAACTATAATCAAAGTATTTTGGTTCAACATTTAAATAAATGAATGGAAACCATCTGTTAGAGAAGGATGTTCTCTCACTTATATTCCTTCTTTAAATAAAGCATATATGTATGGAGGAATAGGTAATGATTTATTTAAAAATGTCATTGCTTTAAATACATAAACATGGGCATGGAGAGATATAGGAATTGGTAAAGGAGAAGCACCAAATGAAGGTAGATTTGGACACACAGCCACTCTATATAAATCAAATATTATAATCTATGGAGGAGAAAAAAAGTTTAATCATCTAATGAAGATTAGAGAATGTTATAATGATGTTAGAATGTTTAATCCACTAGAAAAATAGTGGACATTAATAAAAACAAGTGGAGATGTCATAGAAGGAAGGAGAAATCATATAGCTTAATGTGTTGGAAAATATTTTATTATTTTTGGAGGTCTTAATCCTTATGGTTAGGTATTAAATGATGTTTGTGGCCTTAATTTAGAAACTAATAAATGGTATTATTATTAATTATAGGCTAGGTCAGTATTACATTTAGAAAATCAATTTCTAGAAGGTGTGTCAGATGCTGCATCTGCTGCTTTGTTCAATGGAGAAGTTAAAATGGAAAATCCTTATTTTAGCTATGAATGTAATAAGAAAAAAGGAAAGTATTCTACTGTTAATTAAGAGGGAATTTATGTATTTGGAGGAAGAACACAAAATGGAGAAGCCTCAAATGATTTGAGAGTCATTTAATTTGGAATCAAACCTATTAAGATCATTAAATTAAAAACAAAAGTACTTGTTTGCCATCATTTTAGGGGTAAGTACCAATTGCTCGATATTCTCATAGTCTTAATTACTATTATAATTTGAATGCTTTAATTGTTTATGGGGGTAGAAATGATTCAAAAGATGAGAACATTTTTAATGATTTATATGTTTTATAATTAATGTAGATGAATTGGGTACTTGTTTAATAAATTGGAGGTTTTAAATATGGTAAATTCAGTCATTGTAGTGTTTCAATTGATTCTAAAATCTTGATTTTTGGAGGCTATACCAAAAATGTATATGCTAATGCAGATATCCAATTAATTGAATTAGATTAATATAAAGTTTCTAAAATGATTAAAGAAAATAAGATTAATAATTAATTGACTATAAATAATTAAGATTTATTGACTAATACAAATTTAAAGGTTTTTAAAACTGAATTTTACTAAGAAAGTGCTGATTAAGAAATAAATGAGACAAAAAAATAACTAGATACAATGAGATTAAGTCAAATGAACTTAAAGTCTTTCATGCCTTTGCCTACTAAAAGTAGTTCATAATTAATGCAAGATTATAAATTATTAAGGTTGAATTCTAAATTTTCGAAAACAAATATCTTTTAAAGTATATGATAAACAAAAATAATTTATTTAAATAAAATTATCCTTTACTATACTTTAAATTATTTAATGTAATATAATTTATCATTTTCTTTTTGTTGTTGCATTTGGAGGTTTTTTGTTTTTAGTAACATTTTTTTTCTTTTGCTTATTTACTTAATCTACACTTTCTTTATCTACAGCGATACCAAAACTACCAATTTTAGAATCCTAAATAATTTAAATTTATAATTTACCATTAATTTTTCATTATTTTTACATTATTAGTTTAATTTTTCAATAAGAACACTAGCCAATCTCTTTGTTTAATTTGAGATATCATCATTAACAAAAATCAAGAATGATTAATCTTAATTATCAATAATAGCTTTAATCTCTCCATAATAAATCATCTATATTATTAATTATAAAAAATACCTTATAAATTATAGCTTTTGTTACTTATTCTGATAATTAAAATCTCTCCTTAAGAAAATCAACTGAAATATTAGAAAAGCCATTCTTAAATGTATATAAATAGCATTTTAAAGCTTATTCTTAAACCCTTTCTTTAATTTATTATTAGACTTATTCATAGGAAGGTATTCTTGTCCAAAGTTGGATTTATTTTAAGAGATCCCAACATTTAGTCCAATTTCCTTTGGCTAATTCTTTGGAGGCAGCATAAATTAAGTCTCTCATATTTTCAGGTTATGGATTGAAAGTTTAAGAATCATAATATTAACAAAGCTATCTAAATTTTCTACTAATTATTTTATGAGAATCTTCAAATAAATCTTGATTAATGTTAGGAACTTCTAATAACATTGCAGCCAATAAATAAACAAATTCAATAGTCTCAACATTAATTGACATATGATAAGGCACTGTATATCTATATTCTCCTTCAACTTATTTAGTATAATTTTATGAGAGCAAATCCTTCAAAACCTTATCTCTACTCAATAGATCAGCCAAATGTAGATGAGTCTCATTTATCAAACCTTATCTAAAAGCTCCAAATCCCAATTAAACCAGAGCCCTATTATAATATAATTGAATTAATGTCTTCATCTATGAGACTTATTCATATGAAATATTTGATATGAAAATTTCATGAGCTTATTCATATTTACCATTCAAAGCTAAATTATATACCCAATATAAAGTTGCCTTTATAATAGTTTCCTTATCTCCATATTTGAGAATATTCTCAACAAGTGATTAGATTTTAGATGAAATATCTCCATTTCCAAATATTTATAATGGAGTTGCAGCTTATTTATTAGTTTATAATTCCAATAATTTTTAGATCACAGCTGGTCCAATATAGTATATTGCTTCTAATTGTTTGAAACTCATTAATGCAATATTGGCAGTGTCATTCTTAATTTTGAGTAATTCTAAAAGTTTTTGGGATAAATGTGTTAATTAATATAGATCACTAAGTCTTTCAGCATATTCTTATGTGTAATAATCAATATTTTAAAATGCTTTATTTAATTCAACTTCGAGTGTTTAGAAATTGACCAAAAGAGTACTTATAAATCTAAACTCAGAAAAAGAGTTTTCTTAATCATATTTGCTATAAGTATGTAACTTTTCAACTTTGACTCCCTTATCTTAATGAAGTGAATATAAGAGGAATGTATTTTAATAGATTTATAACCATGATTATCTATTAAAATAAAATGGTGCTTCTGATTTAGCTTGATCAATCTATAAAGAAATTGTGATAAGCAATATCTATGAGGATAAAATGAAGATTTACTTCCACAGCTCTTTGGAGATTCTCTTTGATAAAATATTATATGTATTTTTCACAAATGTAAAGATTCTCTACTTAATTCTTTTGAATTCCTCTAGATGATACAATTTACTCTAATTTTTTTTTGACTGATTCAGGATCATAATCAATATGAATCTCTTTATTTTAAGCTATATCAAATTTAACATCATAATCTATAATATCTGCAATAACTTTTTTATTAACTTTCTCTTGTTAAGCCTCTTCAATCTTTGCATCTTTTTTATCTGGTAATTTCTTTTTTAACCAATATCTTCTTCTAACCATAGGATCATTAGATTAAAGCAAATATTTATCATCATCTTCTGACTCTGAAGATTCTTCTTTTTATTGTACTTCTGGTTCAGAATCTGATCCAATTTATTTTTTATCTGCTTTTACTTTTTTCTTTCTCTCATCTTCACTTTAATCAGTTGTAACAGGATTATTTATGAATTCATCAATTTTATCTTTAATTGCTAAATGATGCTTAGAATAAATGAATACTCAAATTAAATTTCTTAATTCTTTATTTTAATGTGTTATAAGCTTTGCTATTATTTACTCCTAATTTCTTTTTTTATTCAGCTGTAAATTAAAGAACCAATACTTCTATTTAACACATAATTCTGATATAAAATCTAGGTAATCCACCCTCTCTTTCAAATACTTTTGCACCCTTTTCAACCTCTTTATTTAATTCTTCAAATTTATCCAATAATGTAACAAAATCTTAATTTTTTATTTTACTCTTAATTTCTTTAATAATTTCTCTTAATTTTGTATATCTTTTTTCTTTTTCTGTTACAATAACTCTTTATCCTTCATCATCATCTGAATCTATTAATCCTTAAATAATTCTAGTTCTTGTTGCTTATGATTATAATCCTGCATCTACTTCAGGTCCTCCTCTTGGAGCCTCTTCTTCCCCTTCAGAATTGGATTCCTCCTAAAAGAATTTACTCATATAATTTCTTTTTAAATAAATGATTTATTTATTTCCATATACTAAAATTTTTAATAAACATACATAAAAAATCTCTATAATTTTATTAAACATTAAAATATAAATATATCATCAATTGCTGCGAAATTTAGGAGATTCTGCTATTTTATTACTTCCATAAAAACAATTCTCTTTCTCATCTGAATCAAAATTTGTTTTTGTATCAACTTATAGTTTTAACATCAATTATTAACACCATTAATTAAATTGAATAACAAATTATCTTTTAGCTATCATTTATTAAACACAACTTTAATGTTCATCCAATCTCTTTTTATAAATAGTCATTATATTTTAAAATGGTTTCATTTACATTGATTCAATAATATTAATTTCATTATGTATTATATCATCCTTCATCTTATACAATGAATCTGAAATAGATTAAGTAATTTATGTATATGTCAATTATTCTTATTATAATTGAATACATAAAGAATCCTAGGATCAAGATAAATGGTTACTTTTAATTAAATGATTGTCTAAACAATAGAATGTAGCTATTATTCAATCAATTTCATTTAAGTTTAAAGTTGATCTAAATGCTAAATTTTCATTATGTTTTATTAAAGTTATTCTTTAAAATTATTCAAAGTTCTCTTTCTTTCTTCCATTTCTAAAAAACTATTAATTTCAATTGGTAATTAGACTTCTTTCTCATTATTGATTCTACTTGGACATTCTTTAGCAAATTTTTTATCAATTAATGCACATTCACTTAATTTTGGGGATTATGATGTTTTACTCATTAAATTAGATGCTGATAAACAATTTTGTAATTTAGGAGATATTTATATATTATTTTTAGTCCTATCAGATGTAGCCTTTGAATCTTGAATAATTTTGCCATTCATTTTACTCAAAATCAAGGAAATTTAGGAAGCAGTGGCTTAATTTTATTCTTTAAATTTTGTAACTTTCTAATCCTTAGATTGATTTTTGGCTTTTATGTAGTATTGATGAACTGACTTCAGCTACATAAATTTAACTAACTTTTTTATTATTATTAAATTAATATATTAGATATTACAAAAAATGATTATTTTACATTTAGTACATTAATATATTTTTACAATGTACAAGTTAAATATTCTTGCTCCAAAATAATTTTTCGATTTACAAACACCAATCAACTTTCTTGTGAAAAAAAAAAATTTTGCAAATGTTAGAGAGATCAGATAAACAAATAAAAATGAATAAGGTAATAAAATTAACTCTTATTCATTACCACATAATATTTGGATTTATACTCCTCTTAACTAATCAAATAATCGAATCATAAAACCTTAAGGATCTTTAGCATTACATCAAAAAATCAATAAACTACCGATTTATATGTCTAGAAAGGATATGATTAATGAATTAGAGAAATTTAAACAAAGAGCTTGTTCTACATCTCCATCAAAAAAACAGAAAAAATATCATAATTTATTCTATAATAATGTAGAAAGGAATGAAAAATTGAAAAAGTATTTCCAGACATATTCATCAAATAGTCCTTAAAAATTGAATAGTATATCAAATATTGAAGATTCACGTTAATAATTCTTTACAACACCAAAGTCATATGAAATTAATTACAAAAGATTAAATTCTGTGAATCCTTCCATCTAGACTAAATTCCCATAATTGAAGAAAAATTAAATAAAAGCTGAATCTAAAGAAATAGATAGACAAAACAGTGAACTCATGAATACTTCTATCAATTAAAACTGTTAGGATAAATTCTCACCTATATAAGAGAGTAGTCAACCTAAAAAATACTATCAGATTAATAAATGTAGTATTTAAAGAAATAAATTTTTAAATGACTCATACAGATTATATGGATTTGTTACAGAAATAAAAGAATAAAAATAAAAATATTCTGCATTACATGTAAGTAATTTCAATAATCTAAATAAATCAACTGAATAAAATATAAATGCAAGTCAATCTAAATCAAGAGAAGTAACTCCATAAAATAAAAGCATGAAAAAATCAAAGTCTTCAAAAGATAAATTATGTATTTTGCTTAAATAATCTCATTTAAAGTATCTTGAAAGACATCTTAAAACTTCTGATAAAAGACATAAATCTCCAAAAAAATTAGAAGAATATGAAATAACAAAAGATAAAAATATAATACTTTCTTATTTTCCAAATTAACAATCAAGTTAGATTCTTAAAAAAAATAATAATAATGTATTTGATAAAATATTTTGATTATTTTTTTTCAATATCTTAAATTAATATATATATTATAATAATATTTTTAAAGATGATTCAAAATATCATTATCATTTTGATTCTAGTCTTCTTGCAGTATTTTCTTCCAACCACCGAATGAAAGATTTGTCCTAATATCTTCCGAATATTTCTTTATGAAAATATGATTCTGCTGCAACCATAGCTGCTGATTAATATTCCTCAAAAACTTTTGGATCAGTACAATCCATTTATGCCATACTCTCTTTGTAATTTATAAATTAAATATTTACCTTAAAGATCATATTCTGGAATTATTCTGAGATATTTTCCTTCATGTCTTTTGAGTTCAAGATCAACAAAATCTTAATTACTTTCACCAAAAGCATCTATTATTTTCCCAACACTCAATAATCCTTCATCAACTTAAAGTTGTTATTTTTACTTAGCTACTCCAGTTGAAAGACTTAAAAGGAAGAAATTATCTTAATCCCTATTTAACATACATTTTCTTAGATCTTCCAATACAAAATTTGATGGATTATTTACTCCTATACCTCCATCAATAAATTAATATTCTTTTCCTGCTAATGATTTTATTTATGCAGCAGGAAAATATGTTGGTGCAGCTGATGTGGCTCTTCCTACATCTTTCATTAAGAAATTCTCAGTTAGATCAACTTTGGCTTTTCTTGAACTAAATACTTTAGCAACTGTTTCACCTCTTTACTTTTGTAATTTAACAGCTGTAACAATTACATTAGTATTTTAAATAGTTTCACTCAATTTCACAGTACCACAATGTCTAGATAATACATTCTCTATTCCCTTGGCATCATACTTAGATTTACTCATAATATTCCATACACCTCTCTTTGAATCCTCAAATATAGTCTTACCTTCTTCAGTAAATAGTTTTATCAAACCATCCTTATCAACTAATGGATTCTAACCATCTTTTGTTCCAACCATTGTTAAAGCTAACATTCCTCCAATTGATGTACCTCCAATACTATCAAATAATTAATATGGCTCTTTTTTCATTTATGTACATAAATAATTGACAATTGTTGCTGGTAATAATCCTCTCATTCCTCCTCCATCCAAAGATAATCCAGTATAACTGTAATCTGAGATATCTATCCTTAAAGTATCTTATTTAACAAATTTCTCACTTAACATAGTTTCTTTTTATTCTTTTTTTTCTCTAAAGTAATTTATTTTAGACATTCCTAATTTATAAAAGGTTCTCTATTTAACTTCTTAATCCAAAATATGTAAATCAAATATCAATACAGTTTAACTACTTTGATAAAGTTTAGTTAATATTCTAAGAGAATCATCATCAATAGTTGAAAGAGTGATTGAAAGTGTAATTAATTTATCAAATAGAAATGAGATTTCTTATTTAAAACTTTTCAATGTTAAATCCATATATTATAATGATTAACTTTTAATTAATTCTTCAAAATTTAAACATGAATCAATTATTTAATTAGAAAAGTATATTTAAGTCAAAGATTTATTTTAACCAATAGATTTTGAAAGTTCTTAAATAGTTTCTTATTTAAATTTGTTTCTTCTTAAATCTAATGCTTATAAGTTGTAACTTTAACATAAGAATTTACAAAATGATGTTATATCTTAATCTATTTAAAAACAATTTTATAATGTTAAATTCTTCAAATAAATCATTTAATTTTCTTTATTTTACCATTATTATTATTCTAATTTTGATAATAATTCAAATTAAGCATTTCCAACATTATTATGACTTAAATTCAAAGAATTCAAAGGAGTTTTAACAATTTTATCTTATAATGCTTATTCAAATAAATGATTTAAACCTTAATTTGTTATTTAATTTCTACTTAAATCAATATATCTCAAATTTTCACATTCCCAAAATTATTTACTTATTGATATTAACATATTATCATCTATTCCTGCATTACTCAAATTTAAATGTTAAATATTAATTACACTAAATGTACTTTCATTAAATATTTCATTTAAATTATCTACAGTTAAACTATTTCCTGAAAAATCTAAAGATGGAAAATGTAAATATTTATCTGATTATTTTAAATTTGAGAGATACTTTTCAATTATTTAACTTTTAATCATTTTTAAATTAGCAAAACTCACTTTTATAAATTATTTATAATAAGAAATCTATTATAACAATTATATTATTTTTTCTAATACAGATTCACTAGCACTAGGTATTGTTATCCATTCTATATTCTATAAGAATTATTTCACTGTCTAATTCACTAAAAATTATTCTCTACCTATACTACTCTCAATTATTTAAGATAAATCAACTAAAAATTAATCTAAAAATTTTCGTTTATCTTCACTTTTATGAGAAATCAAAGATTATAATTCTAAAGTATTAATAAATTAATTCTTAAATAAACATTGAAATATTCCAAAAATGTAAACTTTCTTACTTTTTTCATCAAGTTATTTTGATAAAAATGTTAAAAATTAACTTTGTTAATCTTCAATAACAATTCCACTTTTTACTAAATATGTTGGTAATGGTGATCTTGAAGTTTAATCAGTAAATAAAAATTTTTCATAAATATCACCTAATAATTAAAACATTATTTCAACATAAGTTTTTTAAAATGAAGATTCCTCTTCATTAACTTTTATTATTTTCTTATTAGCTAATTATTTAAAAGCTCCATTTGATGTAATATCATCAAAAATTACTTATATTCCTTACAACATCCACATTTCAACTATTTCTTATTATAATTATTTACAACCTTTTGCTTATATCTTATTTAATTAATTAATAGTATAAACTTATGTTAATTATGGACAATTATTAATATTTAAATTCTATAAGAATTATCCACTCATTTCTATTGATTTTAAATTTGGTATCTCTGAAGCTAATAGTGTTTTCAATCTTAAAAATTACAATTTCTTTTAAGCTCCCAATTAAATCAATCCAGAACAACCACTTATATTTAAAACATGTAATTCACTACATTTATAACAAATTTCATTAATAAAATTATCTGTTATTGTATCTATATATGAAATATTTAAAATCTTTATTCTTATTAATTCAAATTACATAAATATTTATGAAAATTATCTATATGATAAACAACTAAAATTTATATATTCAAAAGGTTAATTGTAATCTTATGAATATTTTAATATATTTTCTAACATTAATGATACTTAAGATTCTTTTAGATTTCTCCAATCAATTGAATTTATTAATAATTAAAAATGATTTGGTTTTTTTATTATTTATAATTTTTTATTAAAATCTTCTACTTCTGTTAATAGTCTTGTATACTTTAAAACCATTTTCAAACCTTTTGATGGTCCAATAGAATTCTTTAATTAAAAACTAGAAGGATATTTAGCAAATGAAAAACTTTCTCTAAAAGATATAAAATCTTGTCTAGTTAAACAAATAGGTAAAGTACTTGAAAGTTCATTAAATTTTTATATTAAATTTAATGTACTATTGTTAATAAGAGTTTAATAATATTCTCCTAAATTTGGATCACATTATTTAAGTAAATCTAAATAGGTAATATTTTATTTAGCTTATTATATCAAAGTTGCACGATGTATTAATGCAATCATATTTTCTTTATTAAGTGGTAAAATTAATATAGATTATGTTTTATCTACCTTTAAATCAAGTTGACTTAATTATTTTAACCATTATTATAAAATAATTGTTAAATTTGAAAATACACTTAAATATTTTGGATCTATCTTTTCATTCATAAATTATGTAAGAAAATATATGTTTTTACAACATAAATTTATTTTATCACCTTCTCTTTCAAATCCACAAATATTAATTAAATTATCATGTTTTGGATCAAAATAAATATTTGTTGTAACAGGAGAAAAGTAATTACCACAAGGTACTAATAACTCTTAATCAGGAGTAATATTAGTTGGTAATAAAAGTATACTCAATAATATCTTATATGCTAAATTTTAGGAACCTATTTTGTTTATTAAATTTTATTCATTGAAATGATGATGTAACATATATTATGCTATTGTAAATCTAATCCTTTATCCTTCTATCATTGTATTGATCACTTCATAAATTGAATAAATTTAACCTTTATGAGTTGCCAATTCTACTTTAGATATAAATTAATCTAATTATATCAATTTATAAAGTGATATTGCCATATATTTTTAGAGTGGAAAATTAGGTTACATAAATAATAATGAATTATCTTTCAAATTAAGTAATGCAAAATGTTTATCAAAATTTTAATTAATAATTGTATTTAAATTGACTTCTAAATAATTTGGTAAATCTTATCTATTATCCAAAAGATTATTATTGAAAATACATTCATATTATTAATTTGTAAAATAGACTGATCCTTTATATAATATTTAAAATTCATATTATCCACTTTATTTTGTCATTTGAGTCCAAAAATAATTCCATTATAAACTTCCTAATAAATGTGGATAATATTTTTCAACACCTTCAAATATTTAATTATGATATTTTTATAATTAATTGTCATCTTCTAATAAATAATCAAAAAAATTATTTCTTATTTTTCTATTATTCTCTATCGATAACAATTTCAAAAATAAATTAAACTTTTTATGTTTAAGAGAACTTTCAGCAATTGAAAGTTATCCTAAACCAACAATATTATGTAATTTCTTATTCATTAAATATAATATTATTTTATTACATTTTTCATCAGTTTAATCTATTTCTGAAATTGATTCAAATAAATTTAAATTCAATTCTTAAAATTTATTACCTAAAAATTAAATAGCTAATAATTCAACAAGAAAAGTATTTTTAAATTATGAACTTGATTATGCATATTAATAATTTGCTTAAAATGCTTATTTCCATAATTCATAATCAAACCATGATTTATTAAAATTTTTTATTACTGAATCATATATTTCATCTTAATGATTTTTAAATTAAGTATCTAAATTATAAAAATTTGTATATGCCAAATAATCTATTAATTTAATTCTATTAATTAAACTAATATCATAATTAATATTCAATTTTTAGAAAAACTCAATTATTGTAAATGATGGTGATTTTAACACTTATTTATTTTATTTATCTACTTCCTACTTTAATTCTCTTAATTAATTATTATATTTTATTAGTAAATATCCATCAACTAATTTATGCATAACTTCTTCTAAATTTAACTTATTAATAAAATCTTCATAATCAGTTAATCTTTATAATTTGCTTGTCTCCAAACGCATAAATTAAAAAAACAAAGGATTCAATAATTAAGTAATTTATATTAATCTTACATTATAATGTTAAGGAAATATTACTTCTTAAATGTAAATAAATGTATCTTCCATCTTTTTCATTCTTTTATAAGTAATTGAAATAACTTCTTCACTAATTTACATTGATTTTATTCTATCTTGATTTGTTTTAGAATGATAATTAAAATCAAATATTTGTGTTTCTGCAAGAAAATCAAGAAATTTAAGAAATGCTTCAAAAATATCTTTTGGTTTGATTTCATTGAATTCTTATAAATCATAAGATGCTTCAAAGATATCTTTTTTAAAATGAAATAAAGGATTTTTAAATTGTTCATATTATGTTATTTGTGATTACATAGCATTTCCATAAAAAGCATGTAAATTACCAAAATATTTAGGAACTAAATGATCCAAATGATCAGAAACAAAAAGGGATAGAAAATGTTTAGCAAATTCATTTTTTTTAATATTCAATTCAGATTCCTCTTTTATTTGGGTAACAAAATAATATTAATATCTTTTTGGTTTATTTGTAAGTGTTAATCTAATAACAAATCCAGGAGGTAAATCTAAACCAAAAAGTTCAGATCTCAAAAAATAAGATAACAAGTATCTTTAATAATAAAATACTTAACTTATTCTAGTCATATGAAAACCTTCTTTTTATAATTATTATATGAAATTTTCATCTTAATTTGAAATTAAAGTTGATATTTCTTTAGAGATATTATTAGGTTAATTTAAAGGAGATTTAATTTAGACTTACTCCTCAAATTACTTAATTTGTTTTAAGAGATTGATTTATTATTCAATGATTTTCAATTATTAATGTATTCCTGAATAAGGATGAATAAATTAAGACATGCAGATTAAATCATTTACTTCTTAAGTTAGGATTTCTAATAATCTATCTCTAGATAATCTTCCAATTTATGGAGAATTAGTGGGTAAATAATTGGATTATAAATGTTATTTTTTAAGTTTTTTAATAAATTCAGCCAATTTTCTAAAATACTTCATCTCATTATATTCAGCTGTAATTCCTCTATCATTTTCAATGCTTAAATAAGAGTCATTTTCTTCTGACAATTAATTTAAATATTGATTTTCTTATTCTTAAATATTATCACCATATTGAAAATTGAGTTGTTAAAGGTATGATTTGAGTCTAATTCTACATATAGCAAATTCATCAGGCTTAGCATTCAATTTTTAATAGAACTCATTAACAAACTTTTGTAATTTTTCCATAATAATTAAATAATCATATTTTCGAGAAATTATCGAACATTCTTCAAGATATAGTTTTTCATTAAATTACAAGGAATTGGGAAATATTTATATAATTATATTTTCAATGTATTTATAATCTTTCTCTTAAATATTCCTTAAGAGTAACAATCTTATCTTAAATATGATCAACTATTCTTGAAATCAAATCAAGTGATTAAACTCTTTATTGTGATTCCATTTAATATATTTCCTATTATTATCTACACCATTAATCTTGACCATCCAAATTATTCTAAATATATAAATAAATTTAATTTACTTAATTTCTCTCTACTTCACCTTAATGATATTCAACCTTCCCTTCAGATTCTTCTATTATACTCTAATAATTTAAGATTGCTTATTCTAAATTCTATCTCTAATCCTATAGAGTGTTTCTCTCATTAATTAGATCTGATAAGAACTTTTACCAACCTTAAGATTATTATTTCTCAATGTCTTCATCTTAAGATTTGCTCTCTACAATTTGAACTCTTAAGTTGGCTAATAATTGTAATACTTTCTTTGCTTGATCTACATCAGCTCTTGAATTCATTTAAGTCATCATAGATATTATTGGTTAAAACAATAATCCAGTTGATGTAGATTAACTACAATTATAAATTACTAAATTACTTTTATAATCTAGAAAGTACTTTAGTAAATCTACTTTTTACTTATATAAATGAAGATCCACCTGATAAATGTTCAATTAATGCATAAGCTTCATCAATAGAAGAAATTGATTCTATGTGATCTTTTTGTTTTGATTAAAATTCTGAATATTAAAGATCTCTTTCACTCTATCCTTCATTTGTTTTTCTTAAGTTTTCTTCAATTTCCACAGATACTTCTGCAATTTTATTTAAAGAACGTTCTAAATTCCTTGAGTTTTCCTTATTTATAAATTAAACTCCTTACTTCAACTATTTTAGAATGTGCTTTAAATTACTATTAATGATAAGCTAAATTAGTAGCAAAATCATGTAATAATCTAGTACATGAAGCTTCTGTATTTTATATAAATAGATCAGCATCTTTTTATTCTTATTCAATCATAAATCTAAATAAATAAAGCATATCATAATACCTAATATTATTAATATAACTTTAAATTTCATGAACTGGTGATCCTGTTGCTAAACCTATTTAAATTGCATTTAAAAATATTCTTCCAGTATGTTAAGTATCAATTTCTGTCAGAATAGTTTTTGAATCTTTCATAGTGGCTGATACCACCATTACTAAATATAGACTAAAAACATATGAAAATCTCATTAATTAAAATAGTATAATAAAAACGTATTCATAACTATATATGTGGTAAATCCATTAATTCTTTCGATGACATTATAAAGACATCACGTTTCATAGGATCTGTTGCTAACCAAATCTATGATGAATAACCCTTACAAAAATCAACATCTGAATCATCATCACTTGTCATTTATCCTTTAGATTTTTAACTAGATATTATTAATCTAAAAATTACTTTTAAACTATTCTCATTAATTATTCCTTTTATTCTATAATATATTGATTTCCATAATCTTTTTTTTCACTTTCTGGTTCTCTAAAATTAACACTTTTCTTTCCCTATACTGATTTTGAATATGTTTTTTATCCAAAATTTTCTTTACCTTTTTTAAGATTTGATCTCAATTAAATTGTAGTTTTGTCTAAGAAATCTCTGTCATCTTCCTCATCACTACTATTGTCAATTAATTTTCCAGCATAAGGAGTCCATTTGGAATGTTATGCATTGAACATATCATCTTCCAATAATTATACTTCACCTAAATCATGAAATACAGGATTTCTAGGCTAACTTACAAATTTTTGCTCTTTCCTGTATTTTGGACCTTTCTCTCTTTCTTAAGGTTTACGAGCATATTCTTATCTGGGCTTCTCTTACAAAACCTCTCTTACAGCTGGTCTCTTCTTTTTCTACATAAGAATTTAATCTTTTATTTCCAATTCAATTTATTCTCTATAACCCATTCTTTATTCTTCCTCATAATCTCCTTTATATTAAGGTAATTCTGCTTCTGCAAATATGAATTCTCCTAAATCTGGTTCTTAAATAGATGTCTTTTATGCTTTCTAAGGATTTCTAGGTTCTTTATTTTAAGATTTCTTTATTTATTATTCAACTTCTCCTTTAATATCTATTTATTAACCAATTTCTCTTTTTACTTTGAGTTCTTTTTCTGTTAATGGTTCTGGATTCTTTAAAGTAATGTTTTTTCTATCTTTAAGATCAGTTTTAAATTTTTATAATTTTTTCTATTTCTTATCTTAATCTTCTTTAAATTCTCTAACTTCTCTTGTAGTCATAACTTTACCATTTTTTACTTTTTATTAATAGTGTTTAATGATTCCTTATTCATTTAGATCCTCTGCTTCATTTTCAGCTTCTTCAAACATTTCTTTAACTCCTAAATCATCTTTATTCTACTTAATTCTACTTAGACTAACAGATGGTCCAACTTTATTGTCAAATTCTTTATTTGGTGTCCATTTTCTTTTTTTCATTGATGAAAATATAGCTTTAACTTATCTATTAATATAATCAATCTTATGTTTTTTTATTATTGATTCTTTTTGTTTTTATTTTTTTTATTATTTAATTTCATGAATAATATTTTTAGCATTCTATTCAAAAAAATCTTAATTTAATTTAGATGAATTTTAGGTCTTACATTTGATAGGAGACTTTGTTTTATCTCTTTAAGATAATGAGAATTATTTTTTATCAACTGATTTTTTTGCTTCTTCTATCCACATTTTTTTATAACGAGATTCTCTATCTTAACTTTCAGGGAATAACTTAGTTAAATTAATTTAATTTGGTTTTTCTTTTTCTTCTTCTTCTTCTTATTATTAAATCTTTAACAATCTTTCTTATTCTTTTTCTTCTTATAATTTTATAAATTTGATTTTTTCATCTTATAATTTTTTTTAATTAACTCCCCAAGCAAATTTTTATTCACAATTTTCTCTTTAAGTTTAAGCTCTAACAATTTATTATTTACCATATTTTTTCATTCTTTCTCTTTATTACAATTTTTATTATCTTATTCTTTCCTGTCTTTCAGCTTCTTCTTTTTTTGAATAAACTTATTTTTTATTGTTTTCAGTTGAAACAATTTTACTTAAATTTCTTTATAATTATTCTGGTTAAGGTGCTTATCTAATTTCATCATCTCCTTATTCTCTATCTGAGATATAGGATTCAGTTCCACTTGTTTATGAATCATCATCATCTACATCTTCTGTAAATTTCTTTTATTCAAATAATGTTCCAACTAAATTTGGGAATTATTCACTCAAAGGTTTAAATTATCTTGGTTCTCTATATGGAGCATCTGTTCTTTTTATTGGTGATTTATATTTAGGAGATTGTTATGGTGATTTTTGAGATTCAGGTGAAGATAACTATGATGATTTTGGATGATTTGTAATATTTTTAAATACAGTTTATGATTATTTTAATGGTTATTATTTATTTGATTCCGTTGTTTTTTTTGAATTTGGAATTTATGTAGGCTTTTTAGGTATAGTTTTCTATGATGAGTTATTATTCTAATTATTCTATTACTTATTTGTTTTTTCTTTTTTAACAGACTCTTTTGATTATTTAACTAATTATGGTTATGGAGTGGCTGCAAACTTTAATACTTTAACATCTAAGCATTTAATGAATTATTACCATCATTAATTGGTTATCCATCAATATTAAAGAGTACTTCTTTATCAACTTTTCTACCTATTATAGCATTAGACATTCGTTATTTAATTAAATTTATAAGATGTATATTAGTAAATTAATTCATTTTTCATCTTCTGAAACATTCTCTTTACCTATAATTTATTATGTTATAGGATTTTTGGTACCTCCTTTCAAACATTTATATATCTTTTTGTTTTGTCTAAATGAAGAATTAACTTCAGATGTATCTAATAATGAATTCTTTTCCAATCTTTGTAATTCTTTTAATTAATCATATTTCACAAACAATTTCTGATTTTCTACACTAAGTCTATTTACTTCTTCTGATAATTTCTAATTTATATTTAAATATTAAAAGTACAAAGATTTTGAGTTATCTATCATCAATCAATTTCTTTAATCTTTAACAATCTCTTTAATACTTTTATTTTTAATTAATCACTTAATGTACTCCTTCTAACATTTTCTCAATATTAATATTTAATTCTTTGCATTTTTCATCATAATTCCTAATATCTATGAATATTCATCATTTATACTTTTAGCTAATTAATTCTCTAATTTTAATGACTTTGCTTTTTCAGCATCTAAAAGCTATTAAGTCTTTTCTAAAGTTTCTAAAAGTTCTTATTAACTAGTATTATCAGTCTATAATTCCAAATTCTATTTCTTTAATTAAGCTACTTATGTATGTAATTCAGCCAATTAATCATCTTAATAAATATTATTTTTTTTATTACTTTGTATATTGAATTCCTTTTTATCGTCTGTCAAAAAAGCCATTAATTATTCATTTAATTAATCCTTATGATGTTTCTTATATAAATAAGTAATCTATTTTAATTTAGATGTAACTCTATCTTTTACATAATTGTCAATAAGAGTCAATACCTAATCATCCTCAAAAATGTCTTTATCTCCATTTTAACCAAGTTTTTAAGACAAAGTTCTTTGAATATTAGATAACTTTTTTTAATAATCAGTCTCCATTCTCATATATTGATGTTCATAATCTTAAATCTCTATTAATTATATTATTCTAATAATTACTTTCTTGCATTTCATCCTCTTTTATTCTTAATTAATTTCTTAATTCTATTTCCTTCTATTAATTTATAAATTAAGATTATTTAAACATCTCTATTTCTTACTCATATTTTGCCATTATCTATTACATTTATAATAATTATTCATTATTGTTTGGAACATCAAAATTAATATCCTCTTAAATATCTTTCAAAATCTCCTTATCTTCTTCACTTATCACTATACCTTTTTTAAATTGTGATAATTATTCCTATAATAATAATATTTCTCTTTCCTTCTCTTAAACAATCATTTTTAATTCTTCAACAGTATGTTCTTTATTTATTTTTGGCTTATTCTTAATTGCTTTAGCTCTTACTCCAAATCTTAAAGTTGAAAGAGTCTCCTACAAATTAAATTAAGCAGGAGAACATGTTATAATAAGTGTTGTTCTACTATTACCACCAAAAGAACATTATAATATTCTTGTTAATTTAGAATCTCTATATGGTACATGTTAACTCCCATCTGTTAATGCATTAATCACCTAACCTAAAGCAGACAATGATTTATTTATTCCTTTTGCTTCATCTAAGATTTTCCCTTCTGCTCCAGTCTTTGATACCTTTTCACTACCCGCCAAATCTACTAAAAATAGTTTACCTGTTTTAGCAGATTAATCTCTTAAGTCTATTGATTATACTGTCATTAAAAATATCATATGTGATCTAGATGATTATTCATTCATATTAGTGCTTGCTATCATTCTATTAGCATTGCACATTTTTAATATATCATATATTTCTGATTAATCTGCTATTGAAGTTTCAGTTACTCCTTCAATATATGTTGAATGATTTTTATCCTCTCTAATTTTTAGATCTGTTTTTTTTATGTTTTATAAGTCTCTCACCTTTTCCATATATAACTCAGTCACTGATATTTTTATTCGATACTCTACATAATCTGGACTAGCTTCTATATAATCAAACACTGTATTGACCATTCTTTTTATTATTCCTTAATCATCTCCAGTCGTCCCTTCCATTGTATGAGTCTTTCCAGATCCAGTTTAGCCATAAGCTACTACAGTCCCATTAAATCCCTCTAAGACTCCTTTTATTACTGGCTCAGCTGCCACCTTAAATACATCTATTTATTTTCCTGGATGAAATATATGATCGAAATTGAATTGTTGATTTTCTATAAGAACACTTTTTTCATCTGCAAAGTAGATTTAACTTTCAACCTATCCAGATATTGGAGGTCTAAATCGACATATCACTTATATATTTGTAGTCATATTAAAATTCAAAATAATTAATGTTTCGAACTGTTAATTTAATTAATTAAAAATATTAAAAAAACAAAAGGACATTCTTTTTTTATATCAAATATTATAAATTTTGATAATTTATAAATCATATGTACATTTATAATGATATTATCAATAATACACTTCTTTTATTGTGATTTAAATTCAATTAACAATTCAAATTTTATAATAAATACAAATAAATATAAATATTTATTATTATGGCATCCAATGAAGCAAGACTTTAATCATTACAAAATTGGAAAGCCTCCTTAGAATTAAAGAAAATACTATATAATTAAGGGTATTCATAATATTAAATGATCTATTTAGAATTGATCATCAAAATTAAGATTATTTGGCTTAATTAACATATAAGATTGCAGAAAGAGCTTTTGGAAGTTAAAGCAAAAATAATTTAGAAAGCAAAGTTTGTGAAATGGTAGAATAACAAACTTGTGCAATTTGTTTTGAATTGATGGTACCTCCTTAATATTCACCCATATTATTGTTTCCATGTGGACATTCATTTTGTAAATCTTGTGTTTTAGATGGTACAAAATTAAGAATTCAAAAATGCAGTCTTTGCAGATCAAAAATAAGTGCACATGCAATAAACTTAAGTTTATAAAATTTAATATGCACCTTTGCTGAATAGAAATAATAGATACCAAAATAAACATAATAAATGGCAGTTTAAGAAAATACTACATTACCAAAAGAAAATGCATTCACTAATCAATATAAAATGTATAAACTTAGATGTGATATTCTTGAATAAGAAAAATAATAGTTAAATACTTAAATTAAAGAATTGAAAAATGAATTAGTAGAACTTGAAAGAAAAGTAGGATCACTTTAATCAGAGAGAGAAAAGATAATCTCTAAATAAGCCATGCTTTAAAATAATGTATTTTCAATATTAATTATATTTTAGTTAGATGAAGTTAATTAAGGACTTTAAACTATTGTCGACAGAAGTAAGGCCATAACTGTAAAAATATATAACATATAAGAATAAATGAAAATTTTAGATGAAACTATGAAACCTCTTTAATAGGAAATGAATAAATATGAAGTTTTGGCTAAATCTACTTGAGTGTTATTATAAATAAATTGCAATCTCTATTTACAATTGCTTCAATTAGAATAGTAATAAAATTAAACAAAAAGAAAAATTTATTTAACTTTTATTTTTCATATATTTTCATATAATTTTACTATATCAATAATCTTAAAAGCTGATTTGAAATCTATTTTTTTAATTACTTAATCAAAAACTGATATATCCTATCTTTCATAAGATCTTTATTCTTTATAATTACATTAGAATTCATCCAAATCATCAAGATTAATAGATATCTATGATAAATTTAAATTTGTTACTTCTTCTTCATCATCATGTTCTTTAAATTTACTCACAATAATATATTTGTCATTTTAAAGATTTTCTTTATTTAAATTTTTTTCAGAATTAATTTCAGTTTGTAAATCATCATTTTAATCTTATTTCTATAATTCATCAAATTATGTAAGTATATCTAATTTGTTGATCTTTTTGAGACATGATTTAGGATTTTCTATATTTCCATTTTTTAAATCATTGTAATTTTTTGAATTTATAACATCATTCAAATTATTAGGTGTCATTTTTTATGAAGATTCTTCTTGTAGATTTTTCCATTCAATTATGCTATAGAAGTGTTCATAATCTTCTAAATCTGAATAGTTTCTAGTTTCTTCATCAGAGGAAGTTTAATCATCATACCATCTACCTTTAATTGAACTTGAAATTTTTCTGCTTAATTGTTTTTTCTTTTTCTTACTTAAATACTCAGATGGACATTTGTAAATAGAATGTATAATATTTTTCTCAAAACAAAATGTTACACTTTTAGTTTTCTTTCCATCTTCATCCTCTTTTGTCTACATATCTTGTACTTTTTAATTTATATATAATTAAAATTATCAAAAGACTGTTTTAATTAATAAGAAAATGTATATTTTTAAGTTTTCTAAACTATTTAATTTTTATATTAAATTAATAGACAATTCAATTTTTAGTTAGTTGATAATTTTGGTTCTATTTTAAAATCATATCAATTCAATTCAATTTCATGTAAATTATCATAATATTTATATATTTATTCATTAAATGAATTATTTACTTATCATTATTGAAATGAATAAATAAAAACAAAATTTTATAATAAATTGTAAAATTAAAATAAATTATGTTTAATTCATAAAAAACTTAAGAATTGTGCAATTAAGAAAAATACATTCATTTCATAAAATGGTGCAAAGAAAATGGAGCATTGATATCAGATGAAGTTTAATATCCATCTGCATTTGGAGCTTAAGGTTATACTGGTATTAGTGCAAAAATGAATATTGCCGCTAATAAAGTAATTATTGCTATACCTAACAAATTAATCATAAGTCATCATAAAGTATTGAAAAGTGAATTGAGTGATATGTTTAAGGCTCATAAACCCTTTTTTGATGATTAGATCACTGCAGATGCTGAATTCAATTGTTTGGGTATGAAATAAGTTGTACCCTATAGCACTTTACATATTTTATCATAAATTATAAGGAGAAAAGTCATTTTGGTATCCTTATTTGAATGTAGTAGAACAACATACTATGTTTGAATGGAGAAATAGAGACCTATTCAATTTATAAGATCAATCCTTAATTGATGAATTTATGTATATCTAATCTGAAATGGATAAATCTTGGTACAAATTTAAAGGAGTAATGAACAAATATCCTCAATATTTTGGTTGTTTAACTGAAGAACATAAAGATATGTTTTATTGGAGTAATGAATTTGTGATGACTCGTTGTTTTGGTTGGACATTACCATCTACAAGTTTAGTTCCTATGGCTGATATGTTAAATCATTCTAATATTAATCCTGCTACATATCATTTAATTAATAGATTAATTGAATAAAATGGTTAACCAAATAATAGATACACTCTTAAAAGAGAAAGAATAGATCTNCATCTTCATCCTCTTTTGTCTACATATCTTGTACTTTTTAATTTATATATAATTAAAATTATCAAAAGACTGTTTTAATTAATAAGAAAATGTATATTTTTAAGTTTTCTAAACTATTTAATTTTTATATTAAATTAATAGACAATTCAATTTTTAGTTAGTTGATAATTTTGGTTCTATTTTAAAATCATATCAATTCAATTCAATTTCATGTAAATTATCATAATATTTATATATTTATTCATTAAATGAATTATTTACTTATCATTATTGAAATGAATAAATAAAAACAAAATTTTATAATAAATTGTAAAATTAAAATAAATTATGTTTAATTCATAAAAAACTTAAGAATTGTGCAATTAAGAAAAATACATTCATTTCATAAAATGGTGCAAAGAAAATGGAGCATTGATATCAGATGAAGTTTAATATCCATCTGCATTTGGAGCTTAAGGTTATACTGGTATTAGTGCAAAAATGAATATTGCCGCTAATAAAGTAATTATTGCTATACCTAACAAATTAATCATAAGTCATCATAAAGTATTGAAAAGTGAATTGAGTGATATGTTTAAGGCTCATAAACCCTTTTTTGATGATTAGATCACTGCAGATGCTGAATTCAATTGTTTGGGTATGAAATAAGTTGTACCCTATAGCACTTTACATATTTTATCATAAATTATAAGGAGAAAAGTCATTTTGGTATCCTTATTTGAATGTAGTAGAACAACATACTATGTTTGAATGGAGAAATAGAGACCTATTCAATTTATAAGATCAATCCTTAATTGATGAATTTATGTATATCTAATCTGAAATGGATAAATCTTGGTACAAATTTAAAGGAGTAATGAACAAATATCCTCAATATTTTGGTTGTTTAACTGAAGAACATAAAGATATGTTTTATTGGAGTAATGAATTTGTGATGACTCGTTGTTTTGGTTGGACATTACCATCTACAAGTTTAGTTCCTATGGCTGATATGTTAAATCATTCTAATATTAATCCTGCTACATATCATTTAATTAATAGATTAATTGAATAAAATGGTTAACCAAATAATAGATACACTCTTAAAAGAGAAAGAATAGATCTTAAATTATTAGAACTTGATTTTAAAATTGATCCAAAATATTAAATTAGAAATACATAAGAAGCATATATTTAAACAAATAAATAATTGTTAGTTCATGAATTTGAAGGTTAAACAACAAGAGATAAAATTAATTAAATAAATTATAATGTTTTAAAACTTTGGAAAGAAAAATAAGCATGGGAATTGGATTTTGAATCATCTTCTTAATCAGAGGATAATGATACTGATTCAGAAGATGAAGATAAGATAGATAAGCTCACTTAAATAAGAAAAAAAGAACTTAAGATTATATAAGAAAAGAATACCAAGTTAGATTAAAAATATACTCAAAAATGTTAAGATATTATTACCAGTATTATTCCTAAGAATGCTTAATATAAATAGACATAATCAACTATATAAATTAAGGGAAAGAGAACTTTTGAAGAAGATTTGGAGAAAGATTAAAATAGTTCAGAAAGTAGTGATGATTCAGAGAAGGATTTCGATTGGTATAATGATGATGATGATTAAGTTTATTTTTGTATTACTACAGCAGGTTAAATTTAATAAGGAGAATAAATATATACATTCTATGGTCGAAGAAACAATAGATTCTTATTATTATGGTATGGATTTACAATGAATAATAATAAGTATAATTCATTCAATCTTAGAGTATATTAAATTTATTTTATATTAAGTTATGGCTCAATCCAGAACCTATGCCTATGAATGACTAAATTTATTCTAAGATTATTGTTACTGATATAGTGAATCTTAATCATCTCAAATATGGATAAATTAATGGAGTTCCAATTAATCAATTAAGCAAAGAAATTAAGTTAAAGGGATCTAAATTATAAGAAGGTATATTTTAATAATGATTTAGATTTAATCATATATGTAAGACTCTTTTTAATGGCCTATTATATTGGATAGGATGCAAATTCAATTTTATTAACTATACCAGTTTCAATTGATTTTGAAATTTAGGTTTTTGATTTCACATTAAAGTTACTTTCTTATCTTGCATAAAAGTAAATTTAAAAAAAAATATAAATTAGATTTAAATCACCATATTAAGAAGATTTAAATTTAAATTTAAATAATTTAAAATGTGAAGAGTATTTTGCACTTAATTATAGAATTGGATAAAAGGAATTAATTTTATTGCAAATAAATCATATAATGGAAGCTTTGAAACTTTTAAGAATGTTGAAATAATAACCAAAATTAAACATAAAAGAGTATTTTATGTAATAATCTAATTCAGTAGAAAAAATGAGAGCTTTAAGATATTATATAAAATATTTATGATTATTTTGTTAAATAAAAATACTTATTTTTATCATTATTAGTCAGGTATTTATATTGGAAATTTCTTAATGTCTAAAATTGAATAATTTTGATTAAATTTTGATATCTATATATATATAATATATAAGTATAACAAATATTGTATTCATTATTTTTTCAAGTTCTTTTAATTTTTGGTTTCCTTTTTTGCAAACTAATTCATTTCTTTTTGAAATTTGGAGAATACATTATTATGAATTCCTTATTGAGATGGTATAGCTTGAAAAGTAATAAAATTAGAAAATTATTATTCAGATGGTATTGTCTAAAAAGAATATTGTGGACCAGTTGACAACTATGAAGTTTTTTTTCTCTCTTTAAAAACTCCAAACTGATGCTTCTGAGGTTAATATTCTTCTTCTGAATCAGAGAGTGAAACCATTTTTTATGCCTCATCAAATGGTGAAGAATGTATTATATTTTAAGGAGGACTATTATCGATTTCTAAAGTTTCAATTCTCTCAACACTCTTACAACATTATCCACTTCCCATTTATATTAATTAATTAATATTAAGAATATAATTTGTATCATTTTGGTACTATCTAATGTCGAAGCGGAGGTGTAAAATACTTCTTATGGTTTAATGAAATATTTCTAATTTATTTATTAAATGATACCTCATTTGATTATAATAGAAGGAATCTATATTCTAACAAGGAAAGTAATATTTAAAACTATGAACTTTATCAATATCATAGCTATCGTTTGGTTTTTCAACATATTATTATTTAAGTTCACTCAATTATGCTTCATCAATTTCAAATTCATCTGCATTTACAATGATATTTTTTTATTTTGCTTTTCTCCTTTTTGCTTTTTTTCTATCTTATTATTTATATTCATTTTTGACAATCTATGAACCCATTATATTTTTTTAAGATTCAAATGTAAAATGTGTTAATGGACAACAATTACTCATATGATCTGATAAATTACAAGTAAAACAACTTAATTGCTATATAAATAAATATAAATTATTACTAATAAATCATATCTTTTACCAAGCATAACTAAATCTTTTAATTAACAATATCTTTCATAATCTGCTTCAAATTTCAATAATGTGTTTATAAATGTTGTTCTATTAACTTAATATAATGTTGTTTATGTCCTAGTTTTAGCAGAACATTATCTACCATCTCCAGTAATAAAAGAGTATTATCCAAAGACTGCCCCACTCTTTAAATGAGCAACTAAAGGTTAGGCTACATTACTACTATTAATAAATAAATCAACTTGACCCTCTTTCACAATATAAAATGAGTAATCATCATGAACTGTTTCTTTATCGAGAAATATTGTTTCATCAGCTGCAAAATAAACTTCTCTTAATTCTTCTGATAATTCCTTAATAAATTCAAATGTAAAATTATCACTCATCCAAGGAATCTTAATTAAATCCATTCCATAAGATTCAAACATTAACTCTTATCTTAAAGATGGAGCTAATGAATCTATAACAACTTATTCTAGTTTCTATTCTCTTGCTCTTTACTTATCCCATATATGATCCAAATATTTTCTAATTTTAGCTTATAATGACACTGATATCTATTTATCTCTCATGAATCTATTGATAGCTATTAAATGTCTATTAATTATAATATAAATTAATTACTTTTAAAACTTTTTCTTACTTGCCTTATATTCCAAATATACTTCTTAAATAGTTTATACATTTAAAGCAAATAAAAATATTGCTATTAACATAGCCATAGTACTTATTAGAATTTCTAGAGGATTAACAGGAGTAATATCACCATATGATACAGTTGTCAATGTTGCAACAGACCAATACAATGATAAGAAATATTATGATTACAATGATTTACTGTAAATATCACCATTAAACATATCATTCTCTAACCATGTTCCCCAATTAAAATTCTCTTCATCTTCTTATTTCATATCATACATATATATTCCTGCACGATAAAATAAAGCTGCATTCAATTATACAATTATTAGTATCTCAACTATTATCTTAAATATTAAATATATAGTTTTTGATTTTCTATGTAATTAAACTCTTTCCTAAAATCTTTAATCATAAATTGAAAGTTTGTAGAATTTAAAAAAGAAGAAATATCTTATTATTGTTGACTCATTCACTTACTCTGATATGAGACATAAATATAAAACAAAAAGTGGAATAAAATCAAATAAGAATCCAGTTTTTAAATAATTTATGTACACTTATTTTTTGTTTTTTACATATTCTCCTCTTTCAAAATATGATACATGCATTTCTATTAAAATGTCTAATGTCATACAAAGTGTATAAATCATATTTAACCATCCTGTATATCCTTATTTCCATTAATCCCAGTACCATTCTTAATCTCCTTCATTTTTTGAAAAATATAGATTTATCATAAGAAAGTAAAAGTATATTAATAAACAAATTGACATAAATATACTCCATAAATTTAACCAGTTTGATGTTGGTTCAATAACTGATAATTTGGAACTATTATTAATTAAAAATATTCTTACAAAAATCTTAGAATCCATTAATTCGACAATTATGATTTTTCATTCTCTATTGTAGAGAATTTCTATTTATTAATTATCTCAATTGCATTTTTTGTATATTTATTCCTAACCCAATGGCTACTTTTATCATCAATTAATTTAAGATGATTACTCAACTAAATTCCCCATTCTTGTACATTTATCTACGGCTATTCTCTCTACACACCCACCTTCTACTCTAATTGATTAAGTATCTTCATATTTATCCCATCATTACGGATTCATTCGCAAACTAACTCTTTGAGATCGGCAATTTGTCTTGCTCTAACAGAGAAGCTGTAGGGTCTTCATTTACTGAATTGACATTTAATTTTGGCATCACAAACGAAAACGATTCTGCATTAAGTTTTTTCTTGTTAAGGGCAGCATGTTTTCTGAAGGCATACATGTAGAATTGATGAAAAATTTAATTAATCATTTATGGTTAACATATAATGCTAAATTTATTAGATAACGCAATTTAATTTTCAAATTGATTATTTATAATCATAAATAAAACTCATTTTAAGTATTCTAATGAGTTGAATATAAAGACAATGTAATTTTATTATTATAATAATTAATAACCTTCTTAATATAATTTGTATAAAATATATATAAATGTTATTTTACATTTATATATATATAATTATTATATATGATTCAACGTTTCTACTAATTAAATTTTAAACTTTCCATTATTTATTATTAAATTAGTTTATCATCCTCCGAAATATCACCAAAATCAAATTCCGAATTATCAAAATTCTAAGGAACTCTTTTTGGTACTACAGGTTAAGGAGGAGGTGCTTTATATTTAATCTGTTGTGGAGCCTTTTCTTATTTATCATTTTATGACATATAATACATTTATTATTCTAAGTACTCCTCTGAACTAATTCCATATTATTCTTCCAATTCTATTTATTTTTATATATCTAATGCTATTGCTGTATCAGGTCTTTTTAAATCAGATTTATTATTTTAAGATTAAGAATTTGATTTATTATTTTATGAATTTTTATAACTCTCTAAACTTTTCTAAGCAGGTGGTACTTACTTTTATTATTATTATGGTTATGGCTAAAATTGTTAGGATTATCTACTTTCATATTATTGTTTTTCATATTAATTATCAAATTGAGTTTTCTCTTCTTTTTGAGTTTTATTTTATTATTTTTAATTATATGTTGAACTAGTTTATTATTTTGATTATATTCCTTAAGTTATTGGTTACTTTTAAGTTCTAGAACCTGTCTAACTATTGGAAGATGGAGGTCTTATATTATCTTTTTATCTATTTTTTTCTTCATCTTTAAGTTGATATTAAGATTTAGCTTCTCCAGCTGCTTATCCAAATTTATATCCAGATCCCACAGGTTTAGTTTATTATTGTTATTATTATTATGGTTGCTGAACTTATTATTTTTATTAGCCTTTACTATAATTATCTTATTGTGATATTTCCTTTTTGCTATTAAACTTCTATTGATCAATTCTATCGTCTATTTATTGTTTGTTATAATTGGGTTTATCAAAAATTTCTTTATAAGTTGGTTTATTCTAAACTTAAGGAGGTTCAGGTTTTGGTTTTGGTTTACACTTCATTACATGAGTTTAGTACTCTCTTATCATAATATAAGTATTGCAAATGTCACATTTTTCTGTTCTACTACCACATTGATTTTCATGCTAATATAATTAATCAGGTGGAAAATTAAGATCACAATGCATACATTACTTTGGTTTCTTATTACATTTATGTTTTTTCAAATCTAATTATATAATATTGAAAGTGACCTTCAAATTCTAAATAACAATATTAACATTTTTCTTTTTTGTGGTATTCTTCTTCATGACTATCTGGATCATTTTTATCATAAAATAAACCACATTTAAGACATTTTATATTATTACGTAAACAATATGTTTCATGGAGCATATGTTTTGATTCTGCAATTGGTTGTTTACAATTAGAACATGGGATTGTAATTTCGTTCATAATATTATTTAAATCAAATATAACGAAATACAAACTTTTATTTCAAAATGTTCAATAACTACTCAGTATCTGGATGATACACATTATAATCTATAAATACAATTTGGTATCCAAGTTTAGAGAAATACTCAGCTGCCCTTTCTGTTTCCACAGTATATACTTTATGTAATCCCCTAATTAAACGAGGATACTCTTCTAAAAAGACTACTATTTTCTATTTTGTACAAGCGAAATCAACTAGATGTGGAAAATCACTATAATTCATAATCCATTAATTTTTATCAAGTTTAAGTGCTTACCACACTAATTCTTTAAAATGTGTATGTTAAATCACATTATCACTTCTTTATGATAGTTTCCAAAACAAATTCCTATCTTAATTTGAATATGTTTCCTCTATTGTATACTCTTAATGTGGATTTTTTAATATTGGAGATAATTTAATATGAGGTTTTGGACGAACAAAATTGAATATCTATAACAATCCTTAATAGGTTCTATTTCTATATTATTATTTTCTAGATTTATCAAATTAAGTTTTCTATATTTATCCTTCAACTTTATCAATAAATTCTTAACAATCTTAACAAGTATTATAAATTTCATCTATTTTTGTTTTATTTGCATTTATTATAGATTTTAATTCTTCATTGAATAAATTAGGCCAAATATAATTTATCTAAACTAAATGTTCTAATAGATTTGGTAAATAAATGAGATTATTTACAAATTTAAGTATTTGTGGAGTTTTAAATACTCTTGTTTATGGTTAAAAGTCAGGTATTATAATAGATGCATAATATAATGTTTCAATATAGCTTAGTATAGGTTCTAAAGTTGAAACTTTCTTATTAATTTTTGATAAAGATATTCTTTAGAATCCATTTTTATTTAAATTATTTTATAAAACATAAAATTTCTGAGTTAAATTAATAATAAATTATCTTTAGTTAATATTATTTTGAGTATCTTAATTTTTATTATTATTTTAATAATATGGTAAGATTTCTGCATATTCAGCATCATTGAATTCAATATCTGCTTCTTATTCCATAATTGGATTGAAAGCCTCTTCAAAAATCAATAGTTCTTCTTCTTTAATATTAGTTAGGTAAGATGAAAGGGTATTTTTGATAAAATTATCAACTTCATCAAGTATAGTTTAATCATTCATTATTGATCGAAATCCTTTTAAAGAATTGCTATTCAATAAATACATGATTTATCTAATATCATTCTTATATGTTTTGTAATTGTAACTTTATTTTTGACATTATTTTAATGATATATTGTATAATTATGGTGAGAAATATTTAAAATATACTATTAATTTATATATTATATATAATTACATGGCATTGCATAAATCATATGATCAGCTTTAAATTCTCCTTATTATATTGTATTTGTAATTAAATAATTAAGAGACTTTTATATTAATTTAAAATCATCTGGTGAATAAATCCATAATAATTTTTTAGCAATATCTTTACTATTCAAATTTCTTTGTACTATAAAATTATAATTTTTGTTAAACATCTTCTCAAGACTTATTAAATATAGATTACATTAATTACATTTTAGCATAAGCAATTTTAATCTCTGTGTACTATTCATCAGTCAAAAAACTTAAATGATTATTTATCATAAGTTAAGAAAATTCATATTTCATAATTTCTGATGCAACCAATTCAAAATTACTTAATTTTTATATATATTTATTAAACAAGTAATCTATAAATCCTGGTTACAATCCCATATCATATGGTGAAGTAGCACAATATTCAAAAAGTGTCAATATGTTTCTGAATTAAAGTAATGATAAAGATTCTATAAATTAATCATCTATTTTTAGATTTTAAATAAATTTTTAAAGGATTTCTGGATGCAAAACTCCTGATTATAAAGATAATCTCATATATTCTATCTATTAATAGATATTTAGTTAATCGAATATTTTGAGACCATTTAAAAGTAGGTTTTATGCTATTACAGAATAATAGGCTGGCAACAATTAAGCTTCCTTGTTTAAATATGTAATTAACATATTTTCACTAAAATTCATTTAATCAGCTACAAATCGTTCTAATACTTCCATTTATACTTATTTTTAGATTTCAAACTACAAATCCTTTTTAATATATGCTTAAAACAACTATTCTTAATTAAAAGTCTTATAATTTTAACGAACATAGTAATTGAGATTTTCAGTCTATGATATATATAAAATATGAATACAGCTTCATTTTTTAAACTCCTTTCAATGTTTATCTGTATCCCAGTGGAATTTTGAAAGAACTTCAACCATTATCTACCTCCTGAGACAGGCTCTGTTATTGTAGAAAAGAGTTATCTAATTTTTAAGATCATGAGTTAATTATCACAAATATATTTTTTTTAATAATTCTTTGGCTTCATTACTCTTATTAGCAAGTTCCTGTAATCTTCTTTTATGTACTCCAATATTGGCTATATTTTAAATGAAGTCTAAATTTCTAGTCATAACAATAGACAATAATCTCAAATAACTAGCTTGTATTGTGTCTAATAAACGAGTGTAAAATTCTATTGAAAATCTACTTTCTGGATACAAGATATGGAATGTCTCTAAATATTACATCATAGATCTTAGAAGTCCTTAATTTTTCATTTTATCTTGATCAAACATAATCAATAATTAAGTAACCTTTTTTTCAACAATCTCATTAAAATAAGGCATTCCTGATTAAATCATATAATTTTAAGCAAGTTTGAATGCACATTAAAGTATCATAAGTTTACCCATCTGCATACATTTATTAAGTAAATTTGTAATTTCTTTTATAGCATTATCTTTATTTAGATTTTAACAAATCAAATTAAGTAACAATTTAGGTTATACTTATTAAACATCATTTATAAGATCCACATTCATTATTAAATATCCCATTAAATTTGCATCAATATTCAAAGTTTCTAAATATTGAATAGCTTCATATAAAATTTCTTCATTCTATAATAATATCAATTCCCTTTAGATTTCTTCTTATTTTGGTAAATTACGATTCTTTATCATCCAACTGAAATTAACTAAACATTATATAGGAAGTGGGTTTAAATTAAATAAATAATTTTTGAGTCTAGGAATAACAGTAGTCAAAAAATAATTGTTTATCTCATATTTCTCTAGATTACCAATTATTAATATACACTTAATTATTTACATTAAATACATGTTCAATAATAAGTAAATTATTATGATTGGCCAACAAAATTTCTAATATTTGAGGTGCTTTAGTATTTATGAAATAATGACTAGCATCTTTACTTTCTACTATAAAAGCTATCATTTTTGTTAAGTCTACCTATATAATAATATTTAATATTCATACTAATTGTTATTCTGTTAATTTCATATAATTATGTAACACTTCAACCAAATCATCCAAAATACCCCAATAAAACAATAAATATGCAAAATTGATTTCATCCTAATCTTCTTCTAACAAATTCAATAAAGATGTAAATCCTTCATTCAAAAATTAAGAGTCTTATAACATTTTTGATATTTCCTATACACTTCTTGATCTTACAAACTGCTTTCTTTTCACCTCGAAAATCTTATTACGTACTTCCATTAGAAAATGAAAATATACTTTATTGAGAATGTAATTAAGCCATCCTTTCTCTTTTGGTATGTAATAAACTTAGAGTGTCTTTTTCATTCATTTTATAAATAAACTCATTTAATAATTTTTTTCTTTAAAAAGTACATTAACCCCAATGTTATTGCCACTCCAAAAGTAGTTAATTTAAACAGATCAAAATTTTTATACAATTTCTTATACTCTATGGCTTCTCTCTAAACTAGGATTCTGGCTTAACTCATTCTATTTATATTATATTTAGAAATTAACTAAAATAATTGATTAATTTAATACATCCTCTGTTATAGCTTCAGCATCTTGTATCCTCAACTATTAGAAAAAATGATACATTAGATTCTATTTACCAATATAATATGTTTAACAATTTAGTTTTTGATAAGGAAAATTAATATCAGCATTTAATATTAGTATTGGATAGATGTTTGGCTTATATTTAGTTATATAATCACATAGTTTTTACTTTTATTTAAATAATTTGTACTTTTGTATAATGAATTTCATTTTGAATAAGAGTTTATAATCTATTGAGAGTATATGAAGAAGCTTTAATTTTAACAATGAACAATAAGATATCTCCTTTTTTCACTTCTAATTTAATATCATTTAAAATGACCCAAGAATTAATTTGACAAACTGGAATATCATCTGAGAAAGAAGAAGTAATTAAAGATTAATAAAGTTTTCTCCTTGTTTAAGCAGACTTCTTTCTAAATCAATATAGATTAAATACTCCTCATTTTCTTAAAAATCATATTTCTAAATTTAATTTCTTAATAATTGCATGGCATTTTCTAATTTAAAATCACAAAGTGAAAACATATATCTATTTGGCTTAATATGTAAACTTCTCTTCTATTATAATAATTATTAGATATCTATTTTGGAACCTAATTAATGTCTAATAGCTGCTTCTGATTAACAAGTAAATTATGGGATTGTATCTACAACCAATTATAAGAAATAAGTATTTAGAAAATCTGATTCATTTGCTGAAAGAAAATCTTAATAAGATCTCTCAGATTTGTGACTTTACATAAATTATAAGTTTTAATAATTTTTATTAGTTCTGGTGAATACAGACATACAAATATACAATTATATAATACAAATTTCTCATAGAGGTTCTGTCATTTATACTGATTTATCACAACTTTTTTCTCTGGATTCATTGTAATAATAACATTAACTTCCAATACTCAATCTTGTATTTCCTTATTCATCTTCTACTAGGAGCTACTCAGCTATCTGGAACTCTCTAAATATATGAATTAATTGTACATTATTAATTCTATTAATTCATTTTCATCCATTCTAATATCTATTATTTTACAGGTTCTTAACTTAAATAAGCAACACAATTAAAAAAACCCCAAAAACTTAGGAAAACAAATGATATTGTTGTTTAAATTGATCCTATCTTATTTTAATTAAATAATTTACTCTATGTGAAAATAGAGATTAAATGTCTTCAATTGTAAAACTAAAAGTACAAATAAAAGTAATTGTTGGAAATAAAAATATTTATTTTATTAATTTCTTAACTTCTCCATACAATTCTTTTTTATCATCATCCTCAGCCAAAAGTTACTTTATTTATTTTATTATAGTCAAACTATAACCTAAATAAAGAAAAATAGGAATAATCCAAAACAATAATTTTTGAATGTCTAATTATGCTTTTAAATATGAAGAATCTTCTTTTTAATGATAATATAGACAGTATTATGTATTACTTTCAGTCAAAATAATTGCTGTTATTATGGGATATATCATTAATATCATAGGAATTCCATATGAACACACTAAAAATTTATTTTCCTGAGAACACAATTAATCAAATATCTATCTCGTATCTTTGAATTTACTATCCTAACTAAGTACCATAAACAATTATCTTCTTCAATATTTCTTTAATACTTTATTGAATAAATGAGAATTGAACTCCATATTAGAGAACTCAATCCACCGTACAATCGAAAAGTGGCAAATATAGTACATTTTGGATTCTCAAAACTTGAACATAAAATGCCAATAGTCTAATTGATAAATTCAATACTTAAATTATTCCACTAAATGTTAGATATAGTATGATTCTAGGAATCAATCCTTATCTTAATTTTTAAGAATAAGTAAACAATAAAACTATAAGCAATTGTCCAATTAAAGAGAGACTAGAGCAAAATATTACAGGAATATTATCTATCATGAAATAATTAATACATTTATATCATAGTTCATTATTAATTACGTATTTAATTCAATAAATTCTAAACATAATTCTTAAAAAACTCCATACTCCATTATTTTACTATCTAATCTATTCAGACTTAAATTATAATCTAATACATATTTTCTGATTGATCTTTTTATACTTAAACTATATTATATTCTAATCTTAATCAAAATATATTAAAACTCTATCTTATATTAGTTGAGATCTTTAATTAATTTATTCAAATAAATTATATACTTATATCTTAATTCTTTTGATCCTGTTTATTCTGTATAACTAATTTAATATGATAGAATTATTATGTTTAAAAGAAGTTAAGAATATAGTATAATTATGTTAATTCCATTAAAATATACATCTGTCATATATTAATTTATATACAGTTGATGATTAATTGAATTAAATGAAAAAAAAGAAATATGAAACAATACAGAAGTATAAATATAATTATTATCATTAGAATTCCTATCATAAAATAAAGTATGAGAATTCCTTTAATTTTAATAAAAAATACTATTTATTATAATCATATCTTGAGAACCAAATAACTTAATTATAAACTATTATAATCAAACAGAATTAATTCATCAAATATAGTAATTATTTTCTAAAGAAGTTGTAAATAGAATTTTCACTTATTAACTCTAGATCTAAATAATTCTGATATTTATTGATGTCTTTCAAGTAATTTATTCATATCTATTTTTTTAATAAGAAATTGTAAGAATTTTGTCATTCTTAGATTAATAGATAAAGAGACTAAAATTAATTCATCAAAAATAAATAAATGATTATTGTGGACTTTTTAATCTTTTTCTTTAATTTAACGATATAATGGTTATTTCTGAAATAATTAAATAATTTAGTTATGCTTATATAGTATTTTGATAAGTTTGTTGTAATCAATAGAAACATTTAAATTAAATTTATATTTTCTTTATTCATGTCTTTGAGTGAATCATTATTTCAATTAATTAGTCAAATTATAGAGTTATTAAATGATTTAGATATGGAAACTTTGAATGTTGAGAAGATCTTGAATTTTAATATTATGATTATTATTTTTATATCGTTTTTTGTGGCCATAGCAGAGCAAACTACATTTTATGGTACTACGTTAAATATTTTCAAAAACTATATCAATGTTTAACAAACAGCAACATCATTTTTGAATAAAGTTCATGAGCGTACAGAATAGCACGAAGAAATATTCAAGAAATTTTTATCCATATTAGAACGAGTATTATATATATTAATAATTAGATAGATGATTTATATGATCAACAAGAAAAACTATTAATATTTAATGATGCTAATATTGAATATGTTTTAAAAAAAACAAGAAAAAATTATAATGACAAAATTAATCAAATATCTGCAAATATTGATAAGAACTCAGAATAATTAGAAAAATTAGAATAGAATCTCTAAAAGAATAACACTGCTTCATTAAAAATAATTGAAGAACTAAAAAATCTTTCATCCTTAATTTAAGAAGTATTAAAAGATAATTTCAGCATTAATTATCAAAAAGTCATACCCTTTCTAAATGAAAAAATTTAATCATAATATTTTAGTCAATTACAAAAATTAAAAACATTAGACTATTAACTATTAGTTAAGGAATTAGAAAAATATTCTTCTTTTATTTAATAGCAAACTATAAAAGAAAGTAAAAAAAGAGATTTAGCTAATTGTTATTCATTAATTAATAGTGTGCTTAAATAAGCTTTAATTTTATTACTATCTGAAAAATAATAATAATAATATGAAGTTTCAATCAAAGCATTAATAATTAGAGAAGATAATAAATAGTTAACTCAACAATTATAATAAATCAAAAGATTAAAACGCTTATTTGAAGATAGTTAAGAATTCAAAATAACTTTAATGAAATAATATAGAGAAAACATAAAATTTGTATAGTTTAAGAAAAAATAGTTTAGAGAATAAGCTAGAAAAATAATTGAAGTAAATGAAGAGAAAACTAAAATGTTTATTAATGAAGAAAATATATTAAATTAATATATCTAATGATTTCAAATATAAAATTATATAATATTAAAATATTAATTTAGTAAGTTGTTGATAAAACCTTATGAATTCAAATATTCAACAAATTAATAATTAAGGCAAAGATTTCCAAGCTAAAGAATTCCTTTTCTTTGGTAATGTTAAATCAGTCCGATATTTTATGTATTTTTACTATAAATTCTTTAATGAATAAAATGGATTTAGATATGTTTTAATATCAATTGAAGGAGGTTAATTATAAGAGTCAAAGTTTGGCATATCAGAAAATGATTATATAAAATGTTATTGATTATTTAAAATTTAAGGAACTTAATATTCTTCGCTAATAATAGATAAAGAGGCTACTCTAAATTAAGGTGGTTCAAATTTCTCCATTTCTCTCTTTATTTTTTCAAATTCATCTCTAACATCTGATTATTAATATTAAAGGATTTCCTATAATAAATAAATTGGAGTAAAATATATTTAATTAGTCTTAAGATTAACCATACATGGAGTCAATTCATAAGTTTCCTCTTAGCTTATCTAATCAATATTTCCTACAGCTAATAATAAACTTTGATTATGATTATTTTAATTATGCTAATTTTAATTATGATTTTTTATCTCTTCTATAGGTTATTTGCTAATCCTCCATAATATTTTATCAATTAATTTATTTAAATCATCATCTACTTCATCCCTTTTTAATAAACCATTATATCGATTCTTTACTTGATTTTCATTTCTCTTCAATTATTTAGCTATATCTGTCCATTTCTTTCCTTTTTATTAAATCTAATATATCAACTCCAAATCTTCCCTATCAGTCCATGGATCCTTAATTTTTATTAATGAAGGATCCAAATAATTTATCCATCTTTCTCTTAATTATTTACTTGTTCTGTAGATTTAATTAACTTTATTCATCTCTTAAGCAATAAATTTCCATCTATTTTCATCATTTTTATATTTATCATATAACATTGATAATTGTTAATCTTCTTCTAAAGTAAATGGTTATGTAATCAAAGATGTCTTTAGCATAGAAGTCCATTTTTATTTTATGTTTTCGACATTTCTTCTAAATAAATATTAAGCAATTTCGTTAAAATCATCACTATTTAAAAATCTGCAATTTCTTTATTTTATTGAACAATACTTTCCAATCACCCATACTAATACTTTTTTTTCATCAAAACTCCAACTTTTTTTTTGACTCTAAGAGAAACGTCGATTGTGTAATTTCTTTTAAATTTTGTAAATTTCACCATCATTTGGACAATCATTTAAACCAACATTAAAATATTCTTTTAGATATAAAAAGTCAATTGGAACATTCTGACTACTTTCATAAAATTCTAAAAACAATTAGTATTATTTAGAAAACTCAAACTTCTCTAAACTTGAGACTATCTTTAAATATGAAATCTTACTTTGACGATCATTATAGCTTCTTCCTCTTTTCTTTTGAGGAAATGAATCAGATTCAGACAGATTTAATTCCTGAAACATATTATTTGTATTTTATATATAATGATAATTTACTCTTTATCTTTAATAAATAATTATCTATAGAATGTATATAATATATTCATTTTATTATAAATTTACATTCAAAATTATTTCAACTTCCATTTAAACTTTAAATAAAGGAGAAAGTATTAATCCCCTTTAATAATAAAATTATATTATCCATATCTAAAAAGTGATTTTTTAAATGAAACTCATATTAAATTTCAAAATTTTTATTTATTTAAGTTTTAGTTTTAGTGTTTATTATTAATCAGACCTATAAAATAGAATCACCTTAGGTAAATTCTAAAAAAAAGTCCAAATTTATATAAAAATAATTTCATTCTCTCATTCAGAAAATATTGCAGCCTGTGCAGCTAGTCTCCTTTAATTTTTTTATAGGTGGTTAAGGCTACTCTAAGTTACTAACATCTTCATTGTAAATTTTCCAATTTTCAACTATTATTATTTAATCATTCTTTTTAAAAGAGACTTCCATTAAACTTTTGCTTTCTCTTTTTAATCTTTTATTATTTATTTTAACAGCTTTAGGTGCTGGGCCAAAAGAATATATATTTGTGTTTGAAAATATACATTTCTCTGATTAAATCTAAATTTCCATTAAAATTTATGATAATTATTTATCAATTAAGTAGAAAATTATCAAAAGGAATCCTTATAAATAATATAATTAATTTTAGAATAAAGCACACACTGAAATATATATGCAAAAAATCTTATGAAGAATAATTAAAAAAAATATGCACTTATAATATAAGTTTAATAATAATTTTATTTCATAGATATTCAAAATTATATTATCTAACAGAATAATATTGTGACTGTTTTTTAATTATAATTAATTATATAAAAACTTAATTAGAAGAGATGATAAAAATTTTTGCAATTAAAATGTAAACAATAAAATATTAAACAACCTAATCATCTTGCCTCCCATGTTATGTAATCTTGATTTGATAAACCATAAGTAATTTTAGCTATCCACTCTGTTCTTATAATCTTTTCATTTAATTTCAACTTATAATTCATCAATATTTTAGATATAACAATTTTACTCTCAATTAATGCTAGATATTAACCTATACAATTTCTGCCTCCAGCTGAAAATGGTACAAAAGCAAATGGATCTATGTTAGAATCTTTTAAAGTTCCATCAGATTTCCATCTTGTTATATCTATTTTTTTTGGATTTGAAAAATATTTCTTATTTTATGCATTAGATAATACCATATAATTGACATACCATCCTATTGATTATTATTATTATATTTCTACCTTTTTTTATGAAAATATCTTTAATATATAAATCCTTCTAAGCTTATTTGGATATCAACATAGGAGCCACTGGTTTTAATCGGAGACATTCCATTAAAAATCCTGTAACTTTTTATAGATTTTATAAATGTTTAGCTGTAATTATTTATTCTCCATTCAATACACCAAGAATTTCTTAATAAACTTCTTCTTAAAGATGTTGATTCTCAGCCAAGAAATAACATGCTGTTGTTACTAAATTTGCTGTAGTTTCAGTCCCTGCAAAGTAAAGTGTAATAGACTATTATAAAATTTCATCTTCTGTGATAGGAGGATTCATTTAATCATTTTTGTTTAGATATACATCTAAATAAACATCAAGATAATCCTTATGTACAATGTCTTTACAATCTTTTAATTTGTCCATTCTACTTTAAATTGCCTTTTTCATATGATCTAACATAACAGTATTAAGTTCATATAGATCTTTTTCTATTTTTCTTGGAAATAGACTGAATACTTTTTCTTCAAGTAAAGCTCTCTTTATTTAAAATAATTTAGATTCAGTGATTAATTGTCCAAATCTAGTGATCAATTGTGTGACGCATTATGAAGGGTCTTATCCATTTAGACTTAATTAGGCAATATCTTCTCCAAAAAATGCTCTAAGTACTACTTCCCCTGTGATTGATGAAGCTATATTCATAACTGGAAATATTGAATTTGGTAGATTAGTTAATTTCCTTTATGCAACATCATTTATCATTGGTATGAGATTGATAAGCTTGTTGTATTCAAAATGAGCTCCTAAAAGACTTCTTTATTGTTTCCACTTTGCTCCTCCTTCCATAAGCATTCCTTTTGATATCAATCTCTTATCTACTATCATGGGGAATTTACTATAATCTTAATACTATTGCATGAATATTCGATAGTATTTTGGTTTTAAAAATATGATTAATGGTCGAAATAATAAATTAGTAACTAATACGTCTGCTTTTCTATTATTTTTTATCAGTATGGACAATGATTCAAATGCATCTCCATTGATTGCTCTTGATTGACTTAAAGTACGAAGAAGTCCTAACATTGGAGCATATTGAATGATTACTCGTTTACCATACTTAATTTTGAAATAAATAACCACTAAGAGTGGTTGAGTGATTAAATAGATTAGAGCAACTATTCCTAATATAATATATATCATAATTAAATGATTAATTAATAAGTGTTCGAATAACTCAATTCCATTCTCTTTAAGCAGAAATTCGAAAATCAAATCAAAAATATGTATCCTACTTAAAAGAACTTAGAATTCAAGTAAATATATTAATCTACATAATCAGATTCATTGTATTAAAAAAAATTGAAACCTAAATAACTAAGACTTATAAGAAAATCACAAAGTATTGGATTGCAGATGAGACTGGGAGTGCATTTTTGAATGTTCATGATATGGATGAATCAGCCATATCACCAGGTGATGTATGTGTTATGGTTGGAGCCTATACAAATTTATTCAAAGGAATGATGAATATTCATTAAGGTATAATATATAAAATATTAATAGGTAAGAATGGTATATTCAAAAAAGTGAGTGAATTCGATCTTTAATATTTAACTTACCCTAATCATAGTTTAAAAAATTGGGGTAATGATTAATAAACCACTTAAATTTGAAGTTAATTATTATCATACTATTAGAGTATAAAATATGATAAATAAAATCACAATCAGAACATGAAATAAAAATTTAATTTAGAATCTTCTTTCTTTGGTATTAAGATTTGAGAGTCTTGATTCAACTTACTATAGTTTTAGTATTTCACTCTTTGCTTAATTAAACTTTATATTCTCTAATTCTTATTATTAATAGTAATTATTTTATTAATATATTTGTTCTTAAATATCTGCTTAAATTCCTGAATTTTAGTATTATTTAATGATTGATTTCTAATTTTAATTTAATATTATTGTCTTTTTAATTTATACTCGAAATTATTTTACATAACAGTCCATTGTTTCAATAGAATCAAACTTTTATATTTCTAAAATGCCTTGATCTTATTCCTTATCAGATTCTATTGATTTTTTTGAATTTTATGATTAGTTCTAAATTGATGATTATTTTTTTGGTTCTTCTTAGAAAGGATGATAAATCAAAATTTCTTCATTCTAAAGAGTTTCTAATTGTTCTTATTATTAATTAAGGTAAACCAATTACTCATTTGAAGTTTCTTATTTTTTATTAGATTTATTCTTTTGTTATATTATATTTAAAGTTTTTAGTTTTTATAGAGAGTTACAAAACATTTTCTTTGTCTGATTTTAATGTTCTTTATTTGAAGTTCCTGATTGAATCATAGAAAATTAATCATTGTCTATATTTTACACTGAATTACGAAACGATCCAATTTCACTAGATACTTTACATGGAATATTATTATCATTTAATGGAGATGATTTCTAATTTCCATTTTTTTTTTCTGAAAATCTTCTATAAGGTGTAAAATATTTGTAAAAATATTTATCTCCATTTAATGAAGTGGCACCTTAATTCTTAACATCAGTTATTGAGGGATGAAGCAATGTAGTGATTGATGAAGTTAATGTATCTGCTGTTTTTTCGGAAACAAGATTTTTTTACTTAATTCTATCAGTCTTTGATCTATTATGAGGATTTGGTGTCATCGATTTGCGATTTACAAATGGATCAACTGTAATAGCATTACACTTCACTTATTTTAGCATTTAAGTTAATTATTTTAATGGCGAATAGATTAAAAGCATAAATTGAATTTACTGATGATGCTCCTGTCACTTAAATCGATGAACTCGAAGTATCGAAGAGATTTGAAGACTATTACTAATGTCTTTTAACTTTAGGTAAAAAATTTATGTATATTTTTTATAGGTTAAGGAGCCCATGCTATTGTGAAGACAGCAAAGAAAAAAAATACAGAAGAGATATATGCTGTAAAAATAGTAAGATCAGGTGATTAAGAAATTCAGAATAATGTAAAACGAACATTCAACAATACTAGATGTCTAAGACATCCAAACATTGCTCAAGATATAGAACTTTATATTAATGAAAAGATGGAAACTTCATATTTAGTTATGGAATATTGTAAGTTTCCAAGTTTAGAAAGTATAATTAAAAAACGATCTCTTACTTCAGAAGAATTAAAAGTTGTGATTAAACAATTACTATTAGGAATCTAACATGCTCATTCTAAAGGAATTTGTCATAGAGATTTAAAGCCAGATAATATTTTAGTTAATTTAGAAGAAGATAGTTAGTCTCCTAATGTAAAAATTGTTGATTTCGGTGTATCAAGAAGGTTTTTATTAAAAGGATAAGAAATTGAAATGTTAACTAAAACTGGAAATATCTTTTATTGTGCTCCAGAAATATATCATAAAGCTAGTTATTCAAAAGAGATTGATGTTTGGGCAATTGGAGTAATTACTTATTAATGTATTTTTTAAAAATTGCCGTTGTACTCAAATGAATTACATGATTTTATTGAATTGTTGGCTAACCCAAATTAATGGACATTTTAAGAATAATTAAATACACTTGAATAACCATTAAGTAACTTAATAATGGCTATGTTGAATCCAAATAAAAGTGAGAGAATATCTGTTGAAGCTGCTTTAAGGCATCCTTTTTTTGAAATTTGCACCATTAAGGATTTGATGGCTTTTTTGAATAAATTAAATTTAGAATAAGATAATTGTTGTAGATGTAGATCATTACAATCTAGTTTAAGATTAGATGATTAATAATGGGGAAATGTTATATAAAAATTATAAAATAGTTAAAATGATAATAAAAATGATGAAATTATGTTAAATGAATTAGTTAAAAGTTTTAATGATATTCATATCATTTAGAGACATGGAGATAAATGTGGTCTTATTTAATTAATGAATTCTATTAATAGTAGTACAGCTCTTATGAGTAGGTTAGGATCTAAATAAGAATTGTAAGATAAAAGTTTTGGATTTTAATTTTCTGGTTCTTCAAGTATTGAATCATTATTATTTTTTAGATAAATTATCTAATTAAGAATAAATGGATAATATTGGTAAAATCTAAATTAGTATAGAAATGAAGGATGAATAATAAAATATTAATAATGATAACATTAATCATTATAATAATAATAATAAATTTCTTACTTAATTAGGTGCTCATTTAGATAGTAGCATTGATGTTATGCCTTATGATGGTTCTCTTATTTAATCTAAATAAATTCCTCAATAAGATTAATAAGGAATTACTAAGAAACCTTTAAACTCTTTGAAAAATATGTTTGGAGATCTTTAGATTAGAGAAGTAGATGAAATAACAGAAGATTAATTTTGAATAATTTGAATAAATATATATATATATATATAAGTGGTTTTATTGAATAATTAGATAAATATATTTTATTATATTTATTATAAAAACTTTAATCTAAAATGAAACCATAGATTTAATCAACAAGGAAACCAGGAAAGTCTGCACCAAAACCAAAAGATAATCTTACGAATCAAACTTCCAATTCAAAAAAAGAATTTACCAATGAATCAAATGGGTTTGATGCATCGAAATAACTATTAATCTAACCTGTTCTTATAGAACATAAAGTTAAATAAAACTGNACTCAAATGAATTACATGATTTTATTGAATTGTTGGCTAACCCAAATTAATGGACATTTTAAGAATAATTAAATACACTTGAATAACCATTAAGTAACTTAATAATGGCTATGTTGAATCCAAATAAAAGTGAGAGAATATCTGTTGAAGCTGCTTTAAGGCATCCTTTTTTTGAAATTTGCACCATTAAGGATTTGATGGCTTTTTTGAATAAATTAAATTTAGAATAAGATAATTGTTGTAGATGTAGATCATTACAATCTAGTTTAAGATTAGATGATTAATAATGGGGAAATGTTATATAAAAATTATAAAATAGTTAAAATGATAATAAAAATGATGAAATTATGTTAAATGAATTAGTTAAAAGTTTTAATGATATTCATATCATTTAGAGACATGGAGATAAATGTGGTCTTATTTAATTAATGAATTCTATTAATAGTAGTACAGCTCTTATGAGTAGGTTAGGATCTAAATAAGAATTGTAAGATAAAAGTTTTGGATTTTAATTTTCTGGTTCTTCAAGTATTGAATCATTATTATTTTTTAGATAAATTATCTAATTAAGAATAAATGGATAATATTGGTAAAATCTAAATTAGTATAGAAATGAAGGATGAATAATAAAATATTAATAATGATAACATTAATCATTATAATAATAATAATAAATTTCTTACTTAATTAGGTGCTCATTTAGATAGTAGCATTGATGTTATGCCTTATGATGGTTCTCTTATTTAATCTAAATAAATTCCTCAATAAGATTAATAAGGAATTACTAAGAAACCTTTAAACTCTTTGAAAAATATGTTTGGAGATCTTTAGATTAGAGAAGTAGATGAAATAACAGAAGATTAATTTTGAATAATTTGAATAAATATATATATATATATATAAGTGGTTTTATTGAATAATTAGATAAATATATTTTATTATATTTATTATAAAAACTTTAATCTAAAATGAAACCATAGATTTAATCAACAAGGAAACCAGGAAAGTCTGCACCAAAACCAAAAGATAATCTTACGAATCAAACTTCCAATTCAAAAAAAGAATTTACCAATGAATCAAATGGGTTTGATGCATCGAAATAACTATTAATCTAACCTGTTCTTATAGAACATAAAGTTAAATAAAACTGCTTAATAGAAATTATTGAATTGGCTAATTCTCTAAAAGATGATGATAATGTAAGTGGGCTTATCTTTAAACAAATTATTATATCTATTGAAGCAAAATTGACGGAATTTTAAGAGAGACTTGATAATAGAGACAATCTAAATGAACTTAATTCTCATCTATAGAAATTACAATATCTTTAAGCTAGTCCACATAGTCCTAATGGAAATAAAAGTGTTACCAAAAAAGAAGACTCCAATAATGATACAAGTGGATTACTTCGAAATCAAAGTTAAATTTCTTTGCCTTAAAATGATAATGTCAGTATTATGAGTGCCTAAGATAAAATGAAAAGTCCTTAAGGTAGAAGATCAGCCTCCAAATAAAATTCAGGTAAATTCTTATTGACATTCTTAATTAGTCATTCTTCCCAACACTTCATAGTAAATAGTATCAGACAATAATAAGATAGCAGCATTAGAAAAAAGACTTAGAACCAATGAAGATAATTATGTCAAATTGACCAAAGAATTTTAAGATTAATACAATGCCAATAATTAAAAATTAGAGAAAACAATTAAGGCTCTTAATGAAAAGTTTATGTCATTTAGTGCAAACAATTTGCAATAGTAGTATATTGAAATTACTGAGAGTTAGAAGGCTTTGATTTCACATTTACATTAGTAATCAAAAGAAATCACGTAATTGCTTCGAACTATATAGCGAGATCAATAATACCATGCATAAATTAAAAGAGACTCAAGATTCTTAAAATGTAGAGATTTAAAATAAAATTGAGCATTGCTTACAAATGCATAATGAAAATTTAGTAAGAATATAATCACTTTCATCCTCTCTTTAAGCGATTGATGCTGATTTAATCGTGATTTTAAAGTGCTATAAAGATCTTCTTAATGATATCTTTAAAATTGATATAATAGATCAATAATAAAAAAAGTTAATTAGTCTCTTGGATGAATAATGAATTAATAAATCATATTTATAATAGTTATACATAATTCTATTCATCTTCTAGTAAAAAATGTATTTTTATTTTCAAATTCTGATGGTTTCTTTCTATAATCACCTTAATTCACAGATGAATAATTAAATGTTCTTTCTGTTTATTAAAATGAATTTGGTTTCTAAGCCATATGTTTCTAATAATAAATAATTAAATATTACTTCTTCTTTATATTTCAATTCTTAACCATATCCATTTGATAGTAATTTTTTGCATTCTAAATGATCAGATTTTCCATATGATTCATGTTTTCCATATTGCTTTCCTTTATTATCCTCTAAAATAGGATTCCTATCTGCAGGTTTTAATTCAGCAATTTTGAGTTCTCTTTTTTCAAAAAGATCCTTGGTTTTTGCAGGAGCTGGTTGGATTGTTTTTTAACTAGGTTTCCAATCAGGTTACTATGTTTAATAATTCACTTTTGAATTAGGATTTTATTTTGGAGCTATAGGATTATTATGGAAATTCCATAGATTATCTACATCACTCAAAGGAGTTTTGATTATATGGCTTTTATTTTCATTTAAAGGTCTGCTTTCTTAAGTAATAGGATCACTAGGTTTGAGTGTGGGGTTGTTTTTTTAGAGAGTTGCAATTTTATTTAAGTTTTCTTTACACATTTCAATAGTTTTTTTATCACATTCAGATGGTTATGTACATGTAGCCTTTTCTTATTTTCTAGAATATTTAATAATACATACACATATTTATTGATTTTAGAATTGTAATCCTTTGCAAGACATAATTCAGCCTGAGGAGAAAGATTTCTTTACAAATTTGCATAATTGACTAATCGTTATTGTCCTCCATAATCTGTAAAAGTTCGAAGAGTTGATTAAGTGGCTGATTTTTACATAGATTGCTGTTGTGACATTTAATAATTTTAATAATGTCGTTAAAAGTTGTTTAATTAATAATTTATTCTTATAAAACTATATTTCTTTATTAATGATAATTAAATAGTTTTTTGATTGAGTTAAGATAATTAAATTTAGATGTATTCTTTATATTTTAGCAAAGAAGATAAAATATAAAGTTAATGAATTTTAATTAATCATTAATTTATAAAATGATTAAACATTATTTAACTCAATCATCTTCTACTAAACAAAATTTTTCATAAAAACTTCAATTGCAAAAACTTAAAAGAAACAAACTTATGGTTTCAAAGGCTATAGATATGCTATAAAATCCATTCGATCCTAGTCAAGTATCTTAGTCCTTGAGATTTCTTGAAAATTAGACATAAAGGAAAGCATTACTAGATCAAATTATTGGTATAAGAGAAGAAAGAAAAAGAAAATAAGAATTTGAAAAAATGTCTTCAATGAGAGGAATTTTATCTAAAGTATAATAGAGATTCACTGTGGTTAAAAATCAAGATATAAAATTTAATAGAGATTTTAATGATTTTAAAATTTTACAAGAAGAACGTAATAAAATGGAAAAATTGTAATATGAAAATCTGAATCTGCAAATAAATGAAAGAAAATCTTAATTCAAAAGAATGTCTAGTCTTAATTTCTTAACGCGAGAAAGTGATAATCATAAATTAAAACATTAATTAAGTCTTGATCCAGGAGCTCCTTAACCATCTTTAATGTTTATAAGGAAAACATAAAGAAATACAACATTGTTACAATAAAAAATAGTAAATAAATAAATGTAATAATTAATATTAAGAATTTAGACCTACAGAAGGTAATACTGAGAAAACTCTTACATCACATCATAATTACTTGGTTATAACATAAGAAACTGATTAAGAATGATTTATAAATATTAATTATATATATATATATATAATAATGAATTTTTGATATAAATTTATTAGTTCTATTTTAAGTTGATTAAATAATACATGAATCATAAAAGTTTAATTTGTCGACCTAACTATTTATTAATAATTGTTTATTTTGGAATTTGATATAACATTTCCAAAGTATGTATAAATTCTTATTGAATAGCAATATTTCCAAACAATAGAATCATCATTAATGATATAGTAGTTGTTATGGAAAATAGATAAAATATAATATAAATGTTAAATGATAAATCTTATAATTGTGTTTTAGAGAGATCAATAAAGAATTCTGAAAATAATTTCATCTAAAATAAGAATGCATCAAATCCCCATAGAAAATAAAAAAAGTAATCCTAAGATTTCTCTAATCTTTCAAATGCATTTATAATCTCATAATTCTCAGTCAAACTAAAAAAATCATTTTAATTCATCACAGATATAGATTACTTAAATAAATTTATTATGCCAACTTCATATATTGAATACATTTATTAATAATGAACTCTTTCTTTATATACTGTTTCATTCATATTACAATTAAATATTTCCATTAAACATATATCTTAACCTAATAAACTATCTGAATTAACAGATAAAGTTTAAGAATAAATCATGTGAGAAAATGGTTCACTCTATAATTCTTAGAGATTAGCTTTTAGAGTATCTACATCTACATTTGTAAGTCTTAAGAGTTAATATCCATGTTTAATATTTTAACTTGTAATCACATATCGACCAGATGCAGTTGGTTAGATAGCAATCATTGCTTCATAGAATTTCTTATTTACATAAACATCCCAGTTATTTATTGTATCTAAAAATAGTAAACGAATGTATTATGTTTTAAGAGCAGCAGTTACAATAGGAGATAAATTGATTGAATAATCAATATAATTCATATGTAAAGTTAAAAATGATCCATATGATATAATTATTAGAGGGATTATCAACTTTAATAGTACTCGAGATGATAAATGATGAGAGATATGTGATTTCATTGCTCTACCACTATATGATCTAGTTATTTTATTTTCATCTTCTTCATCATATTCATAAAGACCAAACCAAAGTTTTGAATTCTTTACTATATTTAATAGTTTTTGTATAAATGCTATCTCTTCTATTCCTTCATTTAAACTTGTTCTACAAAATAAAGATAAAACAAAACGTTATTTCTTTTTAATAGCAGAATATAAGATTACAAAAAGTATAATTTATAATAAAATCATTGAATAAATGAGTATTAATAATACATTGAAGTTGAAATCCAAATTTTTGTTTATTTATTAATCATCTATTTAACATTATCTCATAAAATTTAAAGTAATATTTGCAACCCTTTTAAAATTAAAGTATAAAATAGATCTTGTGTTTACTCTTAAAAGAATATATATATTATTACTATGCCCATGAATCAGTGGTTCCTATCAAATACAGAGTTGGATCTTTAGCAAAACTTTTTATTGCCATAAATAATGTTTGAAGCATAATTTTATAATATTAAGACAAGGATAGAATAGTTTAAATTTCAGTTTAATTCTTATAAAAATTAATTCTGATTAAATCAACTGATTAATTTTACTTATCATAAATTTTTAGTTTAGCAGTTTCTTTTTAATAAAATGCTACTAATTCTTCAATTGATTATTTATAGATATATAGTGAAAAAGATATTTTATCTACAGATGTTACATTAATAATAGTTTTAGAATCTATAGGATATAAATTATATGAAGCCAAAAACTTATTAAAATCTCTTAAATAAATAACATGTCTAGAAGCAATCATAGCTCTTCCATATCCATCAAGAAATGAAGTGCTGTAATCAAGATATTCAAAACATTATGTTTATTAAAGTTCCTTCTTCTAAATTTATTAAAAAAGTAGAATAAAAGCAATAATTATCAATAAAATATATGCTGCAGAGAGTAGCATTAATAATCTGTAAGCAGTTAATTATTTAACAATACCAATAACTTATTGGAATGATAAAATCTCAGAATTGCTTTTCTACATAGAAGATGACGTTTTTGCAACACTTTCATTAATCTTAATTTAATTAAATCTAATATGAATTAATAATTTACTAAATCTTTTTTATTTTATTATTATCTTCCAATACCTAAACTTCATAAGATAATTGTTGATTAAATTATTTATCAATTAATGTATTTGTCTCTTAAAAATTAAAAGTAATCCAATAATATATGTAATTTACTTATTTTTCTTTTACATTATAAGTTATCAAATTTTCAGTTAGACTAAACATCAAATTCAATTAAAATTCACTTTTTTCCTAATTATCATAATGTTTAGATAATTATTCAATTTTTTATATTCTTTCCTAAGGAGATAATTATAAAAAAGGTATTTTTGTTGTTGAATTAAAAATTTATTTACACATATTTTTATTAAGATATAAAACACCTTTTTATTAATGACTGATTATTTTTTCATGATTCTAAAATTAAAGATTATACCTTAACATATTTTCATAATGTTCTTTAAGTATTGATTTTATATCTGGAAGAATTTAAAATATACTGAATTCATATATATCATCTTAGAATTTTAGATGTTAGAATATTTTAAACCATAATTATTCAGAATATCCTAATATTTAAAAGTCTTAACTAATTAACATATAATCCTAATCTTCTTCTATATTATCTTTCACAAGAGTACCCATCAAATAGAGTTTCTCATGATCATATTTTGGATAATTATTGAGACAAATCTTTACTTTTGAAACTAATGGTGTATCTCCATATTTTATAAATGTTTAAAAAATCTATGACTTTGAAGGACCAAATCTACAATAATTATCTAGAAGTTGATTGTGTAATTCATTAAATTAAATTGGCATAATATTGGATAAGTGTTCAAATTTATCTATGTTTAACCATTTATTTGAAACTTTTTCAATTTTTCCCCTTTATTGTTTAGAAATGACTACTAAAAGTTACATGGCTTTTTAATTTTCAAACATTTAATAATTTAATAGATCTCCCTAACCTTATTCAAATTCAACTATTTTTTAAATTCTCTTTTCAATTAATTAATATTTATTAATAGAATAGAAAGATAGTTCTAATATTTATGATACTCTTTAATAAAATAAATTGTGTTTTAAATTTATTTCTTAATTTAAGAAAACCTAAATATCTTATTAGAATTCATGCAAAGCTTATCTAATTTTATTTATTTCATATGTTATTTTCAATTACATTTCAAACATTTCTTAATAAGATTCAATTTTATCTGTAACATATAATGACCATAGTCTTAATTTTATGTTTAATAAAATTAATAATTGATCTTTTATTTTATGACAATTTGATTCAAACCATTAAAGAGAATAAACAACTTCAGAAAACTTATTTGGGATTATTTCTTTATATAATTGTTTAGTCTATTCACAAACTATTTCTAATAGAGATTGAATCATTTTTTAATCATAAAAAGAAAACTCAATATCTTTCTATTATTTTACTACTTTCATAATCTATAAGTAATTTTTAAATCCTTTATTATTATTTTAAATTTAAAATGATATATATTTTAAGTAACAAAATTATTATTCTAATTTTAAAATTTAAACAGTAAATTTAATTATTTCTTATTTATTATCCAATCTTATAAAAGTTTTACAAGGACAAATAATATTCTAGCATTTTTTTTAATGATATGAAATTTATTAATAAGCTTTAATTTAACATTAAGGATCAAATTTTTGTATTGCATTTGAATAAAAATACTCTGCATCTAATATATAGAATTACTCAACAACATAAAAAAAGTTTAATAACTAAAATAAAATCAAAATAATACTGGAAACAATAATAAAATTGTATATAAATATGGATCTTATTTATAATCTAATAATTAAATTAGTATTTCTTGAACAATAAATACAAATGTGATAATAATAAATTTCTAATAAAAACTTTATACTGTCTTATCACTAAATTTGTCTATTTTAATAAATTCTAATATTTTAACAAGTATAATTGCAATCACTAAAAAATATTTAATTATTGATGTTATTTCTAAATTTGCCATTCTTATAAATATAATAGATTCAAAGATGAATAAATAAATTAAGTCAAATGTAATATTTTTAGCTCTACCATTACTGGTTTTAAAGCCTGAATTGCGAAATATATAAATGCTTATGAAATATTGAAAAACACTTAAAAACAATACTAAAATGCTTAAAACTGTAATTAAAAATTGCTTATTCATAAAGCAAAATATTTATGAAGGTATCAAAAATAGCCAATCATAATTGGATAAGTAGAATTATAAAGTATTTAAAAGGATTTTACTTTTCTTCCTATAAATATAAATATTTTACAATTTTTAATAATAATGAGATCATTAATAGTATGATTATGTGGATTAATAAAATTGCTATTAGAACCAGAGTCTAATAATATAAATTTTAAATTTGCTAGAATGTAATGAATTGAGCCAATATCAGAATGTAATTGTCAAAATAAATGTTGATATTATCAATAAACAATAATGAAATTACTTAGATAAAATAAATGATTATTTTGATTTTATTCCAACTACTTCTTAAATTATCATTTCTATCATGATCAGCAATAGCAGATAAATAAAATAACTTATTGATTGTTTGGCTCATCATTATTTTAAATTTCATCAAATAATTAATATATTATTATACATATAATAATTAGATTAATCACTAAGAATTATTACAAAAATAAATTTGATTTATTACATCTAAATAAGAGACACATTCATTAGTTAATAAATAAAAAAGTAGAAAATAATAAATAAATATTTGTATTCTATAAATTTCATGACTTTTATTATTCGTTTTCTGAAAGTAGTTATTATTAGTCATCTTCTTATCTTAAATTACTTGTGGAAACAGTGTCAGATTCACAATCTTTTTATTTTAATTGAGCCAATTATTAATCTCTTTATTACAAGATTTTATCTTCTTAAACAACACCAACCCAAGGAAGTGGTAATAAAATGAATACTCCTGTAACAATAATGAATAACCATAATTTAGAATAATCATTTTAATTAACTCCCATTATAATTAAAAATAAAGCACCTAATTATGATCCTAATGTTGATCCTAAAGATATATAAAATATATTGATTACCAAAATTAATTGTACTCATTAACATAGCATACATAGTAGCTTCAATATTTTTTGGACACATTCTACATGCTAATACTAATATAGGCATCAAATTTAATTCACCTACTAATTATAACATAACTGAATCTCCAAGACAAAAGAATTTATCATTAATACCCCATTCAACATTTTTTCTTGTGACTAGAATTATCATAGATTGATAACAAAAATAATAGAGTATCGTAGTAGTAATGAATATCTTTTTAAATGGAACATCTTTGAGATAATTATTATATAGAAGCACTCCTAATATAGTAGACAATGCATAAACAAATTTCAATTATCCAAGGAAAGAAGGTTCAAAGCCTAAAACTTGGGTATAGAAAAAGAACATGATAGTTGAACTTGAAGGGGCCATCATAAAACAAAATATCAATGCAACTGGCCTTGAATCTATTATTATAATACTTGTAAATTAAGGGATTTTAAAAGAATGTCCAAAAATCTTTTATACATTACATAGTGTTGTTTCTTCTGTCATTTTAATCTAAATTTCTAGGATCAACTTTCTCTTCAACATAAAAGAATGATACTAAAACCAATAATGAAGGAAATGCAGCTGTCATCATAAATATTTCTTATTTTGTAAAATAATGTAATAATGCACCTGAAAAGAATGCACTTATAAGTGTTCCAAATGCTCTTACACCAAAAAATATTGAGACATTTTTTGATGCTCCATGTTAAAAATTTGTTTATTATCTTGAAGCTGAAGCAGCTACTTCTACTAAAATAGCTTCACCAACAACATTCACAAAACATGTTGATAACTAAATCAAGAATAATAATAAAAGGGCAGAATATAAATTATCAGTTCCATATTTAGATAAAGCAACCCATCCTAATGCATCAAATATCCCAAATAATATTATGTATGATTTTCTTCTATAACCAAACAAAGGTTTCGAATCTGTTATTAAACCCCAGAATGGTTTTACAATCCAAGGAGTTGTTGTATAACTCAAATAAAGTCCCATCATTGCTGGTGATAATCCAAAATCATCTTTGAGCATATAGTTAATAGATAAATCCGCTAAGTGTTATACACCTTAAGAAAAAGCAACTACTGCAATAATAAAATATGAAGGATTGAAGCTCTCATAAAATTAAGCAAATTGCTTAAACAGTTTGTCAAACATAATGCTCATATGTTGATATAAAATTTTAATTATAAAAACGCATATTAATAAATATCAATAGAAAACTCAACTTTCATATATTCAAGTTATTCAATTTCACTTATAGAGATTGATTATAACAATTCCTAAGTTTTCTATTATTATTTCCTAATTCATATGTTGAGGATTTAGTATGATAAGATAGAAGATCAGGAGATGATGGAAAATCCATAGAACTTTTTTATGTTGGACTTAAACTTTACAATCTTTTTTAAACATACTATTAAACAGGACGTATTTTAATATTCTTATATTTCCTGCAAGTATCTGAAACTTAAGTATATATTTTCTCTTTAATATCAGGTCTTAAATATTATTAAAGTGATTTTGCACTTGTAAATCCACCTAATGATTTTTTAATTTTCATTTATGGACTAATACTATTAATTACACAATCTTTTTATTTTTTCTCTTAAAGTGCCACTTAATATTTATTTTAAATTAATACCTAAAATAATGTAACAATTTAAGCAAACCTATAAGGTCTTATGTAAAAATCCATCATTATTTTTATATTAATCAAAACTTTAGTAATTTAATTTTTCATGTATTTTTTAAAATACTAATGGAACTTTAGATATAGTATTTAATAGATCAGATGAATCAGAGTTTTTATTTACTAATTTTATTTTTGTAGCTCCATTTTTAATTTCATTTGGCCAATTTTAAGGTATTATTGTATTTTAATCATTTTCTAAGATATAATGATAAGGTATCATAATAAAATTATTTTCTTTTTCAATTATTCCACATTTAATACATTTTGATTCTTTATTTAATTATTATGGTTTCTAACTATAAACTGACATAATTCCATCTATGGATTTAGGTATTTTTATTTATGCTTAAGAATAAAGATCTTTTGGACAATCCTTTAAATGTTTTTCACCTTCAAATTTAAGATTTCCACAAAACAAAAACCAACATTTTGCTTCTCTATCAACTTTGAAATAGAATATCCCTTAATTGATATTTAATTTTCCAAAAGATATAGAATCTAAATGATTAATCATTTTTTATATTTATTCTGATATCCTTTGTGATTAAAAATCTTTAACTTAAGCTATAATTTCAAATTTATTAAATTACTTGCTTCACTTAAATAATCTGGCCCTTCAAAAGTGCAAAGTCTTTCATAAATATTCATTGATTTATTAAGATAACTCTTTTTTGTTGTTCTCTTAGTAAACAATGTAATCTATTTACTCCATAAAGCCTATATTTATGCTTTAATAAATGTTTATAATTACAATTTTTATCATCTGCAGATTCAACGTACTTTTGTAAAATTCCAAATGGAAACTATACATTTGAATCCATAAATTTTATAAATCCCTCTTTATCAAAGTAAATAATCTATATTTATCCACAAACTTTTAATTTTTCATTTGGGTAGTTTAGATCTAAATTTTCTCTTCAAATACTTAATTTATTTTACATAAAATGTAATAAATAGCCAACAACTCCTGATTTCCCAACAGAATTCAACCAGCTCTCTTTAATGTTCTCTTTGCTTACATTTTTATGCATTTTTCTCTTTACTTCTCCTGATGCTTTGTCTGTAAAATACCAATAAATAGGCATAGATCGTATTAATATTACTGTTTCAGGTATCAATATAGAAGGAGGATTCGAAGTTTCAGATTTTACCCAAAGGTATTGATAAATTTTATCATAAAGAATATGTTCTTGCAGAGTTTCACTATGAAACATAAAATAATTTTACTATATTATAAAATTAATCAAATTATCAGTCAAATTATGCTATATAATTTAATTATTTCAACATTATCATAATAAATACTGATTTAAAAAGGAAAGAGTTTTTTATGAACAATTTAAATAAACTCATTTCTTATTAGAACATTTAAATAAAAAGTAGTTAACACACATTTTATTGAAAAAATAAGTAATAAAAAATGGTTATCTATTAATAATTATTTTATAACATATTGAAAATAATCAATTTTATTAATCATTCAATTATTTAATGTTTATTATTAAAACTAGAAAAAACTCTCATCCATAACCATTTTCATATTATGAGATCAAAATTTTAGAAGTTAAGAGCTAACCTTCATAAAAAGCACTTGTTTCAGAATAAAATTAATAAAACTATTTAAAATTACGTCTTGGTACAGCAAATACAATATGTGTATAAGGAAGGTCAAAAACTTTAGCACATATTAAAAAAGAAAAGGTTATACCATTTGAAATGAATTATAATCTTGCATACAAAAAAATATTTAGTCAAAAGAATCTGTTCCATCTAATGGGAGGAAACATCTGATTAAATTAGTATTTTTTCTTACAATACATATAAAAGTTTGATATTAATAAAAACATAAGTCTAATTGATAACACATGCTATTTAAATTAATTATTTTTTATGTTAAAATGTTAAAAATATTACAATTAGTATTTAACATTTTAACAAGATGTTTAATTAATATTATTAAATTAATTGTAATAATTATAATCCATAAAAATACATCCTTGAAATAAGTTTTATTGTCTAAAAAAAAAATAATAGTTGATAGTTAGTTATAAAATGAAAAATAGTGAAATTAACTTTAAAGATTGATTTTTATCAATTAATATTTATTTGTTTAATAAAAATCAATCATTTTGCTCGTCATTCTCTTCAGCAATTTCTTCAGGATATTCATTTTCTCCTTCCTCTCCTTCTTCATTTAATTGTTCAGGATCAATACCAAAAAGATGTAGATTTTGCTATTTATAATAATAATAATAGTATACACTAAATATTTCTCTAAATTAGTTATTTTCATTTGCTAATTTTTCAACTTCTTCTTATAATTATTGTTTTTCATCACTCATATGTTGATAAAGTTATTTGAAATTTTCAATTAAATCTATATCTTTAAATCAAATACTTACCTTCCAATTTATGAATTTCTTCATCTTTAGCTTCTAATTATTATCCTAATTCTTATATAACTTCATCTTTTTCATTATCTTAACTCTTTGCTGATTTCTTATTTGATGATTATTGTTTCTGTTTTGTACTGCTTGCTAATTTTTCTTATAATTCACCAACAGTTTCTTAATTATCTTATAATTATTGTTGCAATTATTCTATAATTTGATCTTTCATAGATGATTCCTATTAGAGTTATTCTATCATGGATTAAATTTCTTCCTAATGAGCTGAAAGGATTAAATACTAAATTATATTCTTAAGCAATATTTTCTAATTCCTCTGTTTTCTCTTTTAATGCTTATTCTAACTTTTTTATTTAATCTTATTATTATTTTTTAACTTTATTAACTTCATCTTATAAATGCTTATTTGCTTAACTAAGTTTATTGTTCAAATTTCTATTTTCTTCTGTTAATTATTAAATTTTTTCTCTATCTTCTTATGATTTTTATTCATAATCCTTCTCAACCTTTTATCTAAAAATTACTATTAATATTATACAATTTTCTTTAGAATTCCTTCTCTTTATCTCTTGATTAAGATAATTCAACTCTCAATCTTTCTGCTTATTATTACTCTTCCTTTAATTAATTAATTATTGATTAAGAACCTCTGTCTTAATCTAGATTGAATTTCTAGTTAGATTAATAGGGCCTTTTATCACCTGATAAATATTACTAATCAACTCTTTTATCATTACTATCGATCTTTTTCTCCAAATAGTCATGTTTATTATTTACTCTATTGACATCTAATGTCTTAGAGTAATCTTATTTTTTGGAATCATTGCTCAAATAATCTTTGGTTGGCACCTAACCTGTGGGTTTCATTTCATTTTTTTTGAAAGAATTCTTCTAATCGATTTTTTGAGGAACAGGAACAATACTTTAGTTTTTCTAGTACATTTCTAAATTGTGAATTAAGGTATTATACCCTAATAAGGTATAATTTCTGTTTTATGTTACTAATCTATTGGACCAGATCGATTGTGAATTTGGGAATCACATGAGTAACATAATCGAAAAGTTTACCCATATCTACATTAATTACATTTGATTGTAGCAGGTCTTTATTGACATTTCTAACATTTAACAAAGAGAGATTGCATATCTATTTTATTCCAAATTTTGAAAAATATATATACTGTATAAGTTATTAATAAAACAAATTTGAATTTTATTTTGTAATTCTATTCATAAATTTATTATAAACTAAAATATATCTATTATATATATCTTAGAATAAATATTAATTGAATATTATGATATATATTAATAAATTCCATATATAAATTGTAATTTATTCATTATTTTAAGAGATATAAAAATAATCATTTAATTTAATATTTATAATATATAAATATATAATATGATAAATAAAATCAAAGAATACATGTCAAATACATAACCTGTTGTTGATGCCTTAAAGGATTTACATATTTATTCAAATGATAATTAATTTCAATCTTAATAACTTATATCAAATAGATTAAGACCATTCTTTGAAAGTTAATAAAGTAAGGTATGGTTAGTAAACAATATATTAGAAACTATTTTTGTAATCATTATTTGAAGTAGTACAAAAAGAAAGTGTTTAGGAAGGAAATTTGTAAAGAAAATTTAAAATTTTATTATTGCTACATATTATCTTAAGTTCATAAGTTGGACGTTCAGAATTATCAAAAATCTTAATTTCCAAACAATTAAATATTAAAACCTAAAATTCAATTCCTTCAAAATTAGATGTAGTCTGTCAACAATATTATCATTATTTGTATAAATTAGCATCTCAAACTACTTTTATTAATGAAGAAGTTGTTGATGGAGATTTACTAATATATTTTACTCTTTCAAATCAATGCTATATTGGAATGACTATGCAAAAAATTGTTGAAAATGTTGATTCATTTCAATCTAATCCGTTATTGGCAAATATTATCAAATTCATATATTATGATTTACAAGATATTTTTATATTCATCTTGAAAGATATTAAGTGTCTTATTGAAAATAGATAAGAAATTAAATATTCAAAAGAATTAATGCTAGAACTTTATAAAGAAGTAATGTAAATTATATTAATAAACTCTAGTGTTAGATTCTATAAAAAAGAATGTTAGACTTCTATCGCTTTAACAGACATTTCGAACACTTTTAATAGATAATGCCTCCCTATTCTTTGGCCATTAATCAAGAATCAATAGGTTAATTATTAAATAGTCAACCAAAAATGAATTCATTATAACAAATAGCAAATTTATAAGATAATCATCTTGATAGGATATAACCTCATACTTCAAAATAAAAGAATTCAATAAGATTTGATTTTTAAGAGAGGAAAAGAAAATAATCAGATTCAACATAATTTTCATTCTCAAATTGATTTTTTTTATGAGTTATAAATGCTTTTTATGTAATGTACTTTATTAATAATATCATTTTCATTTCTTGGCTTTGGTGGTGGTTGGAGCTTTTTGAGTTGGTTATGGGACTGTCTTTGCTGGAGCAGTTGTTTTTGCTGGAGCAGCAGCCTTGACTGGAACTTAAGCTTTAGTTTGAGTAGCTTATTTACCAACTTATGCTGGTTTTGTTGTAGCTTTTGTATCCTTAGCCTAAAAAAATAGGTATTAAAGAATTACCTTTGGTTATTCTTTTACCTTTTCCTTGATTTCAGATGATGCTTTTCTGTGTTTTTTGTGAGCTTCATGAACATCATGAGCTAATTTTTTATATGCTTCTAAAGCTTATTTAGCTTTGGTTCTTCTAGCTTATTCAGTCTTCTTTTGAATGGTCTTTCTTCTCAATCTTGATTCAGTAACAAGTCTTTATATCTTTGGAGCCTTTTATCTCTTCTTTCCATCCTTTGTTGTCCATGTTCTTCTAATGAGATTTTTTTAGACAATGGCAACACCATCTGCTTTTTTGAATCCAAATAATCTTCTTAATTTGGTCAATCTCTTTGGACCTAATCTTCTTGGTACGTTTTGATCTGTAAGTCCAGCAATTTCATTGGCACCCTTTTTAACGACTTGTAAGGCAAGGACTCTAATATCTTGACCGACAATGCATCCTCTAATTGATTTTCTTTTCATTTCTCCATCTTTTCTTGGTCTATAACCTTTGTGTCCCTTTCTCATAAGAATTCTAACTCTTCCCTTAAATAGGACACCTTGTCTCATTGGGAAACCTTGTTTATCGTTACCACCTGTAATTTTAAATACATATCCTTTATATTCATCACCCAAGTTGTCTGCTTCTACTACTTGTCCCATTCTCTTATCAAAAAAGATTGAGCTAAGGAATTCTATAGAAATTATTACCATTTCTTGTCATCATCAATTTCGACTGTCTTTTAAGCACCAGTTAAGGGATAGGAAATATTGAACTAAACAAAGTATATTTTGTATATGTTACCTTCATAAAAATCTTTGGATTTTTTAAATTAGATTTAAAATTATGTGTTTCACAATTTAATATAAACAAAGAGAGCACCAAGATCAATATGTATATAAAAATTAATTACATAAAACTAAACAATCAAACACATTGATATTGTATTTTAACAATATTCCATTCTTGTCTATTTGCCTAATTAGCACAATAGTTACACACATATTAATATTTTAAGTTCTTATCAACTAAAATATGAGATATTAATTCTTTAAAACATTTAACACATTTAAAGTACAAATTTGGACTTTAAATTTATTACTCTAATTCAAATTACACTAATTTTGGTAAAACTTAAAAATTTGTATGATCTACAAATTCCTCTTCCAAAATGCCTTTAATTAATAATCGATGTAAATTTGGATTGCATTCTTTAATTTGAATAACTCCATTACAATATGATTTTTGATCACAATAATAGCATTCTCTCATTATATAAGCACAACCATTGCAATATCTAACATGTCCACATGGAATCATTACAGTGTCAATCATTGACATCTTGCAACTTCTACATCTACAAATGAATTTTCTCATTGATTCATTTTCTTCAATAAACTATTATTCAAATCCATAAGTAGGTATTAGCAATCCAGGTTAAAGTACCACTTTTGGAATTGAACGTATAATACCTAAGACTTAAACTTAGGAATTTAAATTTGAGAAACCGATTAAATTCGGCCATCTACTAAAACTCAATAATTATCTTTTAACAACGAATTGTTAAGTAATTGATTATTTACTTTGTTTTTTCTCTATAGTAACTGGTTTCTTCCAACTATACAATTAATAGTAAATATCACTACACATAAGAGGTTTTTCTTGTAATGGTAATTAGGAAAAGACTTCAATTTCTATATCTGCTAAAAGAATTTAAGTATAACATCCAACACTTCCTTCTTATAATTATAACTTTTTATCAACTGTTATCTAAATTATCATACCTTCCAAGGCCACTTAAATATCTTGATTGAAAGATACTATCTTCTATACTATAATTGCTTCTTTGTCAATAAATAGTTTTTATCCTTTAAAAAGAGATCCATTAAGTACAGCAACTTCTGCACTAAGGTTATCAATTACATTTGTAACTATAAAGTTTGTTTCTAAATATTTAGTTTCTGAATCTGGATTTATTGAATTTTTTTAGATTAAATCAAAATTAAATCTTTGATTAGTTGCATATGAAAAATTAGTAACAATTTTATTTTAATCAGATGCAATTTTAATTTAATACTCTAGTTCTTTTTGAATTATTTTGAATTTCTCAATTTAATCATCTGTTTCTAGTACTATTAACATTTATTCAAACTATAATAATATGCATAATTTGAATAATTTTATTGGATTCAAAGGTTTCTGTCTTAAATCTAACTGATATGTGTCTAAATCATATTTGGAAAAAAAAAACACTGCATTTCTAAAAGCATACAATTTCTAATAGTATATTGAAATATGAATTTATAATTTAAATCCATTTTCTTAAATTTCTGGTATTATGATTCTTGCAAATAGTTTGTCTTTCTTACTTTGATATGTATTGAATTTATCTCTTTGAATAATTTAATTTTCTAGTAAGACTTATAAATATGAATTCATTGACCCTACCATTGCACAATATCTATATTTACTAAGTTTTTTGTTCTTTTTATTCATTATTCTTTCTAATACAATATTTTTATTATTGCTTTATAAAAGAAATTTATTATATGCATAATTATACCTAATATATTTTGATTTTGGTTAAATATATATATAAAATAGATTCCATTTAAATAATAAATATTTATTGAACCTTATTTCACATTTACTTAAATAAATTATTTCATTAATCATAATATTCATGAGTGTTAACTTAAATTATTGAATTTTTTAGAAAATCAATATACTAATTAGATCTTTATATTTTCTTAATTGTAATATTTTTGATAATTAAATGGGATGTTTTTAATCTAGAAATGAAAAAATGATTGAAGAATAAATGGAATAAGCAGCAATGAATGAATAAGATAAAAGTATTAAAATATAATATGTTGTTAGATAATGACTTAGATCTAGTGAGTTGTTCTTGTTCAGAAAGTGTAATTAGTGAAAATAAAACTACTAAGAAAGTATCAATAGAAGAATGTCGAAATTCTTTTAATAAAAGTATTGATTTGATGGAAGAAGTGAACAAAAAACTAGAAGCATTTTCAGGAAATGATTCAGATTTATCAGATAGTGAATTAAATTGATATATAGTAATGCATGCACATACTAAATGTTGAATACAATTATCATCATTAATTTGCTTATTCTATAATCTCTTCATATTTTTTAATGCTTAAGTTAATATTCGCTAATTATAGTGCTAAAGCTCCATCAGAATAATTGTTTAAAGATTCATAAATTGGTTTAACAATAACTTTTAAGAATCCAGCTTCATTTTTAGCATATTAAACTTCATTATCTAAATTACGTAAATATGGAGTTTAAGCAATTCCTATTATATCTTCTAATTAAGACTAAGTTAAATCATAATTCAAAATATTACTTATGCTTAAAATTCCTTTCTTAATCTTTCACTCCATGCTCTTGCTACTGGCTATTATTTTGCTGCACCAAAAAAGTCTGCTGCATGTGTTAAGAACCCACTAAGTAATAGTTTATTTTCTTCAGTTTCTAATTTAATTATTATTATTAAATAATAATACCAAATATTTTAGGATCTCCTTTAGATTATCCAAATCTAATTTCAATATCATTTAATAAATTAAAATGATATTGATTATCAGTAGCCAAAATATTATTTACAACATATTTTCTAATTGTTATTTTATCTTATTTAGGTATTGAACTAAAAAAATCACATTATTTATGAGCTAATATTTTATAAGTTACTGCAACATGATGATTTTCAAGAACTGATTTATCATTATATAATAATGCTAATTTAGTTTAAGCATTAACTTAAAATAAATTGGTTGTACCAGAATGATCAACATCATGACATAATCCAGCAAATGTCATTGCAAATCTTTATAAATCTGAAAAATATTATCCAAATTTTTAATGATGACCAAATAAATAACAACCATGCATTACATTAACTCCATGTGTAAAATTATGAAATGGATTTGATTTTTTATTGTATTTATATTTCAATACTGACATAAAATTAATAAATTCTTTTGTTAGTAATGGATATTATTTAATATATTCGCACATATGAAATAAATTATAGGCAATTATGTATTTATTTTTATACATTTTCTTATTAAGTAGATTAAATTCATAATCTAATAATTTTTATTATAAATTTGGATCTATAGCAATTCTCCTTAGTTCAGGATTTTTTGTATCTTCTTCATCACATTTATTCAAAAATTATTATAATTTTTTTGTTGCTTATTTCATTGTATAATTTCTATATTTCTCTAAATCTTAATCATGATCTTGATTATGTGTTTATGTAATTCTTCTTCTGTCTTAATCTGGAAGATACATTACTAAAGCTGATTATCTAAGAAATTAATTTTCCATCATAAGTTATTTTGATTTAAATGCCAAAGTAGCTTTTCTTATTGTAAGTAAGATCTTTACTTTGCTTCTAAATATTCTAAATAATTCAGCTAAAGGTCTATATATTATAATTAAGTATTTATTTACCTTTTCACTTAAATGTTAAATAAAAATATTGATATTTATTTTATTTACTATTTAAAACCTCTTTCTATCTTTAATGAGAACTTAAAAAAACCATCATTATATTCTAAATGATCATTTGGAGAATCTATCATTTCTTTTACTTTTTAAATAATAGTAGGATTCTAATCAAATATTTTATAAATAGGATCTCCATAATAAATTTCTTTTGGTAAATTATATTTTGAACTAATTTAATAAAATTTATTAATATTTACACAAATTGATCATGGTTCCATTAAACAGTCATATAATATAGATTAAAATAATTATTGAAGAATAAACACATAATCATTTCATTATGTTGTGTAACTTATTAGAATGATTCCAATAGATCTTTTTTAGATTTGAGTTTTTTCTTATATTTTTTAATTGACTTTTTAAAAGTACTTTTAACTTTATCTACTAATTGAAATGATAGATTGCCTTCTAATTCAATACCAATTATATCTAAATCACTTGAAAGTAATATCAATAAATAATTAGTAACAGTTTGTTATTTTGTCAATTCTTTTTCAAATTAACATAATAAATTTTATAATTTAAATTACTGCATAATCTAAATTAAAATTTGATACATCAATTTATAATTATATAATACTATAGTCTTTGAGACTAATTATAAAATTTCAGTTCTTATTGATTACATCTTTTTTAATCCTACAATTTAATATCCTTAATAAATTAATGTAATAAATTTATCATAAAGAAATGTAGCCATGAAATATTATGAATATGTTTTAGTAACACTATCACTAAAAGTTAAAAAGAGGACAGCATGTTATGATATAATATATTACTTAGGAAGATTATGTGTTTTAAGTAAAGCATAATGTTCTGTTTGAGTATTATTTAATTGATGAGCATTTTGTTTATGTGCCCAAGAACTGATTTTGTATTCTTCTTTAAAGAATCTAAAATCAAAATTATTAGTAAGTATAACACATTAATGTCCTTCTTCAAATTAAATCAAATAAAATTCTTCCACATAAAATTGTTTTAATACTAATTTTATCAAATCTTTAATTTCTTATAAGTGATGTTATGCTTTAAAACATTCTTCATAAATTTCATTCATGTTATTCTAAAATAATTGATATCAAAATTAGAATACCTTGATGTCTCTATAAAATTCTTTAATTTTCTCTTTCAATTGTTAGTTGATACTGACAACAGATTCACTAATTTAATTGATTATAAGAGTACAAGTAAGATTTAATTATATGTTCACTTTCAGTCTTATTGTTGAGTATAATTGAAAGTCCAGATAAAAAATCATTTTAAGACAAACCCTTTTCATAATCGACAAATAATGATTTCAATTCAATATTATCATTAATGGCATAATCACATAAACGAGTATATTGATCAGGTGTTATTAATTTCTTATTTTTAAGACTGATTAGTAGAGCAGTTAATCGACTTGATTAAGCTAAATAACTCATATTTTATATTTTATTAATTTTATAAAAAAATTCCTAACAATTCAAAATAAAAACAAGAAAGAGATTTAAATTATATATTAAATAGACTTATAAACTCTAAAAAAACATATAAAATAATTATGAGTTTAACTTAAAAAAATAAATCTCATTGTTAAATTTATCTTTCTCTAACTGTATTAATTTTATTGATCATATTTAATCTCCAATTTCTCATTTTTGGTGTGAGTAGTTCTTAATCAATTTATTAATAATCACTAAAAAGATTATTAAATATAATATACTGTTTAAATGTAGTCATGAATTAACCTTAAAAAGAAGGTGTTGGAAGAACTTATGTAGTTTTCTATTATGGACTTAATGGATAAAAATCAATTGAGGCTCTTTGTTTTGTAAAAAAAATATCTGAATTAGATATGGGATTTCTATAATAAGAGTATTAATATACAATTTAGAATAACTATTTTTTAAATTAGGTAATCTTTCATAGTTTTAATGCCATTTATAATCTTGATTGTAATTGGAATTCCCATTTAATTACAATTAACCAGTTGTGGAATTGGATGGTGCTTTCATAATTTCAGGTTTTTCAGGTTATTTAAAATTAATATGATTAGCCTAAAGATTACAAAATTAATGAACACTTTATATGTAGTTAGAGATGCCATAGATAGAACATTTCTATCTGAAATAGGTTTGAATGATAGGATTATATCATTTTATATTGGTTTCTAAAAGTACTATTTATAAGTAGTTGTATTTTAATTCTGTGAACTGTATTATTTATAATCTTCATATATTCTTGAATCAATTCCTATTTTTCTATCGATTGATTTTAAAGTAAAATCTTTAGAATATTAAGTTTAAAACTTTTAAGGTAAAACTAAACGTGACATATTCAAGTCTCCAATAACTCTTTCTTATAAATATAATCCTAATAAGTTATAAAAATAATCTTTGTTGTCTTCTAATAATTTTTCAATTGTTGTTTCTTGTAATAATTCTTATGGGATGATTTCTAACCATATTGGATCAGTGGGTGGAATTTCAACACCATCAAATAAATCCTAAGATATACAAGGGATAGAGTTCGAAGTTTATGATGCTATATTACTATTCGATTTAATTGTGATTGTATCAGTCTTATCTGTTTTCTATGACTTATCTACTTTTGATGAGACATCCTAATTCATCTTTTGAGGAATTTAATTCAAAGTGTTGTTACATATTTACTTATTCTTTCTTTTCAAAAGAACAGTTTTTCGAGAAAGTTAAGGTCCTATAATATTTGGAGTATTATTGGATAGAACTTATCGTAATTAATCTGATATCATATTTATTTGATATTTTATGTTTATCTTTTGATTAGATTTAATAAGATAATATCATGATTCTCTTTGCATAGCGATAAAATAGAGATGATTCAATAAACACCATTAAAATTTAATCAGATATATGCTGATCTTTAAGTTAAAATAAATAAATCTATAATATAAAGGATTACAAGTGGATTAATGGAAGTAACAATACTAAATATATGTCATAGATTTCACATTATTTTGAGAATATATATATATTATTAAGAATGAGTATAGATTTATTATTACATTTCTATACAAACTTAATATTATTTTAATAATTAGAAAAACGACTTATATAATGAAAGTCATTGTTGCCTTGTTATTAATATCGCTAGTATTAGCTGAGCCAAATCTCGTTGGATAAGAATCATAAGCTAAAATTCATACTTTTTTAGGAAAGGAGAACTGTAATGATTGCGAAGTGAAGGGAGGTTCATATTGTGAAATTAGAACAAATACATATGTATGTTGCAGAAGTGATGATCATTGTCAAAAAGGAGTAGGATGTTTATAAGCATTCACTGGAATCATATGTTGAAATCATCATCTTATATTAAATATCTATATATATATATATAATAATTATTATAATATATGTATTTCATTTAAACCAATCAATTACTGTATTAAATTCATCATCTTGCCAATCCCAAAGGTCTTTTAATTAAGTGTCATTCAATCTTTATAACAATTCAGTATACATCCCCATTCTAATATCCTAAATAGGTTGAATTTCAACAAAATCATATTATTTTTCTTCTACATTTTTTTTATCTAAATTTTCATTTTCATCTTGAGATAATTAATTTTTATTGTCTTTTTCAACTTATTCTATTTATTCTTAATCACTCTCTTCAATTTGTATATCTTCTTCTATTATTTCTTCAACTTCTTCCTCAAAATCTTATTTATATTTTTCACTCAAGACTTCATTGGTTGATTAATTTAAATCAGATTATTCAATTAATTTTCTAGATTCCAAAAACTCAATGTATTTTTATTATTCAGCTATCTGTTGATCTTTTTGTTTAAGTAAAACAAGACAATTCTAGTAAAGAGTTTAAAGACAAAATTCTGGAGTATGAACTTCCATTTAATGTTTTTTATAGTTCTTCCCACAATGTCGACAATAAATTTCTTTACAATCACATTACTCATAATGTTTATCAAAATCAATAGCTTAATATTCTTCTTAACACCATTCACATAAAATAGGTCTGCAATAACATTCTTCTAACTAAATTTATAATAGTAAATACATGTGATTCTATATCCATTCTTAATTTATCTTATGAACAATATTTACATTGAACACTTCCATATTTACATTCTAAATAATGTTCTTCTAAATCTTTACGAAGCATTGTTTCATAACAACCATGATTTGGACAATCCTATTCCTAATATTAACAATAATTATTTTCATGTTTCTCACGAAAATCATAAGTGATAATTTCTTCACATCCTTCTTACTAATTATTTAAAAAATATATACGCTATATCTACACGTTAATAGTAATTTACTCAATAATTTGAGTAGCACTTTTGGCACTTTTCCATCCATAATCCCTTAATTGAAATAAAAATTGCTCTTATAGTTTTAACTCTTTCTACAACAAGGACATTATTGATTAGGACTTTTTTGGAACCTAATTTTTTTAGCAATATTAAAATACCATTTTTCTATACATCTACTACAAAAACTTTGATCACATTCTTTACATATTTTTGGAGCAACTATTATATGGCAGCATATTGGACAAATAACTTCATCTAAAAATACTTTGACTTCTGCTAAATTAAATATTCGGCTTTGATCAATCACATATTCCTCTTCTTCATCATCATCATACTATGATGAAACTGAATGACTTGGAGTATAATATGAATAAGTTTGAATCTAATTTTCATCTTCATTCAAATCCATCTCATTATTCAAAATATCACCTGAAATATTCTCTTCTGATTCTTCAATTGAGTATGGATAATACATTTGATCTTAAATAAAAATAATATTAATCTTGCATCTTGTCTCGAATTAATAAAATTTATAATAGAAAACTCTTAAATAAAATGTATAATTTACAATTCTAATAACATAAATTAATATAAATCAATTACTATTACAATCCATTCAAATAAATAATTCAATAACTAACTTTAATAAAACTAATATTACTTAACTTATTATTATTATTTGAATAAATCTATCAAATTAATAAAAACTAAAATAGATTAGACATTTATAAAATCAAAGTAATTATATAAATTTTTTTAAGAATAGAAAATATAATGTTGTTTTAATTGAAAATCAATTCATTAAAAAAGTATAGTTTATTGATGAAAATGATAGTAAATAATATATATTTACAAGAATATATTGATATAATAGTGATTATTGCATTAGATTGTATATTTGCATTTGTTATATTAAAAATTGATTAAGCACTAATATATATCAAATTTCTTATCCACTTGAAGCAACATTAAGTATTTAGAATAAAGCTAAAATCTTTTATTTCATAATTTACCAGAACCAACCACCACAAACAAGAATACACCTAAAAGAATTGGGCCTACAGGAAGATTTTCTTCTTTTTTCTATTAGAAATATTAATTTTGATTACAATCAATGATTTAGGAACTTTTCCTTATTTGTTAATGTTTCCTTGATAATTTTAACTTCTCAATTTCATGGTTTGAGCAGATGGCTAAAGGTTTATAATATATAAGTACCATTTGTGTTCCTTAATTATTTTTGATTTTATTTATTAAATTCACGCGTGTTTATAGTTTCAATATAAATTAAATTATATAAGAATAAAGTAATAAAAATAATATCATATTATATTAGTTTAAAGTTTGAGAGAAATGGGTTTTATAAATTAAAATCATCTTATAATATATGTTTACAATATAATTAAGATAACTAAATTAGATTTCAATTTTATAACATTATAAAAATTCATTATTAACAAGAAATTTATTATTATTAATAAATGAAATAGGAATTTTACATTACTAATTATATGTAATATCACTATAGATTCATATTTTAGTATTTTTTATATTTAAAACCATTCCTACCTACTCCAACAAATATGAAGTAAGAAAATCTACTTTTAGATTTAAGTTATCTTGCTCATATAAATCTTTGTGAGATTCAGAAATATTAATGATAATCATTATTTTAGTAAAGATCTTACTCATTTCAATTAATATTCATAATTCATGTAGTTACTAATAATAAAACTAACAAAATTTAATTTTCATTTATGTATAATGATATAAATCCTATCATTCATTTAAAATATGGTTATTAAAAATGCAAAATATTACTCTTGTATTGTTTCATATTACTAGATACTTTCAATTTTATAAAATAAAATAAAACAAAATCTATAGTATGATTTAATATATAACATCAATTTTATTTTATGAAAATGAAGAAATTCTCTTAAAATAAAGTATTATTAAGGTTGACATAAATTCAATTTTAATTATTCCAAACAAATTTTCATATTAATGAAATAATTTGATTAGACCAAGTGAAAAGTGAAAATTATCAAAGATTTTAAATGAAATCAATGTACAAAACATTCATATTAAATAGTACTCTAATTGACAAAATAAACGAGCGAAATATCTAAGAGTATATGAGAATTATTAATAATTTAATAATTACCAAATATCAGTTATGAATATAGTTACGCCTGAAACCATAAAAGTTTCGAAATCTAATAGTTCTATTACAAATTGTTTTACCTTGACTACAGAGAGAATCGATTTTAACAATCCAAGACCTTTATTATAATATAAGACTTTATTGGCTCGTTAAATCCTAAAAAAGTGAAGTATGTTTATAAATCATATTTTTATAGTTCTCTTCACATTGATCCCAATTTTGCAATTTTGATCTGATGATGTGATTATTATCAGATAATATAAAATATACAAAATTAACTTATGTTTTGATATTCTCCTTACTTCTACTACTGATTTCATATTGCTCATCTTATAATACTTTGTGATTATAATAGAAATTGCAAAGAAATACATTTCTATTATTTGTTTAAAAGATCTATTTTATGGCATAAACTATATATGGATTTAAATCAAACTACTATAATTAAGAAATGAGCCAAATTCATTAGATATATCTAATAACAATTATAATTGATTCCATCTTAAAAAATCTTTATTAGACTCTTTTTTAATACTATTTAAATTAAGTTGTACAAAGAAACTCATATTAAATTATAAAATTAAGTTATTCAGTATCTTAATAATGAATTCAATGATTAATCTGTGAAGCTTTTTTTTAAAAATATCTTAATTCTGCAATAAAAAAACTAGAAGAATTTCATTCCATTGTTAAAAATTTTAAATAACATCATAGTAACTATATTATAATGATATCTCAATTATTAGCAGTAGTAACATTAGAAATCGATGACATACCGAATGACACAAACACAAATTTCTTAGGATGATGATAATTATATATATATATATTTTATAGATCCAATCAACTAAAAGAATTGGAAAGTCAATAATATTTTATCAAAGAAATAACAGTAAACTGAAATGAGTCAAAGTTTTCCAAATATATTTTAATTAATGTTTAATGTCTATAATAACAATATTATAGAAAAACAACTTAGATTGCAGTCTGTTAGAAAAAATCAATTTCTAAAATTTATAAAAATAATATAATTATTAAATTACAAAAAATCATAATATCTATTTAATGGAATAAATACTCTAAAACCTTTCTAAAATGTTTATCAATTTTTAAAATCCAAATATAGATAATTCAATCCTCTACATTGATAAAATTATGAAATCAATTCATTTCTCTTTATAATGAGTAAAAAAAATAATGAAGAAATTTTCAAAAAAAACCAGTGTTTATTATTAGTATAAAGAATATTTATAAATGACTTATAAATTAAGATCCTTGTTGTTGATTAGCTTTAAATAAAATAAAAATAATTTCTATAAATTATTAAGTAAAAAAAAGAATAATTTGACAATGTTATATATGATTAGATCAATTTCAGAATTAATTAATTTGAATATAGAGAATTATATTTATAATACATGGATCCTGTGTTATTTGAATAATAAGATTAATGGATGATGTAAGATTTTTGACTCATTTGTATATTTAGTACCAACTTATGATATATTGATTTTATTGAAAACTAATTTTTAATTATTAATACTCTCACAAAAATAAAAAAAACTAGTTAGACACCAAATGTTACAATAAAAAAAGTAATAAATAGCACATCTCAATCCTATTCTATGGTAACCTTTAGAAAAATTATAATTGACTCATCTGAGTCAACATCTCATTTATTCTGGAATTATTTGGATTAGAAGTGAAGATCAACAATTACATGAAGAATAGGTTTCATTATATGCTGATAGGTAGATTGTTAGAATTTATTAAGATTGCAAATTTAATAATTGTTTTGTAATTTGAGTTAAACAATAATAAGAAGAAATATTCAAACAATAAAGCTAGTATAAGGGAAAAATAATACAGAGATATTTTTTAATAGAAGTGCTGATTTGGATAATTGGTTTAATATGTTGAAAAGATATACCATTCAGTTAAATTTTAGTAAAGATTATAAATTGAATAAGAGATTAGGTTATCAAGATCCTTAGACATAAATATATTAGGCAAGGTGTTTTGCTAATAATATTAATTATACAGTGAAGGTAATATAAAAAAATAACAAATTTGATCCTAAATAAATACAACAAGAAATTAACATTTTAAGAAGAATCAAACATAAAAATATCATCAATTTAGTAGAAGTATATGAAGATTAATATACAATATTTTTGGTTTTTGATAATTATTTTGGTACTGAAATGGTTTATAGATTTGAAGATTTATTAAATAGTTAAGAACCATAATATGCAAGAATAATATATAAATTATTAGAAATTTTATCATGTATTCACTCTTTGGGAATCATTCATGGAGATATAAAATTGGAGAATATATATGTGAAATCTGATAATTTAATGGATATATGTTTGGCTAATTTTAATTAAGCTGAATTCATAGATAATTAAGAAAAGGGAATCAAAGGAAGTGAGGGGTAAATTTAATTGAAATTTAGATTCTTAGTTATTAATCGCCTGAGTTATTGAATGGGAAGCCTTATGATCAAAGTATTGATATATATGCAGTTGGAATTATTTTTTATTACTTTATTTATCAAGTGATGCCGTTTAGTGAATCGTAAGAACATGTATTGATTATTATAAGGCTTAGAACGATAATAAATCAGGCTAAATTGAATTCCCTTAAGTCAGAAATACTTCCTATGCCATTGATTTGTTAAAATAAATGTTATAAGTTGAACCTAAATAAAGAATTAAACCTAATGTGGCTATGAATCATGAATGGTTTATTAAAATGAAAGTTTAAGAGAAATTATTCAAATAAAAAAGTTTTAAGGACTTTACTCTTCCAACTATCTTAGAAAAGTCAGATATTTTTACTTAATCTCCTGGTTAATAACCAAAAAGAGAAAGCATTGGAGTTTTTGAGGATGAATTCTTATTAGATAGTCTTTCTGATAGAATGGGTTTATTAAAAAATGCCTTTAATCCATCAAAAATGAATCATGACATTTTTTAGAAGAAATAGAAATGAAATTTAACTCTATATTATTATTAATGTAAACGCAAATATCAAATCATGATTGTTTGAGAGAGTGGAATCATAATTCAAAAAGAGTAGGAATAGAAGATTTTTATCTCTATAGTCTTCTCTCCAATATACTAATTACTGAGTATTGAGAATTTTCACTGAAGAACCTTTATCTTTTTCTTATAGACTTTTTTGTTTTTATTATTTCTTTAGGACTATTAAGTTCTTCTTCGAAAATTGTTTATAAAGGAATATTCAACTAAGTTTGAGAGACATCATTTGTTAAATCTAATTCTGGTATAAAGAAAGTAGACTGCTTAATTGGTCTAAATATTAAAGTTGAATCTTACTTAAGCTAAGGTGTTTCTGGTAATTGATTATGATAATCAATAAATTCTTCAAATGTCAAAGCTGAGTTAAACCTTTTCCTTTTATCACACATATAAATAATTATTTTCAAAAATATTTTTAAAAAATTGTAAAATACATTATCAATTAAAATAGAGATTATTAGAAAACCATAATAATAATAATAATAAATTATTTTAATCATTCCATTCAAAATTCTAATTTAATTTTAGATGCTAAGAGAATAATATAATAAAAAAGAAATAATAATTTATCTTAGAGAATATTATTTTACATTAAAATAATATATATATATATATATATATATATATATATAATTTAAATAACTTCAAATGCAATACTAACAAGGAAATATTAATGCTGAGTATCTAAGTGACAAAGGATAATATCAATAACCTCCTTAAGGTGGATATTAATATCAACCAATTTAAGGATAGCCGGTAATTGGATAACCTGTCCAACAATAGTATATTCTTTAAACAAATATTAGGTACTAATATAACCCCTAAACTCAAATATAATATCCTCAATAACCATATGCTTAATATGCCTAATATCCTTAAAGAGTTTAGTATGGAAATGGTTATTAATAACAAATGGTCGTCCTTCCTCAAACCGCTCTTGTTGTAGCTGTTTAACCAATTAATCCTATTGTTGCTAAAGAAATGGCTTTACGATCATACACCAGATAGTAAATTATTTATTAAAACTTAGTTTCTATGGATGCAATTGCTGTATTGGTGTTCTAGCAATGATCTTTTTAATTATTAGATGCGTGGCAGCATTTTAACAAGGAGGATCAGAAGTAGCTGCAGGTGTCATGTACATTATTTCGTAATTATATTCTATTAATTGAAGTGATTTCTTTTTTGTTACTGGAGCAATATGTGGAATTTATTCGATTAGTAGATATGTGGAAAGACTTCTATTACATTACTAAGTCTTATTGGTCATAGCTTTAGTATTTGAGATCATAGGGTCTATCATTATATTTGCCACTTACAGTGATAATGAAGATGATGATCATGATGAGGAAGACAGCTATACAAAGAATGATAAAGATAATAGAAGGAGTGTTGGGTATCAAATCATTCTTATCATTAAGATTAATATTTTTTATAGTATCCCTTATTATAGTAGTCATTTGTTATGGAATGTTTATCAGATATGCTAGACAAATTAGATATATGATGATTGATTTGAATATTACAAGGGCAAATTTATAGAATTAAAATATTTAATAAGGACCACTCTAGAACTAAGGAGTAGTATATGGAGGAGCTCCATAGATTTGAATGATTTATCTAAATTATTAATTTTCATGGTTTTTTATTAATTTGTAGGAACTATTTATAGATGATATAACAATTAATATTAATGCCAATTTATAATGAAGTTTGGGAGGAGGAAGGTAAAGTCAAATCTATTCTTTAGATTTCATGTTCAGAAATATGATTAATCTCTAAACTTTGACCAAGAATCATGTTAAACTATTGGATAATTTGAAATTTGAGTTTGTTGAATACAAAGTAATCTCTAAAATAAAAAATTAAAGGCTAATCAATTATTGGCTTGTCATTTATATGACAGAATGGCCCAACATTGCAAAAATTAATTTGGTCTTTTCGAAGATTCATATGTACCAGAATGTCTAGATGCGAGAAATTACTTTTAATTGTGTGTAAGAATGAATGCATCTTATGGATTGGCTAAAAAGTATTTCCCAGAGTATATATTATATATATTTAAATAATAGATACTTCTTAACTAATGAATATTCTAGACCAAACCCTAATTTTAAGGAATTAGGACTCTGAATAATTTATTAAGCATAAATTAATTATATCAATAATCAGATGAATTAGATTTATCCATTGAATTCTATATGCTACTTCTCTTCCTTGTTTTTCTTTAAGATAAGTTCAATTATTCTATTTTCTTAGCCTAATTAATCAATTATATAAATTTACTCTTCTTTATAATTTCTCTTACAAAATACCCAATAAGCTAGCCACTTTTCTTTGTTTAGGAGATAGTCTATTATTCTCATATCTATCATTTTCTTTAGAATCCATTGGAGATCTGGATCTAGGCTATGATTTAAGATGTGATTTTGATTATTATCTTGATTTCGAATAAACTTTTTTTGACTTTATGAAATTTATGATTGAACTACTTGAAGAACTATGTGATGATTTAACTGATGAAGATTTTGAAACAGATTTGTCTTTTTATCTTCCTCTTGAAACTGGTTTCTTTTTCTCATAATCTTTATACTTTTCTTATTATTATTCTTAATAAATGAAATCCTTAAAGCTTTTGAATAATTCTTTTTATTGATTCTTAAATTTTGATTCTTATTATTAAAATAAGGTTTAGAAATTACCAGATAATTCACTTATTTTTTTATCAATAACTTCTTCAAACTTATTTATTTAATGTTATTATTGTTAAGGTTATTGTGTTGGAGTCATTTATTAAGATTATTAATTTTATTATGGAGTTACTTAACCATTATTATATACTTATTTTTTATTGGCATCAAAACTAACTTCACTTTAATTCTATTATATATATTTATGTATTGAATCTTCTTATTCTTATTATTTTTCTTTAATATGAGTAACCAATTTAAATAATCTCTAAACTTGACTCTCTAATTATTCACATTTATCTTTCCAATCTTAAACTTCTTTTTTTAATATGTTAATCTCATTCAAATTCTTACTCTAAATATCTATAACCATTCTCTCTGTTGAAGTCAATCTTTAAAATGAATCTGGTACTTCTTCTGTAATATTACTTTTATGAAACCCTTACTTAGTTTATGATTGACTTGATTTTCCTTATTAATGACTCTATTTTAAACTAGCAACTTCTCTTCCCATACTATGAATCTTTTGTGCTAAATCATGATATTCATTTATTTTCATATCTTATTTCTCATTTCTTTCATTTCTATCTATTCTATCAAATCTATCCATTCTATCTGATCTTTCATGATGTTCAAGTTCCTCTTTTTCAAATTATTGTTTATATTAACTATTATTATTCTCAGTTTATTGCTAAGATTCAGTTACACTCTCTGTACTTATCATTGCATATTCTTCAAGCAAATATACTTAATTTAAATAAGTTTTAGAAGCACCAAAAGTCTCCTTTATAATTATCTTAATAAACTGGTATCTAGTTCCTAAAGGATCGATTTAAAATAATTATATTCCTTATTTCAATTCAGGATATAAAGTAGTCCAAGTGATAAAATTTTCACCATTTAGAGATACCATTAATTCAATGACTGATGGATTGCTTTAATAATCATGCCAACAATCAAATCCAAAACATTTGATAAACTTTGGTCTTTCTTGCACTTAAGACAAATCCAATGTAATATACTAAGGTAATCCTGCTAATGACATCCACAATGCCTAAAAATTCAATTTGATATCATACTTTCCTTTCTTAGATCAGAATATTTTCAGCTGCACAATTAGGTAATGTAGAACTAACATTGCAGACTCTAACTCCATTTTCTGTTGTGCAATAATTTTAATGTTCCATTTGAATTTAAATTTAAAATAAATAAACTTAAAAAATTAAATAAAATTAATATTTCTATAAGCTTTTCTGCTTGAATATTATACTTATTCATAGATTATTAATATAAACATAAACAATTCTAAGAATTACTTTTATTTTTTAGAATATAAATTTATGCAAATTTTATTGATAATAATATTAAAATATTATAATTGAATTAAGTACCTATACTCTAAAAAGAGAGATATTTTTAGAATTAAATTACTTAAGAAAATATTTCCAAATTATGACTGTTACTTTTTTTATTTGAAAAAATGATTGGCTTTTTAAGATTCTCAACTTCAAAGTCAATTAATTTCAACTATGAAGGTGATAAGTTTTATTTGATGAAATCCAAAACAAGTTTATTAACATACTAAGATTATTTCAAATTAATTATGAGTTTATGAGAATAATAAGCCATCAATTTCTTTAGTATTATTTTGAAATAAAATTAAAATTACGATTTAATTAAATATTCTCAAGACTTTAAATAGCATATTAAATAATTTGATTATTATAATACTTTATTAGAAATTATAAATAAAATAATAGTTACCTAAAATATTAAATTGATGCATATAAACTAGAAAAAAATAATTTTAATATTGAAGGCAGAAGAAATGATTTCAATAAACAAAAATAACTACTTAAATAAATGATAACCAATTTGATTTGTTTAGATATTAAATGTATTTATGATATTTTATTCACCATGGTATATCCTAGATTCCATTATTCTAATTTTAATAGTTTTCATATCCATCTTTTAACTAATATATTACTTGATGATTTGTATTATCAATAGATAAAGAGGGATAATTATTATTATTTATATTTAAATTTGGAGAGTAATTCATATTCGAAATCTCATTATACTATTATTATTAAGTATGTTATTATTGAGGTTAAAATATTGATTATTAATAATTAATCTATTATTATTACTACTGAATTGTTGGTTTTTAAATTTATGGTTTTGTTTAACATTTCTGTATTTCTGTTTGAAGTTCTTATTCTTATGTTTTCAAATTATTGAAAATTAATTATAATTTATTCATTTATTAAATTAAAAATTCGATATCGTTTTCTTTCTATTATATCAACTATTTTTAAGCTTAATTATTTGAATTTTATGAAAATTACATAACTAATTAATTTAATTGATTTTAAAGTTATTATTATTACATATTTAATGCTTGAAGTTCATTGTTTTATTATTACTACACTTATTAACCTGATTAAACTCTAGAATCTGATGATTGAGATATTTAAGGAGCTTCATATTATACTTAAATATCTTTAGGTATAATAGGTTTTTGAGGTTAGTTTTTACCAATTAATCTTTAAAGAGAATCTGGCAACTATTTAGGTAATGGGATATTTTTCCTACAACAAGAAATTAGATGAATGGCAACAATATATTCATTTTTAAATAAGAAACCTTTTTAATTTGTATCAACAAGTCTCCATAGTTCTGTTAAGACTTCATTTGATAATTCTGATTTACTAAATAAACTCTTAGCATTTTCACCTTCAATATATCCTTATTATTTTTTATCCTATTGTTAGTAATGCAAACTATATTTTTCATAAAGTTCATTACTAATTTCAAATTGATTTGAAATTTCTTATTGAGCCACTTAGATTAATGGAGGTTTGTATTGTTGCTAATTTAGAACAGGAGCTGTTTAATACATATGGGATATAGGAATTTGAGAAGGCTGAGGAATAGATTATTGATAAGCACCAAGCATAGGAGAGGAAATTGCTTATTAAGGAATTGGAAATCCATCTAAAACAGGTAAACGAACTTATTTATTTTCTATCAGTAGTTAAGGATTCAATTCAAATCCATTTTGACAATATGCTATTAATTTCATGATTGTAAAAAACTCTTAAGTATAGAGTTTATTTTCTTCATTTCTTACAGCCATCAACCAAATTGTTTTTAGTTTATCTGATGGCAATTGACTGCTTTTGAAAAATTATATAGTCTCTTTGGCATTAACACTTCCAATACCCTAATGATTTAATTCTTTGATTTACTTAAGGATCAAGAATGCTCCAAAGTTGTCTAAAATATTGATCTTCTTCTGGAGTCAATTATAAATTATTCATTAAAATAAAATGTTATCTAATAATCTAAATATATAATAATTAAAATCATTAAGTGACATTATTGATTTTAATATATAAGAACATAATCTATAAAGAGACAAAAATTGATATCTTTAATATAATTGAAGTCGTTAAAAATTGAAATTAATCATATAAGATTAATTATAAATATATATATAAATATATATACAAAGCTAAATAATCAAATATTTTTATTAAATAATTAAAGCTATGAAATAAATTAAATAGGTTTTATATATCTACTTGATTATTATGTAAGTTAAATAATTATATATAGTCCAATATTGGGATAAAATAATGAAAAAGAGACAATAGTTTCAAGTTCAATAGAAAATAATAATGTATGTATTAATGCTTTTCTTGGAATTTTATAGGTTTGAAAATGGCAAATTTATTATTCTTTTAATATTTTTGGCATTGATCTGTCGTTATTTATATACAAGGAAAGTTATTTAAAAGATTGGTGAATTGATTATTAGTCTTAAAATTCTTCATTAAAATTAATCATCATCTTAAATTCCAGAAAATGATGAATATTATAAAAAAAGTATTGTTTTTAATTTAGTAATATTAGGTTCAATTATTAAACAGTTGAAAAAAGTTATGAAATTTTTAACAAACAAATTCAAAAGAATAAATGAATCATAAATAGATGTTTCCAAGAAATATAGCCAATTTGATATGGAAGAATCTATTTGATATTTACAATAATATATAATAATATACACATAAAAATGATTATCAATTCTTTCTTTTCTTTTTTTGATTTTTAGTATTACTGTTATTTTAAACTTCTTCCTTTTTTATTTTTTTAGATTTCTAATCTTTTTTTTATACAACTTCCTATTTTTATAACTATTATTGTGCTGGAGGATTACTATCTGGTTTTATATTAGGTATTTTATCTAATGGTTCCTCTTTATTTAAACAGTTTTCACATTTGCATAAATCAGTACATTTTTAATTAATACTATAGCATTCACAATATTTCTTTTTGCATTCTGATTTCTTACAATTACATCCTTTTTTAGTTTCCTTACTTTATTCTTTCTATGATTTGGGTTCTTGTTGTAATTTAATTATATACCTGGAATTATTTATGGTTATTAACCATTGTTAGTAAGTATTGCAGAAAAGGCTTCAGGATTTCTAAGTAAGGCTTCTTCTATGGCTTTTGATCTTTCATTAGGATTATCAATTCTATTTTTACATTCAGTACAATTGCAGCTTTATGAACAGACCTATAGAATAAAATGAATGATAACCCAATTATTGGCAAAGCATTCACAATATAATTTTAAACATTTACTTTTTTTGCAATTACATTAAAAGGGAGATACTTTTTAAAATTGCACAAGTTGATTAACTTTAGATTGAAGTTCTTTGGATAGGGTGTTTTAGTATTAAGATGAATCAAAAGCGGGATAATAGAATGGAGGATATGGATGTCTATACCATGGATGAGGATAGGGCACAGGATATTTCATATGCATATAAGGGATATTTTGAGGATATTTCATTTATGGGGGGATTTATTAATAGTAGTGATTGTAAGGCTGTCGAAATTGATCCTCTTCATCTGGAGCATCACCTGCAGATAATTTTCGAAACGGATATTTTGGTTTGTTTTTATCTTAAAATTCAGGCTCTGCATGAAGATTAAAGTTTGACATATTTTAAGCAGGGAAGAGATAACATTGTTATGGAGTGAATCTTGGAGATAAGGATGGAGGTTGTTGTGGCCATTCTTAATCATAATAGTGGAGTTACTTTTCGACCTTATGTTCATTGGAATTGTGATCATCTTAATTCATAATAAATTAATTAAAAATTAATAATGGCAGCCATCAATAAGGAATAAGTTGATATGGATAATCCAGCATTTGCATAATAAGATCCACATCTTAAAATAAATGACGATGAAGAAATGGGATTACCACCTTAATTCAGAAATCGTTACCCAAGAAGACCACCACTATTTGATGGCTTATTAAACACTGTTAGAGCTGTTACAAAGAAAGTAGAACACATAAAAGGATTTAAATTTGAAGTAGCAGGAGGATTATCAAATAATTTTCATTTGGCACATTCATGGATGATACCACCATCAGTATGATAACATACAAAATCATTAGAGCAAAGGCAAAGCTCCAAATCCTAATCCTATGAAATAACCACCTGTTCCTAGCTATACTTTGGCTGCATAATATTTGGGTGGCTCTCTTAAAACACCTTTTGATCAACCTACATATATCATGACTGGAAGATGGGATTCAACTGGTAAATTAGAAGCTGCTATTATCAAGAAATTAAATGAAATGTTCAATTTTAGGTAAATATTAAAATCTATTAATATCTAAAGATTTAGTGCATTTTATTTAAATTCTGATCCTTTGAATGCTTAAATGCATTTAGATTGTGATATAACAGGAGAGGATTATGTTCATTCAATTAAAATTGGTACAGGACTATATAGTTTCAATATGATGTAAACAATAGGAAACAGACTAGTATTAGGATATGAAATGATGACACTGGTATCCTTTTGTATATATTAATTTCAAGACAGAAAGAAATCTATCATTAATGAGTTATGCTATGAAATTTGGTATCAATAAGAAATAGAATTTTTATACTTAATATGTTGGAGCTGCTGATTAATTAATTTTGGCTTATAATCACAGAGTAACAAATTAATATCGAAAAATAGTTATTGGATAAAGCATATTTTATGTCAGAATTAGAATATTCAAATTAAACTGGAGAATCAAGAGCTATTCTTGTAACAGAATACATTTATGATGTTAGGGTTATAGACAGAAATTTGCAATTTCAGAAGTTATAGTGACAGTGAATTCAAATATGAAATTCAGTTCTGCACTAACACTTTAAGGATTTGCTTATTAGTTGAAATTATGTGCAATTGCAGATTATAAAAAGGATAGCTATAAATTTGGATATGGGATAGCAATGGGTTAAGTTTGATAACTAGTATATTAATAAATAAATAATTCATCGTAAATTTTTACTAAAACTTTTTGATAGAGTTTCTTATATTCTTTTGTTTAAATTTATTAATTTTTAATCTAAACCATCTCCTTTTTAACTATTAATTTTTATTTCCATATTTTCTTAATTATTATTATTTAAATCTGAATTTCTTTTACATTTTTACTTATCTATTTATTAAATGATATTGGACTACTATTCTGATAATCCAATTTATTTCTCTTTATTTTATTGAAGGATTTGTTAAAACTCTATCCAATCAGGTCTTTTTTCATTATCTAAATCAACCATTGATCTTAAAACATTTTCAACTCTTCCTGGATACAACTTTCCTAATTTCTGAAGATTATCTTCTAATTAATCACATTATAACACTCCTTAATTATATATATCTTTGCAATCTTTTAATAATGCTAAAGATAATATTATCATACTAAAAAATAATAGTATTAATTATTACCCAACACCAAAAACATCATGTTTAAATCTATTTAATTTTGAATTTGTTTAATTTTCTGGAGGTTAAAATTCATTGCTAAAAAGATGTGGCGCTTTTGCTCTAAATGGACTAACGTCTTAAACTCTATATAATAAGTATTCCTCATCAAAATATATTGATTCAAGTGTCAATGCAGAATGGGATATTCCTTTTTTTTATAAGAATAACAATGCATCTGATAAACCTATAATCATTTTCCATATCTCTTCTTCAGGAACATATTCATTATTTTGAGATCTTTTTTCTATTAATTATTTCACATCTAAAGGTAGATATTCATAATAAATTCTGAATTCTTTTGTTTGAGCAAATTTATCACTGCAATCCTAATAAAACAAAAAACAAATTAAATTAGGATGTTTCCATTTTGTTCTCTCTTATATAGCACTTATTTCTGCTTAATTTATAATATTAGTCCAACAACAAAGATATTTCGCGAAAGGATCAACTCTGTATATTGATGATGTTGATGTTATGTCAATGACATGAATTAATGATGTGTAAGCAGATAACATATAATCTTTTGGATTTTCATTAGGTAATCTTTATCTTGGAACATCTTGTACAACAGGATTGTAAGATGATGTTATTTTGGTTATTGTTTAGGTCTACTTTTGTTACCCAACATAATATTCAGGGTACATTCTTGTCTGTTAAATTAATTTCTAATATTCAAATTTATATAAATAATGTTTTATTAAAATAAGTATAAAAATCTGAATTATTTTAAGCATTATTAATTCAATATTTTCTATTTAATTGAAATATTATCATTTTTCTATTCATTGAATTTTATTCATTATCCAAAAAATTTATTTATTTTACACATATTTTCCATAATTATAATTATATCAACATATTTCATTAAAGAATATGTCATATCTTTTACCAGAATATTTAATAGAAAATTTAACTTATATTTACTAGAATGTAAAAATGAATTATTTATATTTTGTTGTTAAATATTTAATTTAATTGAACACAATTCAATTAAAAAAAAAGATGATAAAGTTAACTTCTTAGAATTAATTTGTTTTTATGCTATTCATACTTACAATGTAAATTTATACTTCAAATGGCACCCAACATTTAAGGGATCATATTGATAGTAATGAAATTATTAAATCAATAGATAAAAACCATTTGTCTTCTAACAGTCACGGAGGAGGTAGTCCTATAGCAGCAATATTTTTTGGGGGATTATTAATAGTTGGTGCCTTTTGTATGCTATGGTATAATGAAAGAAGGTAACTATTTATAACTTAACAACCTTAAGATAAGCTATAACGGAATACAGAATAAATCAGGCTTATAAGGAATGTACATCAGTTAATTCAGCAGAAATTAATCCTAACACCAATAATAAGTTAATTCATACAAATGGTAATATTATAAATTATCTCTAGGTCAAAGTCATACCAATTCTTTAATAATTGATGATATCTTTGGACTCAAATTAAGTGATTGTGTCAAATTAATAAGAACTGTTGAAATGTTTTAATGGGTTAGAAGATCAAGATAAGAAAATAACAGAACCACTTATTATTATGAATAAATATGGAGTTCAACTTTTCATGCAGAAGTGGGTGATGGATACTTTAATGATTAATCAAAATGGATTGTATAAGCTTAAGATTAAATTAATGAAAATGTATATGTTGGAGCTTATTTATTAACAAAATCATTGGCTGAACAAACAGATGCAAATGAAATTATAAATTTAACTACTGAGCATGCCTAAAATGTAGCTAAATATTTTTAAAATTAAAGAATATTTTAACATTTGTAAATCATATTAAATATAATTTTAGTGATGCTTAAGGAAAGGAAATGTATTTCTAATAAGAAAAAGGAAGAATTATCAACAATGATCTTAGAGTCTCATTTCGAGCTGCAAGAATAGGTCCAACAACAGTAGTATCATAATAATAAAATAATACTTTCACTCCTTTTATTATTCATGATAAATATGAATAAACTTTAAATTAGGATGGTGAGAATATAGAAAATTCTAATCCTTTTGGAATATTAAGTTGCTGTTGTTGTTGTTGTTTATGTTGTTGCTAACTTTGTAAAGCCATAGAATAACCATTATCAGAATTGAATTTGCTTTATTAAGTTATCTTAACATAATAATAAGTTTTTAAGAAATTGGCTGAAGAATATGCTTGTTTAACTCTTTGTCAGAGGATTACTGGATATATATTAATGGTAAATATCAATCATATTGTTAGGGCTTTGGTTTTTATTTAATATTCTATCCTGTAACATGGGTTGTATCTATAATTCCTTTAATAGGTGAATTTTTAGCTGCTATAACAGGATTTGCTTTTTTTTTGGTAAGTTTTTTAATTTCTATCCCTTTTTCTATTTTAACAATTGCACTTGCATGGCTTTTCTATCATCCAAAGTATGGAATTGCATTAATAGCATTATCTGGTTTGATTGGAACTGCCATCTATTTTTATTTAAAAAGTTAATAATGATAAGATATACAATATTATTTAAAACTAATGAATTTTATCTATATCAGAAATTTAACAAAATTTTTTAAGATTCTAGAGTTTTGTAATTGAATTAATTTCATAAAAATCTTAATATGCTTTATTAAGATAAAATGTAATTAATTTATGCAAGAAACTAAAACACATTAAAAAGGTTTTAGAACAATAATTGCTTAAAAAAAGGATAGAATATCTCATAATTACTAACATTCAATTTAAAATAGATCCTTTTAAATTGAAGGTACTAAAGTATTAAATCAAACAAATCAGGTTGAATAATAAAAAGAAAATGAGACTAAAATGCCATCTAAATATGCATTCTAAAATTTATTTAGATAACATAGATTATCTTTGAAAAATGAAAAATATGATAAAATTTTGAGTAATACTCAATTTACAAGAAGGAATTTTACTCATTAAAGACCATCTGTTTTAAATGTTGAATTTTCTATAGATTAAAATATTTTAAGAAATAAATCGATTGAAATGAATTCATTAAAGAGACCTTAAAGGATGAAACAAAAGAAAATAGATGCAGAAATGAATGAGAGGGAAAGATTTTACACAGTATAATTTATTACAAAATCTGAAGGAAAATATGAAAATAGAAATCTTTTTGAATTGAATGTACTCAAATATTAAAAATTATCTCATTCTCCAAAATATAGTAATAGATAACCAAAGAAAAATATTAAATAATATGAAAATAAAAAGAAAGAAAAAAATTCAGATATAATTTTGCAAGGTATCCTTTGATATTGTATTTCATATTACTCATTCTATTATTTATAACATTTAACAATAATATAAAGTGAATAAAAGTAAAATGTTTTGATAAAATACATTTAAATGTTTTATTTCTATTTTCAAACTAAATTTCTATATTCTGTATTATTTAAATATATAAAAAATAAAAATTAGTAAACTTTAAAGATAATTTTAGGGTATCTAATGATTTTCAAAAAATCTTATGATTAAAGATTAAAATATAAATTGAAACGAATTTATTTATTATAATTGTAATCATTTTATTCATTCTTAGACTTCATCATCAACATTATATTACTTTTAAAAATTTACAAACCGATCAATTGTACATTAATCAAATTCGTCTATATCATCACTTAAATTTGATGAATTTGGTTAATCAACAAGAAAAGGAGATTCCTCTTAATTTTAACATTAATTTTAATTAACTCCTTTAGTTTCTCCTAGATTAGTGGAAAAGAAAATGCTTTTTTTTGTTGGAATTTTCAAAAAACTATTTGCTGAATCTGCTTGTTAAAGATCACATTTTGAATCAACAGAACGATTATTCTTGATTGTAATAGTTTATGAAGATCCCAAAAGAATATTTCTTTGTTTATGACTGTTTTTAGAATATTTAGATGATAATCGAGGCATATTTTTTCTTATTGCCAATTTTCTTAATGATTTCTTTCTAACTTAATCATCATCAACAATTTAAAACCACTAATGTTTTAAAGCAGCATCAGGATGAGGTCTAAATGTCCAATCTTTTTACAATAACTAAATTATTAAATCTTTAGCTTCTTCTGAGACTTACTCAAATAAATCATTTGGAAATTCTATAGCTGCTTCTTTAATTTTCTCAATTAAATCATTTAAACTATAATATTAATATAATAAATTACTAATCTGATAAAAAAGGCAATTATCCTGAAAGCATAGAATATAATATACAACCTGCACTCCACATATCAACCATTTAACTAAAGAATATAATAATATATTACTTATAACCTTCTCCTGAAAATATTTCTGGAGCTGAAAATGCAACAGTTCCAGTATATGTCCACATTTCAATTTTTTCTCTATCTTTTAGATCACCAAATTCTTTATAAGCATCACTAAATTTACTTACATTAAAGTCAGTAACTTTGATCTAATTTTTATCTATTGAATTAATATAAATACTTTCAACACACAAAATATTATTAGGTTTCAAATCTCTATGACAAATTCCATTTCGATGCATATATTCAATTGCACTCAATAACTACTTAAACAACTCCTTAGCATCACTCTCACTATAATGTCCTAATTCATTTATCACCTCAAACATTTCTTTGCCCTTAATCAATTCCATAACTACATGAGCTTTACTTTCAGATTAAAACCCATTATTAAAATCAACATATAATTTATGAACTTTTACAATATTTTCATGTTATAACTTAAACATTGATTTAAACTCAAGAATCATCTACTTTTTATTATAATCATTTACATTTCTTATTATTTCATCATCTTATGTTTAGACAATCTTCACTGCATACTCAATTTATGATTATTTGTGTACAATTCTTTTAACCAAACCTAGACAACCTTCTCCTAAAATTTCCATCATTTCATATTCTTCATCAAATTTTTTTAGATTAGGACATATGTACTCTGAATCGAATTCATTTATTTCAACATCCAATTTACGCCCTAACTCCTATAGTTCCTCCAATAAATCCTTTTCATCATTTAAAGGTTTCTTTATTATCAATTGAATCCTTCCTAATAATGCTATTACTATTATGTACCTCTTAATTGTTACTTGATCCTGTCCCTGTTATTTTATGCTTAAGTTTATTTATCTTCTGACTCAGATTTCAGAAAAGTAAATCTTCCACTTCCCTTCTTCTCAGTGGTTTATAGTCTTGGAGGCAATCTTTAAGTTTCAAATACAGAAGATTCACTGAGTGTTATTTATGACAATTAATCTAGCATAATACAGTAAAATATTTTATAAAGAAATTTGTTACAGTGAATTTAAAGTCTTCTTAATATGTTAGATACTAATTCACTTAAAGATTCATTAAATATTTTACACATTAACTTCTGAATTCATAAATGATAAATATAAATTTAAACAAGAAACTTAAGAGTTTTTCAGGTATCTCATCAATTTTTAATAAACTTATATTAAAGATTGAATTAAACATTCTAAACAACTTTTTCACTATTAATGATAACTTTTATTCATACTTTAAATATATTTATATAAACTTTTTATTTTATAATTTTAATTATAAAATTACTAACTTCAAATAGAAATGGAATTAAATACAGATCCAATTATTTTATAAAATTCATCTACTGTCTCCTTGAGGTATTTATTATTTGCTACATCAAAGTGAATTTAAACCGAAATATTCTCAAGTTATTTATTCTGGATCGTAAGTGGCATCATCAAAAGAATAGTAGATGAATTAAGGAAATGAAAATGATCCTAATAAATAAAAATAAACCCCATTAATTGAAAAAGAAATTGAATTTAGAAAAATATTCTCAAAGTGAATATTTATTTATGCTTAGATTTGCTGTGACAAATGCAATATTTGGGATTTATTATCTACTAATTCTAATTTTTAGAGGAATAATATTAATTGAGAATAATTATGTTATAGGTGTAGTTTTATTACTTGTTAGGTAATTTTGAAATCTAATTAGTTATACTATGTGGGGAATAACATTTTGTATTGCTATCAAAACATTCAAAGATTAAAGATCTTCATAACTAATTATATATCAAGCAAATTTGTTTTTTATAGGTATTATTGACTGTTATGTATAATCCTTAATTTTTTCAGCATTAGAAAGTGAAAGGGTTTTTTATGTTTTTTTCTTTGTGAGTCTTTGGGTAGCAACAATAGTCTTTTTGATAACATTATTTTGTTATTGCAAAACATCAAAAGATTTGATGATTGTAATAAAATACTTAAAACTTGAGTATCTTCAACATTCCTCAGATACTAATGTTTGAAAATTATTAATTGATTTATGAGAAATTAAATATATAAAATTATTTATAAAACTTCAGAAATACCCTTTAACTTCTGAAAGTTTCCCCTATGACATTAGACGCTTTCTATCATAATTTTCCTCTAAGATTTCTTCATCTTATTATGTTTCTGGTTTTGCAGGAACTTTCATGATATATTTTTCATAATTTGAATTACTACTAAATCTTACATAAGGAAACGAATTTTTATGAGATCGAGATCGTAATTAAATAATCTCTTATTCAAGTACATTTTTACCAACAATTTCGAGATTTCCTACATCGTCAGGGACGGTTGGTATTAATTTCATAATAAGATCAGAATTTTCAGAAAGCTTTTTATTTAAAGCAGATTGAGATGTGAATGTACTAAAAGGTTTGAATTCAAGCTAACTTAAAGAAGATCTTCTAACAATTTCTATTTATGGAGATTTAGGATTGCCATAGATCTAATAATTTTTTTCAAATAAATCTACAAAAGACTTTGGTTTAATATTTGAGTCTTTTTTTCTTAATCCAAGACGCTATATGTTTTATTGATTAAAAATACCCAAAATTCATTGCCTTGTTTTTCTTCTATTGGTGTTAAAGCATCAAGTATTCTTTTCATTTCTTCTTTCATTCTATGTTATTCTATTCTATCTAGAAGTGATTGACCTGGTAATCTTTATATTTTTGATTCTAATTTAATTTTTGTCAAGTCCCAATCTTATTGAACCTAATCAAATGTTTCAATCACTCTTTCACATTTGCTCATTTTTAAAGATTCCCCTTTTGACATTCTACTTTGTAATTATCTTGTTTTTTTTTCATTCTACATTTTTTTATTAAATTATACATACTTCTACTTTATTCTTTTCAATCCTCTGTTAAATCTAAAAAATATGATCTTAAACTTGATCTTCATTTAAGATTACTTCTTAAAAGTCTCTAGTTTTTACTTTGTTTTTTTTTGATTAAATATCCTTACTAGATTATTCTATTACTTTATAAATGATTGCACATACCTTTTGAACTAAAGATCACTCTTTCTGTTTAATCATTTTATTACTAAGTTGAAGGAGTTGCTTATGAATTTGCAGTGACTCTTATTTATGCTGGTTTTCTATTTTATTATTAGCTTCTTGATTTTTCAGCCAAAAATTGTTATACACTTCCAACAACTGTATATTTAATTATATTTCCTTTTGAATCTGATCTAGGTCCTTTCTCATGATCGGGTATTTTATCTAAAAGTTCTTTTGATCCACTAAAGAAATTTTGGTGAGTTGCTTCAACAGCCACAGGAGATACATGAGTTAAGAATTATGGTCTAACTCTGAAAAGATTCATAGTACTATCCTTACTTTCAATACCAACTTAGTTAAATTTTTTTTACATTTTTATTTATATTTTATGTAACATCCTAGATCAACTTCAGCTCATTATAATACTTGCAATTCTAAATATGGAAATGGTTGGCTATTGCATGAAGGGAAACAACAAGTAAATTTGAATGAAACTCCCGTTCCCACCTATGCTGAAATTGTTAAGAGTATGCAAGTATTAACAATTACTATTTATTATAAAGGACTTTAGAAGAGCTGAAAAGCTTATTAAGAATAAATTAGTGGCTTAATAGTTTGGTTTAGAACAGTAAATAAAAGTGACAGAAGAAGAAAAATAAAGAAGAAAAATTGATAATAAGGTACCTCCTAAACCATTTCCTGTAAAAGAAAGTGAATATACAAAACCAGCATAAGGAATTAATGTTGGTATTTTTATTATTATAACGCGTATAGGATTACCAATATATGAAACATCTAACATGCTATATGGACAATTAAACCCAACAAAATTTGAATTAATTGAAAAGTTTTATCCAAGAGATGCTAAATTCACATAAGGATTTCAAGGACACACTTATAAATTTGATGGTCTTAATACTAGTGTTGCCTTTTCGAAAACCCATAAAGCATTAGATGAGTACTGATTTAAACTATAGTATATATTATAAGTTCATATATATATAATCATCTAAATAATTATTAATTCATTTCTTTAGGAATATCAAAGTAATCTTGAATTTTATTAGACTTCATCAAATATTCATATAGCTTTTTAAATTCTTCTTAAATCTCTGGAAATCTAATAGCTTTTTGAGATATTATTTAGTAATTAATAGGTGAGTATATTGTGAGAGGATTATAAGGGGGACATTCCTCCAAAGCAATAAATGGGTTTTATTACCTAGACTAGATAATTTTTGTACCCATAACCATCTATGTAAATGCCCTCTTTTAAAGGATCAAATGAAGTGCCATACTTTTTTAAAAAATCTAGAAGAATTTATTTTTTATCATTTTGAGTGTAATGTTTGCACATATATATAGCAGCTAACATTATTGACAAACAAAATGAAGATATTCCTCCTACAATATTCATCTTGATATATGATACCTGTGTGAGCATCATTCAAATTTTTGGATTTGAGCAAATACTTTAAAATGAGCATTATATCTCTATACCAATAAAATCTAATTACCCAATCTTTAATTATTGTTGTTGAGGCAAATCCCAAATGTGGATTATTATATATATTGCTCCACTAATAAATCCAAGTTAAATCTACTTGTATGATTTTGCCTAAGATAATATTATTAAAATACCTGGATCTTCTTAGTCTAAATGGAAACTTTGCCAATTTTATTAAATGTAAGCATCATCATTATAAAACTCAGTTTTAGGATTCAACTCTAATTTTAATATTGGCATATGGCTTTGAATTAGCCTACAATTTTGAGATAATCGTACTTTGAATTAACTAAAAATTGCGTCTATTTTAATATCAAATTTATTGACTATAAAAAGTTAGCTATTTGATTATAACTCAGTGTTTATGTTCCCCAAATTCCTATATCAACATCACTTACATCTAAATCAAGTCCAGTTTCGAAAGATCCATAAGCATAAATGTTAAGGTCTGAATTCATGGAAAAAATATAATGTAGTCGATTAAAGCATATTCGTTTTCTTATTTTATTTTAAAAACTTTTAACTTGTATGTTATTTACAAACTCATCTATGTCTTATGTTTTAGATTTATTTAAGTTTAATTGTTTACGTTTAATAGGTGTAGTTTATGTAGAATATGGATATTGCTTGTTTCCAACTTTTTCCATGTTATTGTAATTTTTCTTTTTGTATTTCTCCTTATTATTTTTTCTTAATAAACTTTTGTTCTTTTGATTATTCTCATCCTATTACAATAGACAGTCATCTGATTCTGATTAAGAATTCCCTGTTGTAGTACTTACAGCACCAATCTATATAATCTTATAAAATTACATGACCAAATTATCCATCCAAATCACTAGAATCTTTTTTGCATTTTTAGTTTATATTCTAAATTTAATTCAAACTAGTAAATATTTATTATTTTTAAGAAGTTGTTTAAGACTTCATCATGTGAGAATTTTGAGGAGAACTAGAATTAAATTATTTCTATTTCATCTATTATTCAATTTAAGGTTATTATGGATGATATTTTTAAGTGAATGTTTAATTTTTTTGAGTTTTTTTCTATGAATCTACTTTATTTTTTTTGTTCTTAGGTTTTTTATGTGTTTTTTTATAAGTTTATGAAAATTATTAAATAGTTGGTGGCAATTAAAATGCTTCAATATCACTTTAGTCTACTATCTATAATACTAAACTTATTTGAGAATATTAATCCTTATGATTGTGTTATTTAAGATTTTCTTAATATTCCTCTTCAAGAGCATTTAAAGATAAGCTTATTATTTTTTTTATAAATTTAATTGAATCGAATTCATCATTCTTTCTTTTTAATTATGTTTCCATCTAGAACTTAGAAAACATTATAAATACATTTTCTCTTATAACTTTTTCTTACCCTAGGTCATATTCACTTGATATTTTTTCTTTTTAGCCTTCTAATTATCTGTTTTTATAAAGAAATGGTTAAGTTCTTCTATTTAATTCATCAAACTTGTTTTCGCTAGTCTAGAAAGACTCACTTTAATTTAGCAAATAAGAAATCATTTATTAATTTATTATAATCTTTTAATGCTAATTAATTAATCATTCAAAGAGAAATTAGTTCATATAATTAAATATTATATGATCTGTAAGGTATGTTATTTAAATAAAGATAATATCATTAATAATTGTATAAAATAAAGTTTATTATATATTTAAATTTTATGTCATTTAATCAGAATTTTATATTTTTTGGACACTTCTTCGCTATTGTCAAAAGGATCATCAACTGTTGATAATCTTTTAATATAACCTAAAGTTGTGTTTCCGAATAGAAATGACCCAGATGATTAATGTTATGGTGATAACAATTGAGTACTAAATGATGCTTTGCTTTTTTTCTTAACTAATCGACCTCTTGCAGATTATATTTTTAATCTTTATTTAAATTATTCCAATTCATCCAACATTTTTTAATCTAAAATCTTCCATTAAGGTTCTGTAAATTATTTTTCCTCTTGAAAATGATCATTCAACTTATAAAATTATTAGATTTATTATGTTAATCTGATGTAATCAGGAATCAAATTATACACTTAAAAGAATATTGTAGATTGAAATGTTTAAAAATCAAGGATAAATTCCATAATAATCCTATTAATAAATATAATTAAAACTTTTCAAAGAATAAGTAAATTGCTATCACATCATTCCATATAAGTAATACAATCTCTCCAATTATTTCTTCCTGATGCTTGTCTAATGCAGATTTAATTATCTAATGATGAATTAAATAATTATACTGATGTATAAGTAAAAATAACTGTTAGTAGATTAATTGCTTTATAATAATTAGATTAATTTTCGATAAAACCTTGAATATTATTTAACATTACTGTCCAAAGTATAAGTCTTTTGTGATTTGGCCATTTTTAGTAAGTGCAGACCATTGGCAAATCTTTGCAACATTTCGAAATACATCATAATAAACTTCTCTTTGTCTTGGTTCTTCTCCCTACAACCTATTTTGCTTAGGTTTACTTATAACGAAATCCATCCCAATCGAGTAGAGATTCAGAAAATTATTCACCATGCAGGAAATCATCCAATAGAACATGGCAAGTGGCCAGTATTTTGAGTTTTACTCTATATGTTACTTTATCAGGTAGAGACTAAAAGAATTTCTGAAAAGTTTTCTTAATTGGTTATGGAGTACGACAAATCAATTATTATTATTATTAAGGGAATCCTTACATGAGTTATTTTAGATCTCCAATGTTTAGAAAGGGTTTACTATTTAAGATAGAACTATTAAATAGAGCTTTCTCAAAATCTGTTTATTATTTGAAGAATTTGCTAAACATTGTATAAATAATAATGATATTAAATATATATTTATAATTAATATTCTTTTATTCAATTACTCAATTACCAACACTAATAAATGAAAGGAATCTTAAAATAAATAAAATTATTTACTTTGAATAAGCATATTAAGGATGAAAGAATCAATTCCATAATGTGAAGTCCGAATTATGAATTCCACATTTCTAATTCAAGAGATCCATTAACTTCTAAATTTGAATATTTCTTCATCTTGATTTTTATATTTGCTATGAACCAAATGGCATCCAGAACAATGGTGACCACAGTTAGATAAAAAACCTCATTTATTTGAAATAATACATATCGTAATATTTTGTTCTCATGTTAATTTATTGAGTTACTAAGATAAAGTAAAATGAAAAGCACAGTTAAAAATACAGGACAATTGAAATCAAATTTGCTTAAGCAATTTATAATGCTCAAGTACTTGAATAGTTTCACCTCATCATACCACAATCGCTGTGCTGCAATTCTTGAGTGTTACATATCCAGATGGGATCGTTGCTCCGTTGTTATATCCGCTGATATACATTTTTATTTGTTTTTTTTAATTTATATTATGGATAAAAGAAAGTTGTTATTTGAGGGCAATTTGAAAAATAATTTCTAGGATTTCAATAATGACTTCAAAGATAATAAACTCAAAATCAATGATATCAAAAATAGAGACTAGTCTAATAAGGGAGTAACCAACAAGTATTTCAATTTGAAATGTTAGATAACCATACGAAGCAAATAATAAATCAAATGAATTGATCAATAAAACTAACTCTAGTTTTACAAACTATCAAGATAATGATGTATCCTATTTCAGAAAAAAGATTGAAGATTTATAGTTTAGAGTTGACTCTTAAGACTTAAAATTAAAGGCAAAAGAAAAAGAATTACATCATCAACAATCTTAGATCAAATAATATATTCTTGAAATACATTAGATCCAAATTATAGAGTAAGATTACAAAGACTAAATAATTGCCTTAAACAATGAGCTCTCTTAATGGAAAGATAAATATTTTGCCAATCTCAAAGAATACTAATATAAATTAGCTACCATTACTAGATAATCATCATAGGATTAAAGTTCTTTGAAGAAAAAATACGAAGAAATCATAGAATAGCAACAAAAGGAGATGGAGTAAATTGAGTTAAGATTTGAAAATGAAAGAGATAATCTCTATAAAGCAATGGAATTATAAAATAAATCATAACATATTCATGACGAAATAAATGTAAGAAATCGTATAACTGATTATAGGAATTAATTTAAAAATATGATGAATTAGAAACTGAAAATATGGGATTAAGAGAAAAAATATTAGTTTTTGAAGCTAATTAAGATGAACTCAAATTTCATATTCAATAAATTTCAGGTAGATTATTAGAATAAGTAAATAAAAATGTTTAAGTACTATTTTATTTTGTATAATAGCTTGAATAATAGAAATAATAAGAAATCTAAAATTGTTAGAATTTATTGCTAGCAAAGGATAAACAAATTAATAATCTTTTAATATAAATTGAAGAATCAAAAAACGAAGAATAATATCTTGATTAAGAAAAATTGATGCAATTAGAAAATTTGAACAATTAATTAATTGAATAAAATTCATAATTAGAGGATGAAAATCAAAAATTGAAAACTTAGATTTCAGATTAATTAGAGTAAGAAAATGAAGATCTAAAACTCATCATATAAAAATAGAAACAAGAAAATTTAAAACTATAATAGGATTTGAGTTAATATATATATGAAAAAAATTAACTTGAATAGCAAAATATTTCAGATGCAAATTTAAAATTAGAACAATTGTAAATTGAAATAAATGCAATACGTTAATAATTAGATTAAAAAGAATTAGAATGTGATTAATTAAGGCAACAGAATCTTACTCTCTAAAATAATATTTCTAATTAATAGATTTTTGGATATTAAAAAGATGAATTAATCGAATAAATTGAATCCTATGAAAGAGATATAAAAGAAAAAGATGAGGTGATTTAATCATAAAGAATAAATTAAAAAGATTTTGAGAAGGTAATGTTTCAATATAGAGCAGAAAATAAAGAATATAAAACTAAAAATGAACTTTTGACAAACTAAAATGAAATATAAACATTGTAAATAGAAGAAATATTGAAAGCTAATTAATTGTTGTAAAAGTAGGTTGAAAATTTAACAAATGAAAACAAGTTTTATACACAAGAACTTCAAAATTTGTAAGAAACCCTCCAAAATTATATAAGAAAAGAAGAAAATAACAATTCATAAATTATGATAATAGAGAATTTGTAACACAATAACTTCACCTTTTAATAATAAAATTTTATGCTTGAACAAAAGGTAGCTGAAATGGAAGAATTTGAAAAAATAAATAAATTATATGAATAAGAAATGGCATAAAAATAAGAATTATATGAGTTACTTTCCCTTTAACTAAATGAAAAAGATATTCAATTGAAAAAATTTGAAAAAGATCTAGTTTTATAAAAACAACAATCGTAATCACTTTTTGAACAAAATTAAACTTTAGAGGAAGATCTAAGATTATGTCATTAATAATTAATTAAACTCAAAGATTTTTCTTAGAATACTAAAGAAGAGTAGTTTGATTTAACAAATAGAATTTTAGACAAGTAAATAAATTGTAACACTCTACAAATAAAGTAAGGCTTTGAAATTAATAATGTCAATATATAGTAAAATCTCATAACACAGGATAACAAAGATCTACAAAATTAAAATGAGGAACATTTATAAATTATAAAGGATTTTGATTTGCAATTAAGATCAGAAAAAGAATTAAATGAAAATCTAAATCTAAAAATGCTACATGAATTTTAAGAGGAAAAGCTTAAATCTTTAGTATAAAAGGAAAAAGAAGTACAGTTTAAGGAATAAAAAATATTTGAGGAATAAATTAGATAATTAAAAATAGAATTAACTGAATAAAAATTGTTGAATGAAAATTTACAGCAAGTATTTAATTGTAATTTATAAATGGAAATAGAGAACAATAAAAAAGTTTTTGAATCTAAAATAAACCAATTACAATTAGAAAATGATAAATTCAAATAAAAAACAATTGAAGTAATTTAGGAAAATATCAATTTATAAAATAAATTACAATAGTTTGAAACAGAATTTTTATAAAAACAATTAGAATTATCAAGAATCGATCCTAATTAGATAGCGGAATCTTATGAAAATGAGAATAGTCATAAATTTTAACTGGAATAGTCCCCAGACGGAAATCAATAATAAATAATTGAAAATGAAAAAAGTTAATAAATAGATAGAGAGTAAGGAGATGAAGTGTAAGATTAGGATATTATCAAAGAAGAAAGAAATTCTTCAAATTTACATCAAGATAGCTAAATTAAAAACTTAGAATAATAATTTGAAATCTAATAATAAATTTAGATTCATTTGATTGATTAAGATTTAAGAGAATAAATTGTATCTTCCTTTTAATTAGGCTAATAAAATTTAGAATAACCAGGAAATAAAGAAACTATTTTCTCATAAATAATTGAAAATATAGATCTAGAGGGACAATCGATCTAAACAAATCCAAAACCTGAACATGAGGAAATATTTGATGAAGAACTAAAACAAGGAGTTGATTTATAGCCTAAAGAGTTTGCCAAAAATTAAAAACAAGAAGATCCTACGAAAATTTCTAGAATATCCTATGAATTAGCCAATAGTTTAATTAATGTAAAAAGAATATTTATTTATAGAATGTCTTAATCGGAGCAATCGAATCAGTACTTAATCTATATAAGTGAATTATTAATGTATAGCAAATAAAACTTAACATTAAATCAATCAGCTTGACTGTGTTATTTTAATAAATACGATCTAAATAATCCTATTTTTAATATTTATATATCTAATCATCCCAATGGTATCTTCTAATCAATAATATATTAATAAGAGAGTTTGATTGGTAAATCTACATAGTAGGCTAAGTAACTTTGAATTTTTTTTAAATATAGATAAAAATATTCTATATTAATTAATAACTTTATTGAAAATATAGTTTACATATACTTTTACTAATATTCAAAGAAAATAATTCATTTGATTATTCGTTTCTTATACAATTATAGAAGTCAATTTAATTACTTAAACAGATTAAAATTTTAACAGGTACTTAGAATTTTGTCATTTAAGAAATAAATTAATTATAATTAATAAAATTATATAAGTTAATAGCTTAATTCTCCGGATATATAATAATGTTGTCCTAAATTTTAACAAATAAATCAGCAACAACTGTCCTATTTTTTTGGCTTGTCTTCTTAAGGCATTGGTGTTTATAAATATTGCTGGGGTTATGGTTTTCTTATTTTTCCAGCTATTCCTGTTTCCTGAATTTATTGAGTAAAGGCTTGAAATGCAGCTTCGACCTATTTAATATTTATGATTCATACATGGTCACTTGTTTTTGCACTTACTTCAAAGAATTTTAGATTAAATTCTTTGGCCAATTCTTCAGCCATTGTTGTAGTTACTTATCTAGATTCATCAGTTGCTAAATCACTTTTGTTTCCTAAAAGCATCAACAACACATTTTCATCTGCGTAATGATTGAGTTCATTCATCCAATACTTACGAATATCTTCAAATGACTTCAGGTTTGTAATGTCGTAAACCACAACGATTCCTTATGCTCCTTTGTAATAAGAGTTAGTAATATTTCTAAATCTTTCCTAACCAGCTGTATCCCATATCTACAATTTAACTCCCTATCCATTAACTCTCAAAGATTTAAAACGAAAATCAACTCCGATTGTACTGAGATACATATCTCTGAATTAATCATCGCAGAAGCGAATAAGCAATGAAGACTTTCCAACAGCGCTGTTCCCTACTATAACAATTTTGTATAATTACTCCTCCATTTTTTAAATTATTATTTTACAAGAATTCATCGTCACTTTATTAGAACTCATTCTGTATTATTCTTTTCAATAAATCACTTAAGTATATATTGTATAAACAATCCATATCAATATTTTTTAAAGGTCAACTATTCTTACTCATTTTCAATTAAGAATATGTATTAAATTCTACATCCATAAATATTTTTAATCTGATAATAGTTTATTTTATATGGAGAGGTACTTAAATTATATCTATTTATATATAATGTCATTAATATTTATACATTACTAAAAATTCTACATATATTTTGATATCTATAAAATTGATAATTTCATATTAATTTATGGTCATATTCCATAAAACTCTTTTTGATTTATAGAACGAGACTCTTGATATTCAACTTGCAGTTTGCTTTTACTTTAATAATCAAACAAATATCAAATATGTATTAGAACGTGATTTAAGGAATACCAGTATGCATGTATAACCTAATTTTAACACTTTTAGGGATCAGAACTCTACTTTCTATTCCAAAAAAAATATTTGTGATTATGAAAATTAAGTAATAGTCAATAAGTAAATCTCAACATTAATCTTAGATAACTTCCCTAATGGGCTAATAATTAAGAAAAATAGACAGAAATATAATGTTAGTTTTGTAAACGTCCAATCATAACTATAACAAAATAAAGAATTGGAAAAGGTTCTTTAGTATGTTCATTCATTTTAATCTTAACCTTTCCAGTATTGTTCTGGTTGCCTTGCTATAAAGAATCTTGCTAAGATGTAGTTCATTTGTGTCCTAATTGCAGCCATCTAGTTGGTGAAAAGCTGTATAAACCGTGTTCTTGAATTATGCATTGATTTTTGTTAACATCTGTTTTAAAGTTAATTATCATTATCACATTCTAATTCTCAAATGATAAAATGGTAAACATTATTGAAAATCTTCTTAGAAAATAAGAATTAAACCAGAAAATTTGTTTTTGCCAAAAAGAACAAAAAAAACATACTATATACTGTAGTTTTGGTTTAAGCAAGTTTCTTAAGAATGTAAATAATTCATATAATCTTTTAACTTAATACAGGTTATTCTTAGAGAACTAACCAATTTTTGAAACCATTCGATAGGCTAGCATCACTGGTGAAAATACGTTGATTAAATTGAAGAGATTATTTGTAGTCATATGCTAATGCACTCATTAATTTTTGATAATTCAAATTTTACTTAAGAAATTAACATAAGACATAATAATTGGGAATTAGGCTGAAATCTATTAGATAAGATGATAGCAGTTCTAATAATAGTATTATAATTAATAAAAACCTTTGTTATATTAATTTTAGGTTGATTTAGTTTAAAAAATAAAAAAAATGATATTGCAATGTGTTATTAGCATCAATAATTCTCATCCAAAAATAAATTGTAAGAATAGTAGTTTTATATTAGGAATATAGCCTTGTAGATTAACCCAACTTTCAATCCATTTAAACTCATTGACAAGGATAATGATAAAATTTTAGTTTAACTCACAAGTAGTAAGAATCAAATTTAGAGGAAAAATATTCTAGATTATTCCTAATTCATGTAATTAAAAAATTAGAAGATAGAAATAAAAAATAATCTGATAAAACTTCTAATTTATAAATTCGAAAAGACTATTAATGAATTTTCAAAAAAATAAAGGAATTGACGAAGGCACAATACATAATAATATGCTTTAATAAGTAGCATCAGTAAATGAAAATATATATTGTACTTACCTACCGTTGTCACTTCAATTCATTGTTTCTAGAGATGCGAATTTTAGATATATTTTTGTTATTTTGATAAAGCATGCTTTTTTTTAATCTAATCTCTAAATTAAAAATACATTATTTGATCATAAGATAATAATTGAATTCTTATTTTAACTTTACACGAATTATCAAAACTTCCTAACATGCTATTTGAAACATAGCGAGAAAGCAAATTGAAATTAAAAAATTTGGCAAATTAAAGATAAAATTATTTTTCTTCCTATATTTTTCTTTTTCCTATTTCTTAAGATTATGCTTTTAAATTCTAAATATTTTTGATAATGCTTTTTCAATATCAATTATTGTTGTTTTATTATTTTTCGATTTCCAGTCTTTAGTCCTAGTTTCTTGATAAAAAATTAATATATGAATTAATTTAGCAAAAAAATTTATTGATCAACTGAGTCTAAAAGTTTTCCTATTTATTATTTTAAAAAGAATTTAACTTAATCTTTTTATATACCAAAGTTAACAAAATCATAAATTTTGATATTGAATTGATTGCTAATCAATTTAATTCTAATGAAATTATCTATTGATTATTCAAGAACTTTTATTCTATTTGAGTATTTTTGTCTATATATATAACATTACATCCTTAGTATTATTGCTACAATCTTTCTCTCAATTATTTTTAGAAAAATATGTAGTGTTGATTTTTTCCTGAATAGTTAATTTCTTACAACACAAAAATCCAGGCTATATATTGATTTTTTGATATAATGTTATATAATTTTAATAGTCTTATGAATAAGATTATATCGTCCTTTTTCCTCAATATTTGAATGTCATCTATAAAATTTTCAGAGTTTCTCTAATAGGTAGCAATAAGGTCTCATAGTGTGTTTTTTATAAGAGCAGTTGTTGCAATGATTATTGATTATTTTTGGCTGATTATTCATTTTTTATAAAGATTTAAAGTATTGATTAAAGGCATTTAACTGTACGACCTTTATTGAAATTTTATCGGTATTGATTGCTGATTTCGCAATTTTAACAATTTCTATTTTTAGAAAAACTAATTAAAAAGCAAATCACAAATCAGATATTTTATTAATTAATATATTAATGATTAGGGTTTAACTGCTGCTAATTTTAGTAGGAATTATTCTTGGATAAGTAAAATTTATCATAATAGCTAGGCCAAAGAGTACAAATTACCACTTAAATTAAATATGACAGATGTTGGTTGTGATTATATTGAACATTTTGAATTTACCCTGGCCGATTAGACTGCCTAAGTGATTGGTTAGTTTAATTAGTCAGGAGGTTTTTATTAAGTATTAAAATCTATTATTGATTTAGCTAAGTGGCTTCAAAGATTATTAAAGTGTTGTCTAGAACAAATTACATGCTTGTGACATACATTACACAACATGGTAATATACAATAAAACAAATGAGATTATACAGAAAGGCACAAAATTTAATAATTGTTGAATAAGATAAAGAATTGTAGAATACATAGAGCTAAGAGCTGGAATTATAATTAATATTTGAACAGACTTAATATGATTTGTAGTCGAATTAAGAACTTGCAGATAGAAAAACAGCTATTGTTTCAGTGTTCTTTACTACTGGTTACTAAGAAATATAATCCCATTTACCTGATGGAATCGATATGCTGCTTCCATTCACATAAATTGTATAATGATTAATTGATTTTAGAATCGTAAAAAACCAACTTAATAATTTAATGTAGATGTAAATCCAGATAGATAATTAGATGCTATATAAAGATATTTCTTTTAATATATGACCTTTATTGGTAAAGAAGGAGAGAAAGCTTAAAATATGTATTTTAATAGAAAGAAATTTTATGTTCCTAAATCATTTGTCGAAACATTCTTTGGTCCTCTAGAAGAATATTAAAATATCCCAAATTCAAATCCAACAGTTGTCTCACAAGATGAAATGGAAGAGGAAATGGTAAAGATATGTTATGGGACTTTGGAAGAAACTGTATTAAGATAAAACTATGCAGTTTGGCTTTGGATTGTCGGATTATTAGTTTGGTGGATTGTTATGGTTTGCACTGAAAATGATACAGAATCAGTATTTTTGGAGGAATATAAAGATAACCGGTTGACTATGATTCCCTTGTACAGCATGTATAAATTAAACAATGATATATTCTTCTCAAAATTATCAAGGTAATCACATTATTTGTTATATTTTGCTTGGGAAATTTTAATAATTTCTATATTATATGGTTAGTTTCATATAGATAGAACTTATGAAGTTGGAGATGCAATTATTCTTTGGTATGGAATTATTGCAATAATACTGGCTTGGCCTGTCGGATACTTTTTTGGATGGATCGTTTTTACTGCAAGAGAGTAACACAAGACAAAAATTTAATTGGAGATAGATTACAAACAAATTACTGTATCAATACTATTAATAAATTTAGACCAAATCAACCCCTGAAGCTGAAAAAATACATGCTGCCATATTAGATGAAGAAAATAGAATGTACACAACTTGGTATGTATATTATGGATTTTTGTTTCTGGCATTATGGGCTTGCGTCCTAATAAGCATTTGGATGATGAAGTTTGTAGATGCAGACACTTCAGGGTATTGGGTAGCAACAATATTTGTTATGATATTTATGGATCAAATTGTCTTAGATTCAATCGCTCCTTTTCTACCATTAATTGGGGCAGTTTAAAAATATAGAGGATATTGGTACGACGCAGAATTGGCAAGTTTATGGAAACATCGTGAAGAGTTATGATTTTAAATAAACATAAAAAAAGCATCATTCTATTTCATTTATCAAATATCAATTTTTTTCAGGTTATTTTTTAGTTAAAATTTATTTTTCTTTTAATTTCAAGTAATATTCACTAGATTCATGGATAAATTGAATCGGTGATTTTGAAAAGTTTTGATAAAACATTTTCAGCTGAATTTCTACTAAAAAAAGAATTATGTTAACAGGAATTCATGAGGTTTGTAATCACTCAGAAAAAAAAAAGAATTTTGATTCAATCTAATTTATATTTAACACATTTCCCTCTAGATCTACATATTGCTAACTGACCAATAATTAAGTACAAAAGATTTTAAATAACCTTTTTGATAAACATTTCTAAGGATATTTTATTATATGTTTCTAGTATAAAAAGAGTTTAGCATTATTTCTAGGATTCAAAATAAAGAGATTGAATAAAAGCATATATATAACAAAATTTGATTTAATAAAATAAAAATGATGAATACGATAAATCAATCATCTGCATATCTGCATACATTAATATATGTTTCTTCTTACATTATTAGCAAATCGATTTATAGACTGTATAAGGAGAGTATAAACCAATTATTACTCTAGGATAATTTGGTGAAAGTAGTTCAAACTAAAAGAAAGGTCGATACTAAAGAAAAAGAATTAAGATTCTTTTGTTAGGATTTCCAACTTTCTTATGCTTAATCCACAGTTACACTACAATGTATCAATCGTACAAGTTTGATTTAAAAACCATTATTTAATGGAATAACAATTCCAAAGTTTGCATGGGAATTGCAATTTCATTTTATATGAGTTTTGTTTTATATGGTGGACCTATTTATCATGAATTTTGGGTATTTCTATTTAAATCAAATTAGAATGGCAATTTAAAAAAGAAATTAGGCAAACTTTAATTCAATAAATTTAGATGGGACTACTTTTCTAAAATAGTTGTGGTAAGAGAAACGATTAACATTAGACTCCGTTAATTGAAGAATTAATTTTTAGAGGATTTACTAATAATTCTTTTAATCCAGAATACAAGAACAATTATTTTTATATGATATATTCAACTTTTCTTTATTTGCTAGGTATATTAATAATATTATTAAAGTTGGTTTAATATTATTTGAGCCCAAATAATTGACATCAAACAAATGGAATTATATCAAGCAGATTTTAAAATCTTTATCACTAGGAGTCTATCTGTCATATGTTCTGGTTTAAACTGAAACATTAATAGCAGTTATTATCAATCATGGATGCATAAATTTTATGGGATCACCAAACATAAAAGACTTACTCAAAGGCAATTATTCTCGCGAGTTGAGATTCAGTAATAATTTAGCTTTTATTGTAGAAATAATGAGGTTTTATTTCTTAGGGTTTTTGGCTTTTCTAATTTTTTGTTTACTAGTATTATGAATTAAAATTATAATGTAAATCAATCAAAAAATTCATCAAAACTATATAGAGACAATTTAATTAATGCGCTATTATCAATGAAAGCAATATGAGCTGCCCTTCCTATCATAGTATCCAAAGATCTAAAAATATAAATTAAATTACCTTCCAACTAACTCATAATTCACGTCTAATCTATCAATCTTTTAATTTGATAGATTCTTCATTATATTATCTATCATTTTATTAATTATCATCACATCCTTACTGTTTCCTTTTGGTCTCTATATCCTAGCTGATTCAAAAGGACTATAAGTATCTTAATAAGAACTCATGAGTGCAATATTTGTAAACCATCCTAAACCCTCATATGAAGATAATTTATAGAGGCAAGTCTCCAAGGGGTTTGAAGAATCATTCAACGTTAACTAATTTAAGCAAATACACTTTTTCCATTTTCTTATAAACCATAGCCCTGTATCAACAACTTTACTGGATGATAATGTATAACTTAAGTGAGGACTTCCTAATGATAAATATGTAAACATTTTATCTTTGTATTTACTCAAATGAGGCAATGCTGCTCTAATTATGATTCCTCCAAGTGAATGTCCTAGAAAAGATAATTTAGAAAAATTATCTTTTGGACACCATTCTTTGATCCATCTCTTGACTTCTAAGGCCAATTTTTCTCCCATCACTAAAATGTCTTAATCTGTGTTGTCTTCATTACATTTTGATAGTAAAGTTAAATGGTCAGGATATCTGATTGCCATGTTATTCCTCCATAATCTCATATCATATGAGTTTCCTTGATATCCATGTACAAAAACAAATAAATGAAGCCCTTTTACTGATTTTAGTTAGAATTCTTTTTTTCTTGATACATCCCTAAAAACTATAGGATGAATTTTAGCTTCTGGAAATAAATCTACATCTTCAATATTTAATGGTTCTAATTATTTGTAATAATTATTATTTCTGTATTGTTTTGCCATCATTTTATGATTTTTACCTAGTTAAATTTCTTATTAAGATAAATCCTCTACTGTTTAAACATGTTGGAAGATGCTCTCTCCCCATCTCTCTTTTATTTTCAAAATATAATCTTGTTCTAATATTTTAGTCAAAGTTTCAGCCATAAAATTCTGCGCATCTATAAACTAATACCAAACAACAAAAATTTTTGAAGATGTATGTTTAATTTCTAAGAATAATTATTAACAAAATTCTTCCTATAGATGAACATTGTTTCTTAATTCGTCCATTCTTGTGCTGTATTCAGAAAATTCCCTATAATTTAAAGATTTATTCAAATATTATAATCTCCCGAATTTATTTTGAATGTGTTCATCGGATATGCATTATTTTATGTTTTTCTAATAATAATTTTCAAATTATTCATGGATTTATAACAATATTTTATTATAGCCTTCATAGAAGTCAAATACAAGATTTGATATAACTAATAGTGATAATTCTTTATTTACATTTATTTGTTATGTTGCTCATAAATTATTCAACAGTTAGATTGCTTTAATGATATTTAAAATCAACTAAAATTGAATGTATAGTTAATTTTAATAAGCAGAAATGAGATTCATCAAATTGGCAAGATACAAATTCTTTAATCAACTTGATATTGTGTAATCTACTTTAAAATTTTGCTACGCATTTTTAATATTGGTACAATTTATCCTATAATCAAATCTTATTATACTATTTTAAAGTCTTCTTGTGTTATTGTGCTAAGTTCACAAAATAACAATTCAATAACACAATAAATATTCTAAGGGTCCATCTCAGGATATGCTTAAATTTCTATTCTAAATACACATCCTTCATTTAACTCCACTATTTAATCGCAATATTTAATGATAAATGCTTTGCTGTAGAAATTTGTATCTACTAATTTGTGCTATTCGACTAGAAGTTCATTAGCTTAATTATGGACAAATTTTTTCTTTTCCACTGTCATGTAAGGCTAAGCATACAATGTATCAATCTAAGTTTAACTTCTTTAGAATATTGAGGCTTTTAATTGATACACTCCTTATTGATAAAGGTCGACATTTCTAAATTCACTTAGATGAATAAATATTTCTATTGTGCCACTAAGCATTTATAAATGATAAATTAAAGAAAAAGTAAATAACCAAGTAAAATAATTGGCAAGGGGTTTCAGTGCAGAAAATCAAGATTAGACATCATTTGACTCTCTAAACAGTTCATGGAATTTTCTTTCTCACTTTTTTGGATGATTAGTATGTAAATAAGTAAATATATTATAGATCACGTTGAGGAACTAACTTATTTTATAAATTCTATAAAACTCAATAAACATCTATTATGAGTGGGTTGGAGTGAGTTGAGAATTTTATTAAATTTTTCTGTTTAATGTAACAACATTTAAAGTTTAAGATTCATTCTATGTTCTCCCACCATTTTTATTAGACAATGTTCAAAGTCTTACTCAACTGAATTCATCTCAGATTCAACAATTATAAATATCATTCTAAAGTCATTTTTTAAGTTAGAGTAATAAATAAATTCATAGTTTAAACATAATTGAAAATAATATTATTCTCAATGGCTGATTAAGCTTCAATTACAATCTACTCCAAATATTTACAAAGTCTAGTCCTCAACTTTACAAAATAAAATATGATAATTTTTTATTCAATTGCTGATCGAAAAATTTAATAAAATTTTTATTATTTTGTTGAATAGAGAATGGCACTATTGAGTTGAAGATAAAAATTAGGTGTCCTTATTTAAAATTTTTATAGAACAAGTTAAATATCATTATTCCACCGAAACATAAAAAGTATTTCAATAAAAATAATATCAAGAAGCATGAACATAATCAAATTGTAAAAAATTAAAAATTTTTATAAAGCTTATTATCTTACCTAATGTGGATCACATTCACTAATTGTATAGTATTCATTAAGCATCATTCAAATTAAAAATTTTTTGAATTGCTCTATAAGTTTATCTAAATTTGATGCTTAAGAAATCGATTAGAATATTAAAAGAAAATAATTATAAAAGATGTATGGTCATAGAAGCTAATGTCTGATAGAAATACATTAGCTTCTGGTAGTTGGGATAACTCTATCCGTCTATGGGATGTCAAAACAGGATAATAAAAAGCCAAATTAGATGGTCATAGTGATACTGTTAGATCAGTCTGTTTCTCTCCTGATGGAAATACATTAGCTTCTGGTAGTGATGATAAGTCTATCCGTCTATGGGATGTCAAAACAGGATAATAAAAAGCCAAATTAGATGGTCATAGTAATTATGTTAAATCAGTCTGTTTCTCTCCTGATGGAAATACATTAGCTTCTGGTAGTGATGATAAGTCTATCCGTCTATGGGATGTCAAAACAGGATAATAAAAAGCCAAATTAGATGGTCATAGTAGTTGTATTAACTCCGTCTGTTTCTCTCCTGATGGAAATACATTAGCTTCTGGTAGTGATGATAAGTCTATCCGTCTATGGGATGTCAAAACAGGATAATAAAAAGCCAAATTAGATGGTCATAGTAGTTGTATTAACTCCGTCTGTTTCTCTCCTGATGGAAATACATTAGCTTCTGGTAGTGATGATAAGTCTATCCGTCTATGGGATGTCAAAACAGGATAATAAAAAGCCAAATTAGATGGTCATAGTAGTTGTATTAACTCCGTCTGTTTCTCTCCTGATGGAAATACATTAGCTTCTGGTAGTGATGATAAGTCTATCCGTCTATGGGATGTCAAAACAGGATAATAAAAAGCCAAATTAGATGGTCATAGTAGTTGTATTAACTCCGTCTGTTTCTCTCCTGATGGAAATACATTAGCTTCTGGTAGTGATGATAAGTCTATCCGTCTATGGGATGTCAAAACAGGATAATAAAAAGCCAAATTAGATGGTCATACTAGTGCAATCATTTCAGTCTGTTTCTCTCCTGATGGAAATACATTAGCTTCTAGTAGTAGTGATAACTCTATCCGTCTATGGGATGTCAAAACAGGATAATAAAAAGCTTAATTAAATGGTCATGATGATTGTATCAACTCAGTCTGTTTCTCTCCTTATGGAAATACATTAGCTTCTGGTAGTATTGATTAGTCTATCCGTCTATGGGATGTCAAAACAGGATAATAAAAAGCCAAATTAGATGGTCATAGTAACTATGTTATGTCAGTCTGTTTCTCTCCTGATGGAAATACATTAGCTTCTGGTAGTGTAGATAAGTCTATCCGTCTATGGGAAATCAAAAACAAGTATTGTTCAGATTATAGATTTAAAGAAATTTAGGTTAAAAATACAAAATATCCTTTTTTTAACACCCCTTTGCAGTAAAAGAATATTATTTAAAATTTAGATAAATCTAATATTATGGTTTACCCAGACTTCAATTTTGTTTAGGTTTGAGAGAGTTTTTTAAAACAACCCTTTCCTTTTAGGAGAATTATTGGAATAACACTTGATTAATTTAAAAACTAACTTATATTAACCCTTAATTTAAATCTATTTTAATATACTTCTTGTGTCCAATATTTGTTGATAGAGTTCTATTTAATAGTATTTTTCCTTTTTAAGAATCTTGAAGCATTACTAAAATGGAAATTAATTTAGCACATTTAAAAATTACAATAATAATTATTAGTTACATGAATGCAATAATATCTTAATTCTTTGTATACTGTTTTTTTGGTATTATTCTTATCATAACCAAGCATTTTCTATCAATTTATATTTCGAATGTGAATTGTATAAGATTTATAAAGTAGATTCTACAGCTAAATCTTTCAGCATTAATCATTTCTAAGTTTTCTAATCTTCGTATTTCTTGAGAGTCAATATATTCTAATATTTACAAAATAATATAATCTCAAGTCATATTTAATTAACAGTAATAATATTATTTTTTATTAAATTGATTTAATAAACTTTAAATTTTAACAATGTTATTGAAAAAAATTTATTAGGAAAATATTTATTTTGGAAATTTAAGAGAAAATACCTGACTAATATGAATGCTTTTTTATATATTTAAATAATTTATTGTCCAATTTATCTTAGGAGGTTGTTATAGAGAACATAAATTTAATTAAGATTATTCATTGTGTTTATCAATACCAATCATTTAATTCTACAATTTAGGTGCAATTTCTTAATTTAATTGTAAAATATAACCATTTAATAAGTTTTTAAAGACTTAAGGGATATTATTTTTGAATAGATATTAATAAATTTTGTAAAAATCATTTTGAAGGGACAATAGTGATTATACATTGAGTAATAACTGTTTATTATTTGATGTATGTAAAATTTCATGTTGAGCTCAAGTTAATCAATAATTAAGATTCTTAGATGGTTGCTACGAAAGACATAATTATTTCCTTAAATCATAATAATTACAAAATTATAATATTTTTTAAATTGTTTTCAAAGTTTTTTAATATCTTATCAATTAACAGGTGATTGATACATTATCTTGAAGAGAGAGTAGTGTTAAAATTAAACAATATGATATTGTTTTAACTTTGTTATATAGTTTAGAAAATTAACTTTATTTTTTTAATTATTGTCATATCTTTTTGATTATTATCTTTGTTATTAAATATAACTTTTACTATTTATAAACTAGTTTTACAAAATTATTAATTATATCAATTAAGACTTATGTTTATACATAGTAATAAATTAAATAAATTATCAGAATATCTTATGAAATAATCATGCAGTTTTGTTAAGTTAGGTTTCAGTTAAGTAATTAAAATTAATCTTTATTTTAATCTCCTCATTTTGCTTAGTATCATTTAACATTAAATCTCTATAAATGTTAATTAATATATAAGGAGATCTCAATAAATATACCCTACATTTCCTAAAAATGGAATACTTTTTAAAAACTTGTATAAATCTTAAGAAATCAAAATAAAGTATAGAGCAAAAAAAAGATATAATTAAAAAAATATAAAGAATGAATTTAAATAATAAATGTTTTAATGTTCTTTATGAATATTAATTATCACTTTGTCTGAAGGTCTTCCAAAAAGCAACTTCCTTTTGATTTGAATAAAGGTTTTAAATCTTTTCCTTAATAGTTTATAAATTCTCCTTATAAGATAAGTGTAGCTCTTGCTTCTAATAAAGGATTCTAACAAATCCTAAGTATTGTACGATCTGGCTCAACTAAATAATAATAAATAACAAATACCATTAGGTAATAATGAGCTATTCTAAAGTGGTATTTTAAATTATGCAAGAATATCTTTGTAAGTTTTATCAGAGGATTTATAATAGTGATACTGTTAGATCAGTCTATTTCTCTCCTGATGGAAATACATTAGCTTCTGGTAGTGATGATGAGTCTATCCGTCTATGGGATGTCAAAACAGGATAATAAAAAGCAAAATTATATGGTCATAGTGGTTGTATTAACTCAGTCTGTATTTCTCCTGATGGAAATACATTAGCTTTTGGTAGTGATGATAAGTCTATTCGTCTTTGGGATGTCAAAACAGGATAATAAAAAGCCAAATTAGATGGTCATGATGATGCTATCATATCAGTCTGTTTCTCTCCTGATGAAAATACATTAGCTTCTGGTAGTGATGATAAATCTATTCGTCTTTGGGATGTCAAAACAGGATAATAAAAAGCCAAATTAGATGGTCATAGTGATAGAGTCTGGTCAGTCTCATTCTCTCCTGATGGAAATACATTAGCTTCTGGTAGTGATGATATGTCTATTCGTCTTTGGGATGTCAAAACAGGATAATAAAAAGCCAAATTAGATGGTCATAGTGATACTGTTAGATCAGTCTGTTTCTCTCCTGATGGAAATACATTAGCTTCTGGTAGTGATGATGAGTCTATACGACTATGGAATCTTAAGAATGCAAAAGAAATTTCAACTATTGACAAAAAATATTACGATATTCTTTCTTAATTAAAAGCATAACTCTTTTAGAACAATCTTCTACCATGTATTTTTTAATTTATTATTATTTAGTCTCTAATTATTAAATTCTTGTCATAACACAATAAATATTATTGGAAGCATTAGGTACACTTATCTTATAAGGAGAATTTATAAACCATTAAGGAAAAGATTTGAAACCTTTATTTAAATCTAAAGGAAGTTGCTTTTTAGAAGACTTAGAGAAAAAGTGATTATGATCATTATCAAACTACAATTATAATTAAAATCAATATCTAATATTTTTTTTTAATTCTGTCTTTATTAGATTCACTATTAATATTTATAGAGATTAAATACATGAAATTAATAATCTAAACAGAGAACAGTAAATGAAGAGTTTAAAATAAAGATTGATATAATTACTAAAAGACAACTAATTTTACATAACATTTTTTTATAATACAATTAGGATATTATATGATAGATTTACTTAATTTATTACTATTTAAAAGCGGGATTAGTTTGATAAATTATTAGTAATAATTTTGCAAATTTTGTTCATCAATAGTAAAAGATATTTTTTATAAAAATAGATGAGAAAAAAGATACATCAAGTATATATTTAAAAACTAAAGTTAATCTTTGAAATAATTTATACTTTAATAAAGTTAAAACAATTAGATTGGATGAATTTTCATATTGAAAGTAATGTACCAATCACTTTTCATTATTATTCTCAAAATGATATTAAAAAGTGTTAGACATTATAGAAGACTGAAAAGGTATATTAATCATCAAAAAGTAGTCGTAATTATATCTTCTCTAACCGCCATCTTGAAAACTTAATTACTTATTAACTTAGGCTACGTGAATTTTTCCATACATCAAATAATCAACATTTATAGATCAGTAGATTATGTATAATCAAGGACACCTTGAAGATAATTTTAAATTACATTAATTAATATATTGAAAAAAATTATACCCCTCATCATTTTAGCTTTAAAACTATATCTATTTTATAAACTTATCATCTAATTCAATTTCACAACTAAATTTATTCATTATGAAATTATGAAGTTACCCTAAATTTATATTAAATAATTACCAAGATTGTTAATGAAGTATTCATATCCATAATATGTAATCCAAAATAAAGAAATTTTTCTTTGCTATAAAAATGAGATTAACCCCCTAAGATGAATAGGATGATATATTTGTAGAACTAACTAATTAAATATAAAATAGGGAAAAATAAATGGTATTAATTATTGCCAACACACTATAAAGTATTTTTATTTTTTTATATTACAAACTAATTATTCACAAATATACTAAATATAATTTAGCTTTTTATTATCCTGTATTGATATAGAATCATCACTATTCCCAAATGTTAATGTGTTTCCATCAGGAGAAAAACAGACTGAACAAACTTTATTCCTATGACCATGTAATTTATTCAATCCTTTAATTTTCAAGTTCTTCCATTTACAATTAAATAGCATTGCACCGTTCAAGTTCACTCCACGTATGTCTACATTATCTAATTCAGATCCATTTAAGTTACATCTTACAAAATTACCACCAATAAAGAAATATTCCGGATTCTGATATACTCAAAGCTTTACCTTTTAAGATCAGCTTTCATTTCAACCAATAGATTAAGTGTATTTGAACCCATTAAATAAACTTACTATCAAAATCTGCAAGGTTAACAAAGAATTTCAACAATTCTATGATTTTCTTTACTTAATGTATTTTTTTAATACGATTTTATCTAGTTTATTGATATACTTCAGTTGAATAATTATTTTTACTAAAGTCATGTTGATTTAATATTATTCATTAACTTGTTAATTTACTTAATATTCCGCATTGCATCTCTTAAATTCGTTTCTGGATTTATGTGCCATAAATCAAGCTTTTCATTGGCATTCAGCACAAAGTTTTCTTAAAAAAAAACACTTGTGAGGACTTATACATATCAAAGTTATGGGTATTTGGATATGATAAGTGCAGTTTATCATTTATTATTTTTAATATTGAATTATAATCAATCTTAACTTAAATAATCATTATATATCAAAAAAAGTATCTTATAAATATATTATTGAAAATTTTAATTTAAATTTGCATGGCATAATTTTTTAATAATATAGAATTCTAATGGTTTTA